GACGTTGAGCCAGTGCGAGCATGATGTAACGATTATCTTCCTGGGTAAACCGACTTGGACGTGCGAGGTTTACCCGAGGGCTTTTACTGCGACTGCGGTAGTCCTCGCGGAACACCCCAGGAGACGCGCTCCGCCTGGAGGAAACGAACTTCCGCGAGTCGTCGTTGATATGAGCCTGAGGCTTAGGGGATTTAGATCTATACGCGTCCCAGAAAGAGGTTTGAGGCGGCGTGCTCGGGTAGTCAGGTCGCTGCCGTGGCTGGCGTGCCAAATCCGACGAGGAGCCTGGCATCGGCATCACGCCTCCAGGATTCTGCTGTGGCCCTTGACTCAGTCGTGTCCCTATGAGCTCCTTCTGCTCATCGGTGTAGCGAGAATTCGGCTGGCGAGTTGCCCGGTTTTGAGAATCTACCCAAGCTTGGACATTTTGGGCCGCTGTGGTCTGAGGATTACTGTGCTGCTGTCCTGATGATGTGCCGCCATATGCCGGACCCTGGGCATAGGCAGCTGTGCTCGGGTATTCCGTTTGAGAACCCTGGGGTGGATAGCCAAGCGTCTGCGTGGCTCCCTCAAACGGGGCCGGCGTGGTAACTTGTGCACTGGTATTGTTGTTGAGTAGTGATGATCCAGGAAGCATGAATGTCGACCTCGCCGACGGAATTTGAGTATGGGTAGATGTGCTCGTGTATCCTGTTTGATAATGCTGGGTTGGATAGCCGAGCGTCTGTGTGGCTCCCGGAGAGTAGGGCGACATGGTAACTCGACCACTCGGGGTGGTGTTGGATGGTCTTGTTCCAGGAAGCATGGGTGTCGACGTCGTCGACGGCGCTGGAGGATAGCCCGTTGGCATGAAAGATCTGCCGCTATACGTGTTCGATGGATTCTGGTGGTGGTGGAAGTGACCCTGGATTCAATGTTAGCCAGCGTCTATGCCAGTGACTCGAGATGTGGTTCGTTTGGTGCAAATTACATATGTAGAAGGTGGGTAGCCAGGCAGGTTCTCGGCAGGCTGAGAATCCTGCTGTGTGTTTCCGTTCCCACCATCCATGGCTGGGCCGTACTGATACCCGGATGGACGTCCGCCTTGGTGAGGATCAGACATTTCGACGCTTCGGTTGGGGGGAGCTGGGAAAACATTCGAATTGGGGCGTTCAGTCTCTGAGAACGAGTGGGTTATGACCCATTTCTATAGAGGGAAGCAGCAAACGTCAGAAGCTGGACCTCTGAGCCCTTCCTTCCTTGCCTTCCCTCAGTTGGCTTCGAGTCCATGCCATGTGGTCTTCGATAATGGTTGCCCTAGGGGGCCATTTCAGGGAAGAAGAGGGAGGAGCAAGCCACGCCACGGGATCTTCAAATCGTCACCCACGAAGTAGGGGAAGAGGTAGAGAATTAAGAGAAACACAGAGAGAGGGGCTTGGAATCAGCTTTCTTCTGATACTCAGCTTGTCTAAATGTAAAAGAGACTCGTAGAGGAATTCCCGGTCGGGCACTCTTGCTCCCGAAGCTGCTGGGGACCTCTTCAGCGAATCAGTTAGAAGCCAGGGATCAGTCGTTGCTGAAGCCTATAGTTTCCCGGTACGGTACCTAGGTATGTTCAATGGGTGACCTGTGAGGCATCGACGGCAGACTGACTTTTTTTTCCGACATGGAAAGTTCATATCAACGACATCTTTTGTGGATGTATTGGGTCCAGACCGTCATCTGATTGCACCATGCCAGTGGCATTTTCATTTGGCTATTCTCCCTGCCTACAGCCATGAAGCCAAAAGGCCAGCCTCCCTCCCCCCAACCAAAGGACAACCTGTGGACCTTGACCCATCAAGAGACCCGAAACTGCACATGACGTAGAGCCGCTCGAAATGTGTCCTTCTTGAATCCCCACTGTACGATGTGCCAGTACGAATCGTCGACGGCTGTATTTGGCCGTCCATCCTGCAGCAGCAGCACACCGCGTGTGAACACCAGCACCACGATTGTCTCCCGCGTAGCTCGGTTACTGGTGTTATCGTCTGCCCAATCTCTTTCTCGCTTCCTGGTTCTCTTTTCTCTGCAGGTAGTCCCACCGTATCTTGCAGATCTTACCCTCACGGGGTGGGTAGAGCCCTCGGCCCATCGTGTCCCAGTCAGGGATACCTAGGGTTGCAGACCCAGGCCTGCTTGTGATCTGCTGGTACACCGCTCTCAGTTGGTTATCGTTAACCTCACTCCACCTGGCACCGAGTTCGTTTATATAGTTGTAGAGCTTTGTTCGTTTGACGTGTCCGAACCTCTCAGCCAACATCCGTTCTACACTCGTTTCTTGAGCGACTTCAACCCTCAAATAGTTGTCGTCGTCAGGTGTGAAAACTGATTTTTCACTTGCCTTGGAGTGGGCCCCGGGACCATTTGTGCGCTGGTAAAAAAGCCTGACTTCTTCTGGGGTTCGCATGACAGGTTCGTCAAGATTCGCGCTGATTTTGGGCCAGTCAGGGCCAAACCTTTCGTATAATTCACGCAACCGCAATTGTGTCTTGAGGTCATTTTTCAAGGGTTCCCAGTCATTCAACCTTTTCATCTGTCTGCGCATTGTTTCCTTGGACATTCTGAGCTCTCCCGCAATTGTTGCCAATGATTCACCTTTGGCAGATTCCAGCCGGACGAATTGCATTTGGTCATCTGTCAATTGGCGCATGTCGTGTTTGGAACCCGCTTGTCCGCCGGCAGCGTGGCTTCTACCATGCTGCGGAGGAATTGGTTGATCCTGTAATGGATTTGCACGATGTGTTGGAGGTGCCGGTGGAGGTTGGTCGTGATATTGCACCGGCCCAGAGCCGGGACCAGGGAGAAACCCACTAGGAGCGAGTCCTGCTCGCATTGAGGATAGAACAGGAGTTGGGTAATTTGGATTAGGCCAAGGCTGTGCCGGTTGAGGGTAGTCGTGATATTGCATTGGGGGTAGAACAGGAGGAGGGAGAAGCCCCCCAGTAGCGGGTCCTGGTCGCATTGGGGGTAGAACAGGAGGGTAATTTGGGTAATTTGGACCAGGCCTAGGCTGTTCGTAAGGCATTCCAAATAAGGGGTGGGGGGCAAGAGGATTCCGGCTGGCTGGCGCAGTTGGGAACGTTGCATTCGACGGACCGGCATTCGAGGCACCTGAAGGGCCCATACGACCGTAGTAATCGTCAGTGGCCCTCGTCGGATCAAAATTCTTGGGGGGCCAGTTGGGAGTCGGGCCAGGTCCGTAAGGCGAGGCCGCCGTAATGCTCAGGCTACTGAGGGCTGCGGTGACTGGTTCTAGTCCAGGTGTTTGGCTGAACCCATGCTGGTGATGAGGGGCGGGTACCTGGCTGGGATGTTGGGCGACAAATGGATTCTGGGGATTCTGGGCAACAGGCTGGACACATTGTTAGGACTGCTATTAGCTGACGTGGTGAGATGGGGGCAACTAGCCGCTTGGGAGGCTTCGGCGATATGCACACGCTTGGGCTGCCGATATGAGGTCTCGCTCCCTTCTGACCTGGGTGTGTCTGAACGCGAGCGATCACGCTTTTCTTTTTCCTTTCCCTTGCCTTTCCCCTTGCTCTTTCCTGAGCCAGACATCTTGAGGTTTCAGTGGCTGTGTCTTAAAAAGTGGATATGTGTGAGAGATGTGTCTTCAGATGTCGGCAGATGTCAGGTTGGGTTCTGATGGTACTCAATGAAGGCTGTGTCGAAATAGCCCTTGAATTTTGGGTTGGGATTTGAATCGACCAGAAACAGTCCCGCAGAAAGATTTTCGGGTCTTATATAGAAATGAGGTCGGGTGTGACTGGCTAGAGTCCCATGTTCACACACACATGCAACTACCAGTTGATGTAGTGGATGCGAACATGTCGCTGACTGCCATGGATCGTGACAAGATGGCTTCCTAGTGGCTCTAACGCCCAAGGTAAAGCGTTATTCATCAGTATAGAAAAATAGAGGGCCCAAGAAAGCTGACGATGAGTGACGGACACACCGAGCTGACTTCAATGTTGCTCGAGCCTAACCAGCATGATCATGCCTCAACCGTTTACAAGTATAAACGGACAAGAGAGGTCTACGAGCCAGTGAAGCTCGAAGCACCTGAATTCTGGAAGTTTCGAGTATTAATTTCTAAGCCTTTCTCACCTAGACGGCAGTTGCGCCTAGAATAATATTGACTGGTTCAGGGGTTGCCAGCGTCTTGTACGCAGAGTAGCTACAATCCCCACAAATGAGAGTACGGCCATAAAGACAGTGGTCCGTTGGTACATCGGGTCTCAAAATCCACGAGGTTTTCTACAGGAAACAATAGATATAGCAAATGCCATTTTGGAATAAATTGTGCGTACGAGCTCTGCTCTGTAATCCGCTACGTGCCTAGGTGGCCATAATACCTCTCCCCGGACCTCCTGTGGGATACCTGTATTAGGGATCCTATTCAAGGACGTTGAATCGACTAACTTTCCACTGAAGATACCGTAGGTAAAATAAGGAACATAGATGGGAAATTCTCAAGGTACATGGAACTACCATTTCGTTATTGGCCAAAGTCGGCCGGCACGGTACGAGGCGCGGCATAACACCCTTCTTTCATGCCCTCGGCTGCACTCCTTTGTGTGGCCATGTTTAAGTCAGTTTCGTGGGTAAGCTCGAGGCAGGCATCACGTGTGTGGGTGACACAGAAAACCTTCTGGAATGATTCCACCCAAGCAGTCGAGACAAAGGGGCTGCCGACCCGGCCCGTGACAAGACACTATATTCGGGGCTGCTGAGCTGGGGATATAGCAGACTCGGTCAGGGACGGGGGACATGGGCCGGGCTGCAAGTGGACGTCGAGTTCCGGGCCGCTCGCCCTCTTTGTTGCGACGCGGCAGGGCAGGTCATGAGGTTGTTCAAGGGGGTTCTCAGCGTTTCTTGGTTTCTAGTACTTATTATCTTCCGAGACCCGACTGAGGGGGGCTTGTTCCCAAGGTTGTTTCTGGAGGTTCGAACTATTTCTTTCACTGGCACAATTCAAGTTGTCAGGACTTTCCCACTCTTGTTATGAATATCTTGCAACTTTAACACAATTTAATTTTTGTCTCGGACCTGGTCTCTTTACCGACCGTCGACGTTCGTTTGAGTTTCCTTGTCATCTCGGCCCTTTGTCGTCAACAGTCAGCGATAACAGTTCCCTGCCTTTCTTGTGTCTCTCGAGGAGAACAGCAGCACCGAGTCACCGGTCCCTGTGACCACATCCGAAGAAAGAAATCTTGAAGCTCGAGCTTGGAGTGCCGATATTAATCAACCAACCATTAGTGATTGAAACCCCAATCCTTAAACAAAATCCTCGGAAAGAAATGCCTCCGCCCAGCACATCCAGCCACAACACAAACTCGCAGGCTGATGCCCGTGGCCCCCGCGAGCTCAAAATCTTCATAAGCCCCCTCAGCCCGTCGTCGCCATCATCCTCACCACGACCACCACCAACCCCCTGCCCCTGGCTCTGGCGCTGCCACTCATGCTACACAATATACCGCCTCGCCGTGACCAGGCGATGCCTAGACTGCGCCCACACCTTCTGCCTAGGCGACGCGGCAGGCGGCAACGGCCACACCACCGGCGGGAAGAAGAGCAGGCGCCGCAGCGGGCCGTGCAAGGCCGAGTTCGACTACACGGGGTGGAAGGCCCGGGGCGCGTGGCGGCGGACGATGCTGCTCAACAACGAGGACCAAACCACCAGCACCAGCACCAGCACCAGCACCACCAACGTGAAGAAGAAGGGGGGCTGGGGCGACGAGCACAGGGCCGCCCGGGCCGCGGGGCGGGGCGACACCCAGATGAGGCGGTTCGACGACAGGCGCGAGCACCTCTTCCTCCGCAAGCAGCACGACTGCTCCCTGCACTGCGACTTCCCGAGCGAGTGCCACCACGCGCTGTTCCGCGCGCAGCAGGAGGGGCGGCCCATCCTCCGCGAGGCGCTGGCGCTGGACGCGGCGCGGGCGGCGGTCGCGGGGGCGAGGATGCTGGTGGTGGAGCTGGAGGGGGGCGGTAACGGCGGCAACAATGATAGCGTCCGGAGGAGGAAGACGAAGACGAAGACGAATAAGAAGGCCACCGGGAGGCAGGGGAACGAGGCGGCGACGTGGCTCTGCTCGTCGTCCTCGGAGGACGAGGAGGAGGGCCACTTCTCATCCCTCCCACCAGTCGACGAGGAGGACACCGACACCGACGCAGAAACCATCTCCCCCTGCTCCCCGACCTCGCCCGACCCGCCCGGCGACCTGATGCGCGAGGTGTCGCCCGTCGAGTTCGAGCGCGACCGCCATCAAGACCCGCCCGTCTCGCCAGGTGGGACGGCACAGCATAAGCGGCGGTCCCTCCTCGCCGCGACGGACACGCCCGCCGACTTCGCCACGACCGCGGCGGCGCTGTGTTTCGACGACGACGACGACGACGAGGCGCTCGAGTTCGGCCCGTTCGTCTTCGACACCACCTCGCCCACGTCGCCGTCGCCCGGGGCCACAAACACCTCCGCCGACCTCCTCCAGGCCGCGTACAGCGAACAAGCCTGGTTCAACAACAGCAACCCCTTCTGCCCCCCCTCGACGGGCGTGACGACGACGACCATCACAGCAGACCCGCCGCCGCCGCCGCCGCCGCCCATCTCCCCCAAGAGCCCCGAGCGCCTCGGGAAGAGGGACAGGATGCTCGCGCTCCTGGGGCGGCGGGGGGCTGCCGTCGTCGGCGGCGCCGGCGGCGGGGGGTCATCCGAGCAGGGCCGCTGTTCTTCTCCCCCCTCTTCTGCCCCGGCCAGTTCGACGAGGGAGGTCGACATCGTCATCGAGCATGCGCCCCTGTCGCCCCACCACCGTCACCACGGGTGGGATGCCTGGTCCTTCCCCCCCTCCTTGGCCCCCTCCCCCTCGCCGCCGGCCACCGACGCAGACGGCGACGTGACCATGCGCGACGCCTCACCCCCTCCCCCTCCCCCTCCTCCTGCCGACGAGGACGAGGACGAGGACGAGGACGAGGGCGTGTCCCCCGCGACCCCGACCCCGCCGCGGCGCCAGCGCTCGGGCGGCGACGGGACGGATGAGGACCTGCGGGCGCTGCTGCGGATGAGGAACGCGTTCATGAGGGGGGAGATGGTGTGATTTTGGCGTGGTGTGGAGTGGTTTGGTGTGATACTAGTATGGGAGGGAGGTGTCATTTGTCTGACCGCCCCGTCCCTGCCTCTTCCTGCGTCTGGGTTTTCGTTTGTCTTCTTATCTTTTTGTATATGTCCTGCGATTTCAGATTGTTAATGAACGGGTGGAAGCGGGCGAGCGAGCGATCTCATTCCTTCACTGCATTCCTGGCTTTCACGATAGACTAGACTAGACATCAAACTCACAGCACGCACGTACGCACATATTAGGGAGGATACTGTAACTTGGGTGGTCCCAGCAAGCACCGGGAAGTTTGGAAACAATAAAAAACTTAGCATTGCTCCAGTTACTGTGTAGAGAGATACTTTTGCCCTCAGGCTGAAAGCACGCAGACATACCTCCTACTCCTCTCCTCTCCCCTCCCCTCGCCTTCTTCTTTCCAGACCACCCGTGTGTGTGTGGCTCCCACCCACCGTCCTGTAAACGCGCCAAGGTACCGAACAACGTTTGGAGTCGGGCTGGACAGGGAAAAAAGGAAGGGGAAAAAATAAATAAACTCTGTTGTTACACACCACCTGACGCAACCAACTGCCCTTTCCCCCTGCAGCCTAGAAGAACAGGGTCGGCTGAACCGTGCATGCGCCAGGGCGACAGACAATCCAGCCCAGCCCTGTGCTTCCGCCGTTGGGAAGGTGGAGATCGGCCGCCAGTGTACATCATCCAATGTGCCTGTCCCATGCCCAAAAATGTCGCCCTGGCTCTTTCTTTGCTTTGCAGTCGCAAGATCGCCCCCCCCCTCAAGCCACCCAAAAACGCCAGCTAGCTGGGACGTGGAAAACGCCCGGATGAAAAGGGCTCGGAGGAGCAGTCGCGTCGGGCAGAAAGGCGCATGGTAATAATCATCTTCAGAAGTCATCGTCGCGTACAAATCAGCCTCGTCTCCCGGATATAACCGTGCTCGACCAGAAATTAAGCCTCCTGCGCCTTGAGCTTCTTCTTCTGCTCGACCTTGAGCAGGAGCGCGCGGTTGATGTGCGGCAGCACACCACCAAAGGCGATGGTGGCGCGGATCAGGGTGTCGAGCTCCTCGTCGCCGCGGATAGCGAGCTGAAGGTGGCGGGGCGTGATACGCTTCACCTTGAGATCCTTGGCAGCATTCTGCGGGAGGAAAGGGACACGTCAGTATTGGCAGCATGGCGCGGGGGAGGGGAGAGCCAAGGCAGCAGCAGAGAAGACGCTACGGTGCAACCAGGCGGGATAAAGCGATAGGGAGGTGACTCACGCCTGCGAGCTCGAGGACCTCGGCGGTCAGATACTCGAGGACGGCGGTAACATAGACGGCGGCCTTAGCACCGACACGCATCTTGTTCTGGGTGTTGGCCTTGAGGAAACGCTTGACACGACCGCAGGGGAACTAGAGGCGATGGGAGTCAGTCGTCAGATCAGCTCAGAACAGGTCAGATCACGGGACGCGATGTTGCATGTGCTTCGTTCAGACGTCAGGTCGGTCGGTAGTCGAGGTCGATGGCGCCCACGCGATCCGGCGCAAAGCCGTGTTGGTCAGAGATGCCGAGCCATGCCAAGTGCAGCGGTTGGCGTGTGCTGAAAAGTGTGATCGAGCTGGGAAAATGGCCGTGGCATCGATGCGTGAAGCGTGCAGCGTGCAGCGTGCGCAGGCTGGGTGTGTGCTGATGCAATGGTGGATCGCCTCGATGGGATTTTTCCTTTGTTTTTGTCGGCAGTGCACAGACGGTGTTGGGATAAGCTCGAGACGGCACCAGCGACGCGTCGTTGGACAGAATGGATCGAGTCGTGACATGGCGTGCAGGATCGGGTACGGCGACGAGTCGGATCGCGTGTGCGGTGGCATCGATGGAGTTGACGGCGACGGCAATGATGATGATGCACACTGTTCTTACCTGAAGCCCTGCGCGGGCAGAGTGGCTCTGCTGCTTCTTCTGGCCCTCGGTGGCCGACGTCTTTCCACCAGAGCTCTTGCCGCCCGAAGACTTGCCCTTTCCACCGGCCATTGTGATGTTTGTTATTTTCTGTTGATCGTTTGGAGGGGGATGGATCGGGTTGTTGGATTTCGAGTCTTGGACGTGATACTAGTATGGCTGAGCTCTGCTGGTGGGTTCTGGCGTGCAGTTGTTGATGTTGGGGTGATGATGATAAGAGCTGTGGTGGGGGGATGCGAAATGTTATGCGATGGGGTCGAAGTTTTCGGGGATGATGAGTTTGGATGGAGTCTGTCTGGCTGGCTGGCTGCTTGGCTGGGCTTGGGCTGCAGGCGGGTTGCAGGCTGGCTTGTGTAGGCGCAAGGGCGGGTGTGGGCTGTCCTGGGCTAGTAGTAGGTAGACCTGACCGTGTGGTGAAAATCGAAGAGGCTGCAAGGCTCCAAGGTGCTAGTGAGCTGCTGGTGCTGCTCTGCACTGGCTGGTCGCAGTTGCTGGCCTGGCCTGGTCATCGACTTCCAAGGGTATGATTATTAGTGCCTCTGTTGCTGGAGCTGGTGGGTGTTGTTGGTGACTCCTGGTTGCTTGGTTGCTTGGTTGCCTGCTGTGAATGCTGTTGGACAGGCCCAATTGGCTGGTTTGCTTGGCTCTGTTGTTGCCTCCTCCCCTTCCAAAACCAAGGTTCCAACTCCAAAGGTCCCAAGGCTCGCGTCAAAACGGGTGGTTGGCAGCTGGCACCTTGCACCCCCCCAAGCTTGGGGGGAGCAACCCCCCTGGCCCCCTAGCTTCCCCTCTTCCCTCTGCTCTTCACTTTTCTGTTGGGGTGGCCTGGGCTGACTTGGCTGAGTGAGAGCTTGGGTGGTCTGTGACTGTGGTCTGTCCCTGCCGTGGCTACGGCGGGCCCACTCGTGCCTGATGTGCAGCTCGAGGAGGTGCGACAGGCATGCTTGCAAGCAGCAGCAGCAGCCTGATGGCCGGAATGGGGTCAGATGGGGAGACCACAGCCAGCCCCATCATGGGTTGGGATGCTTCAAAATAGCATCATTCGAGAGCCCGTCTTCTGGTCTCTTCGACGGATGCCATCTTGAAGGGTGGAAAAACGGAGAGGGGGGGCTATACGTACCATGCTTACCGGGTGTCCGTGGTCATTTGGCTGGTGGCAGCTCAGCTCTGACTGCCATGCCTGAGATGCCATCATCGACGGCAGCGATATCCCGCCGCACCGGCGGATGGGGGGTGAAAAAGACAATAAATGGACTTCTTTGGTGACCCTTGAGGCCATCCAGATGGAACGGAACCGTCCCACGCCATAGGTGCGGGTTGGGCTGTGGCTTCAATGAAGCCTTTTGGTCGAGAAGTGATGCTTTGCTGAGCATCGTCGAGATTCCCCTACAGCGGCGAGCCTGTGGCGCAGCTGCTGCACGTGGCGCCTGTGGCTGACCCTCTGCGCCAGAAGGTACCTAGGTACATGACACAAGTACTCCGTACCGTTGCAGTCCTGCCGCCTCACACTTGGGAGCACAGACCAGCGGTACAGGGATCGCCTTGACGCGCTTGAACGCTTTTGGGGACAACTTCAATCCATCACAACACTGGCATGTCAAATGTCAACAAAGATTGAAACCTCCAAAGGCAATCACACTGTCTGCCCGTGGGTGTCCACCATGAGCATCCGTTGACACACCATTCTATTGACATGGGTCTATATCCTAGGGCCACCAGCAGTCCCTAATGTTGGCCATGCGATTCTACCTAGGGCACATAGCTAGGAATGGTTGCACAACGAACTAGTCAGAGGAAGATAATTCGTGTCTTCACCGAGGATCTAGTCCGCCTGGAACAGCAGGAAGAATATCGAAATGTGTCTTTTCATCACATATTGCCCCCAACAGAGACACCTCAGATGTGCTGTGACCTTGGGAGCAGCGAATCCTGTTTGGTAACCGAGTGAACAGGCAGCCGCAGAGTCTGGTGGTTCGACCTCATGTGCTCGCGCGACTCGTCCTTGAGCGTTGTCAGATAGATAGGGGTCGTGACTCTGAGGCTGGTGCCGAGAGACGGCGAGAGGCCTTGACTGGCTCCCGGTTGGGGCTTTGGCTTCCCGTTGAAGACATAGTCAGGGCGGGAGGAGCATCGTGCCACGATCTTGCCCATCTCCCTCTTTAGGTGCTTTGAGTCGGATCTCTCGGCGGCAATAAGTCTCAACATCTTGGTTTCGATGAGGTCCAGCGTGTCTGCCACGAATCCGGAGCATCCCTCCCGAGCTTTGAGGCGCTGGATCCACTGGTGTGACCGTTAGCTGGGGAGTCTGGTTCATCAGGGACATGCTGGAAGATAGATACTTGCCTCGCCTAGTTTGGGGTTCAGTTGAACTCCGTACCACTTCTCCTGTTTGGTGCCCTACTCATGTCAGCAACTCTTGTCTTGTTGGTATAGGCACATGTTATTTACTGACCTTGATTATGCTATCCCTGATGTGGACGGAGTCAGGTCCTTGGGTTTCGAGCTCCAGTATCTGGTAGAACATCTTCCGCAGCCCCCCAGTGATGTATTGAATCTCGGCAAAATGCTGGAATTGCTCCAGCAGCTTGTGGCCCCCGAGCAGCCAAGTCAGCATATCCAAGAAGAGTGAGCCTAGCGTCCAGATATCTATCGCCCAGGCGTGTTAGCATTGGAGAATACCGAGAGAACAACAGGCAGTCCAAGCTCTTACCATATCGACGAGAGACAAAGCCCCCCTCGACATCACACTCCGGCGGACTGTACCCCAGAGTCCCCATGACCAGATGGTTGGGGATGTTAGACCTGGTCACCTCGCGATGGAACGACGACAGCCCAAAGTCAGAGAGCACCAGTATCCCACGCGGGTGCCTCCGGGACCGGAACAGCAGTATATTGTCCGGCTTGATGTCGGCATGCAGCCCGTACCGCCGGTCACCCTGCTCCAGCAGCCCGTGGTGCAGGTGGTCCGGCTCGTGGAGCCTTTCCACGGCGCCGAGGAGGCCGTCGACCTGCTCGGCCATCCACTCGAACGCCTCCGCGCCCCACCCCCACGACTTGTCGCCGAGCTCCCACAGCCCCACGAGGTCGCACTCGGCCCACGGGAAGATCAGGCGCAGCTGCAGGTGGCCGTCGTCGTGCGCGAGCGCCGACAGCATCGTCAGGAGGTGCGGGTGCACCGTGCCGTCCAGCCGCCACAGGACCTCGGCCTCCTGGCGGAAGCGCCGCCGCATCTCGTCGTCTGTCTCGTCCCGCGGGGGCTGGTCCGGCCTGTCGCAGAAGCGGGGGATCCGCCGGAGGGTCTTGACGGCGAAGACTTTGCCGTCGAGGCCGATCTGTGGAAGACACGTACTGTCAGCACTTGTGGTCTAGAAGTCTCTTCGTGCCCACCTGAATAGATGCACTGATAGGTACCCACGCTGTCGAGGAGTGGCCCAAAATTATGGTCCTTGTCCTCGATCTCGAACGGTGCAACCGACCCGTAGGCACCACCGGCATAAGAGCTGCTCATGCTAGCACTAGGGTTGAGCGAGGGCGCCCCTGCGACCGGTGTCGTCCTCATTCGCCTCTCTTTCCACGGGAGATATGTTGTGTCCATTATCTCCTCAATAAGGGCAGACCGCGGCCCTCTTGCTGTTTCCGAGGCCGTGGCTCCATCGCGCTCCGGCCGGTGCCTGAAGAAATGCACGAGAAATTCCCTCTGAATCTCATAGAACCTCTCTCTGTTGTCTGCAGTCCAATGCTTGCATGCTTGTATTTCCTTCGACGGCTTCGCAGCGTCGACCAGTGGGAACCTGCTCCTTGTTTTGGCAGAGCCATCCTTTCGTCTCAGAGGCAGCTTATCGTCAGACAGGCCTTCGCTGACAAACCTGTCAAAGTCCTGGCACTTGTCCAGCCGAGCCAGTGCGGCGAAGACCCTAGTGTAGACGCCTTCTGGGCCGTCCGATTCCTCGGGGCAGATGAGATTGGCAAATTTCTGCACCTCTTCTTCGCCGAAATGGTGTTTCTTCAGCTCATCCATAACCCTATCTCGTGTCATGACGGCACGGAGAACGTGTAAAGGCATGTAGGCGCTCGCTTTGATCTCATCACGCAGCATCTCAGCTCTGAGCTCCTCAGCGAGGCTCATAGCACGGTTTTCGGGGCTTTCGCTTCCATCTCCGTCGTCATCTGACGAAGGGTCAAGCTCCTGTGATGAGCCGGCGCTTGATGGTTCGACAGGCGGCACATCCTCTGCGGGGAGGAATGACCTTTCTTCTTCCACATTGTATCCCGAAATCGTCGGTTGGGGCATTTGATCCTGGGTTGCGGAAGCCATATTTAGGCTTGGCGGTTCGGGGTGATGTTTGTTGCTTGTGTTGCGCAGTTCCTCATCACTCCAGGACTCATTCCCGGGAAAGTCAGCAAGGGTGACTCTATGGAATCATGTGTAGGTGTATTACCTAGATATTTAGGGTGCAGAAGCTCGAATGACTGTATATTTGCGCGGTAACACAAGTCGCTAGAGTGTACTGGGGCTCTCACGTGGCGTTGAATATGTAGGGTCCCTCCAGGGCAAAACCTTGTTCGTTTTGAAGCGAACACTGCCCCAAAAACCAGCATTTTACACTTCCACACCGCAACATTAGGCAGACTGCCAGCATGCAACGAGTGAGGCTGGCAAGTCGAGTAGTGACAGAGCTGTGTCTCTACTGGCTTTGTTTGGGATCTGCATGCACGTTTCGGGCGGCGGATGGTAGTCCCAAGTTCATAATCTGATTCTCACTTCTACGCCACTACATTATGAGAATAGAATAAGGATTTCTAGTATCACATTTGACACCTCTGACGGTTTCATTTCTAATTCTTACATGTATGAATTTTATGTAGCGCCTTCATACAGGCAATCACTGCCTCAACACTGGAAATGGGGGCTCTATTGGGAAATGAGCAGACTACATGTTATTTGGTATCAGAACGTCGAATTTCATCCTCATATTCTTTCCGGAGGTTACGTATATATCTATGACGGCTGAGAAGCCGGCCACACTCATCTATTCTACACCCTCGTAGCCATGTCACGATCATTGCACATGTGATCTCTATCGACACTGGCGGTGCTTCCCTAGTAGTGGTTTCTCAGCGCGTTCATTTGAGCCCTCTCATACTATTCGGAGGTCAGCTTCAACAATTCGGTCATTCTAGAGACCGGGCCAGACCACTAACCTCTGTCAGTGCGCGAGGAAGTGTGCAGCGGTACCAACCACGCGACGGCGGCTGAATGGCGACAGGTTAGTCACGAGGGCTCCAACATTTTGGTACTCATGAGATCTATGCAGGTGTTCAATCACTGACCTCGACTCGAAAGCGGCCCCTGCCAAATATTTGGCTGAAAAAGGTCTCCAGCGCGTTCTGGACGAAATACGTCCCACGCAAAAGCATCACTTCCATGTTGGTCGTGGCTTGGATTCACCAAGCAAGGTTGACAGAACAAATGGTACACTTTGCTGTGATTAGAAGCCGCTGAACACAGACAGCAGCGAGGCTGTCATAAGATGAGCAGGATTCGGGGGGGGGGGCGTCATCACGGAAGTCGAAAAACAGCTTATGCCCAGCTATATACGACATGCCGAAATCTGTGTACGCAGATGTGTATCGATGAAATGAGCCCGAGGCAGACTCGAGGGGCTTTGTTGAAAGTGAGTCTCGGTGTCTCGTGCTGGATTGGTCGGGATGAACCGCCAGGAGGGGCTGAGACCTGCATGTTTGCATCTGTCCTCAGGCGTCCAGGGCGTCTCACCTGCATGAGTTAGGCTCAATTGTGGGGTTTGACGCAGCTGATCTACCCTGGTGTACAGTAGGCAGAATCTTCAAAGTGCACTTTTGAGGGGCACCTTTGCTGTGCACCGTAACACGTCAGAGCTCGGGTGGCGGCCTGCTGCGTGGAATAAGTGCCTATCCAGACCGAAAACCAGTCCACGGGTCCGCGGACCAACCTTGGAACCTCCATATCTCGTATTGCTCTGTTGCAGGTGGCAAATTTCTCATGGGACACAGCGACCTAGGTATGCCAGCGAGTTTGTAATGGACTGGGTAAAGGACTATGCGGTCGTGGGTGAGGGCGACGTGGATCGAGTGTTTCGCTTCGATCCTCAACTCACAACAGTGGTGCGGCTACTCAATTGCGACGAGGTGAGCTGACGCATCCAATTTCTGGGTCGGACCCTGGGATGAGCAGTGCGCGCTGACCCTGCGGGCGTGTCAGACACCCATCATTAGCTCGCTCGGAAAGGAAGACTGGAATACCTGGATGCACGATGTGAGTGACTGAAAGCCACAGAAATTATTATTCTTGCAGTGGGGGATGGAAAAGGTGGTTATATCAAGTCCACTTACGTTGCGTGTAGGAAATACCACCGCTTGACGGGGACCTTTCTGGCTTGATTCTAGTGTATGCTCTCCCAACCTAAGGTGGCCACAGGGTGCATTGTGGAAAACATGAATGAGTATTGAAACTTCTACAGCCTGGATCGGCGGCCGGAAAGTAATATTCAAAGCCTTCCCAGAGAAAGCAAAGTAGGCGCGGATGAATGGCTACGACATTTAGACCGGCAGATCCAAAGTGCTGGACCGGCTTCATCCATGATATCAGATGTCACTGGAAGTAATGATCTCAGAGAGCTATCATTTTCGAGAAATGTCTTTCTTGACCTCGCCAGAAAGATGTGTATTCACAATTCGATCCTACGAACCGTCAGCAGGGCAGACATGCCAGCATTCTTCAACGCTGAAGTAGAGATGGAACTCGGAATCGGAAACGAGACACCGGGCTATGGCAAGTCAACATGATCTCGAAAACGTGCTCTAAATTCTGGCTAACTGCGCATCTGCGCGCTTCCAGTATATAATTGCCGATCCTCAAACACGTGGCCTATGGACCTGGCCCTTGCTGCTACTCATTTCCCTAGCTGTAATCTGACCTTTGCCATGGTTTTCGGCTGCTCACTTTCCGTGGAGCGGACGATAATCAAGCGTCTGAAGGGTGCCATATTGGAGGCCAGCCACCCCCTACTCATGCCTGGTATATTCGTTGAGCTGGAGAGAACCCGGCATCTCGAAATAATCGAACAGTCGGTCGGCGCCATAGAGAAACGTATTACTACCTTGGCGTACACCTCTCAGCAGATGGAAGCAATGGCATCTTCACAAAGGGACAAAGACAACCACGAAAAGAGAGACCAGTGGCTGGATACAACATACCTGCGCAATAGTCTGACGAGCTGGAATGAGCAGCTTCGAACAATGGAAGCTCATTTAAACGAGCTTATTGATGGGCAGTTCCCACACCGCAATGGTGTTCATCCGTCAACGAGAGCCCGCCGAAAGGGGAAACAGGCAGAGGTGGACACGGACAGGTTACGAATGGAACGCATCAGCATCAAGATCAGGAACAGGGTTTCCGAAATAATCAAAGAGTACGACGACAAAATTAGAGACTGTACTATGAGGGTTGACGGCATGGCAATGGCAACGCAATGGGTGAGCTTCGCCAGTGGATCATCACCGGTTATGCACCGGATGAATGACAGTCTCAGAACTCAAGGACCATGCTGACCTAGGCCCGATATTAGGCACAAGGTGAAACCAACGTCGACATAGCACTTGCCACAAGCAAGGATTCTCGACACATGAGATCCATCGCACTGGTCACAATGATATTCCTTCCGGGTACATTTTTCGCGGTAAGCGGCCCGCCCACCGTGTTCCCGCTCGACCTCTGGGAAGACCAGGCTCTGACAGTAAATGTAGTCGTTCTTCTCGATGACTTTCTTCAACTGGTTTGATGGGGATGGAAAGGTGGAAGTATCTAGCTACTTGTGGATTTACGTGGTTGTGAGCACGGTGTTTACGATCTTTACGATTGGCATCTGGTGGTGTTTTGGAGTGTGGCGTCGGAACCCTTTGCGTAGGAAGGGCGGCGACATCGAAAAGGGGTTCCTGTTTGAATGAATCCGCAAAGTCATTGTGATAGCACCTCTACGAAGTAATGTGCAGCAATGGTGTGAAGAAGAACAAAATCCCAAGTCCTGCATGCCAATTATCACACAACTACCAAGGCCCACCAACATTCTGGTCCGGTGGGCCAGGCCCATTGGTTCCCACAACACCTGCTCATCGGTCTGTGTTGGTTCTATTTGGGTAAACGACTGAACAGGCAGCCTGATTCATAGTATTGAATTACCTAAGCAACAATGGCCCACAGTGGCCACGCACAATTTCTACATCAGGCTGCTTCTCATCACCTGTGCAGACTCTCGGCATGCGTGCCGCTCAATCTCACCTACACAACACGTTCTACGAGCATCGCCTGGACCCGTCATGGAGCAAGCCTTACCCGGTAGAATCACCTTGCATGTTGCCAGCATTGGCGATGATCCGTCTCACCTAGAATTTCGTGACACGTCCTTCTTCAAACCCGCCAACTCGACTCTGCCCTCGCCTGCCGACGTTTTGCAACACTACGAGAAAGGTCCCAAAAATGCCTATGGTATCGCAATCTTTCGGGAGCTTGGTCTTGTTGTCAAGTTCGGGCAACCCTGCGATTGTCATTTAGACAATGCTCTCACCATGCGGGCCCTGTGGCAAGCATTTCCTGACCGCGAAATTCCAGTTCCTGAGGTGTTTGGATGGGCTTCGGAGAACGACAAGAACTTTATCTATATGAGTCTAGTCCCAGGCAGAACTCTATATGAAGCATGGCCTAGTCTCTCGCCATCAGAGAAAGAGTCGATATGTAAGGAACTCGGTTCAATGCAAGGTTGCCTTCGGCGGCTGACACCTGAATCTGAAGAGGTTTTTATTGGTACGCCTGTTTCTCTTGCAGAATCTTGAATACAAATCTTTAAAAATTAAGCTGATAACTTCCTGCATTAGGATCCATTACCCGTGGTGAAGTTCGAGACCGCTTTGCCCGTGACGACAGGCTCAATGGGAGACCAGGTCCATTCGCCACCATTAAAGACTTCAACGACTGGGTCAAACTGGCGGCACTTCCACATCTGCCCGCCTCAGAAAGAGACCACGAGGACCCCTACCGAGAGTTTCTACCGGATATCGGCGATGTTCATTTCGCTCACGGGGATTTTCATCTGGGTAACATCATGGTTTCGAATGTTCCGGGCGAGGTTGCAATAATCACTGGCATTATTGACTGGGAAGAGGCAGGATGGTATCCATCATATTGGGAATATTGTAAGATGAAGTTGGTAATTGATGAGGAACATGAAGTCTTCACCGACGGATATATTGACAGTATCTTCCCACGGAGGTGCGATAATGAGATGATCGCCGTCGGGGGGTACTGGTCCTGCCGCGGATACCCGTAAGGATGTAACAACAGTTGTATGTATTTGTATTTTTTCGCGGTCACAGATGAATGGATATCGCTCGGGTTGACCTCCAAACTGAAGATATTGCGTACGACTGCTTGATATCTGTTCGGCAGTTTGGACAGCGACCTTCAGGCTTCTCGGCCAGATACCACTCAGGACCCAATGATACTGACAGTTCTGCACGGCTGACATAGCCAATGAATTACATGAAAAGGCCATGATTATGTCTGTGAAGGCCTATATGTAGGTCCAACGTCAAACTACTTAAAATAGACTTAACATGATGTGCTCAGAGGAGGTGTACAAGGATCGATTCGAGGAAAATGTCATGATTCATTCCATCATGAGAGAGTCAAGCCCGGCTCAACAGGTCAAGCGCTTTCCAATTCGAAATAACAAATCTATTCAACAAAAGAGAGTGCCCGATATGAAAAATGGTTTGAGCTAGAGCCAGGAACAACAAAAAACAATTTCGAGGGCAGGATCACTCTGTGGACCATATTTCCAAATGAAGTCGACCGAAAATGAGACCATTCATCTGCCTTCGTCGGATGGCAAGCTGCTGACCGACTTTATTCAACCTCTGGGCATGTTTCTCGCTATCAGAGACTGCTTGCTACTGCAGTTGACGCAGCGTTGATACAGGGTGTCCTGATCCAGGTTCCTACTGGAATGAATGACATAGACATTGCGACGAACCTGCTCGTGTTAAGAATTATCAGCGGGACATCTTGGCTTTCTGGGCAGCATTAACCTACAACTTACCTCAACCTTGAGGTTGGTGTCATCACCGAGAAGCCGCCGTAGTTCCATGGACAGTTTTCCGGGGCTGATATGCTTGGTGGGCAGCTTGGTACAGCTAAGTGACTCGTCCATGGAATCAGTGTCAGACATATGGTGGTTGTGCGGACGTTTGTCCTGTGTGGCAGGCTGGTGCGGCTTGATGAGAAGGTGTTTGAGTGTCAGAGCGAAGAGAGTGGGGTTTCAGGAGTATTGTCTGCTGGATGATTGGCGACTTGGGCAACGAAGTATTTCGATCGGATACGCTGGTGCGCAGGATCAGAACACATTTATAGGGATGTCTGCAAGGTCGACCAAAAGAGAGAACGCCCCATGGTACCCTGGCCTAAGTCCCAGGCAGATATGATTCAGAAGGGCACCGCCCTGTGCTACCAACTTTCATACAGCTGTGAATGAAAATCGCATGACTTGGGAAAGTGACCAGGTAGGACGAGCCCTGTTGGATCCGGACACCAGGTGCTGGACCGAATCCGCGGCATTCATTGACGCATTACAGTACCACGTATCTGACCAAGTGTAAAAAGAGATGGCGCTTGAACATGGGAGAGGGTGTAGTGGTGCGCGTACCGTCCTGGCCTTGAAGTTCAGGCAGATCTGGCCTGCATTATGGCTGTCACACCAGCCTACTTCGTATTCCGCCTCGACATGCACTCACTCTGCAGGTCGGGTGCATGGGCTGAACACGCCCCCACCTTCGCGTTGTGCCTTGGGACAACAGCCACCGAGAGCCTTCTCACTTTTCGGTGAAGAAGTGGGGTCCACTTCTTCAGTGCAACCTGAAAGAGGCTCAAAAAATCCCCTTTGAGCGAGAATGGTGTGATCAGCGATTTGGGGTCAGAAGAATGGGGGCGAAAGTGCTGAAATGACTGGTCTCTACACCCGGACCTGCGATCCTGCTCACGGCGGTTTGTAAGCAAGCGGCAGCAGCCTGCAGGCTCTGGCGTACTTTCGCTTACCATTTCTTCTCTTTTAATTTCTCTAAGGCAGAAACTGAATCCGAGCCTGGGCCAGGGAAACGGCTGCGGGTGCGGTTGAAAAACTGCTCTTGGGCTGCGCCCGTTTCTGTGTCCGACATTGTGCAATGCCGAGTGTAGCGGTCAGTAGCAGTAGCGGGTAAGTAGGATGGTCAGGACTTGATCCCAAGGATCGCCTCTGTTATTGCTTTATTCAGTCCCTGCATCTTGTCGAGGTAGAGTATCGCGCACAAGCGTGGTGCGTTGTTTTTACACACATTGATCCCTAGCGCCATCCCAACTGTTGATACATGATCACTTCTTAAACAGCCTTAAACAGTCGGCATCGCTCTTCTTTTTGCCTTCGGCATTTTTTGCCTGTAATGTGCAGGTAGCTCCGCGTGAATACGCCCGCCGCCACCGATTGATACGCGATGCATGTTCAGCCATCTATCACAGTGGACACAGTCAGTGGGACCCCTTGCGCCCCAACGTCTGCTTGACGGGCCTTGTGTATCCTGCAGATCTAGACACAGGCACTGACATAAAATTAGTCTGATTTAGAGCCCCCGAGGAGAAGCCGAGAGGAACCATGGAACCCCGTTGATGCCTCAGCCAACGGGCGACGTGTGGCACTGCCAGATACTTCAAGTTTGAGCCCGCCTCCACTTCAGGAGGCGACCAGCCAGGTTGGCGACTATGGTGACAACAAGTACTTAGGGCAGCCGAAGCTCTCACCTCGACAATCACTTTCACCAATCGGAAATGGTGCTCTCGACCAACTTGGGGCAAGCTTTTCTGCGCCCTCGGATGGGAGGGCCCAAGAAGATTGCGACGCTAGGTCCACTGCAGGCGAATCGATCTCCCTACAATCCAATGAGTTATCAGACCTCATTCGGCAGAAGGGTAAAGATGCTGTCAGTGCGGAGCGAAGGACTTTCTACCCTATCAGCGATCTGGAGGAAGTTGTGACAAGGACTACGGCACGACAAGAGCTCGGGAATCGTCCTGATGTGGAGGAAATACTGGACCATATCTTCGTTCCCAGAATCGTTTCCAACCACAAGACTCGGGCTTTCAAAATCTTCGTTATTCTGACCCTCATGGGAAAACCTGAAGCTATTCGGGACTTCATCGACGATGAGACATACGACCTGGATCTACCCATTGAAAGACCAGTCACCGACGGAACTTCGACGAACAGGGACCAGTACATACGGAATCCCCAAATAATGGGTCGTGGTCGCAGAGAGATTAACATATTCAAACGGTGGGCGGCCGCGGACACTGAGAGTTTTGTGGAAAAGCAACATGCTGTCTGTGTACCGATCTTCGACTTCGACACCCAGCCTGGGGCTCCAGTGTCGCACTACAACCTGCACGGACAGACGGTCCTTCCATACATTGAGAACGGCGAGAATGGTTCGCGCGGTGAGGGACGCTCGGACGTTTGGAAGGTCAAGATCCACCCCGCCCACATCATATGTCAGGAGGCTTGTGTGAGTGGAACACTTTGACTGCTTCTCTGCAGTGAATTTTGCTAATCATATTTACAATAGCCTGATATGTCACTTGCAGTCAAACAACTGAAGCACCGAGTCGGTAAACCATTCACCGAAGAGGCAGAAAAGTTCATCAAGGAAGCCAGGAATCTTAGACGGTTCGCCAGCCGCGACCACGATTTCATCATCAAGTTGCTGTGTACTTTTCAATGGCGAGGGCATTACTACTTCCTGTTTCCATGGGCAGATGGCAATCTCTACGACTTCTGGAGTCGTCACCCTACCCCACTTGCACATTTGAAGCAGCCTTCGACAGCCAGGTGGCTCTCTGAACAATGCCTCGGGCTGACTAGAGCTCTAAGAGACATCCACCGCGGCGATTCTCACTCGACTCTTCACTTGGCTCCTCATCAGAAGAATCACGGCAAACATGGAGACATCAAGCCGGAGAATATACTATACTTCAAGACTGGTAGCAGCGATGGTACTGCGGCCAATGAAGCATGCCGCGTTCAGCTCAAAATATCGGACCTCGGCGAAGCGGAGTTCCACTCCACAACTTCTATGGAAGTCGATGCGATGGGTGTCCTGCATACGCCATCATACAGTGCACCAGAGCTGAGGGTGAAGAAGGTCTCAATGCCGAACTACGATATATTCTCCCTGGCTTGTGTCTTGCTGGAATTTGTCACCTGGTATGTACATGGGTTTGATGGGGTCAAGAGCTTCCACGAGAAACGATTGAAAGAGCAAGAGGAGCCGGTGTACAATTTCCGTGGCGACTTTAAGGTAGACAGCTTCTTCAAGCATGTCACCGTGCGAATGGATGAGAGCCGCAACATTGGAGCTATGCATAAGAGCAGTGTTATCCAAGTAAGTGCTCACAAGGCTCAATTTTCCTTTCTCATATTGGGTCACTGACACGGGCACAAAAGGAGATAGATGAGCTGCTCCAGCACCATGACTGCTCGGATTATATCTCAGACCTGCTGGTATTCATCAAAGGCAACCTGTTGCGGATGAATCCGCAGAACCGAGCCAACTGCGACACAATCTACAAGAAGTTTGAGGAGCTGGACAGACAATGCAGAGCAGACGACGACTATTGTGTTGAAAGGCTCAAGCAGGCTCCCGCCCGCGCACAGACAGACATGTCGCTGGTTACCGAGATCGACATCTCGAAGCATATAATCAAAATCATGACAGATTCGAGAGACGGAGAGAGTGGCCAGGTGCAAATCAAAGTGGAAAGAAGATCCAGTCATCCCCAACACCCTATAGGAGGCCCTCCACCAGCATCATCTCTCCCAGTCGGCCAGTCAGGAATGTCACAGGTACATCTCTTGTGTCAACCTTCTTCCAGTGAGAAGGGCCAAATGGGGCAAGACGTCAACGAGCCACAAGAACGTGCAGCCAGTGAGCGCAAAGCACCACGGCCTGAAGACCCCTTACCCGTAAGTAGACCATCACGCATTTTGAGAAATACTTGGAATTCTAATGACAAGAAGATCATGCCCGCTGAACAAGATATTCAGTCGCCTATCAACCAAGATCTTCCGTCGAAGACTTTAAATACGGCACCGGGTTATGGCGACCTGCTTGGTGTTCCTGGTGGAAAGACGGGACAGTCACCGTCATCTGGGAGTTGTAAACCCGGGGACAACTCAAGGAATAGCGAGCAGGGGGGTGGAAGCAGTACGTGGAGTGTAAAGAGGTCTCCCGGGAGGTCACCATCTGAAGAAGATCGCGTTAGTCGGGGTCCTCGTAGCGTGAGAGCAAAGGCGTTAAGGTTTTTCCGTTGGGCTTTCTCCTGCTTTAAATGATACCAGACTCAGTATACTGGGCAGTTTACGAATTCAATACCCAATGATACCCTAATTTTGACAGCCTAAATCCTCAAGTCATACAATATCTCTGCAAGCTTTCGCCGTGGAGCAATCGACCACCTTGGCAACCTTGCCCTTTCCTTATTGGACATGCTTCAATGTTGCTCTCCAGGGCTTTCATTGTGAGTCTCCATGTATTTCAATAGTATCATGTATCGATACAACATTGATTTTGACTTACTACCACCAATTGAACAAAATCTCAACACCTGGGCAAGCATCCAAATGGGCATTAGATGACAGATGACGTGAGAGTCCCCCCATGAGGAGTTCGTTAACTATGGTGGGCCACTATCATCTCTCCATGATTGCATGAAGTAGAAGTAAAATATCAGAGTCTAAGTCTTCCGTATATATAATGACGTCTTTCATACGATAGTGACCACAGCCTCTTCGCCAGAGTCATACCAACTTTTAGGCAGGTTGAAAATCGCACCAACCCGTTCCATACATCCAGCCGCGCGCGGAGATGTCCCTAACACAAGCCCGACATACTGTCTGCCAATATGACCGACGAAAGGGCAACAGGCAAGGAAAAACACAGCCGCATCCACGGTGTCCTTGTCGGTATCCAAGCCATAAGGACCATCCCGAGCCCTCCGAGCGTTGACGCCATATGGGCCCGCCACAGCCTCGCGCGACAGAGGGCCATCAGTCCGATAATGCTGCATCTTGCTCGTCGTCCCATCATCCAGTATGTAATAAGCATCATGTCGCATCCTATAGTCAAACTTCAGCCGGCACCGCCTCAACCGCCCCTGGAGCTTGATCACGCCCCCCGATACCTTGCCGTATGGATTTGCGCCCTCGACCGTGGCCCTCGCCTCCAGGACCCGCGCAACGGGCTGCGGGTGCTTGAGCGGCGACCATACCACGCCCCACTTCATCGAGGCCCACGACCACGTCGGCGGGCCCCCGGCCGCGTCGTCGTAGGCCAGTGACTCGCTTTCCTGGCCGGACAGCACCATCCACGGCATCACCTGCCACATCAGGTCGAGAAGCAGGGTATCCGCCCACAGACCGGCGAGGTACCGACCACCGCCGTGCGCCTGCGGCATCGTCACTGCCGCGCCGCCAATGGCTGGTAGCTTGTCCCCGCCGAAGGTGAGCTGGCGCGAGGTGAACGACTTGACGAGCATGCGCCACTCGTCCGCTGGGTCGGAGCGGCCCAGCGTCCCTGGGGCTGTGGACGGGTATGGTGGGAGCTGGTCCTCGCCGCGGCGGTGGGTCTTGCACTCGAAGATCAGGGAGCCTGGGGTGAAGTGCAGGTTTCGGGTCGCAAGGTAGGCTTCTTGGAAACACCACCCACGGTTGTATAGCGGGCCGACGCGCTTGAGGGTTCCCCAGGATGAGGTGAAGGGGGGCTCGAGGAGGCCTTGGTCGAGCGGTGCGGCTAGGACGGCTCGCTTCCGGGCTCGAACGGGGATGTTGTACCCTGGGGCGACGGCGAAGTTGAATGACTTGGTCAGCCACTCGTCTTCTCTGGGCCCGAGAAATGGCGTCTCTGGGTTGGGCGATGAGGAACCCGTGACGACGACGAATGCTTTGCTATAGACGTCTGCCATCCTGGCTGCCTCCTGTTCCCAGTCTGTAGTGTCATCTTGGATGATGCAGAGCGAGTCGATCCACACATACGGAAGCTGCAGTTGCTGCGTCACGGTGATGGCGTCCTTGAAGGTGTTTGGGAGGTCGGCAAGGTTGATGTGCTGCTTGAACTCTGGCAGCCGTGCCTTGATCAGGGACAATGGCTTACTCCCGCCCCAGCAGTGGCTCAAAGCAACGTAGGGAGGCTGCTCCTGCCATGTCGTCGTCTCGCAGAGCCTGATGGCCGCGTTGCCCCCGCCGACGTACAAGAGGCGCGTGGGCACGAACGATTTAGACGAGTTTCTGCACGCCCCGTGGTGTGTATAACACTCCAGCACGCTTTCTTTGATGAACTTCAAGCAAGCCTCGGACCGTGTGTCTGTTTGTCTTACATTTGCCGCGCCCAGGGCGGGCAGACCGGGTATCGAAGGCGGCAGGGCTGATGGGAATGCGCTGGGAATGGCACCCGCGTCGAGGTAGATTTCGATGTCCGAGCGAGCGTCTTTCCAATACTTGTCGTGTATGAATCCCGTCGTCGTCACGATCAGCGGCGCGCCTTGTCTGATCATCAGACCAAATGAGACCGGCATTGCATTCTTGGTCTCCGTGACCCAGCTCATCCACTCGTCGATGTAGAACGCGTCGAAGATCTCGCACAGAAGTCGGCAGTACTTGCAATCCATGAACTGGATGCCTGTTGCCTTATTGATCTCACGGCTTTTCAAAAGCTCTTTGCTCGACAGTTCCTCCAGCGAAAGAGCAAGCACACTCCCGGCCTGGGCATTTTGACCGGGCCTCGTATTTCGCTGGGCCCCGGATGGTGTCCAAATGAAGGTATTCTCGTGGCCCTCAGGCTGCAGGTTATTGCAAAGTAGACATACTCCATTCTTGCCGCTGTTGTACTGTCGTTTGGCATATCGGCCTAGCCAGACCGCGGTGTCGGCTGCCACACCTGCCCCCTTGGCCAGATCAACGAGGGTATCGAGGAACTTTGGCATCACTGCAAACCATCAGAAAAGTTGTTTCGACATTTGAATCGCCAAGTGAATAATAATGTGGGCAAGGGACTGGGGGTGGCTTTTACAACTCTGTTGACCGTCGTCGGACTCGGCGTATTAATGGTACGAGAATGCCAAGCCTCAGCCGCACTGCAAGATTCCAGATCCAGACAAGTCGTGTTCTATCGCCCAGCTGGAGGACGCGCCTTGGCTGGTTTGGGCATTAGGGAGCAGGGTATGGCGCGATTGCCTGATCGAAGCTGACGAGTGGTCACGCAAGGCTTGCAGATTCGAGCTTTCTAGGCCCAATAGCTAGCACAGCAGGGAGCCATGTCTAAGAGACAATGGTGGCACGGGAAATACGTATCGTAGTACAGCCTAGACCACTCTTCACTAGTAGCAAATTACCAGACAGATTGGATTCATCTACTTTCAGATTTCATTTGCCACCACGGCGGCGAATAATAGCATTGTAGCCAGTCCTGAGGGTCGGAGGGGGGCGCGCTCGTGAGACCTTACCGCTAAACTACTGTTGTCTCGGGAAGCCAGGTCTCATCAGCAACAGGTTGCGTTTCAGCCGCATGGCATGACTACGGCGTCCCTATCTGCGAAAGACTTCAATATGCCATTTCAAGACCACCTAGGTATCCTGGGGTAGACTATGATACCTAGGGTAGTCTATATAGCAAGGCAGAGTATATAGTATCTTATGTTTTCATAATACAAGATTTACTACTAGGATAAACAATAATGAATACTATGAAAATCTTAAAATCTTATAATACAAAGGTGATTACAATATAGTGAGTAATCCGCTTGAGTTTGTTAAATTGACTATCTATAACAGAAGTTTGAGACGCCCAAATAATAGATGAACTATTCGCTATGAACGCACGGAAACACGTTACTCTGGCACGAGTGGCGCAGAAGAGAGAGGACATCCTCAACACCCGTCACGGATTCGATCAACATCGGACCCTCAAACAGCTGTGTTTCCCGTGATCCGTATGAACTCTCTGGACGTGTTTCCAGACCTTGTCTGCCGTCCCGTCCTTCTCCAGACCTTCTAGAACTCTCTGAACCCTCTCGCTAGTTCCCTCGGCCTCGCAGTCCACAGAGTACACGCCACCACTAGGTGATCCAGATGCCCCGACGGCAGTGCGAACACCCTTTCCGAGAGGAAGGATCTCCCCGCTGTCATCAGAGGTGCTCATTCCGTCGTCGCAAAGGTCGCGGGGCGGGAAACGGGCGCTGGTGGCGAGGTAAAGGTGGCGCTCGCCAGCCTTGTCAATGGGAATTTTGAGCATAGCCATCACGGGCGCCCAGACGACTTTCGAGATGGCAGGGATGATCCCAGGGAGCTCTCGTGACATGCCGGTGTTGACAAAACCGGGGTGTTCATGTACAAAAGAAACACTCGGGGCCTGTCTTGCGATGGCCAGGAGCGTCAACGTGATCATGGATGTGGCGTGGGGCCTGAATGACAAGAGGCCCACATTGTTGGCCTGCCAATCCGTCGTGATAATGTCACCCTCTTTGCTATCGGCAGCCACGGTGACGACACGGCGCAAGGATTGTGCTTGCTTCAGTTGAGGCAGGAGGTTGACGATGAACCGCGTGCGAGCATAGTACATGAGAGCCATAGGATAATGAAGACCTTCATCGATTTCTAGTATTACAGAGCGATGAGACACTTGTACTTAGATGAAGGAAAGGATTTGAGTTTAAGCATACGTGTCTTCGTGATCAGTGATCCACAAGTGAGGAACAGCAGGTTGATGGCGGGCTCCCGGGCCCGTAGTTGACGGCAGGCGTGGTCAACATTCTTAAGAAGACTGACGTCGGCTTGGACAAAGTGGTATTCGCCACTGGGATTGAGACTTTCGACTTCTGCTTGGATGCGCTTCCCTTCATGTTCCCTGCGACCAAGGACGAAGATTTGTGGCTGTTTTGCCTGTTTGGCAAATTGTTTGACTGTGGTCTCGCCGATTCCGCTTGTTGCACCCACGAAGACAGCGACGAGCCCTGCAGAGAGGCTGGTGGCGACCAAGGAGTTGGAAGCACGCATCAACTCGAGTGAAACCATTCTGGGTAGATTGTTGGTCTGACGACGCGTTTCCCCGATGGCAGTTTTGGGAGGATTTGGGGTGCCTGGTCAAGAGTGGAGTGGGGATATTACAGTTGAACAGAGAGGCCAGGAAAAGGAGCAGCTATCAATCAGTAAATCAACCAAAAGCATGTCAGCAAGACCATATGCATCGGCCCGCTCACAAACTGACTGAGTACTTGACTGGCTGGGCTTTCTTGCGACTGTACCTTGTACTTAAGACAACGATGCTTACCAACGAGCCGAAAAGGCCAACAGGAAGCCAACAACGAGCCAACAGCAAGCCACTAGAACAACCCGGATGTGTACGCACTTGTGAAACTGGAGCAGGAAACGAAGACGCAATATACCCAACTCAAAAAGTACACCTTCAAAGCAAAGTCCGAGGTTTGAGGTTCACGTGCATAAGCAATGACCCCCTTGCGTTACCTGTAGATAAACGATTGCAGGCGTATATGGCCTGCACACCTTATGCCAAAATAATGGACTGAACTATTCTGCTCGAGTACTAATTTCTACAATCCATTTTGTCTTCTGACACGGATAATTTTCCCGCCGTAAGTTAGCTCTTGCGAGTGGAATTGAGATAGTAACCCAACCGTAACAGAACCGAATCCCTGCACTTTGAGGGAATACGTCCTGCTATCTCGAGTTCCAAGGTTAACTACCTACCTTGCAGATCAACCTGTAACGACCTAGGTACAAATGTGAATGGATTGTACGTAAAACACTAGCTTTGGCTACCTGACTAACCTTATATACCTTCATTTCCTGGGAGTATAAAATGGCCAAGGGGAGTGCTCTTGGCAGCGACCATTGATCCCAGAATAGAAATCGAAGGGCTCTGCATCATGTCGAAAATGAATATCTCCGCGCCATCCTCAAGTGCCAACAGATTGCGAATCTCAACAACCAATGTGGACGGTAGCTTAGCATGAGACTGATTGCGCCGCGGTGCTGAGTTTAAAACTTATATATGGAAGCAATTGACTAGAGTTTTATCAAGTACAAATATGTGATGATAAAATTGCTAGCTACTAGTTGTAGGCTATACACGTCTTTTGGTGGCGGTTACGGCCAGTTCCTTGTGCTGGGTGAGCGGCCGAAACGAGCTGGGCGGACTGACTTCTTACTGGAAGCGCAATAAAGTTTTCTGTTGTGTGATGGGACACCAAGCATACTAGCAACCTCTTTTCGCTAGTAATAGGGCAGAGCAAGATATCTGAGGAGATTAATCCAGAGATGTCCAATGGAGCCTCCAATGTGATCAAGTTCAAAAACATTCAATTGGGTCAAATTGATGACATCGATTCGCTCGGTAATTCGATGCACCAATAATTCACTGCGGTTTCCGTCATGTGCTTACCCAACCCCAGCTTCTTAGGCTCTGGGTTGACGCTTTTCTCCTTGGAGAACCGATATTTTCTAGGATCCGCATTATCCGACTTCGGCTTATTCACCGAGCAACATGATCGATGTGCCTCTTATTGCATGCACGCCTTGGCGTTTCAAGGTTGTTTGCCAACGGATGTACGACACTGATTCTAAAAGGTGTTCAACAACCGACACAGAATGCGAAAACGAACGTGGCTCGCGCCTTGATCAGAATGCGTTTCAACTGCGCATTCTCAACCCATGCTCGTCATGTCCTCGTTGGCGATCCTGAGAAAGCCGAAGACTGACTTGTGGAGATCGAGCCCGGCTGTCGCCCTGTTCACCGGGGCTGCACCACCCACAGATACCGTCAAGCCGTCTGCTATGGAGGGAGTATCCTGTCCCACTCCGCAAAAGCCGTGTCCAACGGCGTCACGGACGAATAAAGTCACCCTCCACTTCACCAGGTTGCGCTCTCGTAATCTCTATTGATCACGAGGCTTGAAGCCTGCCCGTCTCGGCCAAACACACGAAGACTAGTAATAAAGTAGTAACATAATAGAGATTAACATGATTTGAAATTTTCTCTGTTAAAACATATGTGGTATAGAAAAAGCCTTGATTAGGACCTTAACTTGATAACACTCATATATAAACTATGGATAGAAAGTCAAAGTCATGTGGTTACCTAGTATATAAATAGTATATTTTAATTACATTAAAGGATCTTGTTCCTGTCAGTAATGATCAGGAAGCTCGCTTGGTTGAGCTTTATACCTATTCTCAACTGCCATGCCATGGCCACCATGTAGCTCTGTTCTTATGTGCCCGGAAGGCAGCGCGTATGTTTCTTGCATCGGTGGATCTGCCTGCATGTGCTGCTCCATAGAAGCTCGGGTCGGTCGTTGGACTTTTCTTGACCGGCGCATCATGAAAACCCCGGCAGCCAAGGCCATGAGGCCAGCGACCCCCATACCCACACCGACGCCGATGCCAATCATGTTACTATTGTACAGTGCTCCGTTATGTGAAGAACACGATGATGTGCCGGACGCTGTAGATGATGAAGGCGTAGATGCCGTAGATGATGAAGGCGTGCCCGTCTCCTCGGCGAAAATCCAGCCATTGATTTGGACGGCCAACACCCTGGCGGACGAGTTAAACGTCGTTGTGGTGGGACTCCATTCCTTGTTACTATTTCTGGTTTGGAACGTTATGACGACCCCCGGGTCGACCCGGCTGAAGCATTCTCCAATAGTTCCGGCTTGCCTCCACGAAGAAAACGTGAATTCTCTGAAACAGATATCAGCACGGCAGCATATTATGAAGAGAGATTCTGACATACGATGGACAACAAGCAACTCTTGTGCGAGAGGCGTCTTCTGAGATGGTAGCGGCCGTTGTGAAGGGATCAGGACAAGTAAGCGGCCCGATAGACACAACCGTCTCAGAATTTGAACCCAGCCAGTTTTGATCCCACCACGTGGTAACGGCCTCAGGCACACAGCGAAGGTTCGGGTCGACACTGATACCGTAACCAGGGTCCCAGGCAACCGGTGTTCCTTCAGGCCTCCAGCGCCAGAACGCCGAAGTACAGTCCGTTGCATACATACTGTACGGGGTTATGAGTGGAATCCAGGACGTCAAAGTCCCTGTGCTGAATTCGGGCGGTCTGTAGGCCATCGCGTCGAGCACCGTTGACTCCGCCATGTTTTGAAAAGATGGGACCGAGCAACAATGGCTCAGTGCAGGAGGAAACAGAGGACACAACCGTCTGTCCGAGAGACACGCTCACGGGGGAAGACGGCATTAAAAAGGGAGAAATCTTTGCCTAGGCACATCGCATTTCGAAGATGAAGCCAAGCATCTGGGCCGTCTTTGCAGGTGTATGACAAGCGCTGATCCCAAGTGGTACAAGCGCTTGACGAATCAAAATGTGCTTTTCTCTTTCGACGCGGCAACTTCTTTCCGAAGGGATTACGAATATGCAGTGAGACTCAGCCACGAGATTGAATTCCGACACATCTGGATGAACTTGCATAAATCCCTGTCGAATCCATCGGGGGCCTGACGGGGCCGAAATTGTCGGAGGCCCCCTCGCCCCTTGAGGACGCAGCATGCAAATCGAGGCTCAACCGGTGTTTCTGATGTAACGCCTTCAGATCTGCAACACGTGATACAAATCCCTTCTAGGTTCCTGGAAATCTCTGGATCCGTGGGGGCCAAACGGAGCAGGAAAAAGAAAATGAAGAGTCCAAACCCCCGCGCGCCCACCCCCCCTCAATATTTGATACAGCGTACAACTAAATGCTCGGCCACTGTTTCTAGTGGTTTATTTGTACGAGAAGCAAATATTGCATAGTAGCCAGTTATCCTCGGACCAAATAAGACTATGGCCCAGTAGCTAGGACAAGTCGGTATACATGTTGCGTGATGCGAAGGCGAGCATTGCGGCGCTCCGGCTTTCACGTGTTCATTTTCCGCGTGGCGATCATACTGAACGAGAGTTACCGGCGAAATGAGAGCACCTCAAGTGGCTCAAACATGAGAAATCTCTTGATAACTTAGTTCAGGGCAATAAGAATGACCCCCCCGAAAAGAAGAAATTGGTAATCAACCATGCACTTCGCTATGTCGCATCGAATCTCTAAGAGGAGAAGAATAAAAATGTGGAGGATTTATCCAAACGCAGGTATGTGATCCTGAACATAGACATTCCTGACCCCTTTCTTACTAACACCTCCCGGCTCTCCCAGATGATGCTCTTCCGAGGACACAACAGAGACCTGCGTCCCTCCAGCGTCCAGCCCACGCTGTGTCCTTCTCGATGCCATGGTAATAGCAATATCAAACGCGTTCTGCGTGCTGATGGGACTCGCGATATTCTTTCCCACAATATCAAATGCCGTGCCGTGCGCGGGCGTGGCGATCACCACCGGCAGCCCACCTTGGACGGTGACGCCGCCGTCAAAGCCGAGCAGCTTCATTGCTATCTGTCCCTGGTCGTGATACATGGTCACGATGCCGTCATAATTGTCTCGCTTCAGAAAGATAGTATCGCAGGGGAACGGCCCGTCAACTACGATCCCTTGCTCTTTGGCGGCTTCCACTGCCGGTTTTATGTGGTCAATCTCTTGGCGACCGAAGTTGCCGCACTCGCCGTTGTGTGGGTTGAGTGCGCAGACTGCGAGGCGGGGAGTCTCGATGCCGGATTCCCATCTTCAAGGGGAAAGTCAGCCAAGACACAGATATTGTTTTGGCTGTGTTCCGTTGCGACAGGAAGACTCACCGCAGTCTGTGGAGTAGCTCTATGGCTTTCGAAGTCGACTCCCGGGTGACCAGACCAGCTACCTTTTCGATCCCCACATGGCTGGTGACGCGAGCTGTCCAGAGATCTCCACAGATATTGATTTCCCTGGTGGTTCCAGTGAACGACAGTTGTTTTGCGAACCAGCGGAGCTCATCCTCCTCGTGCATACCGGCTGCCTTGAGTGAAGCCTTGTTCAAAGGAGCGAACACGATGGCGTCGACTTTTCCATTCTGAGCCAGCTCCACGGCACGTCTGAGTTGGTGTATTGTTCTTTGGCCGGCTGCCTTGCTAGCGTGCTGCGAGGGTATGGTGCCGAAGGATGATGCGCTGTTGTCGTCTAGGAGCTGTACCCCATGCGGACCTGCCGTGGGAGATATTGGTACCTTGACGCCCCCGGCAGCCTGTACAGCGGCGTCGAGTTCGGCCTGGTCGGCGAGAAGAAAAATGTCGGCATTTTGTGTGTTCTTGGGATTGCTTAGAAGTTTGGCGACAACTTCTGGCCCTATTCCTGCTGGGTCACCTAAGGTTACTGCTATACGGGGTCTCCTGCTTTGTGTGCGAGAAGTGTCGGCCATTTTCTAGACGTTGTCAAAGTTTATTGCTTTGTGAGGGAGAGCGCCAATGAAACTGTCTGTGCATAATCCAACGTTGTTCCAGAAGGACACTTCACTAGCAAAGGCTTCTTATTTCTCGGTTCTGTCCAGTCTGCTCCGCATTGGCCTCGGCCCGTGATCGAATGCTCTGGACATTCCCCGGCTTTTGAGGACTGGTCCCGGTGTTTTGCCGACGTGCCCCGACCTGTGCGACGTCGTTGAATTGCCGCCGTGAGACGATGCCAATCGGAATGCTTCCTCGCCTGCCTGCTAGGTTCCCCACCTGTGCATGGAGAATCCTGGAGAGCATCGGTGGAGAAGTAAGCCGCGATATGGCGACGAAAAGGTGCAGCGAATTGGCGTCGGACGATCACCGAGTAGGCGAGAGCTTAAATCAGTCTTGGTGGCGTTTGGTACCAACACCAAATTTTGAGTATTAGTAGCTCATCACCACGACGAGCCTCTGATGAGCAAGGCTTCGTTTAAGACGCCCACATGACGCGATAGAGCATTGTGGCCTAGGTCTAGTCACAATTATGGCGACATCAACGCAATTTTCCATCCAGAAGGACAACACGGAAACAATTGAGTGGGCTGATAACACCAAGCAGCAGCTGGATCAGCAGGAGGCACAACGACTCGGGTTAGAGTTTGATCCAAAGTCGCCAGAGAACAAGAAGCTAGTCCGTAAGCTCGACTGGCGGCTGGTGGTGAGTCTACATGGACGTGCTCACGCGTGGTCCAAACACCAGGGCTAACCTCGAGACCGTTGCTGTGCCTAGCCTAGCTGTTGGGCCCTCTACCTACTGTCCAATGTCGACCGCGCCAACATAGGGAACGCCAAGACGGGCGGGCTCGAGGATGACTTTAAGCTGACCTCGACGCAATACTCCATCATCGTGCTGGTCTTCTTCACATCTTATATCGTCTGCGAGGTGCCCTCGAACATGATCCTGGGCCGAGTGCGGCCCAGTATCTACCTTCCAACCCTCGCCATACTATGGGGCATAGCGGCAGCCTGTCAAGGGGCATGTCAGAACTGGCACCAGATTGTCTGCCTGAGGTTTCTGATCGGCTTCTTTGAGTCCGGCTTCGCTCCTGGGTGCGCATTCTATCTTTCCTCTTGGTATAGGAAGTATGAGCTTGCATCACGTTACGCCTGGCTGTATACCTCTGTTGCCGTTGCTGGTGCGGTCTCCGGATTGCTGGCCGGTGTGATCACGGAGTTTATGGACGGTGCTGGAGGTATAGCAGGTTGGAGATGGCTGTTTGTGAGTTATTATATAGTTTTTGAAAGTTTGGTAGGTTCATGATGGCTAACCTGAACCGTCCAACAGATAATCGAGGGCGTTGCTTCATGTGTCCTCGGCGTGATTGTAATGTTCGTCATGCCGGACTACCCAACTTCGATAAATAGCAAGTTCCTCACCCAGGAAGAGCGCATCTTGGCTTGCAATCGCCTCGCCATTGATGGCATGGGTCTTGCCCAAGGCGCACAGCAGAGAGTTGGCGAGTGGACTGCGTTGAAGATGACTGTCAAGGACTGGCGAACATGGTGTCTCTGCTTCCTGTTTGTGATGGGAACTGGCAGCCAGACCATCCAGTACTTCATCCCTTCGTTGGTGGAGACGTTTGGCTGGAAAGGCCACTATGCTCAATGTGCGCGCCACCCACATTCCAAATGATCGGAATTTCACTCACTGATAACGTGCCAGATATGACCATCCCCGGATACGCCTTTGCCGTGGTCTGTATCCTGGTTGGGTGTTTCACGGCGGACTACCTCCAGATGATATGGCCAGTGCTCACCGTCATGTCGGGCTCAGGTTTTGTTTTCTTCGTCGCCACCACGGCATCCACCGATGGGATGGTCCGATATGTGCTGGGGATATTTGCATTTGGCACTATCTACGGCTGTTCTCCACTGACTAAGACGTGGATTTCCCACGTGCTTTCTCATCCGTCCGAGAAGCGGGCGGTTGCGATTGCCCTGATCAATGCCCTCGGTAATGGTTCGTCCATCTACGGATCGTTCTTGTGGCCAGACAAGGACTCGCCCAGGTTCACCCCTGGCTTTGCGTAAGTAACTTTAATTGAATCACAGGCGGGAAGCTTGCAGGACACTGACTATCCCACAGAACGACAACGGCATGGATGGGAGCCCTAGCAGTGGGTACAGTGATCTCAGCCTGGTTGTTTAAGAGATATCCTTCCCAAGCTCAGGACCACGAGGCGGTCATGGCCAGCCAGTTACGAGCGGAGCGAGAGGAGCAACAAAGGAAATCGGGGAACATATGAGCAATGGTTAGATTCATCCCAAATGGATTTGTTTATCTTGCTGTTAGAACGAACGATAGGGCTCTCTGCTCTGAACATCGTAGGCTTGGAACTGTGGAATGTCTGCACCTGGAGGTGAGTACTGGTTACTGTAGTCGAGCAGATCGTAGCCCATTCCAGTTGACCAAAGCCCATCGTTCTGAAAGCTCCACCCGGCAAAGAGGTCTGGTGAGTCGGCTGAGCCAGCTGAGGACGGGCCATAAGCAGCATGAACACCAGCTTCTCCCAAATTAGATGCAGCTGTCAACCTCTGAGTCTGTGCATTTGAAGGCTCGACAACAGAATTATGATGTGACCTCGGGCCGACCAGGCTTTGCTGACGCCTTGCCTGTGTCTTCCTCATCTGTCTCAACATGCGCTCGAAGCCATCTGCCATGCTGTATACCATGTGATTCTTGCCTGCGGTGCACGACCTAAGAAGTCTGATAATCTCCTTTATCAATGGTTCCGTGCAGGTCGTCGGGTCTACCGTGATCCCTATGGCATGCCATCGATGCGCTAACTTGGTTAGGAAAGCAACGGCGAAAGCGATCATGGAATGCATGTATAAAGGCATGCCCACAATCTCGTCTTGGTAGCTGGGTTCTTCAAGGAAATGCTGCAAGATCGCGTGCCCTGTATCTACCGCTCTTAATGCCAGAGGTCGAAGAGGCACAGGCAGCTCTGAAAGTCTGTCCAAGGGCCTGCCCCGGAGGACTAGAGAGTTGAGGACGAGGTTGCTGAATAGGAAGTGGAGAGTGACATCTCTAGAGTGGTGGCCGCTGCAAGCCCGGGACGACGAGCCGGCTTCGTGTTGATCAAGGACTTGGGACATCATTAGCCACTTGTCCTTCCAGGCTCGAACCTCTTCTGTGAACCGAAGGTGGTTGAGCACATTGTCATCAGAGCCTGCCATGATTCGCTTGGGTTCCAGGCCGAAGTGGTCAAATGCCCTGCTCAGGATGGCAAGGCCAGTAACCTGTGCCAATAGTGCCGTATCGGAGCTAGTGCAATCTGAGGAACTGAGGAGCAGCTCATAGTCCTTGATAGGCCTCAGAGCGGATTTCATCGGCGGTCGCCCATGAGCAATCCCAGACTGGTGGTCGAGCACATAGAGTAGATACCAAAGACGAGCTTTCTCCAGGCACTCTTTTCTTGCTTCTGCGGTCATGGCGTGGCTGTTCTGGTCGTCGTTGAATGCTTCATAGAAAGCATGGTGGAGATTCAACTCGGTCGCCATCCTGATGCTCAGGCCCGACAGTTTCCAACTGAGATCAGGCTGCCAGAGTGCAGCAATGCAGAGGCCGCGGATGTCGTCAAGGGTAAGGAACCTATCAAACATAACAGAGGAGACCAGCCCCATGAAGCGAGAGTGGCACATCTCGTGGACTGATTCCTTGCCCGGTATATGGAGCGAGGTGACAAGCATCAACGACGTAAATAGGACTGTAGACGAGGTCCGGATGGACTCGAGAGTCGCTTGAGGCGATATGCTCGCTGAAAACAGATGCCGAGACTGCATCCTCCTAAACAGGGAGAGCATCTCTTCGGCCTCCTGAAAAGAGATAATCTTCTCCGAGACCAGGTCGCAATCCATCCGGCGCATGCCGCCTTTCTTCCGCAGCTTACTGGACCGTAGCTGGCTGCGCAGCCCGTTGAGCCTGGTGACCTCGATCAGGCTTTTCATCGGGTCAGGGGAGACGTTGCGCTCGCGGGTCTCCTTGTCCGCTGTTGGCTCTTCTGAGTGCTGCCGTGTCTCCTGCGCGGGATGGTGTGCTTCCACGACCGTGGGCTGGGAGTACATGTCAACATGGGGCATCCCGAGCTTGTCTAAGATGTCCTCGACGGCCCTATGAAGCTTCACAATCGTCATTTGTGTCTGCCTGCGTTGGGTGTATCAGCGGTTGATAGTAGGTTTAGACGCCGTGTCCGACAGATGCAAGGAGACTCCAGTAACTCACACGGTGTTTCCGCATTCATATCGGTCCGCTATTTTGCTCATTTGCGAAGCTTCGTCCTCAACCGTGTCGCCCGCCGTCCAAGACTTCTTCTGGCGCAGACAGACGATGTCCAACCGGACGCACCGGGCACATCGGCCGGCCCGGTCATCCTCGGCCGTGACGCACTTCACCTTGACTTTGCGGCAGTTCGAACACGCTTTGCTCTGCCGCACCGTATTGACGCGACTTGCATTGTCCTCCTCACCGCTGAGGGCCGGCCGGCTCGTCTTCTGGCGCTTCCTGGGGTGCTCGGACTGCTCGGGCGAGGAGCCTCGATCTCCATGCCGGTAGCTCATTGTCTGCCGCGCACTGAATAACCCACCTGAACCTTTCCTCTTCGGAATGCTAGACCTTCGGCTCCACTGATATCGTCTGTGGTATTGAGATGCGCACTTGGCGTTGTGCTTTGGGGTCGGTGTTTTGCCGAGCTGCAACGCCCAGCCCGGGCGTGCGGGCATGAGCGTCGACGAATGTTTAGCAGATGCGGGGGCGCAGGGTCCTGGCCGTTAGACTTTTGGTTCTGCCATAGCGAGTCGCGTGAAGCAGCAATGCCTGCAGATGGAAAGGTTTCAAATGCGAATTGTGAGAAATGCGTCCAGCCGTTCTACTAGTTATTCTACCAGTAGGGACAACCGTGACCTGATGCTAAACGAGCATTATGAAGGACCTCAAGCTTCCATGTTGCGTAGGGCCTCGTCGACAATTAATAACGATTCGGCTTCGTCTCCAGACTCGAGAGCATTCACGATCTACAGCAGACCTTGGGAGCTACCATGGATGTGCTGACTCGCGCAACGACAAACAGTAACTTAAGAGGTAGGAGAGGAGAGCACAGACGTCGTCCATGACGTCGCTCAAGGAGACATATATTAAATATACCTGCGGCGAACATGGTAGGGTGTGACATGTCGTCGTAATAACTCGTGACGCACTCTTCCGGTTGATGACAGAACGTCCAGGACTCAAATAATGGTAATAGAAACATTCCTTCTGTTTGCGCTATACTGAAAAAGCGTGACCTTATGACCAGCTTTCGTGCCAGGTGCCATCCAGAGCAAAACGGCTCTCCTCCAGGGCTTTCGCAGATTAACTACTTCGGAACAGCCTGAATGATAGAGTCTTGTCGCCGCGGCTGGTAGGTGTAGACATGAAGAGCCTTGAGACCAGCCTGATCAAGGAGAGCGTGCCACTCCTTCAGTGTCCGCTCCCGGGACCCGAGTGAGGCCATCATAGTAAGATCCAATGTGGCAGCTTCCCAAGAAACCCCAGCGTCAGGCAGTACCATTTCATCGATCAATATCTGGGACTCGGGTCCTGACGCGGCAGCCAGATGCTTGAGGATCTCAATGCATTTGTCGTCAGGCCAGTCGTGGAGAACCTGACGTAGATAGTAGAAGCGAGCGCCCTTGATCGGCTGCTCGGTGAAGAAGTCGTGGGGCAGCTTCTCGATCCCGTCGGGAACCACCACGCCGGGAGGCAGGTGTTCCAGTGTCTGGGGGAGATCTTGGAGGACAAGCTTCCCACCCAGATGTGGGAACGCTTGCAGGAGGGCGGCTGATTGCTGCCCAAACCCGCCGCCCACGTCAACAAACACAACCTCTCCCCCAAACGAGCCAGCTTCCTTCTCAAATGGGAAGACCGTGTACCAGGGAGTTCCGACTGCGCCGTGGACAGTCATGGCCTGCTGCAGGGGAACAAAACGCTCAGGCTGCGTTGGAAGCCACATGAAAGCGGGGAGGTCTGTGGGAAATGCCTTCTGGAAGGCCGTGTGCGCGGCATCGGTGATGTCCTGGTACTTGTTGTCTGCGAGGAAGGACGGGAACGCTTGGAACACGGGGCCACAGTTGTCAAAGAAATGGTACACACCTCCGCGGTAGCCAGGCTGCGCCAGCGTGCGGGTGATTTCGCTGGCTGTGAAGGCGTCCGGGCCTGACTCTCGGATCATGCCTACCGCAGCGAGGTACCGCAGAATTCGGGCTTGACAATTCAAAAGTTTTAGTCTGGACACCTGGCACACCATGAGGGTCTGGGTGCCCCCCATCACGTACGAGGGTGACTTACCAACTAACAGGGGCGATGCTTGCTTCTTCGCAGCCAACTCTGCAGCACTCATCGGGTTCTTTGCTTCTGCCAGAGTTTGAAATATCTCTAGATCCTGGGCGATTCGAGCTGCAGTGATCTCCAGATGCTGCGTCGCGGGTTACTCAACCAACCGGAAGAGGACATGTTGGCCATGAACTTGGGGCGTCTTACCATTCCTGAGAACCTTGAGAGTGTGTCATGCGGTGTCTCCAGCTTCAGCTGTAGAGTTCGAAGGAGGTCGAGTAATTTGTGGCGTCCGGCAGTATCTGCCTGGGAGGCGAACGCTTCTATCTGGGCCAAAAGTGATTCCATCGTCCAATTGAGATTCTTGAAGAGGGCACTGTGTGTCTCGACAATATGGGATGGGAGCAGGGTCAACAATAGTTGGTGAGACGCCTTCAGCGGTCAGATAATTTCAAGTGTTTTGGATGCAACTCAAAGCCTGAAGCGAGCAGGAGAAGAAATATGATCTGGTATTCTAAGTCACTTAGGGCTCGAAGCTCACATCGGCGTCAAAGTAGTGGTGCTGCCAGTCCGAGAGGCCGGCTCAATTTGCATTACGGAGTGGGGTTGGACTCCGCTTATAATATTATAAAGTGGGTGATTCCCTTTCGATGCAAATTCGTGGTACACTAGAGTAGCTGAAGCGGGTCGGCACTAAGCGTGAGGGTGCTGTAGTTGTTGGTTCGCCCAGGCTGTTCAGACCCAATTACACAGTCACGGTCAGTGACCCACTCTGTATATACGCCGCTGCTTTGCCAACGGCTTGTAGCTTCCAGTCGTTTTACTCGTACAAAGGAACTTGTCATCCTGATCCTCCTACTAGCGCCCTGACACACATTCTAGTTCACGGCGACCAACAGCTCGACCTTGAGCCAATGAGGAGAGCACATGAGTGATTGAACTAATGGAGGTAGGCTGACTATAGAAGCTAATGCAAGGCCAAGGGACTCGGTCATTCCTCCCGGATCCTTCATGATATCCTTTTTTGCCCAGCATACAATGCCAGCTTGCCTACCAAGCCCAAGGTCTGGAGGACTGCGCCTCACTTGCGTTACATGACTTTCCAAGGACAGACTGCCAAATGATGGATCGGAAAGTGCACATCAGGATCCTGTCTCTACTCCAAGTGGTAGAGGTTGCAGTCGTCTAATCAGTGCTCGGTTTCTTTACGCCCACGCATGGGACGTCTTTGAACTGGTAACATGTGCCCTTGTCGAAACCCTGCTTGATTTTCGACGTAGGTGTTCCTATGCCGTTATTCCATTGGATTCGGGCAACATTCATCTGAGTGACATGATTAGTGGGCAAGGAGCTTTAGGGCACTTGGTTTGGGAAGCACAAACATGGTCCGAGATGCAGGTACGCCCCGATTTAGCGCTCGACCACCGGGGAGTTTCGTCGTATACGCTCTTGCCGCACCATTGAGGCTTATGTTGCCTGTTTCGCTCGTTGAATATATGGTCATTGGGGATCGTCACTCGACACTTCTTAAGCGCAAGGCTTTTCCAACACTCGCATTTTGCAAGGTGAGCAGTCTCTATTCGAAGTTCTGGATTAGCAGGGACAACCAACTGGTCACAGCATTGCCATATTAGTAGCGGGCACATGCAAACAATGACTGCGAACAGATAATACATGGGAAAATTGAGTTGGGAATTCATACCAAAGTCCCATCTTGGATCTTCATCTACTCGATGTCCGAGACGCTCACAGTCTGGCTTCTCATCCTTTAGCATAGCTGCGATCAAGGTCGCGTTGGCAGGATCCAATTCGGCAAGCTCAGTTTCGGAGAACATCCCCACAAGATCACTTTCGGAATACGTCTCCCCAAGATCAGTTTCGGATAACGTCTCCCTAAGGACTCCGGCACTGACAAGTGCCTTGAGAGGAGGTTTGATCAGAACCATTGTTTGCTGTGCGTCACTTGCAAGGAACAGAGGAGTTTACTTACCAACAACCAGCACCACAACAATGGATAGAGAAGCATGATTCCTGATTCGATTTTATTCTGTAAGAAACAAGGTAAAGATTTGTCTGAACTCTAGTTCTACAAAGGGGGAGGTAAGCCCCCCTTCATATAGACATTTTAGATTTAAAGATTGGTCTCCAAATTCCCACTAGACATCCATGGAAACCGGGAGAAGTAGATATTTCTCGTATAGATAAAGCTAACTCAGGCCGTTGTTGGTAATGGCCATAGCTTGAGGCGGACAAGGCTCAACCGTCAGGAAATAGCGTATTTCTACATATCACAACGGACTGATGTGCTTGACCTGCTGTTCTTCTGGATTTGTTGCGCTGAGTTTCCTACCTATGCTAAGCACGTAGCTGAAGGAAGAGCGGGGATTCAATATAATACATATGTAAATTCCACTGGAATATGTGGTCGTCTATACTAGTATGGGTACATAAAACTCGGGATCTCATAATTCAAGACCCATTGTTTGTTGTCCTGTTCGCCTGGATACAGACGACAGGCACACAGTGTTATCTCTTGTATCCAATAATTAAGGGCTTTTTTTCCTTTATCAGATGTAGCCATCTTGGAGTTAGCTAGTTGCTTCGACTGAGTATTGCGCCCGGTCTTCCTACCCCGACAGTCGAACTCTCGTGAGATCGCGTCAGGATGAACGTGCTCTTCGTCGTAGTGTAGATCTCAGGATCAATCATGATGTTTGAAACAGAAAGTCTTCGTTCAAAATCGAACAGGGTCTGTATTGGGCCATTGGGGCAATGCTTCGTTCGTGATTTGGCATGTGACGAGGTTTGACAACAAAACCAGTCCTCGACTTGGACTCTACAAGCATGTGCTATAAATTAGATCATACGATCGCTTCGGCGTTGGTCATATCAAACCGTGATGCTTAAACGGCTCTCAGTCCAAACCTAGGTAGATTAGACCATGAAACCTCCGCAGTATTCTCAGCCTTGCCATTGGCTACACGCTTGATTCTCCTCATGTACCTATCTCCTCAGTAACTAGGGGCAGTAGCAGGAAGCTAACCAGCAAAACATCAGACGTTTCCTGGCAGCTACCACAGCTAGCAACCAGCTGGCATATTACCTAGGAACGGAGATAAGAAAGGCAAATCTTACCCCGCACACTAAACTTCCTATTCGTATTTTATTAATATAGTTAAGTAGGTAATAACCTAGCTAGTATATCTAGTATGTGGTTTCGCTTCTATTCCGTATACGTCCGAGGACATACATGGCGCCTTCATACGGTGGTAAGCACTCAAGACATATTATTTAACAAACATATAGTATTGATAACAGTAGTTCAAATGTAATAAGAGTTTTATATGGCCTCAGCCTTACGACGCTCAGACAAAGCTAAGTAGCACCGTCTTGACGGCACTTTTTATCGTGCACTCGTATGAACACGGGCTATCAATTTCCCCGCCTTCGATGGCATCGAGCTCGCGCGGTGTGGGCACGGACAATTTCAGTAACCAACTACAAAGGTTAGCTAAACTGGAAGCGGTAGGCGACCACCGCGCAGATACACGAACGACACATGTAGTGGAATGGAAACTCTTATCGAAATTACTCTACAATTTAGAAACAAACGATGGCCCAGTAGCTCCATTCTGCAATAGTAGCGTTAAGTATACAATGGATTCGGATCACTTATCTGTATGTGAATCGCGATATTCACTCGCCTGTGCGTGGGCTTAGCGTTCAGTGTTGCCATTACGAGGATAAGCTTTATTGAGGTCATCGAGTCCCAACTCGACAGGTGCTCAATTTCGAGGTGTTGCGCGTCAACAAGTCTCTTTCATGATCAACGCTTAAAACGTGGTGTGTCGACAATCTCAGCCGTGATACACTCCTGGCCGGTGAGGTCTTGATTTATTTTTGAACAACCTTCCACCATGCTCTATAACTCCACCGCTTCCGTGGCGATCTCGGTTGTGCCAAGGCAGGCCGCCGAGGTTGGGACCATCGCCATCATAGGCTTCGTACTCAGTATCATTGGTACTATTCTGAGCGGATTCTTCATGGCGAATGCTGTAATCGGATACGACAAGCCAACTGGTTACCATCCACCGCCAAGGGAATGGGGTGTGCCATGGGAGTTTTCCCTTGCTACAGGAATGGATGGTGCTAGCAGAAATGGGAGTAAGAAGCTTGAGGGAGCAGGGGGCCCATTTCCCACTGTGCATCTGTTGTGAGTTACGCCCACCTCTATTGAAGCCACGGTGAAGACCATCTCATTTCACTTATCACTGCACATTGTCCCCGGTCATCTTGATACCAGATCCCGCACGTGCGACTAACCTCATGACCGGCAGCAATGACAACGGCATCTACTTGGGCAGTTCCAAAGACCGCAACTTGTACGCGATGCCAAATAGAGCGCTCTCCCTTGAGATTTTCCCAAACAATGTCCACAAACACGAGGGCCAATTTGCGACATTTGCTATACTAGCAGCGAAAGGCAATGGCAGAGATCCAATTTGCATCGTAGACATGGGCCTTGCCAAACCGAACGTGAGTAGACGGCCCCTTACAGTCACCGTTTAGGCGGGAACAACATCACCCGAGCATGATACCCTCAAAGCTTGACAGGGTTTTTCGGCGGGAACAAGATTTCGAATATTCGGACGCTAAGTAATTACAGGCGCTTGACGAGGCGAACGGGAATGGATTTGGTGCCACCACCGCAGTATCCTGTGGAGCCGCCTGGGTTAGCCTTTCACTCCTCTGTCACTTTGTTTCCAGCTATGCCCCCCCTGATCCCCATTAAGAAAGAAGAGACATGAAAAGTTTGATACCATAGGTTTCATACTGACACTAGAGTAGTACCATAGTGGAGTGTACCGCAAGCACACCAACGGTTCAGCGCCATGTTTTTGGCTCGGTGGATATGGCGTACAAGGCCTACAGGTGCATCTGCCATCGCATACTCTCGGACAGACTTCAATCCCCCTGGAAGATATCAAGAAGACCAATGAAAGCTGCCACGACTACTTCTGCGGCCGTCCCGCAGTCCTGAGCCTCTGGGACACACTACCGGAGCAGCACAAGGTCCCCAAGCTCCTCGTTACCGACCTGCAGAAGCGGTCCGGGAGGACGATCAACGACACCATCGCGTTGCACAAAAAGAATAACCTGAAGGAGCCCGGCACGGGGAGCCTTGCTTCTCGTGGCATCCCGGACCCCCATGAGAACACCGTCACCATCGCTCACGAGTTGGAAGGTCTCTCGGCCATTGCCCTCTGCGAGAATGCGTTGTCAGTGGGCCCGGACTTTGTCAATATCCCCGAGGGCAAGTTCTGCCGCATGTCAGATAAGACACTGTGGCCTACCTGCGACGACAAGACACATGTGGGCCCAAAGGATGATTGCTTTGTGGTTGAATCGAGACAGCTAGTTGTGGGGGGCAAGGTGACGCGCGGCACGCCGTACAGGAAGGAAGTACACTTCCCTCTGGTGGACTAGGCATTTATGTCACCATGTTGGTCACTGTAGGTAATATTCAAGTGGCTGCAAGGATTGCTGTCCGAACTGTGTTTTTTCTCGTCTCCCTTGGGGCAATATTTGTTGGCTATGTACGGAGCCCTAATTCGGCTTTCGAGCCTCTTTAGCCCATTTGGGCTATCCGCTTTATGTGGTGGTGGTCTCGTTTCTAATAATCCCCACTGACTTCTTTATAAATGCTTAATTATAAATCACAAGGCTGAGACCACGTGCATCCATCGTGTTTTTAACACTGATATCGACACTATAGGTGTTTTATACGCTGTGTGCTGAGCGTTTACTACCTAGGTACTGTATGAAGAGGTTATGGATGACTTCGGGATGTATACGGAATGGAAGCGAAACTAGTTTCACGAGAGAATGGACCCCGATCAGAGTTTTGTGTCATACCTCCAAGAAATTCCGCCCTATCTCGCAATGTCACTGCACGTTCTAAATGGACGCATTTTCGAGGGCAAACACAGAATATAGAAAAAAGCACGATGTCTCACTTCGTTCAGATGGCCTGCTTCGAAGAGTAGACATGGCGGAACTTTGTGATTGTGTAGTCTCAGGGAGATTGTAGGCAGTAACGTTTACCGGAAAGCGGAGTTGTTCCAAGGAACTCCTGGAAATGCTTTGTATCCAGCAAAGGGATATTTGATATCACTTATGCCCCATCAGCTAGCTGGGTCGCCCAGCCAAGGCTTCATGCTTGCACCGGCCTCCATCACCGGTATTCTAAATGTGAAACTCCATCCAGCTTTCTCTGTGCAGAGGCCTGGCTCCTTCTGCGAAATTCGTTCCACCGAACAACCAAACTCTGCGACTCCTCAACCTGTCTTGAGAATGGCGTCCTCCCCCTGATCAACTCCAGTCAGGTGGGAACTTGCGCTCAGCATGCTGGGGGTACGTCCAAAAGATCAATGCTGTTAGAATGGGGTTCATGAAGCGGCGCCAGATGGGTATCCGTGGGACGTAGTGTCTTGTTCGGTCGTACTCGGTTATGAGAATCATGTTCCCAATGATATTTAGGAGTCTGAAGAGCATGTTCATGCCGATCAGTACCAAGGTGGCTATTGTGTATGGTCGCACCGGAAGCTGAGAGTTTTCATGTTTGAACTCCCTTGAAATCGAGACGACAGGAGCAATCTGTCGGGCCGGTTAGCTCTCCCTTACGACTTTTCCTCACGAGACCAAGCGACAGAGTGGTTCCCTAGTCACAGCACTGAGACTTACCCACAGCCCTATGATCGCCACCTCCAAAAACAGCGCGATGTTATACGTCCTGACCTTGTTGCCCCGGAACATGATGAGTATGATGCACAGCCACATGAGGAGGAACCCAGTCGCCGTGGGCGCCATAACCACCCTGTCAGCCCTGAAGTAGCGCCAGCACAGCGCCGAGGCGGCCACGCCGAGGAAGAACTGGAGCCAGCCGAGCAGGAAGAAGGCGAGCAGCACAAGGGCGTACCGGTCGTAGCACGACTTGTGGAACTGCGGGTGGCTGGAGCACAGGTCGTCGGTGATGGGCCACCCGCACCACCGGCAGGTCCAGTAGTCGGTGAAGTCGCCCAGCTTGGTCTTGCGCCCGATCCTGACGGCGCCGTCGCGGCTCTGGATGGTGCACTTGACACACCGCGAGGAGAGCGGGTAGCCCGCGTCCATCGGGGTCGAGACGAGCCGGGCGACGTCCCGCGGGCAGTAGGTCAGGCAGATCCTGCAGTGGCGGATGAGGATGGAGCGGAAGGTGTCGGGCCCCCATATGCTCCGGATCAGCCGCGGCGTGGCGAAGTCGTACCAGTACCTGCAGGTGCGGCGCAGGCGCTCGATGTCGCCAAAGTCGAGGTGCTGCAGGACGACGATCTGGAGCTCGGCGGGGAGGGTCATGAAGGTCCTGGGGGGCTCCTTCTTCTCCTCGGCCGGCGTCTCTGGGCGGGCGACGGAGAGGGCCGAGGCGTCGGGGCTGCTCTTGCGGATGGTGCTCCATCTGCGGAACTTCTCGAGCCCCGGGGTGGAGGGCGCCGACTCGAGATCCCAGTCGCTGCGGGCCGGGGACAGGGGCTCTGTCATGAAGGTGATGGTCTTCCGGATGCCGTTTGACAGGCCGGTGGCCATGCGGGCGGGAGAGATGCGATGGAAGGGCACGGTATCGTGGTTGCCATCGTGATGCTGATGTGGGCCGACTCCGTGAGGGTCCATCCTGAGGCTAGCCAAGGCCAAGAGGGTGGATGGCTTCAGTTAATGGAGCAGCGGATCGGGCTGTGGCATCCATGGGCTGCCCTGATGGGGACTGCGCAGCTCAGGCGATGAGGATGTGATGTCGTGAGAGAGAGAGAGACGGAGAGGTGTGGGAGGATGATATGATCTCGAGCTTGAGCATTCACGATTCAGGACTCGGATCTTGGATGGTAGTCAAACGGGCTCTGGTGCAGATCGACCAAGGTGACCTGAATAAGAGGGCGAAAAAGCAAACGGCGCACGTGCTCTTGGCAACCAATCCTCGGAAAATGCTTAGGCAAGCACACGCCGCGACAGGTTACTTGCTATTGTCGCGCGTGTCTTGCTTCGGCCAAGACGGGAGCCTTGAAGGCTTGACGCTCGACGCTACTGTGGTAGGGCGGCCAAGGTTCGATGTTCCTGAGCCTGAGCGGCGGCTGTCACGATGATGCCTGCTGCTCAACTCCTCGACAGAGGAGTTTCCCGTGGTGGGGTACCGAAGTACTCCGTAGGTGAGGTCCTGTCGAAGGTCAAACCTTGTCACGGCCAGGCCTGTGGAGGGGCGTTGAAACAGTGCTTGGTAAAGCTGCGACCTGTAGCAGAGACTGAAGGTAAGGGACACGCCTCGGACTTGGTGATGTTGATGTTGAGTATCTGATGAACTATTAGTCTAGACGACGGCGTATGTAGCTGCTTGACTACTGGTCTAGACGTAGGTGGGCTGGCGGGCTGGCGGCCTCAGCCGGTGGGCCATCAGAGGTGGGGTTCAAGGCAGACACATCACAAAGCTGACAGGTAGGAGGAGGGGAGCAGAAACAAACAAGGAAAGGCCACGGCGGGGCATCCTTGTCGGGCTGTCAGCTTGATAGCTACCGGGATGGGAGCACATGGGGACCTCGGGAAAGCCCAGCTCCTCCATCGGGCGCATCCTTGTACGACAACAGACCGACCTCATCATTACCACACTACCCTAGGGTAATATCCGCACACTAAGGCAGCGAGACGGCATGAGCCGAAAAGGGCTTACGGTGCTTACCTAGGTACGGAGTACTCCTACAGCTCCAACAAACCAACCAACCAACCATATTACGTACATGTCACATGTCTGTGTACCTGTGCAGCTACAGCACTCGTATCGTTGTTTTTTTTCTCTTCTTTTTCTTTTTACCAAGACTTCATCTCAGCCCTGAGCTTCAAATGTAGCAGGTAAGTAAATCTCTCATCCCGACGATCTCTATTTCTCGAGCGATCCAACGTTTCGACGACCCTTCGTGCTGCCACCTGCGACTCCGCCAAGCTGTCTCGGGTCTCGACCACAACAATCCCGCCCTTCCGGTACCACTGGAGAGCTGTGGGCCAAGCTCCGACCACCGGGCACCAAGCTTGGGCGAAGCTTCATATTTTTCTGGGCGGTCAGAGTCCTCTGGTTCCATTCCCTGACCGAGCCTACATCAGTACTAACGTTTTAGGTGGGTGCGGAGGTGTGGGAAAGTCAATTGCTGCACTGCCAGTGAAGCGGTACGATCTGGGGTCCATTTCCCCAAGGCTCTCCGAGGGTCGTGAAACAGAGCACAGGTGAATGTTGTTGTTGGGTTTTCCCCACGCTCGTCTAATGCTGTGAAAAGTGATCTGCATTTGGTTTCAGTCGGATATCCTGAAAGGCGCCAGGTGGCGATCATCCCGTTGCCCTCGTAGTGCATCCCGTTGCCCTCGTAGTGAAAGAGCTGCGGTGATCCTCATACAGTTTCCATGCCTCACGCAGCTGTTGATGACCATCCCGCCAGCCCGCCAAACTACCTAGGTACGTTAGCTAATACAAATATAATTCTAGATAAAAACACGCATGAAAATGTTTGTCTACCGATTGCAGAGTCCTGCCTTCAGGTTCTTTGACCGCTTACCAGCGTGAGGCGCCACATACCTAGATACACTTTATCTGGTTTCGCATCTATTCCGCATATGTCCAGGAACATAAATGGCGCCTTCATACGGTGGTAAACGCTCAAGTCCTAGTGTTTCGAAAAACACTGTGTCTATGACTGTAGTAAAAACACGATAGGTACATATGGCCTCAGCCTTTATACGTATGGGAATTAGAAACGGAACCACCTGAAGCTCTGGTGCTATTATAAACAACTTCATAGGCTGTTTAACATCAAGACTTTGTAGCAACCCTTGCGCCCAGATCGCTTGGTAGCATATTCCAGTGATTAACCAACGTTCACAACGTTTAGATTAGCACGATGAAATGCTATTTCACTGGCGGTCAATTGAATTTTCAACACGAACACCGACACGACAAAGCGCCACGTGTGATGAGCTAAATCAGTCGAAAGGGATTAACCTCATCCCCGATATATTGTACACACGGTTCCTGCACTTCTACACCAGACTACAGGTTGAGCTCATCCCTTGAGCTCTGCCACTTGGGGTACCTCCTAAACGTTGTCAACAAATGTCATGCCAGCTCGAGACCAACTACCATGTTGACTTCCCACTTATAGGTACCGTGGGGTATAGCTTTGGACGTTCATGGAATATAAATGAAACCAGTTCCAGAGAATTAGGAACTTACTGTCTGAAGTCTTGTGTGAGAAGACTCCCTGTGTTAATCTAAAAATGTCGTACATTCTCCGTACAGGTTACCCATTGTGGCTCCGATTAATGTGAGAGCTGGAAGACCGCAAACAGGCCGCACATGTAGTAAACACCCATCTTTGGATAGCCAATAAAGCACCCGCTCCCCTTAACATCCAAAAGAAAGAAGTACCTTCGCTTTGCTATCAATCTATCGATCTACCACTGCATCCAGAAAATAAGTGTAGGCCGTACGACGTGTTACATTGGGCCAGGGTCTTCATTACACCCGATCATCAAATTGTCATCCCGCGCAATATCTACAGCTGACCGATAAGCAATGGCATAGACTGCGGCTTGGATCGGGCAAGTCGTGATGGTTGGCATCGCCGCCGAGCCAATCACACGCAATCCAGACAGTCCCTTGACCCTCCAGCGGGCGTCAAGGACGGTTCCCAGTGCAGCTGTCCCGACGGGGTGATGCCAGTCGTGCGAGGAGCCCTGGATCGCCGCCCACAGGTCCGCGTCGCCGGTCAGATTCCGGCCGGGGTACTGTTCACGCGTCCAGTACGGCCTGAGGTTTTGGGAGTGGAAGATCTCGCGCAGGCGAGTGTATGCTTGCTTGACAGCAGCAACCTCGGACGCTGTGCCCCAATAGTTGGAATTGATCACCGGAGCATCCAGGTAGTTGGCCGAAGCCAACGTCACATTGCCTGACGACTCCGGTTGCACAACGGAGGCGAAGCCTGAAACGATGCTGATGTTTGGGCCGTCCGACAACAATGGACTGGAGGACGCATATAATGCTACGTGTGGGCGGTCGGGAGGCAGATTCTGGAAGAAGTCTGAGCCGGTGCCCTCAAAGACCGAGTCAGGCAGTCGGAATCCGACCAGGTTGGAGCCGAATATCGTGCCCAACATGCCATCGCCGTTTTCTCTATATCTGGAGATTTCAATGTCTTTCCGTGTTGAATTGCTCTGAAGTTGCCAAAGGCTGTCCGTCGTAGGGCGTGCCTCGTACTGGGCAACAGCGTAGTGGTGATTGACCAAGTTTTGTCCTACTTGCGGGACATCCATGACAACCGGGATCTGAAGGCCATTGAGTTCGTCTGCTGGGCCTACGCCCGAGAGCTTCAGAATCTGGGGTGTGTTGATAGCTCCAGCCGCAACAATGACCTCTTTGGCGGAGATAGTAATGTCTTCGAGGGTGACAAGATCCTGATACATGACGCTATCGGCCTGCGTGCCAGTGAACCCTATCTTGGAGACCCAGGCGTTGGGGACGACGCGATAGTTTGCTCGACCATTGGCCATGTACCCATAAGTATTCGCAGCGAAGTGGCGGGTCCGATTCGAGGAGCGAATTGTATGCATACCTAGAGAGACACCGATACCCCCTCCGGAGGCGAAGTCAATCTCCGGTAAATTCAAGATGGATGCAGCCGACTCATGGAAGGGTTGGTCAATACTAAACAACTCTCGTGGCCTGGTGACTTCTATTGGTCCGTTGCCAAACGCCGTTCGGTTGAGTGCAGCGGTATACGTGAGATTCGGATAATCAGTCCAATGAGTAGTTTCTTGAAAAGCCTGCAGCATTGAATCCCACGCCAACCCGTCGTTGCCGGATATACGTGCCCACTCGTCAAATACGGATGCGGCTCCCCGGCAATATGTCATGCCGTTTACTGCAGTGCCGCCACCGAGGGCTCTACCCTGGACCAGGTCGGGGGTACGTCCATTCAGACTTGTCTCAGGTGCAGAATTATACCGCCACATCCACGCAAATGTCTGCAGAAACATGGCAGGTGCTAAAAATCCTCCTTGTCAGCAAACTTCATCGGAGCTGCACCTGAAACAACATGGGAATTGGAGCGTGCAAAGCTCATACTTGTCTCTGTAAAGTTTGTGGTGGCGTCAGGTCCAACCTCAAGCAACATGACATTCTTAGAGGAATCTCGGCTGAGGTACTCTGCAACAACAAAGCCCGCGGGTCCTCCCCCGATGATGACATAGTCTGCAGACTGCGGTGCTTGGCGCCCCCGCAGTGAAGACGTTGGTACAACTGCCGTCGCCCAGCCCAGCAGTAATGCCCCCTTCAAGAGGCCAGGCGCCATTCTAACTCGGAACAGATGATAGTATCGCAGAAGAGAGATTATAATTATCTAATGGGTAGACAAGACAGCAGCACTGGTGTCTGAAAGGCACCATGAGGTTTATTACTGATTTTCATGGATGCAGTGAAAAGGACTTATATTGAAGCTATGTGGAATCCTCGTTGCTCTTTCGTTTACGTGGTCCTCACAAGAATAACCAATATCTGGAAGCATAGACATGCCACGGAGAATCCGGAGGGTCAACGCAGACAAATGCAATCTAGCGGAGTCTTCAATTCCCCGGCCGTCTACTTTCACGTAGGTCCGTATCATGCCATCCATGGTTGTCACAAGCGGGTGTTTCGTCTACTCATTCTACAAAGAAATGGGACGAACCATTCACAACGGTTCACGCCCACTGATTTTGCAAATTTCAAGTCGCATATGGTCATCAACAATTGTCTGTGCAACATCCTGCGGAACGCAACGTATGGCCGATATCCATACAAGACACTATATATATGAGTTTACTGCCAAGACCATGATAATCATCTCAATGAACTAGATCCCATGGTATTCATCCCAACAACTGGATGAATTCAAGCATGAAGCTGTGTACATGCCGACTACAGGATCCCTGCCTACCGCGTCAACGATTTTGGAATTGGACAGTGTTGGTCATTCGATATCACCGCGAGCTCGTTTAAGATACAGCTCCGCGCACGTAGCGCACAAACTGGGTCAAGCGAGGTCTTGTGGGAGCTCATCTACAAGGACCCTCGCCCTCTGGGTCCTCTCCCATTGAAATAGCCATCCAATTTGCAGACAGGCTGGAGTTGCAAGCACAAATGCATCAAGGCGAAGGATTAAATTAAATTTTGATCTCGTATTGAAGGTATCTGAATTAAATTCAGGCATGCTTCGACTAGTTGTGAAGCATCCCAATTTGTCTCTGTTCTAATCACTCTTGGTCTCGCAGGCGCCGCACACATAGCCACATGCCGCCCTACACTGGTTCGCACATAATCCCCCGCGGCAGTAACTCTGGCAGCCGGAGCGGCATGCAGTGGAGCACGAAGAACCGCATGCGCTGGAGCATGAAGAGCCGCAACGACTCGAACAGCTGGGCGCGTCCGTAGCCTTGCACATCAGGGTGTCCTTGCCTCCAAGGCAAGTCCGTGAGGCTATATCTCCAAAGCACATGGGGCGTTTCTTGTCAGTGGAGAATATAGAGTGGTTGTATGCGACGCCGTATTTGGAGAAGTAGAGCTCCTCGGCGTTGTTGCTCGCTTGCTCGAGGGTTGACTCATCGAGATTGTCGTCGTGGTGCACGAATCGGCCGTCAGTCACGTGTCGACAGTAACTGCGGTACCTCTTAGGCGAGAGCTGATGAGTGTGCCTGAAAAATATGTTATTGACTGTTCCCGAGTGCGTATTCCATGCTGCTGAATTTTGTTGGACAACTTACCAGACAAGATCAATAGCCAGGGTGGGTGCTATGCAGACGCCTGGGTTTTCGGCAATCAGTGCAAAGAATTCCTTGTATCTGGCAACCGCCGAGTCTAGGAAGTCATGGAGAGTTTTTGGTCGGCGCCACTCAGCTTCATATACCTTCTCCGCGAATTTGAGCTGTCTCTGGACTGCGGCGACCATGTCAAAGTTGTTGGGGGCAGTAAGGAGGGTCTTAGGTTTCTCTGTGCCAGGCTCTTGAGACCCGTCCAATGCATCCAATATGTCAGCCATGCCGATATAATCGAGAGCAAGTTTCCGTTGCTGCAATGAGAATGGAATGTTAGAAAGTGAAGAGATTTGCGACCGTCTTAGCTTGGAAAGGAAGGTCAGGGGCAATATCTTACCAAGTCTTTCCAGTCAATACCCTTACCGGCCATTCGGCCTCGGAACGCTTCATTTTGAAACTGCACATAGTCTTTGGTATTCAGCATGTACGAATGCCAGATCATAAGAATGTTGAGAGAGGGAGTGGCTACGCTCGCCTTGGAAACGTCAACGCTCTCGGACCACTGGAGAAACTTGGCGGCGGCGGCCTGGCAGAACTGATCCCAGGCTTTTCCGGGGTCCATCCCATTCATTTCTCCATACTCATCAACAGATGCTTTCAAACAGACAATCGCGTCCAAAAGATTGAGATGGGTGAGCAGTTCGGATGTGTTGGGAAGACGAAGAGTGGTCTCCAGGGAGATCGAATCAGCCTTGGGCCCAGATTGACTGTTCTTTTCAATCGGTGTTGGAGTAATTGTTGAAGTCATTGTAAACCTTTGTCTCGGATTGAACCGAATAATTTGTGAAATACTTGATGACCTTTGTGGACCTTGTTGATATCTGCGAACGATTTCTAGATTCCATCTTACTGTCGGAGACCATGGGCTTAAATAGTAATTTTTACAGAAGAAATTAAAGTCGTCCGCTGTAAGTCACAGTCGAGTGTGGTTAGATGCTGACATTGTGGCTTTCCTTCATCACCTTTGAGATCGAAGTGGTGCAGGAACTCCACCATGTGTTTAGCCTGTAAGTCACGGGCACGAGTGACTAATTTTATGTGTAAAGTTTTAGGGCTTTTAGTAAAATGTGCAAGACCGCTGGGAGCGTCTTGTAGATGGCCCTAAGATGGATTCATAGTCCTGCGGTGTGGTCTTTCTTTGACGATGGGAGGCAAATTCCCCAGCACTTGCGCACTCGCACTGTGACCCAGGTACGACCCATGAAAAGGGACAACGGCTTCAGCACAGTAAGAGAGCAGCGATAAAATTTAAAATTCCAGAGTTATCACTTGGCTGGAGTACACCTAGTTGACATAGTTGCACGGTTGGAAACTGAGATGAGAGTAGGGCTATTATATGATAATATGTTAAGGTTATTATCACCTAGAGGGTTATTAAAAGATATCTTTTAAATAGTTTTTAAAAAAGATGTAGTTTTAATATATAGTTTTTATAATAATAATATTAAAAGTAATATTAGGTTATAAAGGTATTTAATAGGACTTATATAAAAAAATAAATGAATATATTTTTAATCCCCTATCTTATCTTTTATTAGGCTCCTTAGTTAGCTACCCTTTTAAGTTACTTATCTTTACTCATCCTCGCTCATCCTCCCTCCCCCCTACTATTTCCCCCTATTTACCCTAAAACCGAGTACACTACACACTCTAAGGTCTTCATTGTACTGTATAGTGGGCTTCTTTACACACACTAGACTACACTTATTATACTGAGTGTAGTGTGTGGTAGACATGTATGGAGTCACCATTGCTCATGCTTAGTGACAATGGGACGGCTTAGAAAAGTATGGACATTATGTGCCTTAATTCGCTCAATACAGCAAGTCAATTGAGCGTGTCTTAAAATATGTACCCCTCAGTATCATCGTGATCGTATGTACAGAAATCATGTTAATATTTGCATCCACATCGAAGATAATTCCACAGCCCGGTCTCGACGGTGCATGTCATGTCACAGCGTCAAGAGAATCCATCTAGCAGTCGACAGTCTCGTCGTCGACAGGTGTCCAGTCATAACTGATCTTCCAGACACCCAGGTCGAACTTGTTCTCGGTCGTCTGCCACTCGTGGAACCTCCAGGCGTAGACTTTGCAATAGCACGAGGGGTCCCAATGTGTCGAGCCTGGCTCGTCACAGCTGGTCAACTCATGTGTGAAGTCCGAGCCGTAGATGTTCTCGTTGGCGGCACTGAAGTCCGCAATGGTCGCGGCGATGTCGTCGCAGGCCGCGCTATACTTGGCTTGGTCGTCGGTTGTGGCGGGCTCAGCCGAGTAGAATTTCATCCATTTGCGGGTGCTGTAGGAGGCCCAAGGGTATTATTAGTGAATTTTCGTTCTAACTGCTGTCAAATCCCGCGTATACGAGAGCAGCCGAGGGAGCAGCCTTGTCTCCTGGAATTGCCTGGACGGGTTCAAGTCATGACTGGAACTCCGTCGGCTGGTGTCCCAGAACATCGGGACGTGGGATATCGGCCCATCCGGGTGCTGGCGACCACGAGGGAACAAGGAGAATTGATGAAACATACCATCCGAGGGCACCGCTTGAGAGGGTGAGGATGGAGAGGGTGGTCGCAAGGAACTTCATTGCTGCGTCTGCTGGTTGACAGTGTGCGAGGGTGGGTCAAGATGTGTTTTGTTGACTGAGTCAGATGAAGAGGTCTGAATCAGTATATGGTCAGGCTTTTAGTGAATGCAGCGATAGTCCGGAAATAAATGACACTGGCTGGTGCTAAGAAGAATGAAAACGTCGAATGTGAGTTTAAGACCGAGGGACCCTTTTCCAAAGAGATATGGGACAGCCTGGTGATCTATATATCTTATCCAACTCTGCCACGGAGGCTCACGGCTTCCTAGAAGCCTTGATCCCTGGTGGATCTCAGCCGCAGCCTTATGCACTATTAGTGTAAACTTTATCGTGAACGGTAGCGAGTAAGGCGAATTGTTCAGGGGCGCGGGCAGGGTAGGCAGCCCCACCGCCAGCCCACTGGCCAAGAGCCCTGCTGGACTTCTCGCGCTCTTGCTGCGGCGGTGAATTCCTGTTGGTTCACAAGCTGATTTGTTTCAAGTTCATGTGCGTGGGTATGGGTGTTCGTCCGGTCTTGCGGGCACTATAAAAAGCCGAGGCCAAGTATTGCCCAGAGCGCGCATGGCGCGCAAATATGATATTTTTGGAAGCTGGGCTATCTTCTACAAGCCCATGTTCCGGGGCATGATAAGTATATCAAGATATTTATGTCCACAACAAGCTCAGCGCCGAGTGGCCGGTCCACATAGTACCCGCTCTCTGCTCACATGCCCGAGATTCTGTATGTGCCCAGGTGGCCAAGAGGTTCCTCTGATTCAAGTTCCATGCCATAGCTACCACCGCTTTAATAAGACATCCCCATGATCCCCCAGTGTTCCCTCCTCCGGTTTGCAGACCCCATAGAGTTCGCGTGCCAGTCCAAGTATATGACTACCGCGCCTCACTTTTTCTCTTGTGGATCAAATACAGGTCTCAACCAGACAACTCCGGGTCAAACAATCCCAAAGGTAGTATCGTCGGTTCGTGTCTCGTTTCGACGATCAATTCGAGTCCATCATCTCTGAGATTGTTGAGTGCCCCGTGTTGCGACCAGTGTCCTCTTCCTAGAACAGGGTTGCTTGCCAACATGTACCAATCCGAGTCCCCTAGTTGGAAACGTGCTCCGAGCGTTACCACCCCAACAAGGTGTAGCTGCTCCAGGTGCCAAGTATGTCGCGTTCGATGACCAGATTTGCCGCTTTTCCGTACCCACGCAATAGTCTTTCTCATCTCGGATTGATCGTCGTGCAAGAATTCTTGAGTTAATAAGAAGTTGATAGTGAGGCAGCGAATATGAGGAATGATTGCTTTCTTGAACATTTTCCACGCTCCAGATTCGAGGGTACCTTCCCACTCAACATGGAAGCTCTTCCACACCCCCACCAGCCCCTCGGACCTGAACTGCTGGTCCTTCAGTGCCAGCATGACGCTGATGATACCATTTGTCTCTGAACCCCCCAGTCTGATTGTGGGGCGTCCGTCACAGGCGAAGCGCCATACCAATTCTCGGACTTCAGGTGGAAGAGCGAAGATCCGATAGAGGAATTGATAGACCCCATCCCCGTCACAGACTATTTTTTGATCGAAACTCGTGTTGGACACCTTGTTGTCGTTTCGGGAGGCAGTCTTCTTCGCATTTCTTCCCATGCCGTGTGTGACCCTGCCAATGAGAGTTGCGGCAGCCATGTCGACTTGCGCCTCTCGAAGTTGCTGCAATGTGCATCTGTAGCAATCGCACGCGGGATGGGGAGGGATCCAATCCATGCCACGAATGACCCTGCCTATGAGAGTTCCGGCAGCCATCTCGACTTGCTTCCCGCCGTTACACTAGGGTAATGCAATGTGCGTCTGAGTCTGTAGCAATTGCGCTTGGGATTGGGAGGGATCCAATCTATATTTCGAGATACGACAACAAAACGTCGAATGAAAAATGACGGAACTACCGTTTTGCTTGTGATTGTGTTTGATAACAAGAAGGGAGCCAGGGACTTCATAGTGACAGCCGCTCACAACGGCGTCATGACCAAGAATCGACAGCGCATCTGTTTGGGCAAGCTAGGATGCCCGTTACTCACCGGGACCTAATACTAGGGTAACTAATAACACCCTAGCATGTTTAAAACTCCTTGATGACGTTAATGCGTTCGTTGGCCTTAGGACCGGCATCAGACATACGAGACGCTTGCTGGAGAGATTTTCCGTTGACGGGAGGCCTATTAATGCGTCACTCAACAATATTCTAATCAGAGAGTCTCAACGCATCTTTCGAACACGGTGTAACGTTCATCCACAACACTCGTGTAGATCCGTTCATACCCAGGTAGTTATTGCGTACAGCAGCTAGTAAAACCTCCCGACACCTTTCGCGGTTGGGTGAGCTATTTGTTGGATTTGCCTCTCGATTCATGTTACAAATTTACCCATCTAGGTATATGGGGTTACGCTTCATTGAAGGTTCTTGTTTCATAAGATCGTGGCCAGATTCTACTTGCACAACCCATCTCCATACACCAGCTCCTCCTCTCCATTTCCAGACACGAAATATTTATGACGCAAAAATCAGAGTTGTGGCATCTCATCGCTGAGGTTGCTCTACGACCGGGCTTAACAGAACTCACGAGTATATCGATTTAAGTATCATATATTTGTGAGCGATTCTTTCAGGCATCCTTGCGGCATTGTCAACCACGAATTATTTACAAACCAGCTTTTCTCACCTTGATCCCATAAAAGTAGCCCCCCTCTCCCCTCCCCTCCACCCTGACAAGCGCAAAGTACCTAGGCAGGCACTACATAGCCAACGTCCACTCACCCAGCAATTATATCCACTCACCTAGTTTTTTTCAACCACTTACCTAGTACCAAGCTTTACATACAGGGCCTATATAAAACTATATACTTAACTAAGATTCTTTAAATTTTTAATACTTTAAATATAACCTACTTTTAAACCCCTTTAACACTCTTTTAATACTCTTTTAATACTACTTTTAGAATCTTTTTTTAAATAACCTTTAGTATTCTTTTAATTTAAATATATTTAAATACTAATTAAATATTTAAATATTAATTAAATATTAAAAGGTTAGAAGCTTCATTAAAAGATAAAGATAAAAATTATACTTATTTTTACCTTTTAATACTCTTTTAACTTTTTAATCTTTTAATCTTTTAATCTTTTAATCTTTTAATCTTTTAATCTTTTAATCTTTTAATCTTTTAATCTTTTAATCTTTTAATCTTTTAATCTTTTAATCTTTTAATCTTTTAATCTTTTAATCTTTTAATCTTTTAATCTTTTAATCTTTTAATCTTTTAATCTTTTAATCTTTTAATCTTTTAATCTTTTAATCTTTTAATCTTTTAATCTTTTAATCTTTTAATCTTTTAATCTTTTAATCTTTTAATCTTTTAATCTTTTAATCTTTTAATCTTTTAATCTTTTAACTTTTTAATATATAATTAATATTTAAATACTTATTTAATATTTAAATATATATAAATTAAAAGATATTAAAAGTTAAAAATATTTAAAAAAGTTTAAAAAAAGTTTATATTAAAAGTATTTAAAATTTAAAAAATATAAAGTTTTTAATATTAACTTAAAAAGTATAAGCTAATATCTACTTATTTAATAATTATATCTACTTACTTAGTTTTTTTTAACTATTTATTTAATATAAAAATTTATATATAAAGTCTATATAAAACTATATATTTAATTAAAATTCTTTAATTTTTAATACTTTTAGTATAAGTCTCTTTTAATACCCCTTTTAATACCCCTTTTAACACCCCTTTTAGCGCCCTTTCACCTTTACCTTTACCTTTACTTTTACCTTTACTATTTAGTTTATATGTATTTAAGTACTAATTAAGTATTTAGATACTAATTAAATATTAGAAGGTTAGAAGTTAAAAAGGTAAAAGTAAAGATTATACTCTTTTTAGCCTTTTAATACCCATTTTAACCCTCTAGTACTCTAAACTTTTAGCCTTTTAATATTTAGTTAGTATTTAAATGTTTAGTTAGTACCTAAATACGTGTTAGAAGGTGTGCTAGAAGGTGTGCTAGAAGGTGTATTAGAAGGGGTTTATATTAAAAGTATTGAAAATTAGAGAAGGAAATTATACTATAGGGTCTTTTAATGTTAATTTAAAAGGTACTTATAAATATAAGGGAGTTACTTAGAAAAATTAGTATTAAGTAAGTAGTTAATAGGAATTAAATAAGTGAATATAATTATTAGGTAAGTGGATAATAGTTTAAAAAGTACTTATAAATATAAAAGAGTTATTTTAAAAAAATAATATTAAATAAGTAAATATAATTATTAGATAAATAAATATTAATTTATATTATAATAATATTAAAAGCTTTTAATTAATATTAATTATTAATATATAATAATCTTATATATTATACTTATTTTAAATATATTTAATATATATATTTATTAAAAGATAAATATTTTATTCTACTTCTTTCTTTTTAATATATATTTAATAAAATTAATAATTAATAAAAATATAATTTAAAATAAATCTTAAAATATTAAAAATACTTATTATAATAATATATATAAATTAAATTATATAAAAATATTATTTAATAAAACTTTAATTCTTTTTTTCCTTTAATTAAATAAAAGTAATTAGTCGCTTTATATCTAAGTATCTCTCCTAGTATATTTTATAGAGAAGTACCTATTGAAATAAGCGTAACGCAACTAACTTTACCGTAATATACTGCATGATATAAGTTTCTAACCGACAGTTAAGTAGCCCATTTGCCATAAAGACCTACTCCGTCAACACCCTCGTAGTATACTGTAAGAAATACATCACTTTCAAGCACAAGCATTGTACTACCTGGTCTGCATGCATTTGCGTGGTCAACAAACTTTGCGAGGAGCGAAGGCAGAAGCCCCAATCATCTTTTTTTATGGTCTAAATACAGCCCGAAGGAGTGTTGCCGATCGGCAAAGTATGTACATCCAATCAAGTGATTATAAAGGCTCTCCAAGCCGGATCGCACCATTCAAAAACATGCCAAAGACGAGTAGATTTAGTAGAACAGGCCGAACTCCTTGGGACCAGTGTACTGCTGGTAGCCAGAGGCGCCAGCCTGGACGAGCTCCAGCTCGCTGGCGGGGATGGCGTGCTTGCCGGTGGTGTTGGAGGCGGGGGTGACCTGCTGGGTGACCTCGAGGACGAGGCCGCCGTCAGCCTTGGTGACGGTCCAGGTGCGGGAGGTGGCCTCGCAGGTGCCGTCGAGGACCTCGGGCAGGGTGCCGTCGGTGGTCTGGACCTGGGCACGGCAGTGCTGGGGCTCGGTCTGGTAGCCGCCGGACTGGAAGAGGCCGAACTCGTAGCTGTGAAAAAGATGTGTCAGTGCGCGGGTCTTGTAGTATGGCATGGCCGTGCCCAATTGATCAAGGCGGGGACTGCTTACATGCACTCGGAGCCGTGGGCAACGCAGGCGGCGGAGAAGTCGGAGATCTCGAAGACGGGCTTCTGGGCGGCCACGGAGGCGGCGAGAGCGAGGACGGCGGCGGAGAACTGCATCTTGATGGTGGTGGTTGGGGGTTTTTGGTTGTTGGTGGAGAGTTGGATGTTGAGTTTGCAGTGAAGGCTGAGTTGTGAGGATGTCGATGCTGAATCAATCTAGGAGTGAACGGCGGAAGTGATGGTGATATTTATGCCCATCATGTCAAGTTGCGCAGGTCTATTTTCTCCCCGCCTGACATCGGAATACGAGGATGGCAACCTCGAATAAGGGAAGTGATAGGCGGTGGGTGGATCCCTCTGAGGTCGTTGTCACGTTGCTGTCCATCATTTGGGCCGGGGGCTCCGACCTGTTTTGCTCCTAGGGCCAACCGGCATGCTTGTTCCTAACCTTAATGCCCCCTTGGGTGTTACCCTTACCTTGCCAGCCTGCCCCGGAAAGCTGCGTGCTTCTCGAAAGTTACAAGGTATTATACGAGGGGCTCTGTGTCGCACTCTGTCCTTGGCACAGCTGTTCACCCGCCCGCATTGGCGGTGTACCGGCCCTTCTACGTGACTCGCAATATGAAAAGCATTTTCAACGGTATTCCAGACAGCATTCATACCTGATTTTGCTATGCCGACCGGTGCACTCGGTTAGTTATTCTTGCTCGTGCCGGATGATGCCGACACGAGGCCGTATGATACGGAGACATCCTTCCAGCCTTCGTCATTCCTACAGCCTTACCGCGTATAGTATGGACAAGTGGCTGGGCTGACATCACAACCTTCCGTCGGCCTGCGAGTGTACCCAGCCGGCCCACAGGGGGGTTCAGGGGCGGCCCGTTTTTGTGGGGAATCTCAACCAGACTGCCGTGCTGCCCAGGCTGCCCTACTCGGAGATACACCGCCAGTGGGTTTTTACAACGCACTGGCATCTCGCACCGCCGCATGTATGGGGTCGCTCGGACAAGATCGAGCCCACGGTCCAAGTCGTGGGTCCAGGCAGAGTGGTGCTGCTGTGTTGTCGCGGGGAACAGCGACGGTCCAAGGTACTTGGGTAGCCACTCATCCCGGCGAGTAGGGGGCAAGGGGGCATACAGGGGAAGAATCTTTACTCGGCTGGATGTGACGGACCCAAAATCAAGCTCGAAGTCGGTGGACGACGTCAGATTTCCCGCACAAAACCTCCACAACCATTGCTGCACACGTGTAGTAGTACACTTCAAGATGGCTTTGGCTCATTTTAGCACTTTCGCGCTCTTTCTAGCCCGACGTTTTCCTCTGGACTATAGCTCAAGACTCACCAGCATTGAACTGCCGTACACTTTGAACACTGGATGCATATACAACGCCGGGTCTGTGAACGGCCCAACTACAATTGGCCTGCGACGGAGTATATTGTGATCTTCTATGTGATCTCCTGTGATTCTCGGGAGCTCGGCATGGGACAACGGCCGTGGGGATTTATTTTAGGTACAGAATTCACAACATGCTGGCCCGTACCTGACTTTGTTGTGGAGATTGTTGATCACGACTTAACATTTGAAGGGTTCTAGAAAGGCGGAGAGCTTTCTATGGGTCCTAAACCTAAATTTATACAGGCGCATGAACAGCACCCAAGTCTGAGGATCGGTCGATCGGATACCTAGGTACATATGTATATACGATCTTGTTGTCTTCGAGTGCTCGGGTTATGTGCCTCGTCTCCATATCGGACGCAGAAAGCGGTGCTGCCCCCTAGCTTGACCAGCAGACGGCCAAGACCGGGCACTGCGTTTGTCTGATGTTCTGCACGGTCCGTACCGAACATGCATGAGCAGTACCCCTGGGATATACATCAGTTTGGCTTCAATGCAATAACACATAATAACCAGGACCCCTGGATAAAGGACCAACACATCACACAAGGTGCACTGTGGGCTGATGAGTCATTGGCTCGTTCACACTGAGATGCACTTCTGAAATGAGGACCGCCAAAATCATGCAAAAGGATACCATACTACTTACAGTGTCATAGAAAATCAATATTCAGGTGGACCCACTGGCAGCGCGTCGGTTGAGGCTTCTGGTGGGCTATGGAGGGTGTCCTGAAATAGACGTGCGTTGCACTCATTGCACCTGTTGGGCCAGCATTCACAACTCCTGGCAACGGGTTCACCGCCTGGTTCGGTACCACCACGCAAGGGCGGGGCCCTTCATCCCCAGCTCGCGACTGAATTCCTATCATAACCTTTTACTGACTAGAGCAGAACACGAGCAACTGCGACTGTCGGAATGTCCGCCAGGTGCATATAAAAGGGATTACACATCAGCCCCTCCTCCGATGCAGCCTCGCAAGAGATTGCGAGCTTGGCTGCTGTTAGGAGCTACGAAGCCTTTTCTCTCCTCCTTGTCCCTGGCGGAGCGTACTACGTTTGGCGTCTGAGAAACCCTGTCTCGTATGGAGTGTATATTGCGCCCTCGGTTGGTGTTGGGGTGATTCAATGGATTTCTGACAGCAAATATTATTTCCGGCGCACGATCGACGGCAAGTTCTTCATGGCGTGGACTATGGCTGGAGAAAAGGGAGTGCTAGCTATGGTTCTATTTTACGGCTTCTTTGGAATTCCATGATTCTCCTGACGCCCAACTGCAGAAAACTTTGTCGAGGATTTGGCTTCTATTCTACGTACGCCTGCATCGTCCTACCGGGCCACATTGGAACGCCAATGTTCGAATGTACCAACACGTCTGTAACTCACACTTACAAGTATCATCAATGACCAGAATACCTCTTCTACGGCATGCCATTCTCCAACTTCTGGTTTGGCGCATTGATGATGGTCTTGCCCTTCTGGAGCCTGGAGCAAGCAGAGCCCCTAGTTCAAGTTGAGCTGCTATCTCGCACTCAACCCCTCTGTCACTAGACAGAAGGTGCTGGGCTGTGCGCTTGTTTTCTCCTGTGTCATTTCGGCATTTTTCTCAGCAGCAATGGTTGATGGAGTATGATATTGCTGGCGAGGGACACATGGGCAGCGACTCGGAGGTCATGCTATTTTTATGAGAGAGGCTTTGAGAAGGGACGGAATCAATGCGGTCCAAGGTCGGCCTGGCAGCCAAATACATTCAAGCGGGCTTCGATTGGGCTGAGCTGTAGTCGTATCTATTACATAAACAACACAACATCACAAATGGTTGGATGTCTCACTGACATCCTTGTCTGTGCTGTAGCCCTCAGCCAGTGCCATTCGATGATTGCGAGTGCCCTCTCAACCTCCTGAAAAACAGTGGTGAACACTGGACGCTCTTACTAGTCAATGTTGGTTCTGATCATTTTCAAGCCTTTCAATTCTGACAACTGGCACCACACGCACGAAGCAGGAGCTACAAGTAACGATGTTGGCAATAAGTGCCTGAAGACATCAGCCTGGCTTGAGCTGCAATTATTCAAAATTTATTCTACTATACTCTGTGCCGCCCAAGCTAAGAATCTCAGGGTGTGACGTCGCCCGGCACTTGCTCTCTACTTCTGATAGGTGCTCGAGTATTAAAACCGTTACAGTTATAGGAGTGTTCAAACGTTATACCCGCTGCCGCATCCCCCGGATCTTTTACTGGAGCAAGTTCGGTGCGGGGCGCTACTGCAGCGCAAATATCTGGCATCTATCCGTGGGCCTTTTCAATTTCCTCTCCGACCCCATACATTAATCCTTTCATCCAACGCACCCTCAGGTTGCTGGATACTCTCCCTAATCATCCCCAGAACGGACAGCTGTCATCAAACCACGCACTCAGAAAACCGCCAGATGACCAACATGGGTTTCAAACAGAGCCTAGACGCCTACCTAAGCGACATCACGACAACGGGACTTCTCAAGCCCAAGTCGCTTCAGTACGCCTTTGCCTCTTGCGGTTTGCTGACAATGGGTTTCCTCATGGCAGCAATCATCGCCGCCGATTTTCTCCCACCGATCAGTCCGATGTGGACAGCAGACGAGACAGCCGACTTTTACGCATCTCAAGAGAAGCGGATACATGTGGCCAGCGCTCTCATGATGTTCTCTGGGGCGTTCTTCTTACCCTACATTGTGGTGATTTCCGACCAAATGCGACGCATTCCCAACGTCCCATGGATCCTTCCCCAGCTCCAGCTAGCGTCAGGTGCGGGCTCTGTATTTACCTTCATGATGCCAGCAATGCAACTTGCCGCGACCGGATTCCGACCGTCCCGGAATCCAGAAATAACTGAGATGCTGAACGACAGTTTCTGGTTATATTTCATCATGCCCTTTCAGATATTTATCCCTCTCGGGTGGTCATGGGCTATCGCGATTCTGTACGACAACAGACCACAACCAATCTATCCAAAATTCATGTCTATTTTCATGTTTCTCTCACCGCTCTTCCTTCTATCTTCCGCAGCGATACACGCAACCAGGCAAGGAGCATTCGCTTGGAATGGCGCTGCTGGTTTCTGGATCCCTCTGGCTGTGTTTGCGATCCAGTTTTCGGGCGATTGGTTTTACCTGACCAGAGCCATCAAGAACGACTTTTTTGTCGCAGATCCGGCTAACCAAATATCGCCAGGAGGGGACGAGTCGAGGGGAAAGCTTTCTGTGTAGCACAATCGCATATGCATATGCGATTGTGTCCGTGGGCGGGGCTCAGTGCAGTGCCAAACAAAGTAGTCAACAGAAGAACGTTCGCAAGACCGAGAAATGATTACCAGTTGTTAGCTACACTCTGCAAATATAGGCAAATGTCCTTGATCTTGCCTCTGAGAAAAAATACACCATTTCTTTTGTTGAAACAACTCACAGTTGATCGATGGTTCTAGTTGATAAAGCACATGTGCACTCTTAGACAGATGGGCCGATTGGAGAAGCTTTGGTCGGATTCAATTCAGTGTCTTGAATCCTGGTCCAGCACGGTCGGAGTGCCTGTAGACGGTCTGGCGGTCTAGCGCCGGCCGGCCCGGATTCGGTGCAAAGGCGGGTCGCTCGAACCACCTTTTGGATGAATACTTAAGTAGTTTTCGTTTCCAAAGTTGACTGCTTCCAAGGTTCACTGCTTCCAAGGTTCACTGCTTCCAAGTGATTTCGTTTTTAATCCCCATACATATAAAATATATATAATACCTTCATATAATAGTAAATACTTAAAACCTAATATTTAAAGAAATATTATATTAATAATTATTAGAGCTATAGATTAAACACCTATAAGACTAACTAATAGGTTTATATACTCTATTTATCTTATTAACCTAAGTAGCCTCTATACCTCTTATAATATAGGATTGTAGCTTCACTACCTCCTTTATACTATTCCTTAAGTAACTTTAATTTTAAATTAATAATTCTTTATAGATAATTTAAGCCTTTTTTTACTATAAATTATAAAAACTATTTTAATAGTAATAGAAAATAAATATAATAGATAAATATATAATTAAACTTTATATTATATAAATAAAGTTAAAATATATTACTTTTAATAATATTATATTAATATTATAAATATAAATAACTTAAAGGTTAATAATTAATAATATAGTTATATAATAAAATTAAAATAATTTTAAAATAACTTTTATAAGAAAAAGATTTTATAATATAAAACTTAATAAGTTAACTTTTTTATTAATATACTTAATACTTTTAAATTTACTCTTATTAAATAAATTAAATATATTAAAATCTTTATTTTAAATATATAGTTAATAGAATAATAATATTATAATAATAAATATATTCAAAAAGTCTTTTATATAAGTTTTATAAAAAATAAAACTTTTAAAAAGTTAAATAAAGTTCCTTTATTATATATTAAATAAGTATTATATAAAAATTAAAAGTTTAAATATTTAAAAGTTAAATCTTCCTTCTTTAAATATATTATTTTATTATTAAAGATTTATTTATTTTTATATAATATATAAAGTATATAATAAAAATAGTTTTATAAAGAAAGTTAATAACTTTATTATATAATAATAAAGTTAAAAGTATATATTAAATAATTATTAACTTTATACTTAAAGTATAAGTTAATAGTTAGTCTAAAAGTTAAGAATATAATAAATAAATAAATAAATAGTTAAATAAAAAAATATAATGTAGCTAAAGCCTTACTGCTTCTAAGGTGTCTGTGATTGTTGCTGGTGCTCTATAGTGCCCACACAGGACTGTAATCTCATCATTGATCATGGCCGCTCCTGGCTAGCCGAAACTGACTCACACATTCAACCTCACTATTGTTGGAAGGCACGGTCGGGTCTGGCTGACTAAGCCAACTAACACTTATACCCGCTCCTTCTGAGCGCCGGGAGAGATCGTAGACTTCTCCCTAACATCAATCAATGAACTATCGTTTGCTCAAATAACTCATCAACTATAAGCGGCCCTGCGCAATTCTCCTCGGCTACTACTTCACACTCCAATATAAGCGTAGCTCATGGTTAGTTGCAAAGACCCCGATCCAAAAGTCAACATCTCCAGCATATGCTGAAAGCTGTGACCCGCTAGTCTTTGGGGGCAATCTAAAGTCGGCGGATGGGTCACTAGATGTCCATTTAACCGCGGGGAGTGACTGGATGACTTTACACAAGAGAACGGATATTCGCACAGGAAAAAACGGCTGGTACACAGGTATAATATTTCCTTCTAGGCTGTAGCTAATCAGAGGGCTTTATTCAACCTTCCTTGACTATACGCACCACTTAGATGAAGTACTTTTTATACCCCCACCTAGACCTACCAATTCACTCACCAAACAACACTCCCTCACCAACCGCCAAGAAGCCCTATATAAGGGCTTATTAGACTATTAACTAGCTGTTATAGGTTGACTTCACTATAAAGGATCTTATTGGTGATGAGAAGGAGACCTAGGAGGAAAGAAGTAGTAAACTATTAGACTAGAAGTGATGATAGGAGGATTAGAAATTGAGGGTTAATGAGGATATGTGTAGTTAATGAGTGTAAATTTTGGTTTTGTATGGTGAGTGGGTGGTGTAAATTAAGGTAGGCGTACTGGGGGGCATTTGTACCTGTGTACCGGTCGTTTTTCCTGTGCGAATATCCGTTCTCTTACACAAAGGCTATGCAGAGATCGATGCCAGGGTCTTCTGTTCTACAACTCCAGGCTTTGAACCGCAACTTCAGGTAGACATCGAGTACAAAGGCCGCATAGCTTTTCATGGACAGGTGTTGAAGCTGTTCAATGGCGAGAAGAAGTCTCTTGATTGGGGAGAAGGCTACTATTACACGACACCTCAGATCCATTGTAGGATGGACCGGCTCGCCTGGGTCAATACGTCAGTCTTTGTTGGCATGGGAAAGATGGATTTAGCTGATACTGGGCAACTTCAAGTCGTCTACAGAATCTTCAAAGTAGGCTAATGGCTAGATATGTCTGGAAAGTGTCATGCTGCCACTTGGCTGGTGATCTCTCATGCGGTCCGGCCGTAGAACCTGTTTATAACTTGATTACTAATCTCTGGGGGGATACTGTGCGTATTGAGACGGTTTCCGCGCTTCGGTAAGAAGACACTCCGACATCGAGGCGTCGTCACTAGCAGCTGCGCTGAATAAGCCCTTCTCGGCGATTGGTCCGGCCCGCGCGGGGTTTCATAGAGACCCGATGTACATCTTCCCTGAGTAGCTCACTTCGTACATGCGCCCTACTTGCTGTTAATACAGCGGTGAAATGCGTCCCATGAGTCAAGCGGTTGCACGATATAACCAACACGCAGTCACTCAACGATGCAGTGGCTCCTCGCATCAGAGACGATCACGACTTGTTGATTGTAATTCTAGATTGTTCTGAATATCATCCCGTCGAACTTCATCTCTAGCTGATAAAGATGGGAACTAACCTCCTCCGATGTGGTATGGCGGCTGTGGTTGAGGCGGTAGCACTCGACCATTATGCACTCCTCCCCTCAGGTCGACAGTTGCAGACATTTTTCACGCTGTTCCTTGTTCAATACGTTTCCCTGCAGCTTTTCTACGTCTTCGTGTGGCCGTTCTATTTCTCTCCTCTCCGAAAGCTGCCTGGCCCCAAAGTACGTGATGTCATTGATGCAAAGCGGCATATGCTAACGAATGCAGAATGGCTCGTTTATTCTCGGGCAAATCATCAACCAAGCCAAAGCTCTTCCCAGTGATCTAGAGACTCAATGGATGAAGATAGATCCGGATGCGCCTTTCATCCGGTATTTGTCACTATTCAACAGGGAGATGCTCATGGTCAACAACGTTCGAGCACAACGTGAGGTCCTACAGCTCAAGTGCTACTCTTTTGTTAAGCCTGAATACTGGGAGCGCGTCGTCGGCGAGCTGGCGGGAAGGGGCATCCTTTTCACTGAGGGGGACGAACACAAGCGACAAAGGAAGCTCCTCATCGGTTCGTGGTGTCCCATGTTATGGCATAGTATGCCAATAGACTAATATTGTATCCGAGCAGCACCCTTCTCTTTTGGTAATATCAAAAAGATGCTTCCCTTTTTCCATCAGAAGGCTCGGGAGACCACTCAATCCATCCAAAAGTCTCTCAAACAAGACAAAACAGTGATTGACCGTAAGGAAAGGTCCCGTTCCAGTATCACAACTCTTGCTGAATAGGCTATGGTAGTCTCGGGACTTTTGGCGCGAACGACCCTCGATATCGTGGGTCTGTCTGCCCTTGGATACGAATTGAACACCCTCTCTACTTCCTCTCCCCTAGCCAAGAGTTACGAGAAGATCTTCGAGTACGCGACGCCTCTGCAACTTCTCATTTCCTTTCTTAATACCTACGCACCTGTCCGAAGATTTCTGCCATTCGAGGCAAACCGGAATCATCTCAGAGCAACGGCCAATATACGCCAGATACTGCGGGAGCACATACGGGCCCGGAAACAAGAGTTCCACAACGGAAAGATCCGCGAAGAAAAGACGAGCAGGGACCTTTTGACCCTGATGATTGAAGAGTCACGAGACACATGGTCGGAGGATGAACTACTTGGATACGTGCGATGCCCTTTGCCCAATCAATGCACACTTCATGCCCATTCTTACATACTAGCAGTTGATGAACTTCATGTCCGCGTCGGTAAATTCCTTCTAGCGTTGGAACCAACAGCCAGAGTTGACTTATGGATTGACTATAGGGGACATGAGACGACCGCCGGCGCTCTGTGCTGGGCTTTGTATGCTCTAACGCTCCACCCAGACATGCAAAAGAGACTACGGGCTGAGATTCTGGAGACGGTAACTTCCGACTCACCGTCTCAGAATGAGCTGGAGAGCATGACATACATGAACAATTTCACTCGAGAGGTGTTACGTTTCTATCCTCCCGGTATGACTCTAGGCATGTCAGACACTCACTAGCGAAACGCCGCTGACCAAGAGTAAAGCCCCAAGTTTTCCTCGTCAAGCAAACGAAGACGTCGAGATCGAAGGCGTCAAGATCCCCAAGGGTACCATAATCATGATTGCCCCGGCAGCCCCTCATTTCAACCCTCGTATCTGGGGTCCCGCCGCCGAGGAGTTTGATCCCGATCGGTGGGATAACCTTCCCCAGACAGCCCAGGACCCGTACGCCCAGGTGGCTTTCTCGAATGGGCCAAGGGTTTGCATCGGAAGAGCCTTCGCACTCCTGGAATTCAAAGCGATTCTTACCGAGCTGATTCGGAATTTTGCGTTCGAGAATACTGGGCCAGTCGAGCCGCAAAAGAGTGGGCCGAGCCTCAGGCCTCTACATGGAATGAACTTGCGGGTCACTCCAGTATGAAGGGCTACAACTTAGCAGGTCTCGACGGCAACCGAAGGCCGCTATTTCTAGAGGTCAGACGCTGCTCAATCATCTACTCCACGACAGAGCACAACTATCGTCGATATTGAGGTCGTCTTTCTCGGTGGCTAGAGTCCGTTTTCAATTCGAATAGGGCCCCCGACGGGATGAACTTTCAATCCGACAGCTGTATCCTCTGCGTGCAAGTCTGCTCCGCAATAAATATGCCAAACAGAAAGTCCTTACGGGGCCAACCTCAAAGGACAGAAGATCTCCCGAGCAAGGCCGAAAGAATTTTTTTTAAAGGAATGCACAGTCCTGTCATCACCTCATCTTCCCTGCCGATGTGTGGCAAGTACATCTCCCACCGCCGCGCATTAATACTTGCCATGCCAACGAAACATGGTGTCACATACCCAAGTATGCAGTCGACATGAAGGTCAACTTGGACTGCCCATGCTACAGTATCACTCAGCAAATTGAATCATCATTAGACCTTATTGAATTCATTTTTGAACACCCAGTGGTGTCGGTTACCTCAAAATTGACGAACTGTAAGAGTCACTCTCGTCTAAACACCTAATCTCAAGATGACGGGGTTTCCCTGTTACCCAATTGAACACCTTTCTACCAACCCTCTCCAATCCAACCCGTTCACACCCGAGTCCACTCAATACTCCGTGATCAAAATGCCGCAGTGAGGGATGCATCATGGCACAAGTGACAGGTCTGTCTCACTACTCGCTGTTGTCTTCGCTGCACCCTGGCCCTTGTTCTCGGTCGACTCCTTCTCGTGGCCGTGTAGGATGTTGAAGTTCTTGAACTTCCTCGAATGCAAGTGGATGTTAAACATATGGTCCAACTCCTCAAACGTGCGACCCTTAGTCTCAGGGAGACAGAAGAAGCAGAACAACGCACAAAGCCCGCCGATGCCCGCGAAGATGAACCCGATCTTGCCGCCGAGGTTTGCCTGGTCTTGGTTGATGAGGAACGGGACTCCGACGGCCAGGGTGATTGCGCAAACCTGGTAAAAGGCGGAGGAGAGTCCGATGTTGAACCCTCGCAGGCGGGCCGAGGACACCTCGGACATGAGGACGAAGCCGTAGGGGCCGATTGTGATGTCGTAGACGAGGTTGCATGTGATTATGACCGCGCTCTGTCCCCATGAGGATGGGGCTGTACCCGTCGCTGGGCGAGGGATAAGGTCCAAGATCCCAATCAGGCCCTGGAGCCCGGCGAGGGTGATGCAGCCCCAGAGATAGGCGTCGCGGCGGCCAAGGAACTGCAGGAACCACCATGCGAGGCAGGATCCGATGAACCCAATCGCGTTGACCCCCACGTTCATGCTGAAGGCGTTGTCGGCGCTCAGGCCGGACAGCTCGAAGAAATAGACGGCGAAATCGTGGAATACGACAGCGCCGACGAGGGCTTGTATGGCGTAGACCATCAGACAGATGATGAGGCGTCGTCGGTCGGTGCCCTTGAAGCATTCCCTCATCTTAGCCTTGGAGCCCTGCTTCGATTCGTTCTCGATGCGGAGCGTTTCGCGGACGAAGCTCAGTTTATGGGTAGGGTCAACTTCTGCCACCGCGAGCCGGCGCAGGGAGTTTTCTGCGGCCTCGTACTCTCCGCGCTTGCACAGCCAGTACGGAGGGTCAGGTAGGAAGTTACCGAGGGTGAAGACCAGCATGATGACAGGCAGTGGCCACTGGCTTGCGATAGGGAACTTGTAGGCCCAGTTTGAAGCAATGTTGTTGGCGATCTTGAGGATGCCCGAGCCCATCAGCTGGCCGGCGACGAGCAACATGTTGATGGCGGAGGCAGCGAAACCACGGAGGACGACGGGGCACACCTCGCCCACGTAGGCGGTGGCACAGACGGTGAAGAACGAGATGACACAGCCGTTGAAAAAGATGCCGGTCACCAGTTGTGCTGGGTGCGTGGCGAAGAATTGGACAAAGACAAAGCCGATGGAGAGGGCTGAGCTCAGGGCGATGACTCTTCGGAGGCCGAGGCGGTCGTAGGCCATTCCTGCGCAGAAGGCGCCGATGATGGAGCCAACCTTGTTAGCATAGTTGAATGCGCCCAGCCAGTGGGCTTCGATGATGTACGCGCCTTCGTACTCGACGCCGAAGTGCTGCTTGAACGGCCCTATGCCGACGAGGGCGCCGATCACCTGCCCATCAAGGCCTTGGCAGAGCGTCGCGAGGTTGACGACAAGTGCCCACAAGACAGCAGGGTAGTAGAGTTTGATAGCGCTGGTGAACGTCATGGCATGCTCTGTTTCCGTGTACCGTGCGGCCCTCTCAGACTCGTGTTCGAGAGGTAGGTCGACTTTCGATCCAGTCTTTGATGCCACTGGGGATGAAGCACATGGTGTGTTGACAGCTGTTGTGTCGGCCGTGTCTTCTGTTGAGTTGACAGCCGTGCTGGCGAGGCTTTCAATGTTCAAATGATTGACAGCTGAGGCGGCTCTGCTGCGTGGATGAGCAGCAGGACTCGAAGCGACCGCCACCAACTGCGGAGGAAACACAATTTCAGACATGATGCAGGAATGTCTGGGTTCAACTCTGGTCCGGAGATACCAGAAGAAAACGATCTGGCACAGGACTGTCCAAGTTTGAGATTGCGAAGTTGAGGGCTGTGGCTGTCAGCCCGGGGAACACGGTGTTTTACAGGAAGTGATGGAGGAAACACTAATCCCCGATGATCCGGGATGATTTAAGAATGCTCTTTCAAACAAAAAGCGGCAATTAATCCCCTTGGTCTCATTGGTGTCGCCCCTACTCTAGTAGAGATTGTTGCGCAGAATGATATTGGACTGAACACGGGAAAAAAATTCCGATTGTGCATCTCCCGCGCATCACTACGGTGCCAGCGGCCGGGAGCCATGTATCTTAGTGCTAACTTTCACACCACTAGGGGGACACTACTTCAAGTCTTGTTAGATACTAAGTCCCTAGAAGAGTTGATGGGAGAGATGCCAGAATTATCTGGCTCCAATCCAGGGCTACTTCTGACCGACTAAGTCACATGTGCATCTTAGCTCAACTAGCCCTCAGACAGTCTCGTTGCCAAAGCGATAAAAAGACACTTCTGAGTAGGAGGCAGTCAATAGAACTTCATGCCCACACATCGAGACCCCATCAGATCGAAGAGCCCATCAGATCGTGTGTTGCATTGATTTAGATTCTGCACTATGAGTGTCTCGCCTGTGAAAATTTGAAAGGCTGTGGAGACCCGGATGTTGCTGTTCAACCGTACGTAGCAATGTGAGACACTCGCACCCAGTCGCGTAAAGGCATACACTCGTTCGAATTGGGCAGTGTAGAGCGGTTAGTGGCGGATCTGTATAACACATATTTGTGAATACGGTACGATCCCCGCATGAGTAACCGTGGTTCAGATTCATATGCGTACAAATCTGGTGCCGGGTTAAGCAAACGTTCACCCGTATTCCTCCCGACGCACGAAACTATGCTTGGCAACCCACGATTTGCGGCTTTGTGCGACGTCACTCTGTCTATGTCACTTTCTTAACACTACCCTGTGGAGCTGCGGTACTTACTCGTCTCGCGGTCGATGATCAGAGAATGTTGATGTGTCGCTTTACGGGCACTATTATTCGGCAGTCGCTGGTTTCATTTGCAGCAAAGATCTTACAAGAGAGTAAAAACTTAAATTCAGTCCCTGTTGACATCATTCTCATGAAAAACAAGTACCCGGACCTCGATACTCTGTCTAGGCTCCCTGTCGACCATGTCCGGGTCAGTGAAAGCAGCGTGTGGGACCCTGCGAGCACGGCCGTCGGTCTTCCAGTCATAGCATTTTATCAGCATGACCTGCCCTGGGGACTGCTGGCTTTTGTAGTACCAGCGATGATTCTTGTTGGGGTGGATGGTGCACGGCTCTCCCACCCAGCCCGGGTGAAGCAGCTTGACTGGCAGGATGTCCTCATCCGGCACCGAGTGAGAGTCGCATACAGCCAACGGGTCCTTGTAAATGGTCTGGATCGGACGCCACACGTTGATGATTTGGAAACGGGATTCAAGCAGGCGCTCGGCGTCTTCGCCTAAATGGCGCGTGACTTGCTGCCTTGCAGCCCAATCAGACTGGTCGATGTGTGCCCGCTTCACTGGCCGTCGTTCATCATCTGAGCTTGCAGCTGTGGGATTTGGGCGCCGAATTGTGTGGTCAAAAACAAACAATCGTGAAGCCCCGGTCCTGGTTTCCATGGTCAGCTCGATGCTTGCACAGTGGCGGAATCGACCTGCAGCATTTGCAAGGACATACACTTCTCGGACTAGTTGCTCTACCTCCGGATAATACTCTTCCTTTATGCGTTCGTCGTCGTCAAACACTTTCATCTGGCTTACGTTGTCGACGAGCTGGAACCCGTGACTGTCGAGAGTGAACTGATCCTCGCTCCCAGTGATGTCGGTGACAACAGTGTCCTGCTCAATAGAAGGCTGGTTGAACGTGCTCCTTTTGCCCGCGATACTCGGGGCATGTTGGGTTCCGTCGCCAGGGTCTCTGTAGTAATTGATTGTGGTTTGAACATGCCGTGGCTTAACACCTAAGGCGGGCTGGACACCAAAAGTTGGTGACATCATCTGGGTTTTTTCCACCAGCATTGTAACAGTTTCTTCAGTGGTTCGCGATGTTCTGTGCACAATTAGAGCAACTGACTGGCGGCAAACTTGGGCAGATATTACTGTGTCATGTCATCGTGTTCGGCCAACAAACAACCAGGCGCTAATTCGCTAAACGGCAACACTCCGGGTCGGGGGTCTTGGTTGGGAAGCATGCCGTCTCCCACTTGAGCATTGCACATGACGTTTCATGTTTGCAGCGGCCAGGTCTTCCAATGTGGCCAGTACCTGAAGCTTAACAGAAGGACACTGAACATCGCCTCACTAACAAGCTGCCTGAATTGAAGCAAATGCATCCTGAAAAGCAGAGCGAAAAGGTAACAAGTCCTACAGGGCCGGAGCCTGGCCGTTGTAAGAACAGGGCTCGGCATGGCTCGTCTGCTTCGCGACGGTACAAATATACTTGTGCAAATACATCTTGCTTTTGACGCTCAGTCAGCTGGCGTCAGCTGATGTCAGCTTCATGGTGATTTTTAATCTCGAAGCATTTGAGATTGGCCAGTCCGAGGGATCTACAGTGACCTCGGGAGATGCCAGTGGTGGATGACCTGAGTCGTTCAACGTCGGTATTCCCCCGCTTTCGTTTAAGCCCCGAGGGGAAATGACAGGGTTATAGCCAGTTCACCCCAGCTAGGAACTATTACTGCTGTCTACTCGAGCAACAGACTGTGCATGCCAGTACTCGGCCCACGCACATCCAGTATATTGAGTATGGCTATCACTGCAATACCCTCATCCATGGGGCCGATTTTGGCGCCTGGCTCGGCCGCGACCATCGTGGCCATCTCATGCGTAAGTCACCCAGTGCGCAACTGTGGTAGTGATATTCGCAACGTTCTGACAAATTCGAACAGTGCGTAGTCTATATAGTCTACTATGTTATTTACAATGTTTTCTTCCATCCTTTGGCGAGCTTTCCAGGCCCTTTGCTGGCGCGATCATCGCTCGTGAGTCAATATTATTGTCCTGGACGCTTCATTGAACAACTCTGATCTGAGGGACGCCATTAGATATGGAGGATCTATCATTCCATGACTGGAAAGTTCCACCTGGCAATTCAGCATCAACATCAAAAACTTGGTAAGTCCGCTCTTCCGACCTGGAGAGGAGTGGTGAATTAACCTATGACAAGGCCCCGTGGTGAGGATCTCCCCAAATGAGCTATCCTTCGCTTCGGTGCAGTCCTGGAGAGACATTTACGGCCATGCTACTGGAGGGAGACAGATAATGACCAAGAGTGAATTTTATGACATGTATGGATCCGGCTTCGATTCGCTCTGTATCGGCAGCGAGCGAGATCCAAGAAAGCATGCGCAAATGAAAAAGTCACTGTCAGCCGCATTTTCAACCAAGGCACTGGTGCAGCAAGAGGACATCGTTAGACGGTGTGTGGATGGCTTTGTCCAGCGTCTTGGAGCGGATGGCGCATGCGAAAAGGGACTCAACATGACAAAATGGTTTGAGATGATCGCATTTGACATCCTGGGTGAGATGGCGTTTGGAGAAACCTTTCACTGCATCGAGAATGGTAAGTCGGCCCAGTAACGAAGCTGCTAATTGGAAGCTGGTATTGATTTCTCAAGGCAAACCGCACTTCTGGTCCGAGATGGTCGTCAAGCATCTGTTCTTCGTCACGGTGTTGGACAACTTGCGGCGCTACCCGGTCGTTGCGGCTCTTGGACGACGCTGCCTGCCTCGTCTGACGGTCTCTGTCCGTGACCGTCACTCAGGCTACAGCCGGGCAAAAGTGGCAAGGTACGCAACTTCTCGCGGATAGTACTTCGCGTGTATGGCTAACCTTGCGCCAGGAGATTGAACTCTAGTTCGGGACGAGAAGACTTCTTGACAAATATCTCGGAAAAGGTCAAGAGTGGCGAAGTAAGCCAGGAAGAAATGACTGCCCACGCATCCACCTTAGTGTAAGTGCCCCAGACTCTTGTATCCACTGGAACCTGGCTGACGGGGGCCACTTTAGCATTGCCGGTGGAGAGACAGTCGCCACGTTTCTAGCTGCGGTCACCTATTTGCTCCTCAAGAACCCTTCGACATATAGTAGGCTGCAGAAGGAGATCCGTGACCGTTACAAGAATGCCGATGAGATCACGGCCATGTCTGCACAGCAACTACCATACCTGCAAGCGGTCATCTCCGAAGGCCTAAGGATATACCCGCCTGGGTCACAAGGATTTCCGCGCACCTGCCCCGGTGCCACAATTGACGGACACTGGGTACCACAGGGGGTAAGTTGTCTGTTGGCTGTGTCAAATGAGGGCGTCAGTTGACACATCATCCCAGGTCGAGGTTTATACGAGTGCATGGACCGTCACTCACGACGAGAACTATTTTCATGACCCATACGAGTTCAAGCCAGAACGTTGGCTTGATCCGGCTCGCAAAGACAATCTCGAAGCGAGTCAGCCATTCTCCCTGGGCCTGCGTGGCTGCCTTGGGAAGAAGTGAGTAGGATTTCTTAGTGCAGATTTCTCCCGGTTCCAGATTCGCGCTTTAAGCTAACCCCTCCATCCAACTTCTGCAGCTTTGCTCTGGTTGAGATTAACCTGATAATGACGAAAATGCACTTCGCCTGCGACATGGAGCTTCAGGATGCGAATTTGGACTGGTTCCAGCAGAGCCGAATGCATGTGATGTGGAGTAAACCGGCCATGCATGTGAAGTTCTTGCCTGCAAGGAAGTAGGGGCGCGTTCCCAGGATTTCATCTTCTCTTTGTTGAGGTGATGGTGAAGGAAGGCATACGCGTCCTCGACGGTCCAATGCGCCCAGTAATACGGTGACATGGAGTTGTAGCAGAGTTTTCGGTACTTGGGGTTCGTACATATCCTTCGTCGCATAAATCGCGCGATGGGATCTGCTGATAATCCGAGCCTATCCAAGCCGTCTCTCCACTGAGGGTCGTCTTCGTCAATTGCATCATCACAGCCTTTATGATTCCGCAGGTAATGAAATACCGCGTCTATTAATCTCCTCTCACGTTCCAAGAACAGGGCCTTTCGGCGTTTCCACTCTGGTATGATGGTCATTGCCGCTGTATCGGCGTCAAATCCGCAGAATATCAACAACTCCAATGATTCGAGATTCTCTGGTATCCCAAGGTCGGCGGGGTCTGCGAACTTGTAGATTGACGTTTTTCGCCGGCTTCCGTGGTGCTCTGTAGATGGCAGGCTGGAGTCTACTGCTTTCTCGCTCAAGGCTGTCATCGCTGGTTGTGTGCCGGATGAGGTTAGTAAAATTGCAGGAGTCTTCGTATTCATCACTTGAGCAAGAGTGATATGGAGTTGTGGATACTGATTCACAGTCTAGTTGCCGCAGAGCTGGACTGTCCCTGATATGGTCATGCAGAAACCAACCCAAGTAGTGCCAGACCGATTTGTTTGAAAGCGTCCATCCCAAAGTCAAAAAGAACTGTTCAGGTCACGGACTATCTACCCTGGGGTAGGAATTATGGATGCACAGCGTACACATCAGCTAAGGTCATACTGATCGAGGCCAGACATCATAAAAGTGTTTCAAGAAGCGTTCTTGTTATAATACCCTACATAAGTGCTTTCGCTTTTATTCTATATATGTCCGAGGACATATATGGTACCTTTATATAATAGTAAGCACTTAAAACCTATTACTTAAAAAGATATAATGTTAATAACTAAAGTTGTAATATGATAGGTGCTTATAGCCTCAGCCTTATGACGTACAGACAAGGCTAAGTAAGGGCTACTGTCTTGACAACGGCGTTGACCAGAATCGTGGACACAAGTAGCGCACGTGCTAGTCGCCGCGAACACCCTACATAAACAAGAGGCAGAGCATGGATTCCAAGTTAAAACCTTCTAGTGGTATGACCCCATATGGTGGTATTATATATATGTAGGACTGTTTGCATCCTTTGGGTCCTATGTTAAGAGGGACCAAAACCACACATGTAAGTATCCTAGGAGGACAAGGCCATTTGTCTTTCAAGATAAAAACAGTAACTTTTCCCAGTAGGGCTTTTCATAGTGACTTTCAAAAATTCTTCTGAACCCATTGCATTCTACGTTCTAGGGCCAGATTGTCCCCACAGCGTGTTCAATGTTGCGGCCAGGGGCCCGGACCCGAGTCTGCATGAAGGCGGAACCGCCCAAAACGGAAATGCTCCGAGCCGAATTCGCCCTAGCCAAACGAGAGGCCCTGGGGTATCGGTACCAACAATTTTGGCTAGAAGCTAACAACACAATTTGGGTGAGGCATCGTAGTAAATTAGTCGTACCGAACCCATCCCGAGTAAATTCGTCACAAACTCGTCTTGTCTGCTGACCATTGTACAGAATCCTATTACCCACCTCCACCATGGCTTCTTCAATTGCACTGCCGGAGAAAGTCGCTAGGGAAGATGCTGATCTGCGGGTCGTATCCCTTCAGGGTCTCATGGATGGAGATGGAATTGCGAAGGAGAATTTGTTGAAGGCGTGCACCGACCTGGGATTTTTCTATCTCGACTGCCGGGATGTTGACTCCGGGCGCGTAATGGAAGACGTCCAAAATATGTACACGCTCGCCAAAGGCTTCTATGACCTTCCCCAGGAGAAGAAAAATGAATATTTTGTGGACAGAGACCACGACGAAGATCTCGTTTTCGGGTGGGTTGATATTCCCAGGAGATAGCGTACAATGGCAAGTTGACCTTTTTCGCCAGATATAAGCCAGCGGGCCATGGAAATGGGCCGGTGGAGGGAGTTAAGGATGGGTTCGAGGGATTAATGGTAAGGTTTCCCATTCTGCATCCCTGTGACCTTGACTGATGGCGTACAGCTCATGGAACATCCCATTTCTAAAATCAACGACGCCGCATCATTTCCAGGCCCCGAGGCTCTTTCGTCCCGGCTTTCGCCCCTGAAGCGGGCGAATTCGACCTTCCGTGACATTAGCACGCTCCTACTCACGCGCATTTCTTCGGCGTTGGGATTACCGGATAATCTCGCGTACCAACAATACCACCGCAAGGACAAGGTTTGCCCAACCGCTCTCGGTCTTCTCAAGTACACGCTCGCCGACATGGAACCGGAAAAAGTGGGACAGATTGCCCACACTGATGCTGGCAGTCTCTCCATCGTCTTCACTGAGGTTGCCGGCCTACAAGTCCTGAAGCCAAATGAGGAGCAATGGTACTACATAGCACCGAAGCCGGGCCACGCGGTGGTGAATGTTGGTGATGCTCTCCGGTTTATCTCTGGAGGCGTTCTGGAGTCAAGCTTGCACCGCATAATTCCACACAAGGACGAGAAAGGGAGGCATAAATACTCCATTGTCTACCTGTTGCGGCCCGAAATGGATGCTGAGTTTGTGGATGCTGAGGGCGTAACTTGGAAAGGTTTGGAATGGACCAACAAGAAGCATGCAGTGTTCCGCGCGTCAGCCGAGGAGCAGGCCCAGGGTACTTATTTGACTGGGAGAGACGGGTATGTTGGGCATTGGAACCCTGAGCAAGATCCGGAGGGCCAGACAATCACAGTTAAGTGATATGTGGGCTCAGATGATATCAACTACGTAGCTTGAGAACCTTCAGGGTCTTTCGGTTTGTTTCATTATTTGTTTCCCGTTACGATATGGCATTTACGACCTTCAATGAAGTGCTCTTGATTTTCATTAAGCGATACAACTTTCTCAAATACGATCTCCAATAAACCATCTTCTACACAACCTCAGGCTGTCCTTCAATCGGACCTTGGCTTCACCCTGACTTTCATAGCTGGCTTCTGCCACAGAGTGTGCATCTCGGACTCAGCATGCCAGTCAAGGCTCTTATCAACCATCTCTAAGTTATACTTGAAATGGATCTTGGCAAGAATTGTGCGCATTTCCATCCAGCCCAGGCTGCTCGGAGGACTTTCTGTTAGCAGATATATCTCGTATGTGAAAGATCTGAATTGTGCATACCTTTGCCCAAGACAATTCCTACTGCCGAGCGAGAATGGCTGGCACGCGTCGAGAATATCGCGACTTTCAGTGCCCGTCCATCTTTCCGGGTCAAATACCCATGGATCTCGGAAATTCTCAGCTGACATGGACGCCGCAAAGGGGCTGGTTGATACTATGGTCTGTATCGCTTTGGTTAGCACGTCTGTGGAGTCAGGATACTTAGTGTTCAAGAGCAAACGGGTGAAGCCATCACACTTACACCGCCAGGGACGAATTGCCCGTCAACTATGCCGCCCTCTGGTGGCACGACTCGCGGCAATGGGAACGGCAGGGGTGGATACATTCGCATTCCCTCCAGAATGACAGCCTTCAAGTACCCCAGTGGCGCTGTCGAAGCGTCGTTGATCTCGTCGTACGATTCAAAGGAGGTGCGGATCTCTTTCTGCAAGGTGTTCAATATGTCTGGGTTCTTTTGGAGATAATACGTGATGCACGCAAGAGCTGTGGCAGTGGTTTCACTACCCGCGATTCTTTAGGAACAGTTAGCGCATCGAAACTTGATAAAATCGCTGGAACAGAGCCCGTACACAAAGTCCGAGGAGTGCGCTGCAATTTGCACGTCTGACAGATTGTCTTCCTCACGATGCTCTAGAATCTTTGTTAAAAAGTCTTTGCGGTCCGTCTCTTGGTTGATTCGTCTTGATGTTTATCAGTCAGATTCAAGGCTATAATCTTTTTGGTTGGAGATGAGAAACTTACTTTTGAACCAGGTCCATGGTGTTGGCCTCGTGACGACGCGTGTCTTCGATCAGCTTTTTGAGAAGGCCGGGGAAAAGGGTCTTGAAGATTTCTCCGATCAGGGGAAATCTCTTGAAGCAATCTGCCAAAGCACCCAGGCGAAGACTCTTGACCACAATTGCGACCCAAGGATGTTCCGTGCCTAAGATTTACAGCGTTAGTGATATTATCTGCAACCTGAGGGCGTGTACTCAAGCTTAAATGCTAACCAGTCTTGATGCCATCAAATGATTGGCCGAATGCCAGACTTCCGATGACTAGATTCACATCCAGTGGTCAGCTTAGTATTATAGAACTCACAACAGCTGGAGTACTCGTCCTAGCAATTCCGAGCAGTGAGCACTGAGGACAGGTTCCAACAACATACTGTCAAATGTTGCGAGATTGTACCATGTTACTATGTCGATTCCCGGGCCATCTTTGCCCTCGTCGCCTATCTTAGTTACGAAGCGGTCAATGACTTCAGAGATGAGATACTCCTGTTCTCGAAGCGAGCGGTCTGAGAAGGCATCACGGAGATATCTCCGCATGTTAGCGTGCTCGTCCGGGTCCCGCTCGCTCACGATGGAGTGCGCTTCAGCTGCAAAGTTACCGCCATCGTAGAAGTCGCTTTTGATAAAGGTTGCGTAACCCTTCTTCTTTTCGTAAATGTCTCTCCATGATTGGGCGGTGTTGAATGACAGCTCATTGGGGGCGACCCTCACAACGGGGCCTGTAGTTGCACAAATAAGCTTTGATCCCTGAGGCGGACATGACTCGATGCACACCTCATACTTACCATACTTCTCGTGGAGCTTAAGCAAGTCATATGGCTGTCGGCCACCAAGAAACCTTTTACAGTGAGAGAACTGCCGCCGCATAATTCGTCAGCATTGCTTCCACCATCCTCCTGATGGTACCCGTGGACGGCCTTACATCGCTTAGATGGGCCAAGGCAGGGCCTGGGAAGCGGGACAGGGGATGTCTCCACGCGGCAATCAGTCTCACGATGATGTAAGACACAGTGACCTATAACGCTCATCAATATATATCCAGAGCACTGCTTTCTTGTCTTCGGATTACTCACAAGCACCGAGGCCGAGAAGATAACGGGGCCGAGGGGCTGGTCGGAGAGGTTCATGGTGGAGTCTGTGGCAAACTAGGGGGCGCAGTGATCTCGAGCGTATGGACGCCTGCAACTGGATTCGTGCTTGGATGGTCTTTCTGGCGTATCCTCCTGTCACGTTTGAAGGTCAATGAAGTCTTCGCGAGCTCGAAAGACCGTGACATCGGCATGCTTAGCCCCGGGAACGGTTACCCGAACCATGGCCCAAAGGGGCAGCCCTCCGGACCCGTTCTTGGCGGCGGCTATCAAGGTAGGGGGCCGAGCCCCGAATCGCAGGGATTGGGCACAAGCTGTGGTGCGGCTTCTGTAAGAAATACATCAGTCCAAGACCACCCAAGTGCATCGTAAGATAGGGCGGAGGTCTCCGCAGTACCACTCGGCGTATCATCATATTGAATTGCTTGTGGATATCATAGCGAATCAGTTCACCACACACTGTGCATCCTACCATCAGCAGTTTGGAGAAACGGAACGGGATCACAACCAAAATGACCACTCTCAAGATCGAAGAGCGCGATATACCGCAGCTAACTGGGAAGAATGTCATTATCACAGGTATAATCCAAGCACATGTTCGATCAAATCCAGGGTGGCCCTGACTTTGCCACGACAGGAGGTTCATCTGGTATCGGACTGGCCTCCGCGGAGATCATGGCTTCTAGAGGAGCACACGTCACCATTCTGGATATTTGTCAGCCACAAGAAACTTTAAACATGGGCATTCAATATCAGAAATGCGACATCAGCAACTGGGCTGAGCTCAGCGCTGTCTTCTCGGCCTCGAGCCCCGTCCATATCGCGGTCGCGAATGCCGGACAAGGTGAGGACGGGTCGTATTTGAAGGACTCATACGATGAGCAAGGCAATCTCCTTGAGCCTAAATATAACGTTATCGATACCAACTTCCGAGGGACTCTGAACTTCATCAAGCTTGCGTTGCATAACATGAAGAAGAACAGCATCAAGGGGAGCATCGTGATCACATCGAGCGCCACTGCGTATTCTGCAGAACAGTCACTGCCGGTTTACAGTGGCACGAAGGCAGCAGTAGGTGGCCAAGCCCTCCTTGTTCCAGATATGGTTTATTGACCGACCCATGAGCATAGCTGATCAACTATATGCGAGCTATGCGTTCGTCTCTCCGTGGTTCGGGCATAACTATCAATGCGGTTGCCCCGGCGGCCACAATAACGGGCCTCTTGCCAGCAGACTTGGCTGCTCCCATAATGGCCGCCGGCCTGCCTGTAAGCACCGCGCATTTTGTGGGTCTGGCGGTTGCCTATTCGGCGGTTGCATCCGAGCCAGATAAGGTCGAGGCCTATGGAAAAGACTCGGCGGAGTGGAAGCAGAGCTCAGGTCGGTGGAACGGGAGAACTATCCTCACGCTGGGTCAGAGATACACGGAACTGGAGGGCCCGATCTCCGACTGCCGTGACAAATGGTTTGGTCAGGACAATCTGCGAGAAACCAAGTTGCAACAAGCGGCCACCGATTTCCGAGGCCTGACTTAAGTGCGCTGCTATATTAACATGACGGTAATAATGCCAGGCTGCTTAAATTATTGTTCCAGTATTTGAATTATTATCCTACCTATGCAGCGCTTGAACTAATATCTTTTCAGCCCTAAGAATGTGAAACACAGCAATACTGAATACCAGGATCATTCAGTGAGTTCTAATGTTGGTGGGCTAATCCACCTTGTAGACTGACAGCCGCATCTTGTGTCAGGAACCTGCACCTGAAGTCACCCTGTATTTCCCGCGTTGACTTCTATAAATGATTCAAGTGGGACACCATGAGCCCAAGCAAGACATTGAAGAATTCGCATATTGCGGCCTTTGCTCCTTGCGGAATAGGGTTTTTGTACTGCCACCATCAGTGCGGGTGATGCGTTTTGAGGAGCTTGCTCTTGCTGCGGCGACTCGGCGACTCCTGCTTTTGGAACAAGCTTCCGTTTGTCTCCGCCTCGCACGGTTTCCTGTTCGGTACGTCCCGACCTCACAGGGACCAAACCGCCGGAAGCCTTCCCAGATGCAATCTGCGCACCACATGTTTCACTGCGAGGTCAGCGTTGCAAGTGGGGCCGGTCCTCTTTTCTGAGTTTGCGCAAAATATAACAACCAGCCTTATGGAAGCAATGGAACATCAGATTACTTTATTTCATTGACGGACTGACTGGCTTCTATCAAACTTTGTTTAATGATTTCCCTACAGCCCAACGTTTCGGTGGCAATCGCCGTCGGCGACACGTCGCCAGACGTGTTCGCCAAGCCTGCCACTCAAACTCACCGCCCCAAAGCCGCGGTACCTCCGGTGCCTTCAGCTCTGTTCACGCCCAAAATCCACCCAAGGGTGGCGGAGGTTACTGCAGAGGTGGATGCGTACTTCCTGAAGCACTGGCCATTCGAAAATGACAAGGCGAGGAAGAAGTTCGTGGCTGCGGGCTTCTCCGCTGTCACTTGCCTGTACTTCCCAGAGGCTTTGGACGGTAGGATAGCTTTTGCTTGTCGGCTGCTTGCATTACTATTCTTAATTGATGGTAAGTGCCCTTGGCTCGGTCGCCCCTGTGGATAGAACAGCTCGATCTAACATGTCACTGTCCCAAAAGACCTCCTTGAGGACATGTCGCTCGAGGATGGATCAGCCTACAACGAACGGTTGATCCTGCTCTCCAGAGGAAATCATGCGCCTGATCGCAGCATACCAGTGGAGTGGATCACGTACGATCTGTGGAACGAAATGCGCAACTGCGATAAAGTGCTTGCGGACGAAATATTAGAACCCGTCTTCACTTTCATGCGGGCACAGACCGACAAGAGTCGTCTCGAGATCGCGGAGCTCGGGGAGTACTTTAAGTATCGCGAGAGGGACGTTGGAAAGGCGTAAGCGATCTTTTCTACTTGCACTACGATTGCAGATTTATGCTCATAAGATTCCAGGCTCTTGTCAGCTCTAATGCGCTTCGCCATGAACTTGCACGTCAGCCCCGAGGAACTTGAAAGCATCAAAGAAATCGAGATGAATTGCTCCAAACACATTTCCGTCGTGAATGACATCTACAGCTGGGAAAAGGAATTGAAGGCCTCCCAGACGGGCCACAAGGAGGGTTCGGCGCTATGTTCCTCTGTTTCGGTTCTGTCTGCAGAAGCAAACCTGGAATACTCGGCGTCGAAGCGTGTTCTGTGGGTTATGTGCCGAGAATGGGAGTTCGTGCATGAAGAACTTGTTGCAAGGAGACTGTCGTCTTCTGAGCCATGCAGCGCTAATTTGAGCGCATTCATGAAGGGGTTGGAATATCAAATGAGTGGTAATGAGGCATGGAGCGAGACTACCCCACGCTATCACTCGGTTTAGTCTGGAGTGGCTTGATTAACTTTTGTACATTACCCATTTTTACATAGCCTTTGAAATTGTTTTTTTCTTTTTCGTTTTCCAAACGCTGGGTCTTGACCGTTTACCACTGTATAATACGCTTGATATGTATGGGGATTAGGAACAAAACCAGTTTTACAAACCTCACGGAAACACGCTTCAATCTTCGAATTTGATACACGAGCGAGCCTCACTGCAGTTTTGTCAACTACGTCTTCCAGGATGGTGAGACCTGATAGAAAATGTGGGGTTTCTCGGAAGGATTCAGAAAACTCAGGCGCTTTGCCGGAAGAGGTAACCACTCTCTGGCTTGGCACGCGTAAGCTGAATCCTTCGACCGTGAGCCGCCTCTCATAAATCGACCACACTACCCATCGCGCCTAGCAAGTAAACAGTATACCTCGGGACCCCAATGTGCCGCGCAGCTCATGCATGTACGCCTGCCATCGGTTTCATCAGTCGAACCACTGTTACGTGTACTTGGACGACAAAACTTGGCCCCCATCGAAGCTAATCAAGATGAGGCAGACGGGGGAACTGCCTTTTATTGTGACGATAGGGGTTCCTAATAAGCCGGATACGAAGACACAGACCTTCATCAGGAGCCATGTTATGAAGGGCAAGAATAAGGGCAAGTCTTACCGCACCCAGCGCAAAGGTAACGGGAACTCTATGCATGCAGGGGTAGCATCAGACGAGGTAGAGCCCACGAACCATGGCCCAACCATTTCCGATTACCGACCACTAGGCTTCATTCCGAGAAGAGTGGGCTCAGAGCTGTCGTTCATTCCTTTTGCAGATGACGTCGAGTCATCACTGGAAGTTCCTGTCGTAAAATGTATATCCGACTACTACCCATTCATTATTTGCCATGTCTCCTTCCTGCTCTGGTTAGCTAACTCCACACAAGTCACATCGTTACCCAAAGCTGCCCTATTCCCATTGGAAAGCTGCTTGGACTCAGCCGAGCCTCCCGGAGTGTCAATGATTGAGACACTGTGCACTGATGCGGCCTACCTCAATGCCACCATTTTTTCTGTGCAGGTCTACTTCGATCTGTTGGCCGGCCACGATCTGGAGCCCGTATCACCACTGAAACCCACATATAACTCCTTCTCAAAGACTCTGCGGCTTCTTATAGAAAGAATTGAGGACTATAACGAACAATTGGTATTATCCGATAGCACGGTAATGGTCGTCCTGATTTTGGCCTGCCATGCCCATAGGCTCGGCCAGTACAGCGTGGCTAGAAACCATATGATCGGGCTGCGGAAGCTTGTCGACATGAGAGGAGGCATTCAAGTTTTCAAAACTAGGGCGAAACTTCTAATAGAAATCTTCAGGTAAATAACTGAAACACACAAAGCATAATTTTTATACTCTGCTGAGTACTTACTGTACTTGTTTCAATATCACTAACTGCTAACAGCTGCGACCTAGGAATGGCCCTTCATTCAGGTGGCAGCCCTATATTTTTCAACCAGTCGAGGGGTGAGGAGTTTGTTCCCTATCCGGTGGATCTCTTGTCGCCTGTTCCGATCGCTTTCCGTCTGCGTGAGGCACGTCATCTTATCGACAGTCGCGATCTTGGCATAACCCATGTCGAACTTGGGAGTGCTTGGGACACTTTGCAGGCATTCTGCTCGCTTATCAACTTTACCGCGGAATCGGGGCGGAAGATACCACAACAGCTGTTCCTGGACGTCATGACTTCGATATTGTATCGGCTGGTCAGCATGGAATTTCCGCTTCACAGCCTACACGAAGCGATACGACTCGGGCTTTCGGCCTTTTGCTCTCACATCTTCATACAGTGGTCAAATTCCCGGCTACCGCACTGCCACTTCCCGACGATATACAAAGAGTGTCTAGACCTGCACCAGGATTCTAATATGGCCTCATTCTTACTTATGCCATGGCTAATAATGGTCGGCGCCATGTCTATATTTCCAGAGGGAGACACTTGGCTGGAGCCTTGGCTGAGGAGGGCGATGCCTGACTCTGGCCTATCTGTTTCCTGGGCCGAGGTCCGAGCAACTATGAAGAGGTTTTTGTGGGTCGACTTTGTCCACGATCGACACGGATTAGCTATCTACAATACTGTTCATCGGCATGTTTTGCTTGACGCAGGGATAAGTATTTGATACCACCGCGCAAGGTGATGTACATGTGTACTTCAGCTGAAGAGACCCTATTGAATTGGGTCAACGCCAGTCGGGTAATGAAGCCATTCTGGGCGTGAGGTACGGAGGGTTCCTGCGTTCTCGTGCCAAAAGGCCTGGCTTGAAACAGAGATCCCTGAAGCCGCTAGTCAACAAGGGACCCAGTCAAGTCAAGACTTGAGTCGCCCCGGGCCTAGACCGTTGCACGACAAGCTGGGATGACAATGCGAACCCCAGTTGGGCATCTGCAATGTGCGGGCGTGTACCAAGTGTGCGGTGTGATTTAGAGTTTCGCACCATCAACATAAAGTTTAACGACTGGAGTCCTGGGTTGCATGCGGCGTATATGGTGGCTAGACCGGAATCGTGTCAGCTGGAGGCGACTTTGCAGCACGTTTTCTCGAAGCCATGTCCACTCCACTTCTCTAAAGCATATATAGACGACCATGACAGAACGTTTCCAATCCAATGTAGTACTGCCAAACTCTAATCAGCCCCTTACACTGCTTTTTGTTAAAAAAAAAAAACATGTTCGCGACTCTTCGTGCAGAAGAACGGGATGGAGAAGTTATATGCATATCGAGCACGACTCAGTTACCACAAGCCGGCCAAAACCAAAGCCACTTCGCTTGCGATAGGTGCAGAGTTAAGAAGGTAGGCACTTGCAAGCTCCAGTTGAGAAAACCAGGACAGTATTAACATTAAATTTAGTTAAAATGCACAGGACACAGATTTGGCTGTCAACGCTGTCGTGATCGCAATCTTTCCTGCACGTATTCCGCTACTTCGCAGTCGAGGCAGCGAAAGGCCGATAGGCTGTCCAAGGTGCATAAGAACACGTCACGAAACGTAACCCCACCATCAACCACTGAAGAAATTTTTGTGCTCCAAACCTCACCGCCTGGAACAGCTCCGAGCGGATCCCCTTCACATCAGAGCCCGAGGCAAAGCGCATTGGGAGAAGCCAAACATGCAAGTGGCCATCCTTTCATGCTCACGCCTGCGGCGGGGGGCAGCGAGCCCAGGATCCCATCACCATGCGCTCAGCTTTTACGAGACGCCAGCCCGGTTACTTGTGCCCGGCAGCCAGAGCCAGGCTCACTGAAAAGCCCTGAATTTGACGACTTGGAGATACCAGATTACATCGAGTCAGGCCTGCCAGAGTTCGATATAGATGAGCTGCTTCAGGCTGATCTATCGCACCCTGGAATCCAGGGTGATGCATTTTCTCTAGGTAGCACGCTTGCGTCTAGCACTTCACCAGAAGACATAACAGGCTCACACAATGGCACATACGATCTTGCAAGGAGCACTGACAATTCACTATCGGGTGAGAAAGCCCTCTCCAAAATGAGATGCCCAGTGATCCTGGACCGCGTGATACACTGGTTTTCATATCTGAGTGAGAAGGGATTGAGTGCTAATACACCTACAGATGATATGGATTGGATATCATATACGCAGGCCAAATGCAGGGTTGAGCCAGCTGGAGAATATGTGAGGAATGAGCCAGCACAGAGACCACCATCCAGGACGCCGTCTCAGGATAGGACTTCTACAGCAGCCTCCTCGCCTCGAGTAGTGTCAACGGGCGGGGGCTCCGGGGTCTCTACTCCGGTAAATATTCGCCAGACGCGGCCAAGTCCAACCAGTCGCACAGCAATACGTTCGAAGAACCCACCGCCTTGCCGGTGTGTTGGTGTGACACTCTCCCTTCTGGAGCGAATACAAGGGCACAGGAAGTCAACCAGTCTTTGTGTGGCAGAGACAGCGCTACACTCCCTGAAGGGATCCATATCACAATGCCAGGCACTGGCCGGCTGCCGATCATGCCCCAGCCCATCACGGCTCATGGCATTTTCGGTATTGTTAGTAGAGAAGATGGCAGGGATGCTGGAGGACATGGCTTCCATGTGGGAGCAGGTCACAACGGCTTCATCAGGGGCGGAAGCGGCCGCAGAGGGGGATGCGCTCCAGGTAGATGCGGACGGAAGCGGGTGCGAGTGGGCCCCGATTCATCTTGGCCAATATCGGATAGACACAGCGGGTGAGTGGCAGGAGGTATTTGGGTTCTTGGTGCTACTCCAGGTGCGACGCCTAAGCAGCTTCTTGGGGAGGTTACGAAGCAATGCTGGTAGAGAAGGCTTGGAATCGCACCGGAGTGCCTTGGCGTCCGTGGCCCTCAGGGTTCAGGAACTTCAGGAAGCATTGGGTGGGATGACAACGGGGCTTGATAGATGAGGCTGCGTCCAGATGTCGGAGACTTGCAGCCGTCAACTCGGATGATCTTCCCATGAGCTGCAGCATGTACCAAACTTGAAGTCCCATTGGTCCAAGAAAACGATCTCAAATCTGGCTCCTCGCCGTAGGGTACCAGATCTGAAATACATGTGGGCCAATCGCGGGTTCACGCATGTGGACCAGATCACGATAACCTTCGGATGCGGGGCATTATGAGTAGGGGTTGCCGCCGCTAATATTAATATAGGACTTCAGATAACCTACTACCCAGGTAGCTATCAACTTCAACCTTGGCAAGGCCCAGCAAGGCGTGCCAATGCAATATGTTATCGCTTATAAGGCGGAATAGAGCCCGCTGGCCTAAGCCTTTTGCTCGGACAGCGCGCGTGTCGGGAGGATACCTCCGTACTGTGACACGCGGCCTATCTTCCGACCGATCTGTGCTTGTCGCCCAGTACCACCAAGCCAGATGGCGGGAGAGAGGCTCTTGCGGCTTGCCTGAGGTGGACTAGCCCGTCTGTCTGGGAAAAACGAAGTTAGGCCCCCCCCTCCTGTTCTATTACCCCTATCAATTGGGCCACACCTAAAAATCGCTCCCTTCGCGCGCGCGCCCACGCAGCGCCTACACTACTTCTTTATCCTTTAATTCCCCTCCCTCTAGTAAATATTTCTAATAATAATAAAAATAAAAATAGTTATAAAAAAGTTTAGAATATAAAGTTTATACTAAGTTTAAAGAGAGTATTAGGGTATATATATTTAGTAGAATGTGTATTAGGCTACTAGCTATTTTAAGAGTTTTTAAAGGATAAAGTAGTGTACTAACTAGGCGCTGTGTGGGTGTGCGCGTGAAGGCAGCGTTTTTTAGTGTTTTTTTAGGTGTGGCCCAATTGACAGGGGTAATAAAACAGGGGGGGCCTAACTTCGTTTTTCCCAGACAGCCGTCGCCGAGCACCACAGACCCGGATCGCGGGAGAGAGGCTCTGGCGGCTTGCCTGAGGCGTAGCGTACTAGCCCGTCACCGAGTCCTGGCCTCAAAGTGCTGGGATCGAAGCTGAAGGAATTAAGCTTTTCGAGGGGTTGTTTCAACCTGATAAACGGCAGTTCCGGTCGCACATCACGATAACGAGGTACTTGAAATCCAGCACGTCATATGCAGGGTGTACCCCTCATCATTATGTAGAATATACTTTTGATGGCTTATCTAGGGATCCCCAGCTCACTATTAAACTATAAAAAAGAGACATAAACACTACCTTCCTACAGGAGGTAATGAGTGTAGAGTTAGGGTAGCTAGGTAGTACTGATAGTAATGGCTCTAGCACTGCTGTCTATCAGTAGGAAGAGAGAATATGATTGGTCTATAGTGTTGTATTTTGGAATTGGCGAAGTCCCTGTGTGATGAAGATTGGGAGCCAATCTTGTTGTAGTGATGATTTGAAATCCCAGGCAGCCTGTGATTGCATTTCAATGACGCTGTTTTCGTAAGATTTCTGTTCCCCGGACAACTCTATCTTCAAATTGTCAAAGTCCAGCTCCTGGACCTTCAATTAATGCACCTTGACGACTGTTCACAGCAGCTTCGATGACGGTGGCGTGAAACATACATCAAACCTCATGCCGAGGCTCCTTGTTGGAAACGCATCGATACGACAAGAATCAAGCAAGATGCAGCGGAACGTGCCCTGGCCCCCGATAGGCACCCTGGGAGATATATCGTCCAAGCCTTAAGTTCGTCGTTTGAATTCAACCGTCGCCCCCGGGTGTGGCAGATATTGCGTTTCGGCCCTCAGGCTCTCTGGCCGGCTCTGACCCGCGGGAAATCGAATATCGTAGTTGTGCAGAATATGAGCCATGATGGCCTTGATCTCTTGGGCAGCAAAGAATCGCCCCGGGCATGCGTGTCGCCCATAGCCAAAGCTCAGCGAGGCCGGGTTCGATGCGACGTATTGCGCACGTCCGTCCATTTCTGGTCGCTCTTCCCGAATCTTGGAGAAGCGGAATGGATCAAAAACCTCTGGATTGGGATACAATGACTCGTCCATTGTTATGGCCTGCGTCGGGATTCCAATTGTCGTATGTGCTGGGATAGTGAAACCAGAAGACAGCGTGAGGGGTTGATGGATTACTCGCTCAAAAGTGACTGTTCAAACAAGAAACAAAGTCAGTGATCTTCATCTCATTTCATCAAGATTTTCAGCTGCACTTACTCAGTAGCAGGGGATTAAACCTCTGGCTTTCCTTCATGAAACTGTCCATCTTTGCCATCTTCATAAACCCGGACTTGTCGATCATGCCATCTGGACCAATGACACTGCTTACCTCTTCCCGCAATGGCTCAATGAACTCCGGATGTTCGCACAAGTCATAGAGTAGCTGTGCAGGGGCTGCTGCGCTTGTGTGTATCGCCGCAAAACTGACTTTCAGGAGGATGCCAGCCAAGAACTTAAAATCCCGCTCCTCGTCCTTGGCCTGCTCAGCCATCCAATACAACAGGTCCATGGCCTTCTCCCCTGTCCGCCGGCGATTCTCCAGCATCGGGATGGCAGCGGCTTCTGCCGCTGCGTAATGATCTGCGATCTTCCGAATTTCTGGGACGAAGCGCGCAACCAGTGGCTTGAGGAATTCTGGGTACTTCTTGATCTTCTGGGCGCCGATGAAACCGTCGATGGCGAAGTCAATCGACGACTTGACCCATTCCTTGTTGTGAGACAGGGTCGTCCCGCCAAACATGCAGCTGGATACCCTCGCCACAATCTGGGTCAGGATTTCTACCACCGGCACAGGCGTCCAATCTGAACAATTAAACTTTAGCATGATTCTGCCTTGACTTGAGACATCCTCTGACCTTCACAGGGGGGAAATTGTTCCGCGAACGAGTCCACAATCTCCTGCTGGACTCCGGGCATTACGTCCGCTTCAGTCAAGGTCAGCAATGCGCCCTTGGTCTATACGCAGACAGTTTGTGCATATTCTGCACCCTTTGAGGCACACACCTAGGTGATGGTTCAACTGTGCCTTGACGACCCGGGGATGCAAGGTCGATCGACTACCCATCGTAGTATATTTGCCTTCGAACATCTATACCAGTCAGCACTGAGTCCTTTTTACCTCATGTTGGTGAAAAGACTTACTTCAATAAACGTAGCAACGAAATCCACCTCTTCTACTGGCGCCGTCTTCAATTCCTCGAGGTACTTGACCGGTATCATCAGCCGCTCTCCGAGTGGACTGGGAACGTAGTAAAAGCCGCCGTCCGACTAAGATTGGTCAGTGCTCACGCCGCAGATGATGCCGCTTCCTCTTCACGTACTTTTCTGTAGCCTTCTTCAAGCATCTCCTTTGCGCCTTCTCGGAATCGCTCTCGATTTGCCCGTATCGTCTGCTTTTCGCCGCCGCCGACCACCATGATGCCAGGGGCGAGTTTCTGGCCGCCATCCCGCTTCAATGTGAACAATAACAATACCAAGGCGAATGAGATGACCACGTATGCTGTGGCCCGGTCCGACGACTGCACGACGTGAATGAATGTCCTCTCTGGTGTGAGGGAAGTGCCATTTTCGGCGATGGTCCAGGACCACATTTCTGCGGGTCGTTTGAATATAGGTTGACCTGAAAGTGTAGCTGAAATGACTCAACTTGATAGTCGGTGAGAATAATCAACAGCTATTTCACCGATTCAGTGATCACAATAGGACGCCGCCGAAAAGGTGGTTGCTCCCGAAAAGACCCAATTCGAAGATGCCGTTGCTGGTTGTCGCCCGATTGGTCCGGTCCGGCATCAAGGCCATATTAGGAAGCTTGCCGAGTCGCCGGCGTGCCTATTTTGGCCAATAGTGGCCCATCCAACCACTTGTGGCGATGGAGTTCAGGGTTGATATAGAACCTTGGTATGCATCGTATTCAACAACAATTAAGCCTGTATTCTTCCATTGATATTTTATACTCTCGGTTGTTCAGAAGCAGTGATTACGGGTTTGCTCTCAGGATTCTGTCCTGTAACTTTATTTTCACCTTCCAGCCAGGCTCCCCAGCACATCTACATAAAATTGTCACATTAGGCCCTGAGCTTAATTAAACTCAAGATGGGTTCACAACCGCTGGAACTAAGCACACTGCCGGAGAACCATGATCCATTCCAGCCTTACAAAGTCGAGAAATTCGACGAAGGTCTGAGCTACGATACTCTTCAAGTCCATGCCGGTCACAGGCCCGACAAAGAAACACATGCACGAGCAGTTCCGATCTACAACAGTGTGGTAAGCATAGTTATTCCGCATGTCGATACTGAGAAGTGTCACTAACACTTCCGGTTTACAGTCTTTCGTCTTCACAGACAGCGCTCACGCCAAGCGCGTGTGTGCCACTGAGGAAGCCGGATACTTTTACAGCAGAGTTTCCAATGTATGTGGACAACCAGGACGCCGCCCACGGCAGACTCGGGTCAGTCGCTAACAATAGAAAGCCCACCGTTGCGGTGTTTGAGAAGCGAGCGGCTGCACTGGAGGGGGGTACTGCAGCTGTAGGCACATGTTCTGGACAAGCTGCTATTTTCAACACCATCGTCTGCCTCGCCGGTGCCGGTGACAACATTGTCGCGTCAATCAATCTGTATGGCGGCACCTACAGCCTGTTCAAGACCCTGCTCCCCCGCCTGGGGATCGAGGTGAAATGGGCAAAGCAGGAGACAAGGCAGGAGTATGCCAGGCTCGTGGACGAGAAGACCAAGCTCTTCTTTGTTGAAAGCATTGGCAATCCTCGCTGCAGTATCCCTGATTTCTTGGGCCTGGCTGCTGTCGCTCGCGAAAACCACGTCCCGCTCGTTGTGAGTAAAAACATTAGCTCGGCTCGCCATCATGGCGTGTGTTCCTCCTTTCTAACCGGAAGCACAGGTCGACAACACATTTGGTGCATGCGGTACATGGTGCAGGCCCAAGGACTTTGGCGCGAATATCGTCTTGCACTCGGCAACCAAGTGGATGGGCGGCCACGGCACCACTGTCGGCGGCGTAATCATCGACTGCGGGAATTTCGACTGGGGTGCGGCCGGTGACCGGTTCCCAAAGATGATCAAGAAGGACGGGCCGATGGCCTTTTCCTACTGGAAGGCATTCGGCAATATCTGTTTCGCTATGGCGATGAGATTTGACATCCTGATGGAAGTCGGAACGATCCTGAGCCCGGCATCAGCGCAGCAGCTGCTGATCGGAATGGAGACGCTGAGCCTGAGGTGCGAGCGACACGCCACCAACACGATGGCCGTTGCCCGCTTCTTGGAGTCGCACCCCAGAATTGCGTGGGTTAACTATCCAGGTATGCCATCCTGAAGGGCCCATCTGCCAGTGCTGCGCGTGGAGAAAGATGCTTACCATTCCTTTGCAGGCCTCGAGTCGAACATTTACCATGAGAATGCGAAGAGATATCTTAAGAACGGCTTCGGAAGTGTGCTCTCCTTTGGACCCAAGGGTGGAAACACGGCAAGCAAATTACTTCTGAACTACGTCAAGGTCATCTCCCACCAGTCAAAGTAAGTAATAGAGATATCATATTTTGACTCGCGCATGGCAACTAACAGATATCCACAGCGTCGGAGACTCCAAGACATTGGCCACACACCCTTGGAACTCGACACATGTGATCATGTCCGAAGCAGACAGACGCGAGTCTGGCATCACTCCAGTAAGCAGAGTCAATAATCCATCTGGATAGACGAATGAGCTGACCAAGACAACCACAGGCCTTTATCCGATTCTCAGTTGGTACTGAAGACGTGAAAGACATCATTGCCGATCTCGACCAAGCGCTCAATTCACTCCCCGATGACGTCGTGAACGCGCACGATGAGGACACGGAGAAGCTGATGCCCAAGTATACAGTGGGCGCACCCATGGATGCTGATGCTGTGCCGATCACAGACGTAAAGGTGTACTAAATACGCTGATGCGGACGCGGTGTGGGCAAATTCAAGTATTCCAGATGTCCTGTCGCCTGACAGACTGCCGTGGAAAACTGGTGGTGAGGAGATTCTGGATCACAACAAAAAAAAGCAAGCAAGCAAGCAAAGCCGCTACGGCTCGTCTGGAGTTCGGGTCTTGACGGTTTGAGCCATTCGTTTTCAGCGATCAAGTGAGGTAACCTCACATGTATTTCCTGACCTAAATAGCACTCTCTGATGAAGTTAACTATGCGAAGCAATTTTCAAAGTGCAATCAAGGCATACTCTAGGTCATTTTGCTGGAAGTGACATGGCGATAGCATGACAGCAATTATATCATCTTCACATCGGACCTAAGATCAGACGCACCAGAGCCAGTATTTGGATGCAATGCCGATTTCGTTCCTGCCATTGACAACTTTGGAAGTTTCTCGAACATGAGCAGGAGTTAGGACTTCAGGATAAATACTTAGTGTTGTTATCAATGTTGATGATGAAGTACACATCACTCAAACTGGCCGGGGCTTACAATGTCAGCCTAGACGGGCAAGATCAATTGTGGTCGGGAAGGCATTGAATGCTTATCCTAAGGTCAGCGTGCTTCAAGGGATCTGCCATCATGATTTCAATACTCCGGTCCCTTTCAACGTCCCATTTCCCCTCACTCGGGCGTCTTTTTTCCCCAGGTTCTCCTCACCCCTCGTGGCCCGACCTCTGTGTTGAACCACTGAGGATCCCCAAGAATGCGGAGATGTCGCCGGCAGCGGAATTACGCTCGAGTGACAGACCGGGCAACAATTGCCCATATTAATTACCTCTGCCGATGACTGCACGCGTCATTCGGTATTCGCATCTTCCCCAGGTAGAATCAGTATTTGCTTCTTCGGAAACATTGCACGTCCACGTTGCGGATCTGTGCTTCCTTCTCTTCTCCTACACTTGAATGAGAAGACTCGACGATGGAGAAGCCTATGGGAACAAAGTTCGGCGAGGGCACATCTGCCGAAGTAGGTACACCTATGGCGCAGATCATGATTGACCTCAGTAAGTCCTTGACTGACAGAGGTGCTCAGCAGGCCGAAACCGCAGTGACCCACGAAGAGAACGCCCTTCACGAAGACGTGTACGATGTTTTGCAAAACAAGAGGCTCAACAGAATCCTCGACCTAAGGATAATCCCGCTATGCTGCTGGCTATACCTCTTGAACTTCCTCGACAGAGGCAACATCGGCAATGCCCGGGTCCTCAACCAGGAAACAGGAGACGACATGCTGCACCGCACACGCATGACCTCGACAGACTACGCGATAACGCTGACGGTGTTCTCCCTCGCCTACGCCTTGTTTGAGGTACCCTCAAACTGGGTCATGAAGCACCACGTCCGCCCGTCTGTGTGGCTGGCCCTGCTCCTCGGGTGCTGGGGCGTAGTGACGATAGGTTTCGCCGGGGTCCAGAACTACGCGACCGTCCTCGCCCTGCGCCTGCTCATAGGCGTCTTCGAGGCCGGGTTCTTCCCCGGCATCGTCTACCTCATCACCATCTGGTACCGCCACAACGAACGCGCGCTGCGGATCGCCATGGTGATTGCCTTCTGCAATCTTGCTGGTGCATTCGGCGGTGCTATCGCGTACGGAATTGGGCACGCCAACGGGGCTGCTGGCCTGCAGGGGTTCCGGTGGCTGTTCATCATCGAAGGGCTGATCACGGTCGTGAGCGTGCTGCCGACTTTGCTCATCCTGCCAGACTATCCTGCTCGTGCCAAGTTCCTGACGGCGGATGATAAAAGGCTGGCTGTGGATCGGCTCAGGGAGAGGGGCGGCGGGTACAACAGAGAGCATGCGACGAGGAAAGAGATCATGGCGACTTTTGTGAGCCCGCGAATGTTGGCACATTATGTTGCGTATGTGAGTAGCCGTCTGCCAAGGTGACTGTCGTCTATGAGAGGGGAGGGGATCCTCCAAGATCGAGGCTAACCACTCTGCCCCGACCCAAGATTGCGAATGTGGTTCTCCAGGGATCCTTCACCTTCTATTCTCCGACAATTGTCACGGGTCTTGGATACAAGGTAAAAATCCAAAGACTATCTTGATGAAATGTCTCAAAGACAGCCCTGCTTACTTTTGTCATGTCCAGTCCATCCAGGCGCAGCTCATGACAGTTCCTCCATGGTGCATCGGCTTCTGCGTTGCCATTAGTCTCTCCTATTCGGCCGACCGCTTCGATGCCCGAGGCTGGCATATCGTGGGGGCATCAGTTGTTGGAGGCGCCGGCTGGCTCACTGCGGGCCTTCTGCCCCATGACGCCTACATACAGCGATATGGCTGCCTCTGCTTGGCTGCGGCCGGCGCATTCCCTTGCGCTCCCGCAATGACAAACTGGGTTACGTGCAACACACCCAGTCTGCTGACGTGAGTTTTTGCCCATCCGTCGGAACACGCCAGAGTGTCGCTAATAATCGTTGTTCACCCTGCTCCAGTATCCCATTCGCCATCGCTGTGCATAACTCATGTGCTGGGATCGGCCAGATCATTGCACAGTGGATCTGGAAGCCGGCCGAGGCTGCTCAGGGCTACCCCACTGGGAACTTCACTTGTGCGGCCTGCTGCTTCTTCGTTGCTTTCATGGCGGCCGGCCTTCGGCTCCTCTATGCCAAGATGAACAGAGATGGGATCCGCGATGCCAGGGGCGAGAAGAGGGTCTGGTCCTACTGATTCGAGGGTGCCACAAAGGGAATGTGGCGTGGGTCTGGGCCTCAGCTTGGCGGCCGTGGCTGCATAACCGCATCGACGGAGAGGTGACATGAAACATGTCTATTTAAAACAACTCTGACTGAAAGACGGATGTGGTGGTGTAACGACACTGGCACATCTGAGTCAAGGACAATGTAGTTATGGACTGTGTTGTCTAAAATAACTCAGACAATAAGGCTGATACAGCTGCCTGTGCTTAACTGAACATTGTACACACCTAGGTAATTGTTCTTCGAGACATGGTATTCATCAAAGTCCAGCTTGACTGTAGGAGGGCTGCCAAATCCGTGAGAAAAAGGATGTTAGCAACCGGGAACATGACTGCTGCAGTATCAAGACCTTCGACAGATTCTCTGATGTTTGTCAAGATGCGGCGTGCACCTCGCTCCGTAGACACCTGAAAACAGAAATATTGGCCGTCCAACAACGCTCGAGGTCCTTGTAATAGTGCGTGTCGACAAGCACAAGCAATGCCGTCGGGTGACCCCACGTCAGTGCAGGTTCCAATACTCGACCACCGGCGGTGTGTAGGGTAGGCGGGTTGCATCAAACCAGCGGGAGAGAATGCGGTCAGCTGACATGCGAACCCTCTCATTCAGATGCCCGCCGTCGGTAACACGACTCGAGTGAGCATCAAGATGCCGTCACCGTCGTGGTGTATTGCGGGCCTCTAGACGCAACTCATCATCATAGACAACGGGCGTCAAATGGGGCTCCCGTAGTACCTACGTAGGCATGCACATGACCGCGTGAACGGTGATGCGGCCGAGAAAACAAACGACCGGGTAGACTCTCGTGAAGGCCATATCTTCCGGGTCACAACATGCAGCACTGGCAGCGAGCGTGCGTGCTCGCTCTCTGGACTGCTGTGTTACGGCCCCTCGGGTGGCGGCAACTCTTGACAGCGACTTTGACAGGATGGCCTTGTGTGCCTTAATCAAATCTCCGCACCTCAAGTTTGGTTCGCAGTGGGCAAGTCACATCGCCCACGTGTCGGCGCCCATCATCAGTCCCGAGGTCTACCCCAGAGTCGCAGAGCGCGGGAGATTTGACGGGGATGGACTGGTTACCTGGTTAGCTTGGCATCAGGCCGCCAGCGCCAGACTCCAGCCTCCTTGTCCCGGCATTAACAGCCCGCTGGTCCGCGATGATCCTTGGGGGGCCCAATGGGTCTTCGTGGCCTCGCGATAATAAGGTGTCCGGCAGCGGTGATCAGGCCTGAATGCTCATCGCGGCTGTCTGATACGACGAGACGCCATCAGCCTCGACTTTGACGCGCGCGCACAGAGTTGTGTTGCTGTTCACGTGGCTCTCTCGCCAGCCGCGGTATTGTCCAGCATAGGGGTCGATGATCACACCTGCGGTGAGTAGTCCCGGATGAAGTCATCGTCCCAGGTTGCCCCTGTTTCCAAATCGGGGTGTTTTGTGTTCACCTTCAGCCGACCCGGGCAAGAGTCCCCGGCCAGAGCACTTCTGTTTGGCTGCCCTGGAAGTGTCGAAACTGACTCGGACGTCCTGGATGTTACATCGACCGTTGCGCAGGAACCAAAGAGCAGAAGACAAGTCTGTGTGCATCAGGCGGGCCGATCTCTCCCAGTACAAATGGGGCAATGAGATGAGGCTACAGCCGGATGATCGCCGGACTATCGACCAACTAGGACGGTGGTGGTTCCCTCGGTCCCTACATACATACAATACGCACATACTGCAGCAAACAATACGTACAATAGTGTAGATCGAGTCTAACTATACTCCAGTGTATGCGGGGGCAGAGTGGCCCTGAAGGAGGTCAAGGAGTGTGGGTGGGCGCCTCAACCGCGGTGACAGTGACAGCGGCAACAAAAGTGAGGGGCCAAACCCGGCGGGATGTCACCCGATTTAAAACGCCGCGATCCGAGTCGAGGGGGCAGATGGGGCCAGCTGCAGCACGACGTCATGCGGGCCAGGTCACTCCATCCGGTGCCTCGCGTCAGACTCCGTCAGCGGCCAGCATCATCTGGCCCACACAAAACACCTGGGCAGACAAGCCCGGGCAAGCAAGCTGATTTGACCGTGCTTGCTGTGGTTTAAACTTGGATACCGGTGAGGCCACACGGCCACCGTCCACGGATGCTTTATGGGCACGGATGGCACAGAGGGTGAACACAGCATATGACGTTTGCAGCAGGACAGGTGTCACGTCTTCATTGACAGGCTGGACAGGCTGGAGAGGCCTGGTACGGACTGTGTAATGCTAGCACAACACCATTCTCGCTCACTGCCACTGCCTGTGTGACCGTGCCTGGCTCCCAGTCTAGTCTCCCACCTCCAGAACAGTCCAGAAACAGCGCCTGCATGCGCCGCGGCCCTTCTGAAATGCCTCAGCAGTCTCAGCAGTCTCAGCAGTCTGCGCCTCGGCTACCGTGGTGTTCTATTTGCTGGCTGCACGGGAAATTAAAAGTAGCAGCCAGGTAGTAGAGCCCTTCGTGTTCCGCATATCCTCGTTCTGCTATAATGTTGCGTTCGTCCCTGCAGACCAAGGTCTAATCTGACCATCTTCCTCTCGTCTTTGCTTTTCCCCTTCTATACCTGCTACGATTATTAGTAAATATACAACCGAGAGAACCTTCCTCCCCCTTTCTCCGACACCCTCACCCAGATATCCCGCACCTACGACCCGACACCAACTCGAAGTGGTTGCCGGGACCCCTTACAGCAAACAACCCCAAGGTTCCTCCTCATCTCTTCGCACTTGCGCCGTGCTGCCACCCTCCAAGCTGCCAACTGCGGCCTGCCACCTCACCCACACGCCATTCTACCGACTACCGCTGCAAGATCCGGTAGTGCTCGCAGGCTAGTCCGGATCCTGCCAGCTTTTTCCTCAGAGTGTCCTACCCCAACGTGCCTGCATGCCAGCATCCCCCAACGGGCCATCTTGCAAGCCCTCACATCCATCCTGACGGTCCAACTATCAGGTCCGGTCTGGGCCCCCAGGCCTCCCGGCCATCGCCACCAAGCGCTGCCGATCTGATTGCGACCCCCCCCCCCCCGACCGGATATCACATCCGCGCCTTGTATTCCTGGTATTTCGAACCAGGGGGCTGGGATCACTGACGAGTTTCACCGCTAATTCCGTCCCTTTCCCCAAGCCAACGTCACCCTCCCTAAGCTTTACCCCATATCTTGCGCCCCCCACTGATTCACGCCTTTCTCCATCCGTGTTTTCCCCGGCAAGGAATATTGGCGCTTCTGCACACACACACATCGACATCAACGAAATTCCATACTCCACTACTACTTGCGCTCGACGAGGACTTCTTCTTCGCGGCACTGGAAAGGTTATTAGCCACCAGATTCTTTTCGTTAGCCAGTGGTCCCCCACCTCGACGCCATGTGGGCATATGACGACGGTCGAGGCCGTCGAACGAGGGATATACCCAGTTCGCGACCTGCAAATTACTACGACGACGCCTATGAACGTGCACCACCGCGCTCTTCACGCCACGCATACCCAGAGCCCCAGCCAAAACACTCCTCGAACGATCGCCACCGCCGCAAGTCTGCCATGGTGGACCCTGAAGGACCAAGGCCCCGCCGCAACACACACGGCGGAGTGAACGTCGTTGCATCGGACGACGGATCGGGATACCCCTACGGAGGAGATGGCGCGCGGGATGTCTACGGGTCGTCATATCCAGGGAAGAAATCTCGACACGATGTGGAACACAAGACAGGCGACAGGGATCGGCGCTTCCGAGAGAAGAGGGGCACGTGGGAGACGGACGAGGCGGAGAACCTGAGGAGGGCAAAGAGCTACAGCCCGCGGAGGGCAGCAAGAGAGGCCGAGGCCCCGCGGCGCGTGTCGCCCCAGGCCCCCAAGACGACCTGGCCTGAGGACGACTACGCGGCACAAGCTGGTGCCGGCTCCCACCACCGGTCGTCCAAGAAGCACGGCAGCAAGGCACCGCAGTACTACGAGGACGACCCCTACGCCAGCTACTACGCGAGCCAGGCACCGCCGCGCAGCAAGAAGCCCGACCGCGAGGCCCCTTCGGCGTACGACTACGGGGCGCCGAGCGCAGACGACATGCCCCGTCCCCCGATGGGCGAGCACGCACCGTACAAATCCTCGCCCCTGAGCTCGTACCCCGAGGCAGGCGAGAAACAGCCCAGCAAGCACCACCGCAAGCAGCGGGACAAGGACTACTACGGGACCGGGTACGACGACTACACGGCGGCGCCGCCCAAGGCAGGCACCAGCTACGACCGCGCGGGCTACGGCGCCGCAGCAGCAGCAGCAGAAGAAGAAGCACCGCCCCGCCGCTCCCGGCACGGCAAGCACCACGACGACAGGGCCGCCCCCGCCGGCATGGACGACTACGGCCAGCCGGCGCAGCCCCAAGCCCGAGGCCGCCATCGCAATGGCGACTACGGCGACGCAGACCCCTACTCCAGCGGTTACGACCGCGCACCCCCTTCCTCGCGGCCCCGCCACCGCCAGTCGATGCCGCCGCAGCCGCGCGCGGCGTACCCCGGCGCCGCCGACGATCCCTACGACGCCGACCCCTACGGGCAGGCGGCGCCGCGCAGGCGGGCCACGTCGGTGAACTACGGGCGGCAGGGGCAGCGGGACCGGTACGGGTACGGAGGGGGAGGAGGAGGAGGGGGAGGAGGGGACCCGTATTACGACGATGGGTACGGGGGCAGGGGCGGCGGGAGTCCGTCTGGGAGCGGGGGCAGCGGGGGCGCTGCAGCGGTTGGTGCTGGTGGCAAGAAGGGCAACAAGAAGAGCAAGGCTTATGCGCAGCAGGCGGGCAAGCTGTTCATGACGCATGCCGTGCCGGTCATCAAGAAGGAGGCTGTGCCTTTCTTGACTAAGGCTGCGCAGGCTTATTTCGAGCAGCAGAAGAGGTGATGGTGATGGTGATGGTGATGGATTCTGTGAATGAGTGAATGACCGTGAAGTTGACGGAATGAGGTTTATGGTGTCATGGGATGGTCTAGAATGCTGAAGACTAGAGGTGTGTTATGGACATGATTTATGTACAGGGTTGGGCTACAGATATGGTGGAGTTACTTTACAGGCGGAAGAGGTCGCCACCTCTTTTGAGCCATATCTAGGCTCGACATGAACTGGCAGGATGGTTTTATGGGTATTTATGAGGTGAATTGGAATGGCGGAGTGTCTATGGGCGTGATGGAACTGTGGAATCGGACATCATTGACGAGATCTACGTGTTATGGATGTCAACCTTACTCACTCGAGTGTCAGGGCAATACCTGGGTTCTTGTAGAATAGCAAATTACAACCACTTTCGAAAACACACTGAAGCTTGATACATAGGCATATGGGTCAAGTAGCCACTGCTGGTGCGAAGCCTAACATGCAGTTTAGGTCAGGGGTGACTACGATGGCCGACAGGCTCCCGGGACTTTGGCTCGAGTTAACCCATCTGGCAGTCGTCGCAGTTTCCCTTAATTTCGGACAATCGAAGTATTATCAGCTTCTCTCGTAACCCACTCAAATGCCTTCCAGGTTAGTAGGTATCCTAGGGTATGGAACACGAAACAAACCAGCATCTTCTTTCCTCCGTTACACCACTCTGCTCGAAATATAATTATTTTTGCGTCCTCGCAACAAACAATCTATCATGATAATTCTCGTAAATAAGACGCATATGCAGGTTATGTTTTCACTTCAGGTGATAACTTCAGTGATGCCCCCATGTGGTATGAGTTTCGTTGTGTTCAGAGTCAAAATTGGCTCAGCGCCGTAATATTACTTTGGTTTGCTCGCCGACAAATCTCTCCAGGTAGAAATGTCGTGACTCTGATCTCTGTCTCCAAAATATTCACTTTGAATTGAAAGGCTTGCCAACGTGTGAAAGTGCCTCGCATATCGCACGGTTCTCATTTTCAAATCTCTCCAATCGCAAATCGGCTGCTACCAGTGGCTTGGAATGAGTGTGTCCTTTGCTTTGATGACCACCAGGAGTATGGTACCAATCCTAGACCGTCCAAACAATTCCTCAAGTGAATCCCCTCAGCCGTTTGTCACTACGACCTGCTAAGTTGCGCTATGTCAGAGACGTTTCAGGTCTTCCACAGTATCGCTTCAAGGTGCCGCTTACCTACCTAGGTAGCTAGGCACGGGCCCCGACCCTTCCAGGCTCGCCATTCACGGCCCGAAATCTAATGGCGCACTGGCGGCGTGACGGTGCCGTTGGTGGCAACGCAAGAGCACATCTGCCAGCAGCTGGGGTTGTTGTGGGTGACGGCACCGTACACGTCGCAGGCTACAATCGAGTAGCAGCTGCCGTGGCTGCACTTGAGCATCCAGTCGGTTCTTGGGTCGAGGGTCTTGAAGCCGCGCTCCGTGACAATTTTGGTGGGCACGGAGAGGGCGAGGCCCGACAAGGCGAGGCCATAGGTGATGGCCGCGGAGATGGACTGGTTGGATGTTAGGTCTGGGAGGACCATCCCGCAGGATACTAGTACGGGTACTTACTGGAATCTGCATTGTGGCTGTGGTGGATTATTTTGACGGTACTAAGCGATAACAAGAGAGGGTCGAGAGTTCCGCTTTTTTCCTGTCAAGTTGCCCAGGTTTCAGAGAGTGATTCGGGGTCCGCGTGGTTTCGTTGGGAATCAGTTGGCTTTGGCCTAGGTGAAAGAATGTACAGGGGAGATAGTCGTAATAGTCGTAATGAAGGGCGTTGGAACTGCTTTGAAGGACTTTCCCAATGACTTCGAGTCACTGGTACCGTCTCATTCCGGAGCTCGGTGACGAAGCGAAGCAACAGTGGTATCGATAGCTGCGACAAGCATCACCAACCAGCATACCTAGGTATATTGAAAGATAACTGATAGAAAGGAATGCAGACCGGTGCCTCTCACACCATCAGCGCGGAGGCGAGCTGCTGCCGGTAAAATATTGCGAGCATGTTGCCAAAGGCGGGCGGGTATTAAAGGACCAACAGTGTTTGGATCATGGATATTGTAGGTACGACTTGACTGCTCGATCTGTGCCCAAGACGCGCAACCTGGTGTAACATGGAGATGCAGCGCTAACCGGCACGGCCTTATCCGGTAGGTGGGAAAGCTGTTGGCCGACTTTTCTTGTTGACGGGTAATCTGAGTGGCTTGGCGAATCCCGGCGCCGTCTCAGTGGTCTTTGACGTTTTCTCCTCTCGAGTCGGAGCGGGTAATTAGTAAAAGGTGCGCCGCTGTCACCCCCAACATCTCTACCTGAAACCTTGTTTATTGCATCTACAGCAGCATCGCAGCAGCGAGAGCGACATGACTGGATAGTCAACATTGAACCCAGTGAATAACCAGCTCATGCTGGTATTTAGATATGATGATGAGGTTATGACGGTGCATGCGTGCTACTTAAATTACTATAGTATAGATATGCAAGTTGAACGATGTTCCCGCGCTATAACATGCCAGGGTTTCGACGAACCAGTGTGCCAGTGTGGTTCTTGTTGCTTCTCCTCAGGTGGGAGCAGATGTTTGGGATCGGACCGTCCTCAAAGGTGGCATATTAATAGCGCTATTATACCAACACTAAAGCTAATCGACGGCTCGTTTGCTGTTAGGGATCCACGTGATTTGGCCCCCTTTTTGGGCGCATGGGCCAACCCATACCTTAACAAGGTAAGCAGGGGTCTCCCCCAGAGGACACCTGTCTCAGGAAGTGCTCCAGGACGCCTACAATTAAGGGGACTCGGTGTCGAGTTCCTTGTTTGGACCTCCACACCATCAACAAACGCCCGTTGTACTTTCATTCTAGAAATCTACTCACACCAATCCGCCGATCCTTTCTGCAACCGCTCATTATTAGCCCGCCGATACTGCCTGCTAGCCAGCCAGCCAACCGGGGAATACGACCTAGGCCCTTTTATTACACCTCCCAGTACAGTCACCACCCAACATCGAGGCCAGGATGACGACCAAGCCGGTCCGCTGCCAGTTCCTCTGCGAGAAGAGGCAGCTTGAGTTCAAGCATGACATCCCCTCGTCCCTGGTCGGGCCGGCTGCCCTCGGCAACCCTGCCATGCCGCAGATGTTCACCACCGTGATGCGGCCCATCGTCATGGAGCATGCCGAGGCCTCACTCAAGGCCTGTGAGGACAAGTGCTCCTCAAAGGACTGCAAGCGGGACGCCACCACCGTCGTTGCCACGCCCATGTCGGTAAGTGAACTCTACTACCAGTAGTAGTACTACAGCATGAGATCAATGAGAGACCACGAGCCCCCGGCTGACTGTCCTCCTGCAGTATCTCCACAAGGCCGAGGACCCGTTCGTGATCATCATGACCGTCGCGTGCTGCGGCAATGAGGACTGCGACAAGACCCTCAAGCAGGAGGCCGCCGACCTCATGAGGCAGATGACAGGTGGCCTCCCGGGCCAGGCCACCGCTAGCTTTGGCGTCGCGCCAATGAGCCGGAACTCAAAGTGCTACTGCGGCTCGGCCCACAAGTTCAAGAAGTGCCACGGCAAGGAACAGGCCGCAGCTTAAAAGGAGACTTGTTCCTTCATTGTGTCTGAGCCCCAGCCCCCAGCCTAGCTCAGAGCGTGCGCGTGGTGGCGGGCTAAAAATTGCATGGACCTCGACGAGCAGGGTCAGAAAGCGTAAAGGAAAAGAAAAAGCATCTAGCATTTGTTACTTATCACCTGGGCCACGCTGGACTTTGGCTATGTAAGCACCCTGGGGCATCTTGTGAGATGGACGAGCCAGGCAAACGCCACTGCTGCATGAGTCCAAGTACCTGGCCATTGAGCCGGGTTGCGAGGAAGATATTGATGTGCAATGGATGTTTATTTAGGGACCATCTGACTGCCATGAACACACTTCTTTGGGTAGACGTTCCCAGCAGCGGTCTCTACCTTGTAAATGTACCCGAGGTTTTCTAGGGCCCTTTGGGAACATGGCGGATCAAAGATGCATTTTCAATCATATCTTGCATCCTCGTTGCCTCTTTTGGCACCAAGTAATTGTCGGTTTTAATTGTATTACTATGAACATTTAACCTCGCGCATTTGTTCACACTCATTGAATATACTACCGCCATAGACTTGAAAGAATGAAGATGACTTACTCAACCCGCAATTTCTCAACGGACACTAATTCAGGGGACTTTGGTGGATGCGAGATTGACAATCGGCGTCGATCTACCGCTGTAAGGCTGACGTCCCATGAAGTCAGGGTCTCACTCAGGGACCTACAGAAAAAGCGGGTCACATCAACACTTACTTCTTCAGTATTCCTCTTCACGCCTGTCATACTGTCTGCAGCTTTTCTCTTTCCACCTCATCTTCTGCAGAGTAACCTTGGAACAGATCCTAGGGTCTCTCCTCACCTCAAGGGATGATTCCCAAAGACGAACGGCGGTGTTGCTCTTCCCAAGATCTCGTCTACCCCTAACGCCGGGACCTCCAGCGAGTATCCACCTCGTAATTATTCTCCACACCATTCTTAATAAAGGGGCCCGCCAGTGACAGCTCAGCTCAGGGTCCAGTTGGGGGCGGGGCACTCAACCCAGCGGGCGCTGTAAGCTAGAGAACACAACGGCTGCGATTCATTAGCATTTTTGATCTCCTGACACCAAGGGGACACTCTGTGGGGATAAGCGTCCACTCACAAAGCTGTGTTCTCCCTATCCGTGAGGTCCAGCTGTCTTGCATCCACGACCTCTTCCGCGCGGTACACTACCTTGCGCGCAGTAGATTACAATGCAATGCGGCCTGTCTTTACCAAATCACATGTGCACGTAGCGTGGGTTTTGCAATGCAAAAGCCATCTTCCTATCAATCACCGTCATATAGATTCCAGACATGGGATCGCTAGATAGCTGCTGTTGCTTCCGCGGGATGTGCCTCTGTGAAAGGCCTAATAGGTGTTGAAGTTTGTTGTCGCCGTCTCCTCTGGGGCCATCGAAGTGGGTAGAATGCCACCAAAAACTAGCATGGTAAACACATATTCGAAGAGGCGGGACCAGGAACAGACGAAAGGAATTGGGGTGAATTGAGATAAAGAGATCACTGGCAGAAGAGAACACAGTATATTTTCTGTAGAAATGCCGAGAATATGCACGGAGGCTGACCAGAATTCAAATTCGGGCACGACATTTTCTTGGAACACGAGAGAAAAAAGTGAAATTAAGAGTCAGGATGAATCAACTCAAAAGGATCGTGACCGGCGGTCAGTCTTTTCTCCGTCACCCGAAGGGACTCGGAGGCAACATTGCGTGCTGCAGCATGAAGATATATACGTGTGTAGTGTTTCGCAGACATTTCGAACATGTCTTTTTCGGGTTGTGAGGTCAGCTTCCCAGCCGATCAGCCTAAGTTGGCTCATTCGAAATGAATTTGTCTCAAGCGACTGTGCTCAAGAGGTAGGGATGCTGCGAGCAGTGGGAAGGCCCTCTGAGTGAGTCCCACCATGGTGTCGTAACAGCTCTCTGCGTCGGCTCTGAAGGTCGGGATCAGGCTGTGCGAAGGGCACATAACATGTCCTAACTGTGGGCCATCCTTCGTCATGTAGTGGTAATCCTTGTAGTCGGCGAATCCCTCCGGATCTAGCTGTCCATTCTCGAGGCCATAGCCTGGACAAAGGTTAAATCAGCTCTGGTCAATCTCACCCGTGACGCATCTTACAAAGAGCCAGTAGCATTCTTACGCTTGTAAGGAGTCTTGATGTTGACGGCAATTCTTTGGCATGGACAGTGCAAAACGGGACCCTGTCGAGACCGAATCGCCTGACGGAGAACACCAGCAGAGCAGTGTCTTGCTTTCATACAGCTTGATCTCGAGTGCTCGGCCAGGAAACCGTGCCAGGAGCCCTGGTGGGGGGGGGGGTGTTGAGGGGGATGGAGGAGACTGTTGTCCGTTGGGCTGAATACGTATGATGGTAGGATGGGAGGGACCAAAGGGACATTGTAGGCTTTCAAGTTGTTCGATTGAATGGTTAGGAAATCTGGAAATCTTGTTTGAATGGGATAAGTGCTTGACAGAACATACCCGACACAGACAGCAGATACTTCGAGGCAGAACACTACGAGGATGCGGGCGTGCTGATTAGTATGGCGAGTATGTGATCCCAAGGAGCTGAGGGAGATCGAGGCTTCAATTGCTCTTGGGCGAAATGGGATGAGAAGCCAGGAGAGGGTCGGGTGACTGAGGTGCCTGCCATCTGACAAGCATGTTGTAAAACCGGAGGGCCGGAGGGATATCAGTTGGGCATGCAAGGCGTGCATCTTTGGGCACGCCGACGAATGATACTGGCGGCATAAATTCATGCAATTCTCTGTTCTGGGCGGTACATCTGTTCTATAGAAGCAAGGCTATGTATGGGCTGGGTTATTTGACCCAGGGTGCGCAACCAATAGATAGACCACCCAACACGTGTGGATGGTCAGGCACTAAATCTCAGCCATGCTGATCACAGACGTCCCGACGACTTGGTGTGCTTCAGCCCTGGTCGCTTGCGCGAGTGTAGGCCGGGCTTCATGGCCTCGGCCCCGTCCAAGGACGGAGCGTTTGCCGTCAGGCAAAGCTCGACGTCTCGGAATGGCATCCTGAGCCGGTCCGGCCCGGCCTGTCCAGCTGACGCTGCGCCGTGGTCACGGCAATGGTGGGGACGAAGCCCCTTACAAGAAGTCCTTGACGGCGTCATAGAACCCCTGAGGGTTCTCGCACATGGGCAGATGCCCAGCCTCGGGGACAATCTTGAGGTCGAGCCCCTTGTCGCCGACGCCGGCCTTGAACCCCTCCATGGCCTTGACCAGCGCGCCCTTGCCGTCCCCCTCCCCGACGACCAGGAGGCCCGGCACGCGGCAGCCCTTCATCTCGTCGCGCATGTTGTAGTCCCACAGGGCCTGGCAGCCGTACCTGAAGCCCTGGACGTCGTTGTCGGCGACCATCTCGGTCATCCAGCTGGCGACGTTGGTCTTGGCCGTCATGGTGTCCGGGTGGAACCAGCGCGCGACGGTGGCGGCGGCCAGCTTCTTGATGCCCGGGGTGCCGTCCTCGCCGACGGACTCGGCCACGGCGATGCGGTCCTTCCAGGCCTGCGTGTTGGCGTCGGAGCTGGCGACGTTGAAGTCGCAGGCCACGAACTTGGAGAGCCTGTCGGGATACTTGAGCGAGAACTTGAGGGTGGTGGCGCCGCCCATGCTGACGCCGACCAGTGCGTGCAGCTTCTCTATCCGGAGTCCTGACAGGAGGGTGGCGAGGTCGTCGGCGAGGGTGTCGAGGGTGGACGGGACGGGTGGCTCCGGGACGGAGTGGCGCCCTCGGAAGTCATAGCGCAGTATGCGGAGGTCGGGGCGGGCCTCCTTCAGGATGTCGACCAGGTCATCCCACATGTGCAGGGAGGTCAGCAGCGAGTTGCAGAAGGCGACGGTGGGGGCCCTGGGGTCGGTGTTGCCCTCGAGGCGGTAGGGGATGTTGAGGCCGTCCTTGGCGGTGACATATGACTGCAGGACGGCCTTCCCGTCGTTGGGCGTCGTCTTGGTCTTTGCGTCGGATGATATGAAGGCCTTGGCGGCAGGGAGGGCGGCCAGGTGGTCGAGGTCTCTTGGGGCGGGGCCAAAGACGTAGAAGAGAGAGTATGTCCGCCTGTGCTTGTTGGCGATGACCCTGGCGAAGATGTCCTCCCTCCACTTGGTGCTCGTGGCGGCCTTGTACTCGGGCCCGCCCAGCCCGTTGTCCTTGGCGTACTCGTGCAGGATCAGGAACTTGAGCGGCGCGTCCTTGTCGAGGGCGGTGGCCGTCCTGAAGCGGCGGGTGCGCAGCCAGCCGGGGACCTTGGCCAGCATGGGGATGTGCTCCTCCTCGTACCACTTGTCCAGCTCCTGCTCGGCGCCCTCGACGGCGGTGACGGTGTTCTCGACGGCGACGAGGACCTGGCCCTCTGCCTCGGAATCGGTGAGCGACTCGATGGGGCGGAACCCGGGGGCCTTGTGCTCGGAGACGAGGTCGTAGAAGTAGCGGGTGACGGCGACCTGGCCGATGGTGTCTGCCTCGCGGGGGCTCCTGTTGGCACGCAGGGTCAGGTAGGTCGGGGTGTCGAGGTGGGACATGGAGGTGACGTCGTAGGAGGCGAGGAAGTGCGGCTCCTGCGAGTCGGTGGCGGCGTAGCGCAGGCCGTTGGTGAAGATCTGCGGCAGGCGGAGGCGGGTGGGGCCGTGCTCGTTGTTGTACCACTCGTGGAACTGGTCCAGCGACAGCTCCGGCCTGGGCTGCATGGTCACATAGAGGATGCCCGGGTTGGAGCCCATCGTGACGGTGTCGAGTGTGAGAAGAGTCTGGGGGAGGTTGAGCAAGCCTGAGGAGGGCGACAGAAGAGGCAGGGCAGGGTGAGGTGAGGTGAGGTCCAACGGAGAACAGAACTCGAAGTCGGAGACTGACTGAGGCTATTCACAACAGCACGGGTGCAAGCAGATTCAGGTTGGGAGATGAACAACGGAAGAAGAAGGGCAGTACAGCAGCAAGTAAACTTGGGTCATGGAAAATGGCGACCTCGGAAGTTATCGCGGGAAATCGAGCTGGGCTCCCCACTCTCCGTCCCAGCGACGGAGCGGCAGAACGGTTGCCCACCGGCGGCGGCGTCTGGGATTGCCATGGATGGGAGCTGGTGGTGCCGCGAACTTGGGTGCGACTGTGGTAGCTCGGTGCGATGCTGGAGTCGCGGGGTAAGTACCTGGGTACCTGGGTACCCACTCATGGTGGGGGTGGCAGACCGACACGGCAGGAAGTCGTGGCGGGAGTAGGTTTACCCGGGCCCGTCAAGAGGCGTGCCTTGCCTTCTTCGACGGGACGACGCCCCCGGATGGCAAATTACTCTTCCAGAATGGTGCTTTGGGTCTTTTTATTTATCCTACATGCAATGAGCAGCCTCTAGCTTCCGTTTCAATCCGACCTCGCCATCCAGACTGTGGTCTGTATGAAAAAGCTCATGTCTAAGACCAATCAACCATGGCATGGGCCAATCAGACGCGCCAGATGGTTTGCGACGGACGACGACGACAATGACGACCTGCAGCTGGTGGTTTTGTCCGCATTTTCCCATCCTTGGCCTGACATGACGCCCTCTCCCCCATTTGTGCCTCATGTTAGCTCACCAGGGTTTCGGGCATCGGACTGGGATTGTGGCTCTGGAATGCTCACGCGTGGTCACTCTCCCAAAGCTGTGCTTATTCGAGGCGAGAAACTGATCTACCCACAGTACTTCGTACGGTCCACGAGGTCCCTTTCGACGACCAGATCATTATGCATAACGAGTGGAGTCTGTCTCAAAGTTATCAGTGGACTTTATGCTTGCGTGTGTGATATTTGAGCGAGTGCTCTCTTTCCTTGTCCGCTCATCCAAGATCAAAGTGGTCTTGTCTTGTCATGTCTTTCGAGGCCACAAGTGTGCTTGCTGGTTTGCAGCCCGAGCACAAGGATACTGACTGGTGTCTCATCCATGCTCTCTGTTTGCCCATCATTTGATCGTCAAGACTGCATTGTGAGCCTTGCAGCTGGCTGCCCTGACAGCCTGGAGCCTGCATTCTGGGTTCTAGATATGGCTGCCCTCCTTTCCGGGCCACCTTATTTCTCTGCCTGTGTGGGATGCCTCAGATGCTGGCTGCAGGTGGGAGCTCTTGATATCGATGCCTTCCTACAGCAGCCAGGACAACGTCAACTTCCTATATGTCACACAGGTCCACAGCCGCAAGAAAAGGCGCCGCCCATCATTCTGGGGCTGCAGACCTCGCAAATCAAGCTCGTCAGCCAGAGACCGCCGTCCCAGAGACAACAAGCCTGAGGAGCCCATCGAACCGTCTTCGAGATCCGAGGCATCACAAGCACCAGCACCAGCACCGAGCCCTCGCCCACCAGCCAGACAGGCCCGCCACAGCCCAGCTCCGCCCAGCCCACGCAGTCTCGCTGTGGAATTCCACAAAATGGACGGCCGTTCTCCCATCATCCAAGACGACTTCTACTCGCCAGAGGCCCCATCCTCGGCGCGAGCCCGGTCTCCGCCACCCGTCACACAGCCCTTCCGCACCCTCGTTGCTTCCGTCAAGCGCTGCCCCTGGGCTCCAGCTTCGGGCCTTGGTCGGCGCGGCCAGTATGCCTCGGACGATTTCTACTACCCGCCCGTGCCGCGCAGCCTGCTCCACGATACGGCCGTCTCCTTCGTGGTCAAGGACCACACCCGACCGGACCTTCCCGAGTTCGTCATCTCGTGCCCCTTCGAGAACGTCGATCTTGTCCACCAGCTGCTCGCACCGGATGGCTCGGGTCGCCAGCTCACCGCCAGGGGGACGAGCGGCCAGCCGCGCAGCGGTGACCAGCTGAGGAGCATGTTGCTCGACGGCACGCCGAGCATCGAGTTGGCACTGCACGCCGACCCACGCGACCGTCTCGGCGCATCCCTCACCCGTCACAGAGATCGCCCAGGTGATGACGGAATTGCCGAGGGACGCATGGCCCGCTTTGTCGACAGCCCCGTCACCCCAAGGCGTGACGACGCGAACACCAGGGCACAGCGATGGGGTGGTGGAGACACCAACAATGGTCGGAGGCAGCACACGTGAGTCTTGCGTGAGTCTTGTTCATGTGGGTTGGCTACAGGACGCATATACATGCCTTGGAATTGAACTGTAACTCATCACTCAGCACAGGTCGTTGATGTATCAGCCGGCTAGCCGTTCGCGAACCCCAGTAGCCACCGGCTACGACTCCTTCATCACGGGAGACGAGCCCGACGTCGAGCAGCCGAGGACGAGCGGGGCTCCAGCATCGCCGCTATGGATAGCCACGCCCCTGCGAGCACCATCCACGCCTGCGTCGTCTTCGCCACCTCCGTCAGGTGGTTCTGAACACAGCGGTACGGCGTTGTTGCACACAACCCCAAGCCCTTTGCACTTCCAGGCGACCGTCGAGAGTGCCCCTCCTACCCCGTCCACGGGCCCACTGAAGGCAGGTCGAGATGAGCCAGCAGTGACTTCACCTGAGGAGGAGCGAGAGGAGGAAAGAGCTGAAAATCAGTTGGAAGAGGGTGGAGACACGAGGCAGGAGGGCATGGGTGGCAACATCACAGAACCCCCGGCGCTGGTGTACGTAGAGCCTGCTCCTGGGCAGTTGGAACGCGGAGTGCCACTGACTGGATGGCTGTGTGATCCTGCGTGGCTTCGGCAGAGGCTCAGGCACTTGACTATGGGAAACACTGAAGGGAATTAGGAATCGTTGTGCGGGAAGAGCTCGCATTTTCTACCCTGAATCAACTCTGCTTGTGTGGAACCAGTCTTGGATGTCCACGAAACTTTTACTCTTCACACCTGTTTTTTTTTTCCTTTTGTACCACCTCACCTGATCTTGCCTCTGCTCATCCAAGCCATCCTGCCTCGGCTGTTTTTCTTTTCTCTTCGGCAGATGGTGTCAGGTGAGGAGCCCAATCAATGGCTTTTCCCCCCAGGAAGAGACCGAATCTCTCATGTTGTCCTTTTCAGCCCGTCTCTCCAAAAGGTATCATCAGCGTGCTGACCGGATGTGACTTCCGTTTCGCGATAGCCCCGAGCATACAAGAAAGGGAACTTGTCCAACCCTTCCGCAGCCTCCCGAGACTTCCTTCTTCTCTACTCCTGGGTGGGCGCCGCTGCATCAGTGGCGGGCGCAGCCTCATTGTCCTCCTCTCCCTCCCCGTCCTCGCCCTCCTCCCCCTCGGACTCGGAGTCAGAGCTGAAATCCTCAAAGTCGGTCGCGTACTCCTCGCTGCAGGGGCTCGACTCGGGGCCTGTTTGACGGACACATTCAGTCAGTTACATCAGCAGAGGGGGAAATGGCTGTGGTGCTGGCTACTTGAGCACCAGTGTGTCCATGAGATGGAACGAGACGGGATCACAAACTTACTCCATTGCCTCCGCTCCGCCTCCAGCTCATCCACAAACTCCCCCCGCAGCTCCTCAATGATGCACATGGACGCGAACCGCCGCAGGTTGAACACCAGCTCATGGTAGTGCCTCTTGCGCAAGTCTGTCGCGCGCGCGGCCAGGAGCTTGTCGCGCAGGTGCACGCAGTGGGCGAGGGCGCGGCGCATCCCGACGATGATGCGGTCGAGCTCCCAGAACATGAAGAGGGCCTGCGCCACGCGGGGCCCGTGGGTGACGCCGGGCGTCTCGGGGGACACCCACATCGCCCAGGGCCGCGAGTTGTCGTGCAGCTCGATGAGGCGCTCGATGCGGGCGGCGTCGTCGCGCCAGCGCATGAAGTTGAAGATGAGGCGGTCCATCGCCTGGCCCAGGGGCTTCGCGTAAGGGAGGCGGGTCGTGTAGATCTCGAGGAAGGTGCCGATCGTCGCGTGCATCTCGTCGAGGGCCGCGACGTGGGTTCTCGTCCTGGCGAGGGCGGCGTCGCGGCCCACCCAGAGGTCGGGGGTGGTGAGGTAGATCTCCAGGCGCTCCTCGAGGGTCTTCTGGCGCTTCGGGGAGGGCTCTTGGGAGTCTGGGGAGTCTGCCCCCTCGATGCTCTGGGCGGGCTGGTCCTGGTCGCTGTCGCCGATGGCAGCGTCGGCCTCCTCGTCGGAGGAGTCGCTGTCGCTGTCGCTGTCGCCGGACGGGGACGTGGACGGGGACGTGGACGGGGACGTGGACGGGGACTGCGACTGCGACTGCGACTGCGACTGCGACTGCGACTGCGAGGCGTCCTGCGCGTCGGCGCCTTCGAGCTGGTCGCGCTTGCGCTTGAGGTCGCGGTCTGCCTTGTTCATGCGCTTGATCTCCTTCTTGTACTTCTTGTAGGCGGCTGGTGTGTTTGTTTGTTTGTCAGTCGGTCAGTCACATGGTCCTACGTATACGGGCCCTGAAATTGGAAGGGAACGGAGGACGGGGGAGGGGGTATCTCGCAGGCAGGAGAAGGAGAAGGGAAATGAGGATGCCAGGGGCCACCAACACATGATCTGGTTAATGTCGAGGTCCATGCTCGCCGCGAGGTCCTGGCCCAGGCGCGTGAGCTCGCCGCCGCCGCCGCCCTCGCCCGTCAGGTCGCACGAGGGCGTGACGATGGCCCTCTTCTGCTCGGCGAGCGCGTCGAGGTCGTTGTACCCGGGGCCGAAGATGCGGTAGGCCATCATCAGCTCGGGCGACGTGCCTGGGTAGACGACGGTGGCGTCGCGGTTCTCTGGGGTCTTGGGCATGGCGGCTGGCGTCGCTGAAGAAGTTCTGACTTGAGGATGTGGGGGGGGAGGGCTGGATTGATTGGAAATGGGGATGTGGTGTTGGTGGTATTCGATTGTGATTGCCTCGAAGCTGACGATAGTGAAGAACCTTGGAAGGGTATCGCAGTGAGACTGTGAGTTGTGCGGGAAGGAGGTTGGCCACACAAAAGAAACGGAACGGGGGTGGGAGCGAGTGGTGGAAAAGTCTGATCCCAGTCTCGAAGCTCAATGTTAAGATTGTTTTTGCTGAAAACAATTGGGAGTGGGCTGAGCTCGAGATAGCACAACTTGAATTGTCGAATTCCGTCCAATCAGTTCGATGAGGTGTTGTGTTCTCTCTGCACTGTTATTGGCATCGGGTGTTTTCTTTTCAAAACGCTGGGTCTTGAGCGTTTACCACTGTATGAGGGCTGGTGACCACATTATGTTTTATTTGTATGGGGATTAGAAACAAAACCGCTTGAAACCACCACTCAGTTCGATGAGCAATCTGACATGGCAGATCCAGCCCAAATCAAGTGCTCTCACCCCCAGCTACAGGCTCTATCCTGAAGAGTCTTGCATACTCGGTCACTACTTCCCCTGGGGTAGATCGCTCCAAAGTGAACCTCTTAATCAGTCAAGGCAAGCATTGAATCTCATATCTTGTACTAGGACGAGGACTCGTCTCAATGTAGTTCAGCAGTGCCTTGCACTATGCTGACATATCACTTTTGTTGTCCAACACTTCACTCAAGAATTACAATGCCCGGGCTACACAGTAAATTTGATTAGTTCCTATCAAGGTTTTTACACATATTCGGGCATGCAGGGCCTTTAAATTTCCCTATGCTTTTAGTATACTTGGAAAATTGAACCCTGGAAGCGAGCATGGTTTCATTCAAAGATGAACAGGAGATCTCCATGCTATGTAGATAGACAGTGAAGTTTGCAAGCGGACAGTATCTCGAGACAAATCATTGAAATGAAGCTAAATTATGTCGTTTTTTAAACGCTGTGTCTGGAACGTTTCAGATTACCACTCTATAAAGGTGCCACACACATTTTAATACATGCCGAGGTTATTGATGTATGGGGACACCTAGGTAGAAATGAAACATTTGAACCACCACTGAAGCCAGCCACCTACATGTTGAATTTCTGACAAAGCCTTAATTACAATATAAATAGCTGCCCAGGAAGGTATGCATGGCATGGCCTCATGTGCGATGAAGCCAACCCAGCAGACTTCAGGACCTAGCTGGTGGCGAGCAGGCTAGATGAAATCTTCCCAGATAGATCAAGCTCGAGAGCTTTGCAGTCCGACATGGTGGCCTCTCAGAGAAATAGTTTTGCTTTTATCACATACACGCCCAAAGCTCACAGAGAAAAACAGCCCTGTGCTGTATAGAGGATTGGCAAGTCACTGTCAAAACCTTGGAAGCCATGTGCAGCAAGACTCGGTGCGTCCATATTGACATACTGCAACAGACGTGAGGTTGTCAAACCATGGTCCACGGGTTGGGGCCGGCCTAAGCCTGGCCGGTGAGGACGCAGGTCGGGCACGTACCCTAGGGCACCTGCTGCAAGACTACGTCAGGCGCATATGGGGTACCTGGCTTGGCCGCCTGGGACATAGGATCTACAGTGCCTACAGGCGAGAGGAGACGGTAAGCTGGCAGCTAACTGGCTGGGCAGAGAGGTAGATCCCCCAGGTGGCGTGCCTATTATGCATGGTCGAGGTTCTAGACCGCCGATGGAAGGACGGATCTACAGACGTACCGCAGCATGGTGCCCTGGATGCGTTGGGTACCCTGGCGGCCCTGAAGACTACCTAAACACGTACTGTGGTACATTGTACCATGACAGCGACCTGATTAGGCAGGCTCTGGGCAGTACCCGTACCGTTCCCTTCAACCCTCTAACCCTCCAACCCTCAACCCTCAACCCTTCTGCCCCTCCCTCTCTCAGCCTCTAAGCCTCTATCTGGGTAAGGTACATACATAAGTACCTAGGTAGATAGATATGGAATACTCCGTAGTCACACGACTCATGGAGCGTTCAGGTGGAGTAATAGAGACGCAGCTACCTCGGAGGCACCCAGGTACAGGATACATCGACATGTACGGAGTACGGACGTACCTGTCGGGTGCCTTCCTGCTGGGTGGGATTAGACTGTGGCAGGCAGGGCAGGCAGGGCAGGCAGGGCAGGCAGGGCAGGCAGGGCAGGCAGGGGTCGGGCTCAGAAACCCATGCAAATGCACGCGGACACAAGAAATGCCACGCTGTGATACAGCAAAGTAACCAAACAACCCACCCCCCTCCTCTATCGATAGACACATGGTCAAACCGCCACAGGCGGAAATGATGCTGGTCATTTGCTCATCAGTTGCCCCTCCCATCCTGCCATCCAGGCGCTACCACATAGAAGGCGCCGCACTATCCATGGCGGACAAGGGATGATGTAGTCAAGTAGTGTACCTAAATACCTGGGTACATGCTGAGGACGGGAAGGCGCAAACAGGGGACGGCAGTGACGTAATGTGCCAGGGCACACAACGACCGCACTCACGCCTCACACTCACTCACTCGTGCCTCGGGTCCTTCCTTCCCTGTCTGCGCTTGCTCTCATAGCCCACCCAGCTCTTGCCTGGACAGACAGAACCTTGGAAGTCGGTTTGAGGCCCAGTCAGTCAGTCTCAGTCAAGGCAAGGCAAGGCAGGCCTGGAAGTCTGGGAGCACCCACCCTCGTGCGGGTACAGCAGCAGCAGCAGCAGCAGCAGCAGCAGCAAAACGTTTTGGTCACAGGTCTTGGTCACAAGTCTTACAATACCTCCGTCCCAGTCTAGGATCGTCGCCGTCACCGCCGTCGTGGGATCCTGCAGTCGTCACCCCCACCCATCTCAGCCCATCTCAGCCCAGCCCAGATCAGCCCGGCCCAACTGTCTCTACTTCTCACTACCTAGGTTCCCTTCAACAGCCCGTCCGTCTGGCGGATCATGTCAGTCCGATCTACGCTCATATCATCCACAGCTGCACAACCAGAACCGTCCAGACCCCAGACCCAAAACTGCAGATGGATGGGTAGAGCATGACAAGGAGACAACGGATGGGACACGCAGCTGCTGGGCGCATCATCTAAGAAGAATCGATCGACAGTCACAAACTGCCCAAACTCGCATGGCTTCTCGTGCTGTGACCACACCAGTGGACGCTTGACTCTGCCCGCCAACTCTGCGACACTGCTGCCGCCACAACAATCATCGACTCTGCGAGATTCCAAACTTCTTCCCCACCTCAAGTTGTCCCGGTGCTTTCATCAGTATAGTCGTCCGGTTTTGAGCATCACCACAACAACAACCACCACCAACGTCCTCCCCTCTCAACCTACCGTCAGGGACTCTCAGGGCGGGCTCCACGGGCATCGTGGGGACTCGTGCTGCTCAGCCAAGCCACCCATGCCCGACCCGGACTTTGAGCAGCTCGCCAACGCTGGTCTGTCCGTCTTCGACCTCAACTCCGAGTACCTCGACACCAAGGACTGGTGAGTTGGTTGCCCAGAGGCCCACCTGCGCCTGTCCCCCTTGTCTGGTCTCTGGCCTCTGGCCTCTCTTCTTTTTCTCGCATGCCGGCCTCCAGCCTGCCCTGCCAGTATCTTGCCCTCTCGTAAACGTGCGGATCCACACATACGCACAGTATTCCTTACTACTTGATTCGGTTGTCGCATGCATACTACGCTTGACTTTCTGACCGGTAGACTAACTTCACTCCAGGTCCGAGACCCCCCTCGGCCCATCGGCAGAATGGCCACAGTCTCTCACATCCTACGTCAGCCTTATCAGGGCTCTGCCACATCCCGCTGCTGTCTTCTGGGGCGCCCAACTCACTCTCGTTCACAACTTTGCCTGGGGGCAGGCCACCAGGTACCACAAGGGCCAGGGCCATCCCGCAATTGAGAAATACCGGGGTGAGGCCCGCGGTGCCCTCCAGGCGGCAGTCACCGGCCGAACCGTCAGGATAGGTGCGTATTCCTCCCTGGGGCTGGTCGACGCACTGGGGCTCGCAAGACATTGCTGCCGCTCATGATCTGGCTGACAAGGACCAACGCGTAGCCGGTGACCTGTTCTTCCGGAACACCCCCGGTGAGGACTCTAGCGCATCTGTGGTCATTTGCCCTCTGCTCGATGACAAGGGTCACCGCCAAGGAGCATTTGCTCAGTCACTCGACGACCCCTCGTCGCAGCGCTCACTCGACAATGAGCTTCTGGGCGGTGCCTCCGATGTCGAGTCCTCGAGCGACAAGCAAACGTCTCAAAACAATGAATTCCTCGACAAGTCACAGGAGGACCAGGACGAGATCCTCAGCAAGGCTGTACCCCCCGGCCCCTCTGACCGCCCTAGTGACATGGGTGATGCCGTCTCAAGGCATGGCCGCATCGACCTGAAGCAGAGCCAGCTCTTCCAGCGCTTTGCGGAGCTGTTACCCACTGGCCTGGCCATACTGAACCATAATGTGAGCCCCCGCCCCCTAAAGCTCCCCAGTGCCAGTGCACTCTAGGACCTGGTGACATCTCGATCCGACCGGGGTGGGTACTGACGGGAGCGTCTAGGCCGAGGCTGTCTTCGTCAATGACCAGTTCTTCAGCCTGACAACAAAGAAAACCTCTCGCGAGTTCCGCTCCTGGCCCGAGAGCATCGATCCCCGCGATTACGAGCGGGTCATGTCAGAGTATCGTGAGGCATTCAAGGAACGGAGGGATGTCAAGGTTGACTTTAGATGTGTGTCGGGCGACGAAGGCGAGAGGAATGACCCGGACCAGCCCGAGAACGATGAGTGGCGCATGTTCTTGCTCCGTCCCCTAAACTCTACGAGGACCTCGGGATACATCTGCGCCGTCGTCGACATCACGGAGCTCAAGACGGCCGAGCTGGCACAGGAGCGTACGGCACACGATGCAAAGGACCGCAAGCAGCAGCAGGAGCGCTTTATCGACATGGTTTCCCACGAGATTCGGAACCCCCTGAGTGCCGTCTTGCACCTAGCCGAGGAGATAAAAGAAACAAGCAAGGCCATTAAGGACAGCGGGTCCCAGTCAGGGCAGATCGCCGAGATAATCGATTGCGCCGAGACTATTCTGGTCTGTGTCTCACACCAGAGTGTTCTTGTGGATGACATCCTGAACTTCTCAAAGCTCGACAGTGCCATGATGTCGCTCGCCCCCAGCGCGTCGCAGCCCAAGTGGGTTCTGTCAAAGCAGCTCAAGGTCTTCCAAGCCGAGCTGAAAAATAACCACATCGGGTTCGAATATGCCATGGATGCTTCCTTCACCGAGCTCGGCGTCGACTGGGTGGTGGCAGACCTTGCACGCATCAAGCAAGTGCTTGTGAACCTCATGACCAATGCTATCAAGTTTACTTCGAGAACGAACGGGGACAGGACTATTACAGTGACCCTGGCCGCATCCGTTGAGAGGCCACGATCATACCCATCAGAAGTGGTCTTCTTCGACGATTACAAGGAAGAAGGGGACCAGACTCGAGGTTCGGAATGGGGTGACGGTCCAGCCATGTACCTCATGGTCGCCGTCAAAGACACGGGCATTGGCATTTCTGCCCAAGACCAAGCAAAGCTGTTTGAGCGCTTCCGGCAGGCGACGCCCAAGACATCCGAGAAGTACGGGGGTTCTGGGCTAGGCCTATCGATATCACGGAAACTGTGCCAGCTACACGGTGGAGACATTGGTGTAGGCTCTAACGAGGGACATGGGTCTACCTTTGGCTTCTATTTCAGGGTAAGGCGCGCCTCGCCTCCGCAGGACGGAGGCGGCACCGCCTCCGGGAGGAGCACACCTATGAGACAGAGTTCTTCCGAGAGCATACCCATGCGACCACGCCTGCAGAGCCGCCAGCAATCGTCAACACAGAGACCCGGGGTGGAGACGATAGCGGAATCAGCCTCGGGCGAGGAGTTGAAGGGAGCCCAAGAAGGCGATGCAATTAATTGCAACAACATCTCAAACAAGCCAGGACTCAATCGAGATACAGAGACCAACCCAACATTGATGGAGCCGGTGCAGCGTGCTGCAACCGTAAATTCAGAACCGGCAAGAGAGGGAAGGGACACTGACAACACAACCGATCAGCCGAACCGCGGAGGACAAACCCAGCTTCCCGGGACGGGGGATAAATCAAGCTTATCGAGCGACCAGAGAGATGGGAAACCAGGCGGCCAAGCTCCAGCGAAGAGGACTTTACTTCTTGTCGAAGATAATATGATTAACCAGAGGGTACTTAAGCGACAACTGCAGGCAAGTAGCATCCAACCAAGCATGGCCAGTTGAGTGATGTGTCACTCACATTGGGCTGAACGTGCCAGCTCTTGTTTGGGAACCACAACTAACCCTCGCGCAGAACCACGGATTCGAAGTCTTAACCGCCAACAACGGCCAGGAAGCCATTGACGCCGTCGTGGACCGCGCCAAGCGGAAACGCGACAATGCCTCCGATGCTCAGCCACAAGATGCAAGTGACCATTTCTCATGCATTCTAATGGACCAGGAGATGCCAGTCAAGGATGGCAACACCGCGGCAAGGGAGATCAAAGAGTTACAACTCAAGGGCGAGGTCGGCAGGTCGCCTATCCTGGGCGTGAGTGCGAACGTCAGGGAGGAGCAGACAAGAGTAATGAAGGAGGCCGGCATGGACGAGGTCATAAGCAAGCCGTTCAAGGTCAAAGATCTCGTCAAGAGGATCGATGCCCTGGCGGAAAATATTGCGGGCAATTCTGTATAAAGTTTGGAGGTTCAAAAACCGGTGGACAGCACGGTGCTACCATAATTCGACAGATACGGTATGATCGTGGCCAACATTGGAAGACTCTGACTGGCCTCTGATGGCGCGGTATTCATCACTGCAGTTACTATCTCGGGCGAATGTAGTCTGAGATCGTTAAAGTAATTAAGATCGAAATTCTTGGTCATTTGTGAAGCAAGTAGGTGTTTGACGAACATGACGGGAAACTGCCACAGTGCCTGAACACCACATCTTAGCTGGATGTGAGAAGAGTGACAGGTTCCTGTATTCTGAGATACGTAACAGAATTCAGAAGTACAATGTCTTCTCATCGTATGTCGTTTCGCTTCTATTCCGTATACGTCCGAGGACGTACATGGCGCCTTTATACGGTGCTTCGCACAGTATGAAATGGGGATCGGTTGGCTGCTGTGCAGGGCCAACAGCCACAAACGAACATTTTGAACATCTGGTGGCAATGATGGCAAGTCTTGTTTGTGTATAGTCTTGCGAAGGCACGAAATCTCGTTCGAGCCTGAGTTGAAAGGACTTCAGGACATCCAGGGATATCTCCCAGCTTCGCCATTGACCTTGTGAGCAGCATAGATGAATGTCTGCTTCCTATACTCAAGTGGAAAACCTGGTCCAGTCCAAGTGATGTGACGGAACTTGAAGTGAGACGTCTTGGCTGCGAATCACTGACAGTGATTGAAATAAAGTTGAAATAAAGGGTTCTAGCCACCTGGAATCCACAAGGGCGAAAGTCCTTGCGGAACTCTCCTGCACCACATGTGCACTCGATTATTCTCGACTACGACCCCTGGATTAGGACCCCAGGTTTGGCCACCATCAGCCCAATGAGGCTTATCCTAACTTGAAACCTCTGCAGCAGCTAGGTAGGTCGTCTGCCCATTGTTGTCGTACGCCGATGCGGCCTCGACTACGCTGGTGCAAAGTTCTGTTCAGTGTCAGAACCCGTGTGCGGCGAGATATCCGTTCTTTTCGTTTGTGCGTGAGAATCAAGAAGAGACAGAAGACGAGAAAAGAAAAGACTACTAGAGACTGGCCGAGTCCAAGACTTCAATGTCCAGAGTGATGTATATATTCCCAGTAGAGTCTCAGGGCTAGATCCAAGACGGAAGGCCGATTCCGTCTTCTCCTGCATCGGCACAAGATGAAGTAAGTCTAGATGGGGATTTGACTTGCCCGCAAGCTTTGGATATCATCATTACTCATTCAGTTGTGGCGACACCAAGCAAGAAGGCTGGATAGCATATTGAGTAAGCCCAGGGCTTGGAGGCCACCAGCGGGTTTTAATCAGTAGTACTGGAGACTGCAGTATGGGCCCAAGCAGATTATGATTGTGTCAAGATCAATTACATCAAGACTACGCCACATCCCCGAGGGTCGCCTTTGGATGCCGAGCTGAGAAGCATGGGGTGCACGGGTTCTTTCAGATGCGACAGGGCTTAGACATGGCTACGACCTCATGGTGCTTTTTTCCTCGGAAGACTTGTAATTATTGATTCATCCGAGAATTACAAACAGTGTGGCTAAGCCTAAGTCGCACGAACTAAACAGTGGCGATTTGCAAATATATACAGACGAAAAACACCCGACCATTCGAGCCGACCCTGCATCACCAGGCCTTAGACAGAGGGCAGGTACAGCTCGTCGACCCAGTCCCTGTAGTCGGCGCCCAGGATGAACTCGATGGGCACGGGGGAGTTCCTCACGGTGGCGTAGGGGACCCTCTCGGAGGTGTCGGCGCCGGGCCCGGAGTTCTCGAACTCCTCAAAGGTGACGTGGTCGGTCTGGGGCTGCTCGGGGGTCCACAGGGCCCAGCCGGTCGAGTTGACAAAGGAGCCGATCTCGCTGCGCTGGAAGGTGACGCGGGCGTGGTTCCTCCAGGGGCGGCCGAGGAAGACGCTGCCCTCCTCGACGTCGGCGCCCTCGGCGACGACGACCTTGCTGTCGGTGATGACGTACCAGCTGGGGTCGTTGTCGTCGACGCGGCCGCTGGCGGTGATCCAGCCGTAGCCGTTGGCGGCGACGGTGGAGTTGACGATCCAGGCGCGGGCGTGCTCGCCGTAGATGAAGTCGGTCATGCCCTCGATGTAGCAGTTGGCGTAGATCTGGTTGCCGACCTCGGCCAGCAGGGTGTCCTGGGAGCCGTAGAAGCTCACGCCGTAGTAGCCCTGGCTCGTGTTGTAGGCCGACAGCGCGCCGGCCTGCATCCCCTGGCCCCACAGGTTGCGCAGCTCGATGTTGTACACGGCCGTGTTGGGCGACTCGTTGACCAGGGGCGCCGTCCACTCGTTGCCCGGCTTGGTGGCCAGCGAGGCGTTGAGCTGCAGGCGCACCGTGTTCTCCTGGTAGCCGGTCGTGTCGGCCGTCTGGCCCATCAGGGTCACCTTGCCGGCCTTGGGGGGCAGGTAGACCTGCTCCTCGTAGGTGCCGTTGTAGATGAAGATGGTGGTCGGGTCTGTGGACGTGTTGGAGATGCTGTTCACAGCCGACGCGATCTGCGAGGGTTTGTTAGCTGGGTCCAGATGTCTACAGGTGGATATCACAGAGTAGTGAGTGAGTGAAGGGCAATAAACTCGGGGCAACTCACGGTGGGCCAGTCACATTCTCCCGTCTGGCACACGGTGATGGCGCCAACCGGAGGGGTGAGCCTCGAGTGAGCCGGGACCGGCGCTGGCGCAGACGGCGTGCTGGGGGCGTTACCCATCCTGACTTTTTTTTTGGTAGGGGGGGTATATTAAACGAGTGACAAGGTCGGTGAGAAGAATGGATGAGAAGCCATCCGACCGTGTCTTGGGGGAGAGAGATCTGCCCCAGATATTAAGTGAGTGCCAAGAAGTCACTTGTCCGTCCGTGAAATGAGATTCACCGGCACGTGTGGGTATAAATTGGGGCCCTCGGTGGCCCTGGGCAGACTTCAGGGCGGGCTCACTTCGGCAACTGTCCCGGTGCATGAATGGCTGGCTGTTTCCGCCTCTCTCGGCCCGCCGTTGAGGCGCAACGCAAATTGCAGTCAGTCCAGCTTGGTAGCATCTCATTAGACTACACATGCGGCTGTCAGCTTGCCACGGGATCCTCCCGTGTGCCAGGCTACTACTAGTTAGTGAGTGACGGTGCGTGTAGTCTTCTCACTCAATGATAGCCCTACCCGCTTCCCGGACGGTGAGCCCGCGGCCGGTGGGCCCTCCGAAACACCCCGCCGTGCACTTTAATCTAAGCGGCTCTGCCACCTGAGTGATGGATTTGACTCGCCCGAGATCCCCCTTGCAATCTTAAGAAACATCTCCCAGGATATTTCGTTTCGATCCGCCCGGGCGGATATCAAAAGGAAATGGCGTATTCCCGGCACACGCCAGATGCAGGACACTGCTCCGGCCTATATTTTAATCCGTCAAATGTTCAGTCGGGCGGCCGGGTACCCAGGTAGACGTGGGCTCTACATAGACCTGCAGCAATTTGACAGATCAGTTTTGGGAGGTCTGTTGGTAGCGGAATCACGTCAGTCAAGGTTGCCCCTGTCCGCAGATCTTCAATGTTGTTCTCCCGCGGCGATCCCCCTCGATAAATGCTACCCCCGACGAGTCAGCCTGTGAGAGTTGTTTTGTGGGTGGGCAGAACCGCCGAAACAGGATCGTCAGCCCGCCGCGCAATTGCAGTGAATAAACGGTGCGTGCGATAAGGAAGAGTTATTTTCGTAGCCAAGAAGTGAACACCAGGACGTGGGTGGTTTCGTGGGCTCCGGAACGTTCAGCCCTGGCCTCATTGTGTCAAGTGTGCGCAACGCCGCCGTCAAGACGGTGCCCCTTGGCCTTGTCTGTGCGTGGCAAGACTGAGGCCACATACACCTATCGTGTTCTAACTATAGTTGTAGACATAGTGATTTTGTAAGAACACAGTCTTGGGCGTTTACCACCGTATGAAGGCGCTATGTGTGTCTCTGGACGTATGCGGGATAGAAGCGAAACCAGTTAAGTTCGCGCATGGCAGATAGGAGCCTTAATATTCCGGGAATAACACGAGTAGTGCAGATGAGCCGCCATCATCTACTAGTAGCATCCCAGGAAAGCGTTCAATATTCAAATGCAGCCAAATGTGTCTGGAGAAATTCTATCATTTTAATACAGCCTCTCGTCTCATCTGAGCGGTCAGCTGGTTGGTATAACAACAGTGCCTGCCGACACTTCTCGCCCTGGGCTTTCTAGCTGAGCAGCAGCTGGCCGTCTTTCCTGCTACAAGGTCTCAGATGAACTGCGAGATGCTCGGGAGGACTGACGTGTACGCAGTCCCGCTCGGCGGCTCCATCGAGAACATGTAGTCCCCCCACCACGGGCCGCCTCCCCACCACAGCCAGCCCTGCCACACGTCGCTGTTGTCCTCCATGTACTGCAGCATGCCCGTCAGGGCCGTGATGCACTGGCTGTTGGCGCCGCCGGCCGTCTCGCCGAGTATGCCCTTCTTGCCGTTCTGCTTGAGCCACTGGGTGGCGGCCTGGAGGCGCTCGGCCCCGATGGTGGTCGACACGCAGTTCGGGGTCGTGCCCGAGCCGTCCGAGTCGAGGTACTGGTGCATCTCGTATATGATCTTGTTGGAGGGGTCGGTCAGGGATGCCATGGCAGCCCCTGAGCCGGAGGAGACCTGGTGTTTATGTTAGAGTCTCAAGGTTGTTCTTTTTTAGGAGTGAGTGACGTTAGGCGCGAGGAGAAGTCATACCCAAACCCAAGCACCCGTGTAGGAGTTACCCTCCACGAAGATGTATTGGCTGGTAGCACCAGCGGCGCGGATGCCATTGATAGCAGCCTGGTTGAGGTTTGCAACGAGGGTGTTGTCCATGTCGTGGTACTCGTTGTTGGTGTCGAAAATGACCTTGCTGTTGCTTGCGAACCGGGCGGCAAGGGTCTTCCAGTAGGCCTGGAAACCGGCCGTGTCGGTGATCACATTGCCGTAGTAGCGCCCAAAGTTCTGCGAGGAGATGACGGCGTATGCGCCTTTGCTTGTGATGTAGCTGACGATCTGGGGGTTCAAATTTTAGCTCAGGATCTGGTTCACTGTGTTGTAAGTTTTGTGAGGTCACTGACATCATTTAATCCGTTGTAGTATGCTTCGTCGATGCTACCTGTCAAGGTGTTTGGGATGATCCGTTCCCTGCAATATCATTGTCAGTGCCAGTGGCCAGCAAACGTCATGGATAACAAAGCAAAGACGTTGTCCTGAAGTCGTGGATAGCATACATGGACATTGGTATCCGGAAAGTGTTGAATCCCTTTGCGGTCAAAGTCTATAAGACTCATAGTCAGCATCAGCATTGGTAACTAATGAGTCTTCCCGAGGTCCCTGTGTCCCCACCGCCACCAGAGACCACTGGCAATGCTGCCTTTTCTTACATCAATAGTGGAATGGACCGGCCAGGTGTAGTCAGTGCCGAGTGTGCCCGGGTAGTTGCCCTCGCCGAACTCGGCCCCGGACTCGTTGACGCCCGTGAACAAGAACTTGCTCTTGCGCTTCTGTATAGCATTGGCATTGCTGCTCGTGCCGGTGGCTGGTGCAGCGACCGCCGATGTGACGGCGACCGCCCCGAGGACGACACTAGCAAATCTCATCTTGTCTCAAGTCAGGATGGATTACTTGCTGGCTCTTGGAGGCAAGACGTGGACATTTCAGCATACAGATGGGTAACATATCCATTTATATTCATTCAGTGGGCCATGACGGCAGTGATGCTACGGAGGCCATGACTCCGCGGTGGAGGGATGTTGACGTCTGTCAAACGTGTGAACAAGCCTCCCCCCAGGTCGCATCTACCAGTACGGTAGTGTCCCGCAATTTCAGTCTGGGCGAGCCGCAAATTGGCGCGTCCCCGCAATGCTTGTTGAGGTGGTGGTCACCGTGGTGGAAGCATCGTGAAAAGCCGGCGCTAATCAGTTTCGGTACTGGTCCCGAGGCTTGACAATCTGGGGTCTACACGTGTAGGTCATGCTTATTGTCGCATGGCCGGCGCGCCGGCGGGTTTATCTGTCGATCATAAGGACAAGGAACTTCCCGTTGGAACGTTGCACATGGGCAGCTTGAGTAAAAAACCGGATGACGCGGCGAATCACCAGACGGAGAAACGACTGCGGTCGAATAACAATGGCTTGTGGTCGGTCACGCACGCAGCTGGCAGGGAGCAAGAAAGGGGTAATGGATTGCTGCGGGCAATGTTGACCCACCTTCAGGTCAAGCTAGGCGTTACTGCCGCCGAGCCACATGCGGCCAAGAGAGGCAGGGAACTCCACATCCCCCTGATCCCGACGTCTTGTTGGTTGTTGTTACTGACTAGCGGCCTAAAAGTACGTGAAGAGCCAAGCAACGAGGCCCGAACAACTTTGAAACTCAACACCAAATCATAAGACTCATCTCTAGAGAATTCAGAAACATATTTAAAATCTATCAAACCAATCCACTTAGAAACCCGAAACCTAGTATGAAGGAATTGAGAGAAACCAGCTAGGAGCAGGATGTCGGAAGGAGAAGAAACAAAATGACATCTGGAGTGGACCCGACATGCCCCGATGAACTCGTCACATTGTTCAGAGACATACTATTGCCGCTTCTGTTCTGGCCTCACCCAGTATTGATTACGAGATTCCTGATCCATTTCACTGGAGTCCTGGGTACGAGTTCTGGATCTCCCTTTAGACTTTTGTCTCTGCAAAGATGATATTTGGATGTTTTGAGTAGCAACTTTTGAGCTAATAAATTTGAAGTCTGCCTGAGAAGGCTAGCGATATAACTTACTCGATACTTTTATAACAACATAATCACTTAGCAGATCAGCCAAATTTGCAGAGCTGTTAAAAGTGGTGGTGTAATTAAGCTGAAAGTAGAATGTGGCGCATTTGACCGTGTGGAACAAGCCCTGCGTTTCATAGGGTTCTATTGCATCAAATATCCCCATGTCGTAGGGTACAGCTGAGGCATCAGGTGCATATGTGCTTGTGCCACCTACTAAGGCTGGGTTTCAATTGTGGCGGTCCCAGAAATCTTGCTAACAGGGTAAGTCTGGCCAGCTCCTGCTTTCTTGACTCGGGATTGGGTCAGGTCTCACTATGAGCTATGGGAAAATAAAATGGATCAGCTCTTTCTCGCATTGTGAATTGTTCCAAACCTCACCTGCGTTGAGTTGTGACCCGTCCGGCTGCTTCACATCATGATCAGCCGTTGCAATGTGAACCCAGGCCTGACGTGGCTTTTGATTTTGCAAATGGTAAATCCAAACGAGGAGAAAAGACGTCTCGGTCCAACTTTGTTTTCAGATAATCAGGAACTATACGGTGGTTTACAAAGTTATGATATACAGCACTGCGATCAGACACTCGACACAATTCGACAGTTGCACATTCGCCATAGCGACGGACATGTTGCAAGCACGAAATGGTTGCAGAAACAAGAATCGTTAAAAGAGGAACCCAACGCTTGTTCCCAAAATTTCATAATGAAGTGAAAGAGAACCCATCTAGAGGTCAGCTTGATGAACGACTCTCAACGCCCACAACCACAACAAAATGCCTCCAGGAGTGCCACAACTACAAGGTGAGCCCAGCCATCTGACGTGCTCCTTCCGGCGCGCTGAATCTACCTTATTAATTTTACATTGACCCTAAGTGATTCTGGTATATTCAATATTGAATTCAGGAAGACGGCAACGCGGACTGTTGCGGCGGAACACAACAAAAAACTCGGGCAAAGGACCTCCAGATATCGTCCTCAGAACCTCATGGTCTTGCGATTGGGCAACAGCCTGAGAACCGTAGCACTGACAATGCATCAAATTGTACAGCTTTAAACTTTGCGGGTTCCTCATAGTTGTGACCTGGCAGTTCTGCCCCTACTAGTGTGAGCACAGTCCGGTAATATCCCGGTAGGTAGGCAGAACCACGCGAGCATGCAGATCACGATCCCCAAGGACACAGAGTATATCAGCGCGCCTGAATTACGAGAAAACTATACCAACGGTGTCAAGATATGTCAAATCAAACCAGACGGGACTACTGAATACCTGCGACCAGGTCAGCCACAATTAGATAGTATGGCTGCCGCAATCATGTTGTTGGGGCTCGGTATAATGGAGAGGCCACCTTGGCGTGCGATAATGAGGACGCATGCGAGCATGATGTTTGACAACGTATTAGAGCATCCTTTGCCACCGGGAAGAATTAATTCGGGGGAGGCCATCCAAAAACTGTTAGATGAGTCCATTCGACGTTGCCGCCATACCACTCCAATTTCTATTCTCAGTGACCTCGGCAATAATAGGCGCACACTTGTAAGGATAACTAGTCCGCCCCGTGGGGTTTTCAACCAACAGCTGGTCGCAAAAGCGGAATATAATGTCAAGGTAATAATTTTCTTCGCGCAGTCTCTGAGTGATTTCTGTTTCTGGCCGAACAAGTATGATATTTCTGACCTTTTTGGACAGGTCAATGATCTTAATGGAAGCGCCCCCGTGGACTATGCCAAGCATAAAAAAGCCTAGTATTACGAGACGGCCAAGCATCACCTAACTACAAGATATCATAACATGATTTTACACTTTTATGGCACCAGGGATACCTGCCAGATATGAAATGGAGCACATGCTCATTCCTGCTCAGAAGCTCGGTGGAACATACGCCCAACGTCGTGTCTGATAGAGGGTTCAGGACCGTGAATCTGGGGAGTCAGGCAGCCAATTTGCAGAGTTTGAGGTGCTCGGTGGCACTATCAATATGATAAGAGAGACGAGGGAGCCATTGAAACCGAAGTCCTTGCGGCGGTCATTCGAAGACTTCCCGTATATTTTGAGCCACTGACAGGTTGGTGCTATGCTGGAGAGACGCAAGTCACCATCCCCACTGAACGCCCATAGAAGCTCAGCCATCTTTCAAGACTTGCCACGAACTGCAGTGCGCCTGTTTGTCGCGTGATATCACGCACGTGCGGTGTACTAGATTGTTTCTGGTCTTTGAAATGAGGTGGCTAGTCGATATAGAGCGCAAGAATAAGAGGTGCGGGACTGTCAAGGCCGTATAAGCTACCGAGGACAAACTGGCACGTACATCGCAGATGTATTATAATAGAGATGAACCATTTCAAGCAGGCCTCGTACTATTTGTGAAAGACGCCTGGGCATGCCAGTAGAGGCCCTTGAGCCATAGGTGCAGAGACTTGGGCGTCAAAGCCGAATATCGCACCAAAAAAGGACTGTTTGTATGGAAGGTATTTCCGGTAATCACCCTGAATTGAATTCTAATGTTGGGGCTCACAATGATGGGCACATCCATATGAGATGAACAGTAAGATGGCGGTAGAATATTGGTGCAGACCGGGCTGCGTGCACTACCTAAGTGCTAGGTAAGTACCCACTGGGGCAGGCGCTGAACCGATGCGTCAAGACCCCCTGCTGCGAGTGGTCCGTGCTCCCGTTCTGGGGTAAGTTGATGCCAAAAAGTTGTCGGGAGTCGGGTGCAGCCAGTTCGAGTCGAGTTCCCTCGGAAGCATCCTGCCCGTCTTCAGGAAAGCCAGCACGCAGCACAGCCAAGATGCAGCCCACGAGGGCATTACTGAAGCGGTCGATCTGGAAGGGTAAGTCCTGGGAGGAGGATTGCTCCCACCACCCCTGCCTGGCGCGCAGTGCAGGTCCTCTCGCTAACTCTTGTCTCGTCTCGTCTCGCAGGGCCACACATTGTACCGTACGTCCGTCCACAACACCACCTCAAGAATCAATCACCACTCACATAGGAAGCCAGCCTCCCCCTCGTCAAGCCCGTGCCCGGCAAGTTCATGGCCCCGATCCGCACGCAGGCCCGGTCGGCCACCATCCTGCCCAGCTTCGTGGGCATGAACTTTGAGGTGTACAACGGCAAGGTGTATAACCCCGTGACCATCACCGAGGACATGGTGGGGCACAAGCTGGGGGAATTTTCGCAGTACGTTTATCGTTGTTGTCCCGTGGGGAGGAAGGAAACATGAGCGTGTTGGTTTAATGCTGACCTGGTGTTTGTGTTAGGACACGGAAGCCGTTCATCTATGACAAGCGATAAAGGAAGGGCGTATTGTGACGAGGACAGGGCAAGACTATCTCGGGCGCATCCGGAGGGAGAACACTGGCCTGATGTGGAGGACTGGACGAGGCGTATGGTCATGCGACCACCCTGGGCCGGCACGGCAGTAGATGGGACCAGTGAGCCGAGGTGGACGGGACAACACTGGCATGGCAGTCCAAGGACATTTCGTTAGAGCTGCTAGATGAGCTTTGCTACTGCACCGAGCCGCAGTCTGCTCGCCATTGTTATAAAGTAGGCTCCTACTACTGCTATTACGGCTGACTTGCCGCAACTCTCAATCTGGATATCCCTCCTTAGTTATGGTGGCTCGTCACCCAAATCCCTGTGCATAAAAAGAAGTGCAGACTTGTCCGCCCCCCAAACGCCGTGATCCACCCCGTCCGTGAAACGCCTTTCGAAAATGATACCGTTGCCGCGCGCCCAATCGGTATGTGCAGTAGACAGGCAGGCAGCCTGCATAGGTGCGATAGAGGAAGCCCTCATGCCGGGCCCAACATCCATCCAGTCCAAGTAAGTCTCCAGACCAGACCTCCCTCCCTCACAGTCATCAACAGCCCCCCCACACAGCTCACCGGTAGAACTCGCTCCTCTTGACGTTGACCCCATACTCCCCAACCGCCATCCCCAGATCCTCCATGGTGAGCACGGTCCGGTTCTGGCTCCCGCCCTGCCCGCCGCCGCCGAAGCCGGGCCTCTGGATCCCCAGCAGCGCCTGCCCCGCGGCACCAGCGGCAGACGCGCCGCCCTGCCCGCCCTTGCCGCCGCCGCCGCCGCCGCCGCCGCCGCCGGCCCCGCCGCCCTGCTGGCCCGGGATGGGGTAGCCCGCCGCGGCGCCCAGGTTGCCCATGGGGTTGTTGGCGGCGGCGCTGTTGGAGGCGCGGATCCGCGAGTACTGGTATGCGTCGGCGGCGATGTCGGCGACGAACTTCTGGGTCGCGAGGGCGAGGAGCTTTGCGAGGCGCGGGTCGGTCTGGGGCGGGGGCGGGAGGCCTGCCTTGGTCATGTAGTAGTTTGTTACGCCGTCGGGGATCTGGTTTGTGGCTGTTAGTTTGAGGGATGGGTGGAGGGAGGCGCGTGTGCGTGTTTTGTGTGGACGACCCAGGGAGGGGGCAGCCGAGCACAAACACAAACACACACACACACACACACACACACAAACAAACAACCCAGGGCTCACGTACAATCGGCGCGTACTCGTCGATCCGGGCCAGGAACTCCTTCAGCGACGTGTCCTTGCGCGTGGGCAGCCGCGGGTCCACCAGCGGCGCATACCCGCCTGTCTCGTCCTCGCCGCCTTGCTGTTGTTGGGCACCACCAGCAGTTGCGGCGGGGGCGGCAGCAGCAGCGGCAGTAGTAGAAGGTTGCGCCGCGCTCGCGTTGTTGCCTCCTCCTCCTCCCTGCTCGGCGGCGGGGTCCTGCGAAGGTGGTTGTGGTGGTGCTGCTGCTGGTTGCTGCGGCGGCGACATGGTCGTTGATTCTTGTTGGTTGGTCAGTTTGCGCGGTGGTTGGTGGTTGTCGAGTTATGGATATGGAGATGGGAGGGAAATGGGAGAGTTGCGCCGCTGCGATGGACGAGGTCGAGGTTGGCGTCACGGATGTGGGTGGATGGGTTGATGGATTGCTTGTGATAGCGCAAGGCTGCGTCGGTGCGAGGGAGGCTGGCTGCATCCACGCCCGCGGGTTGCTGACATAATCCTCCCTCGTGGCGACCCCCCCCCTTTCTCCTCAACCACCGAAATGCTTGCTAGAAACAGCGCCGTTCACAATTACTGTATTCTGCATGTTCAATTCGACGGTAGGATCACGTATTTCCGATAGTGAAACGGCAGGCGAGTGAACTACTGGCATATGGCTTGTCGGCACCCAAATCTCATCACTTTCTTTCCATTCTTTTCATAGCTACCAGTGCTACTCGTAGACACCAGCCAGTATTCCCAAAGCAAAATCCCAGCCAAAATCGCCATGCTATTTATTCACCAATAATCAATCATCTCGCCCCACAGACATGCTGTCCTGTTTCGGGTTCACGTGTGATGCGAGTCTCGCCATCTCCTCATCTTCCTTGCCTCGTCCCTTCCACTACCCTGGGCGAAACAAGTATCCCCAGGTGTCCATTCTCCTCTACATGCTCCTCGACGCGGCCACCAAGTTAGCGCCGCCTGCTCCTCGTCGTAGTTGTCACCGGCTCGAAGGCGTCGTCGTCGTCGTCATCGTCATCATCGATCTCGTCGTCACTAACTTCGAGAGCCCTCTGGGTCTGCGCCACACGCGTGGCCGGACGCTGCGACTGCGAGAAGTTCAGCGTCGACTGCCGTGTCTTGGCCGCCGGTGCCGGTGCCGGTGCCGCTTTCGGTTTCGGTTTCGGCGCAGCTTTTGTCGCCCGTGACGGTGCCGCCCGGGTGGCAACCGCCTTGGTGGTGCGCGTGGCCCGCTTGGGCGCCGGCGCCGGAGGGTCCGCCTCTTCGTCGTCGTCCATGAACGCGTCCTCTGACATGGCATCTGTCCCTCCTGCGGCCTCCTCCTCCTCCTCCTCGTCTTCGTCGCTGTCCACAACAAACCCTGTAGTCTTCTTGGGCCGCCCACGCGTTGCGGGAGTCTTTTTCGTGGCCGGCGCCTTCTTGGCGGGCGCTTTCTTTGCTGCCGCCCCACGCTTGGTGGCTGGCTTAGGGGGTTGGGACACCACCGACTCCTCCCGATCCTCCTGGGACACAAACACGTCGTCCATCTCGACGTCCTCGTCGCTAACACTGCGTCGGTTCCGGCGGCCTGTCGTCTTCCTGGCCGGGGCCGCGTCCCCTGCGCCGTACCAGTGAGACTCGTCATCGCCCCAGTGAGCTCCAAGGTCAGAGTCGTAGTCCTCTGGCCTGGGCTTCATCCGTCTACCACCTGGGCGCCTGCCGGTCTTCTCGAACAGATGCTCCTCATCCTCCCTGTACGTCTGGAGCAGCGTCTCCATGGGCGCATCTGGGTCCGAGATGCTGAGCTCCACGATCTTCCGCACCGATTGCCTCAGGGAGTCGTCCACGAACTCATCCATGTTGTGGCCGCCGCCCTTTTCCACAAAGCTCACGATCGTGTCGATGAACTTGTTCTTGGGCAGCACCTTGAGCGAGCTCTGTGTCAGGAACTCCTCGACCAGCACGTCGGGCTTGACCACGTCGTCGTTGCCAATGGCCTCCATGATCCGCTCAGGCAGCGACGGGTCGTCGGTCGCGCGTTCTGTTTCTCTCCTTTAGCCAGGTCCACACCCTCTCGCGGCGGAAAAGCTTCAGTGACTCACTCGCCGTGGTTTTCTTGCGGTAAAACGAGACGACATCGTTGACGTTGGCCACCCTGCCCACGAACCGGTTGGAGAAGCGTTGCGGGTTCTCGACGTCAAAGTTGCAGCCCTCCGCCGCCGTGTACTCGACCTTGAGGCGGATGAGGGGCAGCGGCCGGTCCTCGTCCGGGATCTCGTCCTCGGGCTCGTCCTGCAGCGCCAGCCACTCGCGGTTCGCCTTGGCGATCATCTCGTCGACCCTGGCGATGAGCAGCTTGGTGATCTTCTCGCGGTTGTTCTTGACGGTCTGCAGCTTCTGGAAGTCTTTCTCCTTCTGCAGCACGATCTGGCTCTGGACGAACGGGCGGACGGTCTTGAGGGGGATCGGGGTGGTGACGGCCGTCTTGCCGGTGATGCTGACGATGGCGACCTGCTTCTGGACGGCCTCGGCGGGGATCAGGGAGGTGGCAACGGACGAGCCGGGCTGGATGACGTCGAAGCCGGTCTCGGGGTTCTTGGAAGGCGTGATTTTACACTCGTGCTCGTGGCCCCAGATGACGAGGTTCATCCAGTCGGGCAGGACATTCTCGGGCAGGTAGCTGGTGGCGGTGTGTGGGGTGTGGTTCTGGTGGACGGTCAGGAGGTTGAAGAAGTCGGAGGCCTGCTGGGTGGGGCGGAAGAAGGAGACGTGGTGGTCGCGAAAGGTGCGGAACAGGCGCTCGTCCCTGACGTTGCTGAGGCCGTAGAGGGCGAGCTTGGTCCTCCCCTTCTGCAGCAGCACGGGCTTGACCTGGATGTTGTCGACCTCGGGGACCCTCCCAAAGTAGTTGACGAGGCCGGCGACCTGCAGCAGGTCGAGGGAGCAGAAGTGGCCGTCGCCGCTGGGGTCGTCGTGGTTGCCGTGGATGGAGAAGACGGGGATGGAGATGTTCATGTCGGGGTCCTCGTAGTTGACGTGGGAGAAGGCGCCCTCAAAGACCTCGTGGGCGTCGGAGAGGAACTCGAGCTCGCAGGGCTTCATGCCGAGGCAGTTCTTGCGGAGGGAGCGCATGACCTGGTACATGGACTTGCGGGAGGGCTTGTTGTCGTGGAAGAGATCACCGCCGAGGAGGACCATGTCGACCTGGGCAGGCAGGCAGTCAGCCAGTCAGCGTAGCTCCAGGCATGGTAGCTCCAGGCAGGGACAGAGCACACGGGCAGGAGCTTACTTACATCCTCGGTCCTGGCCAGGTTCATGATCTCGTCAAAGGTCTTCCAGCTGTCATCCTTGCGGATGGGGTCTCGCTCCTCGTAGCCGACATGGTTGTCCGATGCCACGAGGATACGGATCGTGTCCTGGGCTGCGTGGGGAGAGATATTAGCTAGGAAATAAAGTCTAGGACGCATAGCCCATGACTGATGCTTTGACCCTCGCCCAGGATCGTGAGCCAAAGGCCAAGTCGAGGGCGACGGCGAGGAGAGACAGGAACAGAAGAACCAACCTGGGGCGTCGGCAGGCATCGTGCCGGTCAAAACATGTGCTCTTGACGATGGGCTGGCTAGATCAAGAGTCGGATGAGGGAGATGGTCGCACGAGTGGCATCGTTTGCTTTGCTCGGTTAAAGTGGGAGTGCGCGGTGGGTGGTAAACGCGTTGTGGGTGGGGAGGGGTCCAGGCAGTCGCGTCAGTGGAGCTTGGGCCCGACACGAACTCACATGGCCTGGTGGGGCTGCAGCTCACAGCCTAGCCTACCCTGGGCCTTCCCAGCAAGAGCCAAGGGTTGGGGAGGGGGGGCCACTACGGGGCCACACTGCTATGGTTACTGGCTCTAAGGTCTCTCCCAACCTGGGCATTGGCACTCCGTAGTGTAGAACTAGGTATCTACCTACGCTAGGTACCTGGTACCGTCGACCTAGCGTGGACTTTACAAAACAGACAAGACTCAGAATCGATTGGCCATGCTGGACATCATCGAGTGATCGTGGTTGCGTCAGGGCTCACTCACGACAGCACGAGGGGGATGCTCGCGACGCTCCGACGCTGGAGTCGTCGTCCTTCAAGTCGTCCTTGAATGTTGTCTTGTTGATTTCTGAGCACCAGCAAAACAACCACTGCCGTAAAGAACCAACAACTTCAACCCTGAGCCTGCCTGCATTTCACTCGCCCGCATCTGCCCTCGACCGAACAACACATGGACGACTTTGGTGACCAGGCCTCCTTCGAGGCCGACCCCGACGTCGATCTCGACGACGACATGGACCAGGATGCCCACGACCTAGGCGACTACGACCACGACGCCGGTCAGGATGAGCTGGACGACCTGGATGAAGAAGAGGACGACGAGGACGGCATTGGAATGCCCTTTGACCCCATAGCGCTGGGCCTCAAGGAGATCAACAACCTCGCTAGGTGCCGTGTCAGCACCTTCAAGCCCGGCAACGGCGTCAAGGAGCTCCTGGATGATGACCTCAGCCAGTACTGGCAGTGCGTATTTCTCTCCGTCGCTCTCTCCAAGACCAATCCCCTGGTCTGAAAGGACTTTATTTACTCACAAGATTGCCAGGTCCGACGGCGTCCAGCCGCACCTCATGACCATGAAGTTCACCCGCCAGGTCGAGATCCGCGCCCTGCGCTTCTTTGTCGACTACACCCAGGACGAGTCCTACACCCCGACCAAGATCTTGTGGTTCGCCGGCACCTCGGAGCACAGCCTCATCCAGTTCGCCAGCTCCACCCTCACCAGCCCCGTCGGCTGGCAGGACGTCAGCATCACCGGCTGCGGCGGCGGCGACGACTCAAACTCCCTGTGCTGCTTCGTCGTCCAGATGCACGTCATGGAAAACCACCAGAACGGCAAGGACACCCACATCCGCGCCGTCAAGGCCTACGGCTTCGACGACCAGCTCAGGGCCGCCGGCGCCACCGGCGTCCCTGCCGCCCCCGGCCACGTCGAGAAGGTCTTTAGGGTCGACGAGACCAAGTCTGGCGAGGACGCCGAGCGCGACCTGCTCAATTACATCGCCGCCAGGGAGAGGGACAAGCCCCCGGATAACCCCGGCGACCCGAGCGGCACCGCCTCCACCCTGGATTTCTTGGAAGGTCCCGTCCTGCGGTGATGTCTCCCCGTCATTTTCCAGGGTGGACAGCAGGTGGGGACTCAGCGTGTTCGTACCCTTATTTCCGCCGAGCTTCAGACTGGATACCAACGCTGTTCCCACCGCGACATGGTGTTCTTCGAGGGCCGAAAGGTGCGCACTTGTGGAATCACGAAGAAGCACACAAAATGCCGGACTGGTAGTTGGGACGGACAGCTCAATGTCGTATGATGCCGTACGTTCGACCACACTGGCTCACAAACTGGACGATGAGTGTTGTCCAGCACGCGTATTTACGCACCAGCCAGGCCGCATCTGCGCCAAGTGATGCATCAAGCTTCATCGCTGCTGAAGCATAAAATATACACCTATACCGCCTACACAGATCAACAGTGTTCAACGGCATCGCTGTCGCCCCGGAAGCCTTTTCGAACCGTCATTCAATGAACAAGTAGGCTGGGTTTTGATCAGCACCGGCAGGTCGTATACATGTATATGCGAAAATTACAGGACAATGAGTCTCATGCCCGGAGTGTTAGATATTATTGTGCCGATGATACATCACATGCAGCTGCTTCCTGCACAGAAAGTGGTGTACCGCTAAGAGAAAACAATCCGCTTATTTTGGGCATTACTTGACAAAAAACGATCGATACAGTCCCAATGTTGAAGCGACATTCGGAGTTGTTCACAATCTACGGAGTAAACGCCAACTTCTACACTACCAGCTCTGCCCAGGTGTCTGCTACGCCGGCGTGACGTAGGGCTGTATATTAATATCATCGGATGTGACGGGCACACACCTCTGGGCTGTACCTTTCTGCGCGGTGCTGATGGTTCTGAGCTTCTTCATCCTGTCTTCGAGCGCTTTCCGTCGCCTGGGTGGCCCGTCCCGAGAAGAAAGGCTGAGCGCACGGCGCTTGTCAGCCCTCTCCGGCAGGATTCAATTACAACCGCGGCGGCAACATTTTCCAAGGTTCAAACATCCAGGAGAAGGCCCGCTTGGACCAGAGGTGGGATTATACACACGGCCATAATTGGCCTTTCTTTGCTGCTGCCCAAGTGCAGTGCCCCGCAGAGATTTGACTCACGCATAGTTACATGTCCAGAAACGCTGTTGCGAAGCGGGCGGGGAAGCGCGCGGCGCGACAGGTCGCAGCGACGCGGTCTGTTGAATCGTACAGGCGTGGCCGTCAAAATGGTGCCACCGGGCCTCTGCCACTCCGGCCTCGACGGGGGTGTGGCAGCGGCGACGAGCGTCATGGTCGCCTGCCGTCATCAAGGCCATGATGGCCCGGACTGCGGAGGTGGGCAGCCCCACCATCCTGCGCGCGATCGTCGCGGCTGGTGAGAGCCATAGGAAGCCTTTGTCTGAGTGCAGGGTCAAGGAGAGAGTATCGGGTGCCTGCCTAGGTCAGCGGCGAAGAAACCTTGGGCGCCAGGAACTGCGAGGATCTGTGTGGAAGGAGCTTGTCGATGAGTATGAGGCTGTTCAGCCTGGGTGCACCGAGGCTTCCGAGCATATAGGGGGGATTTCCTGCCTCAGCATGGGGCATTCGAGGCGAATAGTGACTTGACACACTCACAAAAGTACAGAGTGGGATCCAACTTGGGGGAAACCTAAGTGTGGGGAAATGATCTGATTTTCTGAAGCTTGAGGCTTCATATGACCGTGGAAGGGGAGCTGGAAACTAAAGCCAGGCAGGTGGTATTAATAGTTCACGAAACATCATGCCGTGCCGGTCCGAAAACACACCCGTTACCTGTCGGAGATTCAATTCTTGGGCAATGTTGCGGCCACCTCTTCTTCGGGTTTGAGGGCATGGCCAGCGGCCAAGCCCAAATTACCTCGAGTGCCCCAGAATGTCCACATACATGTCATATTAATGCCTTCGATAGAAGCTCCAGCACAGCAGCTTAAACACTCAAAATATGGTTCAGCTGAAGCCTTAGGAAACAAGCATAACAAGGAGGTATCCCAGAGCGGGGGCCGGGCTGGAGTTACTCCTCCGTCAATACCACATAACATCACCACCACCCAGGTACATAGTAGAGTACGTCTAAAGATTCATTACTTACTAATATATAGTGCGAACAAGCATTTTCTCAGATTTTGCAGAATAGAAAAAGCTCCGCTTGTTGTTGCTCTTCTGCACCGCTCCAGGACAACAGCTCGCTACGTTTCACAAAGGGTGCATATGCTGATGGCATAAGACAAAGAGCTGTCCGGGTACGTAGTCCGTACCTGTGTGATAGGCGGCCAGAGGCACCCCTGCCACCTCAGCAGGTACTATGTAGTAGTCTCTCTACTCAAGTGTCGGATGATCCAGCCGACCCGGGGGCTCGAGGCACCGGCGCCAGACTGCAGTTGAGTGGTCACCGAGACGATCGATTGCGTGCATTTGGACATTTACCTACCTAGGTACGTGCATCCACGGCAACAAACACAACTCTTGACGTACATACGGCAGCCCAATCACACAGGCCCAACCGTTTGCTGATCTCAATTGCTTGCACAGCCGAAGTTGTGCCGGACAGTCAGATCCGTGACGTTGCTCTTGCAACGGCGGGCCGGCGGGAAGATGCCGATTTGACGAATCTGCGAAAACAACGTGCGCGGCATAAAGTGCTCGGTGATCAACGGTGACGGTCCCGAGCGCTCCCTCTTGTTACAAACTGTGATCCCGGTTAAAAATAACTTGAAGGTCTACAGTGTATGAGACCCTGGGGTAGGGACAAGGGCGTGGGGTCTTTCAGCTCGGTGACCGAATCAATGAAAACAATCTGGGCATGGCCCCAGTGGCTCGCCTCAGGTGCTTGTGCACGAGAGGGTAACTTAGACCGGTCGTGCGCACGGCCATACTATGCTGGAAGAAAGGTCGTTATAAAGGCCGGTATGGACTTGAATTTGTTCGGATTATAAAAACTTTCTAGGCTTCAATTGTGTAACATTGAGGAAACCCTCCGGGCGGTATATGCTTCCAAGGTTGTGACAGCAAATGATGAAAGGCAGCGTTCCCAGATGCGGTATCTCGTCATCAGCACTCACTATCGAATAGGCTTGTTCAGCCATTGCATGGAGATGATAGAACCTGGGGAAGAGGCAGGAGAGCAATATTCAGTAGCTCAGTATTTACAAATAAAATACTTCTACGCTGATAACCCATTACATGCACTCATTCACTCTACTCAAAACCCACACACCTAACATCTGCACTAGGGTGGGTTGTGAACTTCAAATGAAGGGAGAATCAGCTGCGAAAGCGTTGGGCAGGGCCTTTACTGCTTGCTCAACGAGGTTGGTGGTCCAGTCTGTGACGCCAACTCGACATCGTGTTTGCAGGATTGTTCACTCTGTGCTGTGTAGCTTTTAAGAAAGGAACAATAACAGAACGAAACTACCTTGGTACCTCAGAACCTCAAGTGCTTCATCGTCAATGCCCGGTTACTCTGAATCACCTACAATATCCAATCCCTAACTTTGACCGCTTGATATAATCCTTTCAAATGAACCAATGCAACCGCAAATCCCTGGGTTAATTACTTGCATAAAATCCAACTCTGTATCAACGGAACGGCGACCCCAAAAGGCCACGCGGTTCATAGTTCCACGCGTCGAGCTTAACTGACTCCCGAGGTTGTATCAGGCATATGGCACCTGCGTAGCGTAGCCCCGACTGCCAGAGTGTTACATGTCAAAAAAGACGAAAAATTTATTTTCCTGACTGTCAACCTCCGTAGCATCCCAGACATCGAATTGTGTACAAGTTTTTCTACTGTGGTATTTGCATTTTGGACGCACCAGGTCACGGTGCCCGATTTTGCAAAGGCGGCCTCGGTCGGAGGACTCGCCATTTAACGTTCAGTATGCCTGCGGAGGTGTAAGTTTTGGACTGACACGCATTGTGTACAAATAACTTTCTTTTTAAGTCCTAGCCTGGTACAGTCTGGGCTGGAGCGTCCAGTGACGGTCGTCGGTAACAGCCCCTGAACAAGATGCCTAATAACCAGGTATTTAAAATGCGGATGCTGCCCTTTTGAGTACACACAGTTACTCGCCCCTGGCCTCTGTCTTTCATTCTTTTCGTACTTGCAAGCGGCCGTTACTCAGCGAACCATTATCCTGTCAACCATGGCCGTAAACGAAGATGTCGATGTCGCGAAGGAAAAAGGACTGGAAGAACGTGTCATCGAAGTTCCCGTGTCGTCGGACTCGCTTTCAACCGAGGAGCCAAAATTAACACCGCCGCTGTATTGGAAGATACTCGCGGTCGTCATGATCTCGTGCATCAGTTTCGGCTCGGCATGGAGTACCGGCATCACCGGGGCCTTGAAGTCCACCCTCAAGAGAGAGCTGCATATTAACAACATGCAGTTCTCGCTGCTTGAGGCTAGCGAGGACTTTATGGTCACGCTCCTGATTGTTTTCAGTGGGATCTTGACAGACAAGATCGGCGGTGCTAGGGCATTGTTATACGGTATGTGACCCGGGATTGTACGGCTCACCTGGGCATTGAAGGTCTGAGTTGATAACTAATGTTGGCGGAATACGACCTGGGCAGGCAACATGATCTACTCCATCGGCTCCATTATCATCGCATCCGCTGCGCAGGCCCGCTCCTTCAAGCTCATGGTCGGCGGAAGGGTCATGCTCGCCCTCGGCGAGATCGCAACCAAGGTGGCCCAGTTCAGGGTCTTCAGCTCCTGGTTCTCGCCGAACCATGGCTTCGCGACCACCCTGGGCATCGAGCTCGGCATCAAGAAGATTGGCGGCTTCGTCGGCAAGTCCTCGGCCAACATCATCGCCAAGAAGACCGGCAACTTCGCCTGGGTCTTTTGGATCTCGGTGTTGATGAACGTATTGGCTAATGTGCTTACCTTTGTGTTTTACCGGTTTAATGCTACTGCTCGCAAGAAGTTTGAAAATGTTACCGATCCGGCGACTGGTGAGAAGCTCATAGAGAAGTCCGAGAAGTTCCAGCCTAAGAAGGTCCTGGAGCTGCCTTGGATTTTCTGGGCCGTTGTTGCTTTCTCGTTCTTCGAGACTAGCGCGGATACCGTCTTCACGCAGAATGCCACCGAGTTGGCGGAGAAGAAGTTCCATACCGACTCTATCACCGCGGGCTGGTACTCGGCATCTGCACAGTACGCAGGCTTTTTCTTAGCGCCGTGTGTTGGTGCTTTCATCGACATTCTGGGCAATCGTATCACCTTGCGTAAGTTTCCATCCTACCTAGTGCTGGTGGCCTGGCCCGGGCTTTAAAAATTGCTGACAATAATCCAGTTGCGATGTGCAGCATTGGTATCTTTATAGCAATGGCTCTTGTCAATTGGGCCACCGATAGTACCAAAGGACTTACTGCTGCTTTCGTCATCTATGCTGTGGCTATGGAGCTTGGCCCAACGACCACCATCGACAGTATCCGGACCTCCATGTGGCACGGCTCCGCTTTCGGATCTGCCTACGCTGTCAAATTCGCCGTCAACAATGCGTGAGTGCTTGCTTCAAACACGCCCGCGTCCACTCGGATCCATGGGCCTCGGCTAATAGTCCAGCAGTACGTCTATGATAGTCCGCATCATCACCGGCGCCATCCAAGACGCCGACAACGACAGCTACGATCACGTGGTTATTGTGTATGTCGTCCTCGCCGCCGGGGCCGTCCTTGTGACCACCATGCTGGTCGTCCTGCTGCGGTGGTCGGTCGACCTCGGCAGTCTGCAGTGGACCCGCAAGCAGCGCATTGCGAATGGCAAGTTGTGGAACGAGAGGAAGAGAGCCTTCTACGAGGAAAACGGGGCAAGGAACAGGAATATCTCCAAAATATGCTTTGCTTGCTTGATCCTGTTGATCTTGGGGTCTTGGTCCGCGTATTTCTGGGGTATGGCTACTAAGAATACTTCCTGAGCACTACAGCTGTGCTGTGAAGTCGGATTTGATGGGCTGGACTTGGCTGGCCACTTTTCGTTGATTCGGGAGGGCCGCATTCTGTTCACATGTGTTTCGTTGTTTGAATAAGAGATTGGAGGCTCGCACCAGCAAAAACGGAGGGCACACTCATACGACAACCTCCCATAGGACGACCCCCTGTGGTATAAGATCCTATAAATACCGCCTGGGGACCACCTTACATGGGTAAACTTCTTATGGGACATTTTCTAATAATAAACTCTCTTCTCCATCTGAAGCGCTCTTATTTACTGTATTTGCTTACCTACCCTAGGGTAGCTAGGTACCTGGCTAGGTAGTTGGCCTCATAGGGTGTGCACCCTCTGGTTTTTCTGGGCGCGAACCTCTTATCTTTTCATGAACTGACTATAACTCGCGTCTAATGGATTTTTATGCTAGGTATGGGCTTCTGACCACACAAAAATGCAGCATGTCATTTGTCTCAAACACATCTTGGAACTTGGATTCTGGGGACACTACCTACTGGATCCGTTACGGGGGCCTAATTCATCGAGCCACGGCCCTCAATCAGGGACTCGATTCATCCGTTTGCTTTGCAGCCCTGGCGGGCCACCAATCAAGCTTAAAATCATGGACTATTTCTTGTCTACCATAAAGTACATGTTTATGCAAATAGCGCCGTACTCTAGGCAGCGCTCGGCCACTCCGTGTCGTCAACGCGGTAGACAAGTTTCTCCCCGCTGACCAGACCTTGCCGCATCTTTTCCATGCCGTCTATCACACCCAAGAGCCCGTTGTCTCCCACTTTCTGGCGGTGGTTCTGCCACTTACCTCCTGCCCAGAGCTCTTCAGCTAAACTGTACCATTTCCGACCGAACTCCAAAGCATCCGGCCTTGCTGGGTAGGATTCGCGTTCGAATATGTATGCCTCGCCCGACATGTCATATCCCAAAAAGTAGACGGACTCTATGTCGGAGCGTGGACATTCAATTCCAAGCAGGTTGCAGTATGTGCCTCCATGCGGTCCGAATGCCGCCGCACAGATCGCTGCAGAGTCTGGTGTGCTGACAGTGTCGTAGACCTTGTTGATTGAACCCTCTGTTGCTTCAAAAATATTTTTACCCACGTTTGAGGCTCGCTTACTGATTGTTAGTACCATCGCAAGTGTTGAGACCGGAAGGAGAAAAGGAAAGACCTCGGCATACATAATCAAAAACACTGTCAGCACCCAGGCTCTTCACGTAGTCAAAGTTGTGCGGAGAGCATGTAGTGATCACATTATAGCCGGACCTAGAATATCAGCAGAAATACTGGCGCTTTCAACCTCCGTGTAGACTCACAACTTCGCAAGCTGAATCGCAACCGCACCAGTCGCAGTGCTTCCCCCGTAGATCAAGATCGTCTCTTTGCTCTCGCTGGGAGTCGACCCGGGCCACCTCAGATTCAGGACGTGATACAGTCCATATCCGGCTGATCCAACACCACAACCCACAGTGGATGCAGCTTCAAAGGAGACACCGTCAGGGATGTGCATCTGAAGGTCGCTTTTCACGGCAATGTAGCGGGCGAACGCTCCGTTCTCTGGGTTTGCATCGTTTCCTGAAAGGGTATGTGAATCCATGGATCTTGATGTCTCACCCTCACCGTGTGTTACATACCTCCATGTGCAAATCCAGCAATGCGGTCACCCTTGCGGAACCGCTTGGCAGCTTCTCGCCCTACATCTTCCACCACACCGGCATAGTCACACCCGACAATGGTCCCGTCGTCTCCAGGCGCATCGAGGGTGGTCCAGTCGGTCGGATTCAGTGCTACGGCTTTCGTCCTCACGAGCACGTAGTCGTCCGGCAGTGACGGCACTTTCGTTAGCTCGAGGACCGCGTTGCCCGTGCCACGTCTTATGAGACCAGCGTTTTGCATGATGTCAAGCAGTGGTACATTTTTCTTCCTGGAAATTGAGCCGCAGAATGACAGTCCATAGCTTAACCGAAGTCCTTTTCTAGCTGGAGGCTGGCGATACGAGCACACGTCAGCTCAGTCATTTGTCAGCCATTGCTTATTTGTCAGCTGGGTTGAACGACAATCGAACTAGACATCTTGGCTTCAACCCACTGGCAAATATCCTGAGGCTTTATTGCGCGCACGATTTAGCGCAAGGCACTCAATCACGTTTTATTCCCATCGTGTATCCGCTTCACCATCTTTCTACCTAGGTAGTCAACTTCAGCGCCGTCGGCAGCGATGCTTCCTAGCCTTGTCTGTACAGCACGAGGCTGAGGCACGTGCCCCGGCAGAGTCCTCAACTACCATCATCAGCATTGAATATTGTTAAATGCTAAGTCTTTTATTTATCATTTGATACTATTGAAAGGGACCGAGCTCCTTCAAAGTGCATATAAATTAAAAACAAAACTCCCTACTTCACCAGTTATGGAGAGATGAAACTGACAGGGTGGGTTTATGCCTTGGGCACCTGGGGTCAGAAGTAGGACAGCAGTAGGCTTATAGAACTGACTCTAATGATTGGATCTATCCACGAGAACTCGCGCAGTCTGTTCTGGCTAGTCGGAAACGATCATGAGAAGTAATAGCTCGAAGCTGCCTGCCGCCCACCCAGCTCTTGAGGTTTGTTTGAGCTAACGGATCCACATATACTTTAACAAAGACCTGCATGATCACTGTTACAGCAGGGCTTGAGGAGTATCGAGTAAGATAGATTGTTCTCCACTTAAAAGTGTGACATCTAGATAGAAAAAGATACCCCTGACGTCTCTCGGCCGAACCTTGTTGAAAGGCGACCACAGCATCCACCACACCCATCCAAAAAGCACAATAATGTAATCGTATCAATTGTTTATTCCCGATCCACATCTACACCGGAAAGTGTCTCGTCTATGATGGGGGAATACCCCTGCTATCATAGAACCCGTACGGGGCGATTGTTTTACTGGCAGTTGTCAGCGTTTGCATTTTAGAGCAATCCACCAGACGGATGAATGAGGCTTACCGGGCAGAGGCCGGGCGCAAAAGTAATGTCGCGGCCGCTTCCGCAGGCCGCTGTGACGCCGTTCACCAGACCAGCACACGGGTTGTTGGGGTCATTCTCCGGACTGGCCTCGATGGTACAACCACCGGAGCCGATGGGGAAATCAGTGTGAGGGTGAAAGGCTGATCTTCCAAAGTTGAAGCAGCCGCTTTGTCCTTTGTTGTTCTTCACAAGTACATGGCACTGTGGATCGGCCGCCATGACGCCGGCCATGAGAACGGGCACGAGAGTGAAAAGAGTAGCGGCGTGCATGTTGACTGGGGGAAGAAGAGACTTGTGGGTTGGTGAGGTGTGGAAATGACGATTGATGAGTGATGAGTGGTTGAGTGACTGATGTTTCTGATGGTTGCAGTCAAAGGGTACGAGTGGGAGTGAGGGAGCTTTTATATTTCGAGCATGCTCTGAGAAAACAGAGAGTATTGCGACGGCCTTGTCCGGAATGTATTCTCAAGACCAAGCGCTCAGGCTGACGGTAAGCTTGTAGCAGACTACGACATCCGTGAAGGTGAATCAGCTAGCTTGAACGTAAAGCAAACTTTCAGGTAAATTTACCATAGACTTCCTACCTGCGGTGGATCTATCCTAGAGTTAATTCTGCTCAGGGGCATTACTATCATCCGGGGGTATCGTGGCGCGATATGATTTGGGCTGCTACATCAACAACTGCACTGTTTTCAGTGAAGTTCGATTATAGAACATGTGAAGTCACGGGATGTGTTTGGTTCCACAGCGTTGAAACGGTAAATATCCACCTCTAGACCACCTTCAACGGAGCGTTGAGACGATGAATATTCCCAGGTACCTAGGTAGTGGAGAAAATGGCCACAAGCCCTTAAGCGGTCACAGCTCGCGCTTCACGATGCGGTCACACGCAAAGTATCTCTCGACGTTTGTCTCGCATTCGCAAGTTTTCCCAGCTCTATGCTTCCAGACAGCGCGCGCGCGCGCGAGGACAGCTTCTATTGGAAGCTAAAAACAGGCATTGGACCAATCTGGACCCCGATCCAGCAATACCTCTTCGGCCGGTCTGGACGCGCCTCGATGTAACAGTTCTGGCTAAGGGAAACAGGATAAAGGTACCATGACCCTGCTTGACCTCATTTTGTAAGATGTGTAACCTGGACTGTCAAGGAGACAGCTACCAAACCTTCCGGAGGTGAGATTCACAATGATGACAACCTTGGAAGGCTGGATTGTGTTAATGGACACTCTGCATGTCTGGTTTGAGTGCTTGTTTGCCCTTCTCCCTGCACTATTGTTAGCATTCTCTTCTTCTTTTTCAAGGAAAGCTAGGCCTTGAGCGTTTATAACTACATACATTCCATACATATAGGGATTAGAAACGAAACCTTTATTCGGCTTTGGAGACTGACTACCTAGGCACTAAGTGAAAGCAGCATCTCGCAGTTTCTACAAGCTTTAGCAAAAATGCGACTAGGCTCAAGCTCCTTGCAAAGAAAACAACATCGTACCTTGCCTAGGCCGCCTGTCCCGCATTGTCATGAATCATCGACGTGCTGCTTCAACTGCATAATAGACTCCCAGTAGGGATATGTCCGCAACCAAGGTGGATGAGAGTAGCTTATGCCTCGGCTTCACTCAGAAAGCCCGGGCCGTGAGAACGGATCCTTCGGCTTCATCCAGAAAACGTAGGCCGTGAGAGACCCGGGGAGTACTTCGGCACGTGGCGTGTGCAAAAGATGCGACTCGCTAATCTCCGTCCCCAGATGGCAAGACCATGTCCATGGCGAGCTGCAACAGGGCCTTCCTTCACTACATCCAATCAATGTTTCGAAACCATGCCTATGGGATCTTTGTCTACGGGGTTTCCTTGGCATTGAGGAAGTGGCGGAAATAGGCGATTGTCCTTTTTCAGGATTCCATGTTCATGCGGGCGACGATGACTTGTGACACAGGCCTATGATCGATTCGCTGGAACGGTACAGTACTGATCCCGAAGAAAGCTACTTCGTAATATTGTAGCAAAACACTACGAAGGTGTCTTGATCGATCACTTCGTGATCGACAATTCCGACGATTCGGATCTATCCAGACAGGGCAACATATTCGTGAGGGAATGTTGCTGAGCCATACAGATTAAGGTTCAGCATAGGGGCACCAGAAGTCTGGGAGGCTAGCAGAGCTTACCATAAATAGGTGCACTATACTAGCGTTGAACTCTGCCAAGTCCCTGTCTCTGCCTAAGTGTACAGAACCGTGTAAGCTCGCCGTGCTCTCCGTAGTTGTAGAGGAGAACGTTTCCGTTGTGCGTAGTATGGATTCCGCGTCTATAATACCTGCTGGAACAATTGAGGAATCCTCATTCAGTGAGTGTCGCCCATGATCTGTCGCTTAGCCGATTGACCAATAAATCATGGCAGAGATACGCATGCTTGTGTACGTGTCACATATTTACGGTGTTCCGGAGATACGGAGCCAAATTCTGGCATATCTAGGTTTAAGGCTTTCAAGAAGGTTACAATTTACGCTCAAGGTTTTTCCTCCTGTTTGACCGAATCTCAACTTTCCTGTAACTTGGATACAGACCAGAAAACTTGTTTTAAGGAAAATGCGCAACACAGGGCAGCGGGTCATATGGCTACCTAGGGAAAACCACAGACGCAATGTGCTCTTTTCTAATGTCTCAGTACTGTTGTCAGAGCAGGTGTTGTTCTGCGAGGCAGGCCCACTTATTTATGCTTAGGCATAAACTGATTAAACTTGAAGCATTTGGATAGTGCCAGCAGGCATCGTTTCTTAGGCACGTGTGTTTGGGAGTTGGAGTCGTAGCGTTATCAGGGCGGTCTCATGCTGGGTGGACACATCGGTATAAGTTCGGCACCACAAGCAGCTGGATAAGGAATGAACAAGATATCGTGCTCATCGGCCCTCATCGATTGGATCTGGGGGATTGACGTGCAAAATACGGTCCCCAGGGTTGTCAGCAAGGAAGTCCCGGACAAACGCAGCCGAAGAGGCTGAGGAGGTGGCTGGAGCAAGGGCACGACTCTGACCAAAGTGCGCAACACACTGGTGGGACATTAGTACAGTGCTGAGTCCCAACCAAATTTTCCATGGCCATCAGAAGCAAAGGCAAAAAAAAAAAAAAAAAAAAAAGAACTCCCTCAAGAGGCAAAAGAAGAACCACAACTGTCTGATCTGGCCCGGGCTTGAACCGGGGACCTTTAGTGCTCCCATTAATCGCTTTTTAAAGCGGTTTTAATGTTAGACTAATGTGATGAACCAACTACACCACCGGACCATGTTGTTGTGGTTGTTTGGTGGATGGTGGCGGGGCTGAAAGCGTGGTTGATATTGTTGTGTGCGGTGGGTGTGGGCGGCCGACCGGGGTTGGGGACCCACAGTGAGTGGAAAAGTTGAATGACTTGGGCCGGAGTGCACGGCGCAATTCAAATTTTCACAGCTGGGTCTTGGGTCTGTTGCGTGCGCTTGTCGACGTACTGTGTGTGTAGGCACGGTCTGTCCGGGCCTCACCCTCTTCGTTCACTGGGATGCTCCTCCTAATGGTCACACATCTACGCAAGACAGTTCAGAGAGCTCACTGCCCAGGACTATTGAGGCTCAGCATTCAAGGCCAATGGTCACAGGCAGTCCTGCCATGGGACAGCCTCCCTTGGGACCATCTCCCACAGGCAGTCCTGCCATGGGACAGCCTCGGGACAGTGCCCTTTCAACGCAATAGTAGCAACAAGTGATCTCTACACAGTACTGTGTGAGGCTCGAGGATGTGTGGAGCCATGCCCGATGTCAGTCCAAGCCGCTCATTCAGAGCAGCCGAGGTACACAGTAGAGAGCAAATTTGACTCCCCTGTAGAATGCCTCTAAGCCTTGACCTGTGCCAGTGAGTTCTGTGGATGCCTGGCAGTTGGCAAGGAACCGAGCAGTGACTGGCCTACTGGGTGTGATGTCAGTTGTCCCACGCGACGTGACGGTGGTTGGGCGTGGCGCGATACATCAACATCCTGTGTTCGCCATCTGACACTCACAAGTATGGACACACGACGGTGTGCCGATCTGCCCAGGTGTACTGCCAGTGCTGCGCGGGAAACTGCATCACCACGCCACCGCGTCCTCCTCGACCAGCCTCGTGACCTCGCCTGGCACCAACTCCCTCAACCGGCCCCAATCCCTGGCCCTGACGGCCTCCCTCGCCAGCGTGCTGCTCACAACCCCCCCCTCGGCGCCCCCCGACGTGCCCTCGACCAGCTCGACGCGCCCCGCCCACTCCCTCCGGCCCCCGACCTCCTCCAGCTCCCCGCCGTGCATGATGCGTTCTATGTAGCCCAGCTGGTCCTCCCGCCCGCCCCAGTCGTCGTCCGTCCGCATCGTGACCCGCAGCTGGGCCCGCGCAAAGAACGGGTCCAGGGCCATCTGCATCGGCGTCTTGCCCGGTCGCGGCGGGTCAACCCCAGCCTCGGGCACCGGCGATGTGTAGTACTTGGGCGTGAAGATGCGGGTCAGGGTGTCGTAGCCGGCGAGGAATATCTGCTTCGTTTGTTGTGGGTCGTTATACTCGGGCGACGTGGCGATGGCGGCGGATTTGTCGTGGAAGTAGGGATGCGTCGTCAGGCCGATGTCGACCGGTAGTGTTGTTGCCTCGTTGTCACGTATGTCTTGTCGGAATGCCTCCATCATCAACAGCCGCTCCTCAAACGTCGCCGGCTTGGGGGCCTTGTCGGCGTTGTTGACCGCCAGCAGCAGCAGCAGCCGCACCTCATCCGCCAGGCCGTCTGCCGTCGCCATGTCCTGCTGCTGCTGCTGCTGCTTCCGTAGATCTCGTACGGCAGACGTCGCCATGTGCATGTGCGCCAGCGTGGGCGGGTTGAAGCTCGAGTCGAGCACCACCAGCGCCCGGCATCTCCGCGGTGCTGCTGCAGCCGTGCCGGGCGCGTCCTGCTGGATCAGTTGGAAGGGTCGCCCGGAGGACTGGAAGCTTCGCAGCGCTGCTTGGAGTCGTGCCTTGGCCATCGTGGTGTCTTGGCCAGCTCCAGATGCCATCGTGGCCTCGGGCTTCTGTCTGGAGGGCTGACAGCTGTCCCGGCACCGGCAGCTGTGGGGAGGGCTGGGAGCTGGGCTGGTTTATCAACAACCTGGGAGGGGTTCATTGCATCATTTCAGCGCAAGGACCCATGCTGCTCTTGACCGACCTCCGGGCGGCCGGGGCCGAGGCTTCCGGGCCCGGGACTGGCGCCCGGGACTGGCAGCATCGGTTAAGAATGTAGACTCCCTCACCACTACCAGTTCCTGGCACACACCCGCAGTAATGGCTGTTGAGCTATTGCCTGTTCCAGTCAGCTGCATTTTGCATTTTGTGCTGCTCTATCCGCCGGCAGTATCACATTACTAACAACCTTGGAAGACAAAGCTAGAGAACAGGGTCGTTAAGGGATTCATTTAGCACCTCCGAATGCTCGCGTCCTCTGCTCTTTGGCACTCCCGAGTCTCCGAGTCAATGCGTATCTTATTTGGTGTTATTAAATTCAATAAAAGCGGACGCCCTCACGGATGGTAGTGGGAGTTGCAAGTCCAGAGAGATTTCCATCGGCTTGGGGGTCGGGCTCGGACTTCCTCTGGTCATGACCTTGACCACGGCGGGACTTGTTGTGTTCCGAGGCCGTCGGCTTGAGTTCACCAAGCCGAAGGAGCATGGGTTCGAGACGCCTGCGATGCAGCCAAGTGAGGATCATAGTTATACCCGCAGGGGATATCGAACACATCGGACCAGCGGCCGTTGCAGGACATGTCAATCAGTGAGCTTTACGGGCCGGGTGGGAACCCACTGGCTCAAGGTGCACAAGAGCTACCGGGCGGGTGTCGATGATCAATGGGGATAGTACGAACGAGAAGCTTCGGCTGGGAAGAAGGCTGTGTGGGAGGTTTGATATGAATAGATAGTAGGCTACATGTGTAGGAGGCCAGGATGTAGGAGGTCGAGGGCTAGGAGCAATGGAGGCTAGGAGAACACCAGGTCTTGAGCGCTACCTCCATCTAGCAGCCCCATCAGCTCCAGACCATTCTCGAAAGATGAGTACTGGTGAAGTTGAGTGTCATGAAAATGAAACTACTAGTACAATACATGAAGTCCTCGAAGAACAAACTCAACATCTTCACAGGTCGTGAGATTTGCAAGTCAGGCGATGTTGCCATCAGGTTTCTTCATAGGTGCTCGTCGCTGCATAATAGGCAACTCTTCTACGAATCTATGTTCTCGTAGGTATCATCGGCCTTTGGCTGCGGAAAGTCTCATATCCGCGCTCTCCCGTTCATAACTACGTCGATTCCTTAAAGCTACTTGTTCTGGACCGAGTCAACCCTCCCCCATTTGGAGAACACTCTAAAACCTAGAATAGCCACGAGTGCCTTCATTGTCAGCCTCACTTTTCACCCATTGGCTCCTATCTGGGCCGCAAAGTATTAACTACTTGTCCCCAGTCTCCAAGGTTTGTATCCGTAACAGAAATATGACCCAGGCTCTGGCAAAACTGTCGGCGAGGCTAAGCCTCTCTGTTTTCGGCTTGTTATCCAGCTCTCGGATCATATAAGATTATAAGAAATGTGGTGCGCTGTCCTTTCAAGAGAGCCTTTCGTCCGAGTGTGCTGGTGAAAATGTCCGAACAACAACAACTCAGCCGACTGCGATTATTCTTGTAGAGAGCTTTGCCGTGACGTAGCTTAGTATCTTCGAGATAGCCTCCGCCGTCATTTATTCGACCCGTTGAAGATAAGATGGTTGAGAAATACCATAGAATGTCTCGTAGGGTCTAAATATTTTATTATATGAGTTCCATCTCTGATATGCTCGTGCAGTGTTAACCTAATGTACAAACTCATGATGGTCCTCCGGACATTAAGTCAAGGACGATCCCTTTGCCGTCAATGTCACCTAATCTGTAGGACTTGACCCGAACTCGGGCTCATGAGGCTGCAGCGGGTTACCGCCATGGAATCATCCGTCCAGACGCGGAAATCCCGTGCCGGGTCAGATCCGCCAGCAACTGGTGGCTGCTGACGGGAATACCTCCAGCCGACCCGCTTACAACCAGCTGTCTCGTTGGCGCAATCGTCCTCCGATTTAATGATATGCAGGGGCCGATCTACTCGAAGACGAGTTGATGGCCTGTCAAGACATAGTTGCCACACCTCAAGTGTACGTCACGTTAATGTTTTTAAGCGCTGGTTCCTTGGGTGTTTATCACCGTATGAAGGCGCCATGTATGTCCTCGGACGTATGCGGAATGGAAGCGAAACCAGTTGTTCGATATAAATACCTCGACAATTTTCCATTTAGCCCAACTCCCCCCTCAAGTTTGACTACAGGCCCATGCCGTTGCATCCTCGCTGTCTTAAGCAAAGGTAGCTAAGGTTTTCAAAATAATGCTACCATATTCAGGTCAGGCGCTTGATTCCTACCACAATAACAGTTTACTTGGACTGGACAGACTATGGGGCTGTCCGGGCTACTTAGCAGCCTTAGGGGAGAGCGAAGATGCCGAGGACCTTAGCATGGAACGAGATCCAAATTCTTTCCATGTTAAGCTTTAGCCACGCTATACTAGTAGTTATTTTGCTCTGTTCTATGTAGTTATATCTACGTGCTATCAGCACACCTGGGCAGTCATCCAACTCCTCCTCCTACAGCCCACCTATAAAGTAGGGTCTTCAATAGATTCATATATTCCACACATTGATTAAAACGTTTTCAGCTTTAGTTAGCGGTACTCTACGTCTTGTTCAAGGTTCCAATTAGGACTAGTAGGTCTGGGACGCTCGAGTGGTCCAGCGCCGGACTGGAAAGAGCTCCCTCCTTAGATGCCAATTGGTCACGTCGATCAAGCAAGTCTTGCATGTGCAGAGCTTTATTCAGGTCCTCAAATACAATCAATGGATGACAAATAATTCCTTTTTTACAATCTCTTTTTTTGCCAACCTTCTCGAACAATGATGATTGAAGACCCAGGACACTTTTCTTCGCGGACACTCATCGGAACGCCAAGCTACCCACATCCAAGGCCTCTTCACATGGGCAAGCTTCCACGAACTTTGAGTACAGCAGTGACGTTCTTCAAATAAATGCTGCCTTCGTACCGCAGCACGTCCAGCCCACACCAGGGGTTTTGGGCGGAGCTGCGTGGGAAGTGGAGGTTGCCCTTGCCCGTCCAGACCTCAGCGGGTTTCATCTCAAAGCCGACGGGGACCAGCTCGAGGATCTGCGGCGCGCAGCCCGGGTGTGGCTGCTCGATGGTGCGGAGGTTGAGGAACCAATGCTGCCCGGACGCGGCGGCGGCGGCTGCGGCGGCCGAGTCGGGCAGCCTCGTGTCCGGGATGAATTCGGCCTCGACGAGGGTGTTACCGGCTGGGCGCTCGGTGTTGGCCATGATCAAGCGGGTGCCGTTCTCGGTCTTGATGTCAGCCCGGCCAAAAACCTTGGGGAACCCGTACTGCTCGCGCCCGGCGAAAATGGCCGACTCGTTGTCGAGGATGAGGATGATGTTGTAGCGGAACTTCTCGCCGGTCCCCGGGTGCCGCACCTCGACGTTGTGGCCGAACTCCTTGTACACGCCTACGGAGCTCATGCCGTACTCGAGGAACATGGTCGTCACCAGCGGCTCGTCCTCGAGCTCCAGGACGTCGGGCACCAGGTGGCGGACCTGTGATGCGGCCACGCGGTATGAGATGCTCAGGACCTTGTCGATGGAGAAGGTGTAGGGGTCGTGATGCTTGGGGTACGGTGGTGCGAAGATGGGGTTGGCTTCAGCCTTGAGTGATAGGGTTCCGAGAGGCATGGCGGGCAAGAGTAAATAGTGTAGTGCTGTTGGGTGTGTGTTGTCTGTTGATGTTGTCGTCGTGAAGGCCCTAGTGGCTTATGTTTCTCAATGCTAATGGTGATTAGAATGTGAGCAATGTATTCAAGCAGCAATAATAGCGAACGGGAAGCCTTTATATCCTGATTTAAACTCGCGGTGAACGTTGGGCCTCGGCAACCTTGGAGGCTACGGATGGCACGGAGACAGTGACCATGGTTCCGTTGGAGCATGTTTGACTCTCCGTGGCTAGAGTATATTCGTCCGCACCCCGTCTGGCCTGCCTGGCAATGCAGGTTGTTGTATGGAGGGTTTCGGGAAAAGCGTTTAGGAGAGGCCCGAGGTATTGGTGGTGCATAACGCAAGGGCCACTGCCGGAAGTAACGGGGTCGAGCCGCCCGAACACTCGGCCGTTAACGCCGGGGTCAACAGTCGATCGAGAGTCATGAGTCCCGTTGCCAACTAACACTCTGCCTGACTGACTTGATGAGGATTCAAGAACACTAGTGTACCTAACATGTACTGAGGTAGGAGGTTACCACGGATTTACCTCGCCCTGGGATAATCAATGTTACAAGATAGTGGTTGTCAAATTATTAGTGATTTTTGAAGTGCTAGATGGACAGCCAGGTGTAGACCATCATCTAGGATGTATGGAGTTTGCTATACGCGTGAATGCCGGCACCCTTGCCCCTGGTTGCGGGCCTTGTCCTGCCCGAGGTTGCTTCCAAGGTTCCAGGCCTGCCCTGAGCCGAGCATCAACCTCAACCCGCGGGTCTGATCGCAAGTTTCTTGGCCTGAATCATCGACCCCCGCCAATTGCCAGCAACACACGAAAGGCTATTCTCGGCCGGACGGCTAGCTCAAACCCCACAACGCTCCAGAGGCGCCTGCGCTACATACTGGTCAAGGCGGAGGTGATGTGGCAAACCCAATCCGGCGTATGTGGCCTGCCAATACCGGGGAGAGCCGCATGTGGTGGGGACGAGACACAACATCGGTGGGGATCATGCATTGCTTCCCGCGGCCAGTTCACCGCGGACAGTTCACCGGGGCCAGTTCACTGGCGCATCCACCTCACTCGAGGATGCTACTTTCACTGTAAGTACAGAGCACTGTGTATTCCACAGCGACTTATTAGGGGTAGACAGAGAGACCCACCCGTTGAGATCTTGGCGCAGACCGGGATTAAGACAGACTCCAGACTTGTGTACCACCCACACAAGAAGAACAAGTCACGATCTTGCATTGATGGCCGGCAAATACTTTTCACATGTTATTTGGCCGTGCATCGTGGTGCCAACTAATCAAACATGAACATTCGGCACGAAAGACTATCTCATTGAGACATGGAACCCTGCCGATGGTGAGCAGAACAGCTTCAAGTGCCTGCGGCCCCTGTGATTGGCGGCGAGACCATGGATGAGGCCCTTTTCCAAGAATGTGCGCTTGACGTTTAGTTCCATACCGCATCGAGTCACTTTGACATCTGTTCATAGTCATGGAATCCGGGCACCAGTCGCTATAGTAAAGGACGAAGATCACGGAAAACCCTATCAGTCCTGTTCTGATTCCACCCTCGCAAACGTCCCCTGCGCTTTTGCAGTTTATGCATAGCTGTGTATTGTTTTCTTCCGGAGCGTATGGAACCGCTCTACCAGTGTCACGATTTAGCTGTGACCAAGGTACGAATCGAGCCGGAACACAGTGGTGAGAAATCAAGGACAGCACTATCGCTAGCCGGCCTTCTTCTCTGCGCTCTCGGGGTGAGTTGCCAAGACTCTCCAGCCAGAAGATCCAGTGACCATCCTGACCAACCCGGTAAATGTTGCAAGACGCGCCCTGGTCGATGCATCTGAAGTTTGTCGACGAATGGTCCGTGAAAAAACCCAAGAGTTCATAGATTCCCGACTTTTGTTACTGGTTGTCAGCCCCTCAGCTGTGGAGTGTGGTAGAGACACCCGGAAGTGCCAACTTATGTGCCAATAAGAACGCAAAGGCCGCATCTAACCGGTGAGCGGAGCGCCTAGATTTCCCCTCGATCTATTCTCCCGTATAGATGGACAAACATCGAAATAGAATTTCAGCTGTTTCTGCGGCACGATGACGAGGCTTCGTGCCCACAGATGTATTATATTCTCTTCGAACTGTCATTGGCATTCTGTTTTTCTTCACGCCGGGTCTTCGTTAATCACTGTATGAAGGCGCCACGTATGGCTTCAGACGTAGACGGTGTAGAAGCGAAATCAGCATTGAATGGGCTACTACAGGATATACAAGTGCAGGCATGGTGCACTTGAGCACGCTTGGTTCTGCTGGAGGGCTTTGGAAGCTATGATTCTCTCTCACAAGAAGAGATGTAATGTGAGAAGGATGAACTGGCAGACAGCAAATGGATCCTAGGAAACACAAAAGAAAATTGAAGTTACGGACGCCCGACTTCAGAAGACACTGGTTTCTCGAAAGGTGGACTGACTTTCCCAGACTTGGCAATCTTAGTGCAAAACAGTACAAACATAAAGAATCTCATCTGATAGTTCTATAGCACCAGAGCGTTGGGGCCCAGGTGTTTGAAAACTTCGGACCATGGCGTGTTGGCTTGTGTAGAGCACCAATTTGCCTTGAAAACAGACCTCACGGCCTCGATCGAAGCAAATCGCATGTGATCATACAACAAGTCAACCATGCTCATTACCGCCACCTGGTCCTCTGCAGACACGGCGTGGCACCCAGCAAGAAACAGGGGAAAGATGACACAATTCAGGACCTTGGCCTGCCGCGGAATTTCAAAGATACTTCCCAGGCAGGACTTGACGTGCTGCTGCACGAGCGCGTGTCGCGTGGGGAGACCACAGATGGCCCTGTAGAGATACAGCAGGGCGGCATGTTGAAAGGCACGAATAAGAGTGAACGCATGCACTGCTTCCATCTCCGTGTCTGACATTTCGCCGGATGAATCCGAGGACATGCTCTGGCAGTCACTGTCCTCCATGGTCAGCGGAGCGTACACGGGACGGAGGGCATTTTCGAAGCGGCGGACTCGTTCGATGGAGAAGTCTTGGGCCATGGTGGTGACAGCCGCGAGATACAGGCTCATGCTCGCCATTTCACGAAAGACGGATGCAAGTGATACCCGGCCCAAGGGGTCCTTGCTCCACCATACTGGTCCCTGATCAATGACGTCCCACACCTCCGGCGGGAAGACCGGAGACCGTCCCCGAATGATCGACGCCGTGAGGTCCGTGGTGACGAACTCGGAGATCAGCATGTGCAGCGGCTCAGGGGCTGTCCTCAGCACAGGATAGATGCCACCGAGGCGCTGGATAATGGCCAGAACGCCGCTGTAGTGGCTGGATGTCGACGCCGTCCTCGAGGTGCAACCCACGTAACCATCATCGAAATGCAGCAAGATGACAGCAAACAGGAGTGCCACGAGAGGACCAGTCCCTTTCACGTCGACGCAGCAGCCGCCGATTTCGGTTCGCACAGCAGACAGACACTCCAGACGCCTTTCGCTGGGACTATTGTTGTCGCTGAAAGCGCCGTCCTGCAGCCGCTTGTGCGAATCGGACAGTACACAAGCCGCGAGAAGGACAACGCGGTGCTCCAGGGCGACCGGTGTCGGGGCAGCACATGGATCCTTGGACGTGGAGAGGAGGGGCCACACCCGCCGGTGGAAGTAGTCTAGGGCCTGACGCTCGCAAGCGTCAAGGGATACGGTGAGACACACCTCGCTCCTGGAGATTCTTCCACACGCGGGCGGCACGTGGGCGCTCTGCCGCGTGCTCCACCTTATCAGCCGGCTGTTATAGTCGCATGTGGCGCCGGCTGCGGCACATCGTCGACAGGTCGGCTTCGCAAGATCGCATTTGACGCGCCTCTTCTTGCAGGGCCAGCAGGAGCCCTTGGCCACCCGGATTCTGTTCGCTGGCATGGTATTTATTTGTGTGCCGGTTACTGATACTTCGGTCTCTAATTTCTCGTTCGCTCAGAAATTGAACAGAGACTTGCGTTTAATACCGAAATGGAGCGAGATGGTGATTTCTCCGTGCGATTCAAGGTTGCGGCGGGCGTCGATGCTGGACGACGTCTGATGTTGCAGCACCGCGGTTAGTATCATGCCCGGACACTTTGGCAGAGGTGCAGCTCTCAATGTCTAGGAAGCATCATCTCACATTATCCATAACTATCTGGAAGTCTCTCGACGAGTCAGATGAGGACGGTGGGTGGTATTTCATTGACGGCCCCAGCGTGAGTGCTCGCATGCGGCAGCTTCACGTAGCGAAGACTAAAGGGATATCTATCGACAAGTATTATGTGCTTTGGGCAGAGAGATTGAATCGCAGGAAGGTTCGAAAGGAGCCTCTGACTGATCACCAGACGTACGACGCAAACTGAGATGATGAAATGTGTGTGTTGGCCAAGGGTGAACTTCGGGAGGGGACAGGACGTTGGAGAGGGGAAATGACTCCTGACTTGAGGACTTGTTCTGGCCCTGACATTATATGCGATGGTTGTCGTCGGATGCAAATGCCAGATCCGGGTTAGCTGCGGCTTGACACGGATCGCCGGGATAATCTTGAGTTGCATCGCGCAGATAAGATAGGCAGGGGTCCTGCTGGGATTTATGATAGCTTATTATAATCCTATGCCTTCGAGATTACCGTTACTTTTGTAGATCGTGTCGCTCACGTCAATGACGATGGACATTCACGTCCGCTGCAGGAAGAACTTGAGTATGCGGTGTTTTTTGTACTGATAATTGGCACTACATATTCAATCCCTAGACATGTATTGCAGTACGTAGGACGGATCTAACTACACAGTACTGGAAATAAGAACCACTACCAGCTCCAGCGTATGTCTCCCGTTCATGTCCCCACATTGAATGTGACGCTGCCAACCTTGGAAGCCTCATGGGCCCCAGATGCATACCACTAAAGCTTGCTGTCCCTGTTGACGCAGCATGACGCAGCAGGCTCATTGTCAGCCCTTGAAAACGCGTTTTTGGACGTCTTGTCAGCCTCGACAACCGAGGGAGGGACCCAGAGCGCCGGGTTCTTTTTAAAGAAATTGGAAGCCCGGATCATTACACCGACAGGCTCGGCCGGCATGACTGGGAAGTCCTCGGTTCGCGGGAAGTGGGTGAGGCCGAACTGGATATAGCAGACTATATCCATGTTCTCAATCGGCTCGTCCCTGGCGGCCCAGTCGACCACCGTCTCGTTGAAAGGGTGACCATCCTCGCCGCTGGACTGACAGACGTAGTCGCCAGCGGGGAACAGCTCGTAGTCCCTGTACGGGGTGACCCACAGCGCCTTACGCGCGAACCCCGCCCGCTTCCAGACCGGGCTTCCCGCCTTGGCGAGGATGGTTGGGCAGTTGTTGTTCAGAATCTTGTAGGCAACGGGTTTCTTGGCCACAGTGTTGATGCTGTTGGGGTTGATAATGTCCCAGGACCGACCAGTCTCGTAGCAGTAGTCTGCTGCACCTTCGAGAGCTGTCCGAAGAGGTGTCTTCTTGCAGTAGAAACCGTTTCCGTATGGGTTCCCGGCTGATCCGAGGGGCTCGTCGGAGAGCACGGCGTCGTTCTGGACAATCGTGTTGTTGGGGCCGTCCACCTCGGGATCCACACGCAGGGAGAAAATGTGCTGGTGGTTGTGGGCATTGATGGATGGCGCAACCTCAGTGCCGTACGGCGCTGCAGTCTCGGTGGGATGCATACAGTAAGTATTCAGCATGCCCGTGAGCTTGATCTCCAGCTTGTAAGTGCCGTCCAGGGTAAACGTGTGGTAGAAGCAGTACTCGTAGTTGGCAGCCGTGATGATTTGGGAGATGATGAGCTTCCGGTCGCGGGCCGAGATGACAGTGCCATCGCGGTAGTCTGTGTGCTTATAGAGGATACCGTTGTCCTCTTCATGAACACAAATGGCATTCTTGAGAATCGCCGCCTCACCAGAACTCACAGCCATGATGGCATCAATGTAATGAATGACACCCTTGCAGTCGCAGCCAAGCTTGAGAGAGTTGGTCATAAGACCAGTGCCGTACTCGCCAACGTCAAAGGCGTGCTTTCGGTGGTGAGGTGGGTCCGGGTTACCGTACGGCACCACCATCTCGACCACGCTGATGCGGTTGAAGAGGCTGCGTTCGCGGCCTTCCGCCTGGTCATCGATGCGGACATCAGAGAGGACGATGCCCTCACGATAGTTGAAGCCAATGTGCATCTTCAGTCCGGCCCAGGAGATTTCGTTGCCAGACATGCGGAACGATACGCCCTGGGGCTGGGTGATATCGATGGGCTTAAGCCTGCCGTGCTGGTAGTCGTTGCCGATGAAGGCCGGCATGTAGTTGTGCTCTCCCAGAGGTACCTTGGTGCGCTCGCCATTGACATGACGAATATCGACAGACAGGACTTCTTCCTTCTCCGTGTCGACAACAACCGAGAAGTCCAGGGGGTGGGCATACTGGTTGTCGCCGGCAGAGTTGCGATAGTAGACAATGCCCTGCTGCAGACGGCGATCGGTGCCCCAACGGTGGTCAAACCCGATGGCCCATGCATCGATGAAGACCTTTGACATGTCATGGATGCCGAGTTCGCGGCACGCATCGATCACACGCGGGTCTTTACGCGCCACGGTCTCGCAGACATCGAGGTCCTCCAGTGTAAGGGTGGGACTGACATCCGTGACGTCCCTCCAGATCTCGACCTGGGAGCTCCTCAGGTTGACGACAACCTCGGAGACCTGGGAGGATCCCTTCTCGATCACGATTGCAAAAGCGCGGCGGTCAGGGCGAGGTCCGCTTCCCGCCTTGAAAGCTGCGTACTCATTCTTCTTCGGCTCGCGAAGAGTGAGGCAGTTGAATTTCAGTGTTCTTGGGCTGGCATGCTCCTTGATAAGCTTGGCAGCGAGCTGGACTTCTTCAATCGATAGCTGATCTAGACGGACAGAAAGTCAGTCTTGGTCGTTTTTGTCACTGCGATCTGCAGCGATGTTTCTCTGCTTACCGAGAGGATGCGCTGGGCGTTGCGTGGACAGGTCTGGAGCGACGTCGCTGGGCTCTTCCCGCAAGATGGTGTAGCCGGCTATAGAAGAGGTGTCTGCAATCATGATGAGGGCTGTCTGGACTGAGCGACTGTGCCATACGGGGGTCTTCCTGGTTCGACCAAGGTCGAGTTGTGATAGGTCTATTACAGTGGTGCCGGAGAGGCTGAGAGGCTGGATGCCGTAGTGCGGTAATCTGAACGAGCTTATGTTAGATCGTCGAGACTCGATGAACTTGAAGAAAGGGTTTCCTCACAACAGTATTCAGCAGCGTGTGCTAGTGTAGGTACTTATAGAAGAATTTCGGCCAATATTTGCAGGCAAACTCAGAATAGCGTCAGGTGAGTTTTGCCGGCTGTCGGAAGCCAATCCATGACAACATTAATCGTAAGACAGGCTCAGATCTCGCGTAGATAGTTACCTTGCATCCCATCGCTTACCAACACGGGCTCCTTCAAACAGCCAACAAGCATTTCGGCACCAATAATCCAATCAATCGTCATCCCGTCAAGCTCGAGTGGAACCCTCCAGGAAAATGGGTCCAGCCTCTCTCTCCATCGCCCCTTGGAGTCGGGGCTTGGTGCGTGGGCTCGGGGTAGAACCGGAGGCGGCCGGCACCGCTGGGCCCCTTGACTCGCACATTCGAGGGACAGTTTCCTTGCTGAATTAGGCAAGAAAATCGACCACACGGCGCCGCATGACTTATTAGCTGTCGATTAGTGCAACATCCTTTATTACCTAGGTGACTAGTGTCGTCCGCCGCGCATCCGCTGAGGCGCACCAGGTCAACAGGGCACTTCCCCACACGCTAGACAAGTGGACACGGAGACCAGCAGGGAACGCCCCTGATCCGAGGGAAGCCCTCCAGTAGTAAGCCTTATTGTCGCCGAGCATCATGTAGGCATTCGCAATGTCCTCCGTGGCTGCCACAGTTGAAGGCCACATATGTTGTTGCCAGGAGTGTTGCAGGACTTTGAGAACTTCCTATCGCATTATGACCATCGTTATCGACATCGTGTCCTTTTCAAGCCCTGGGTCTTGAGCGCTCACCACCGTATGTAGGCGCCATGTATGTCCGCGGACGTATACGGAATAGAAGCGAAACCACTTTAAGAACTTCATATAGGATAAAAATTGAGATTTTGGGGGTGTCTAGGCGAGCATAAATAACGTGGATTATGAAACTAGTAACTACCACTGGAAGATTATATTTTTGTTGGTAACGCTGGTGGAAGAACCACTTCAGCATTCTGCGCGTCAATGATCCGCTGCGCTGCATCATGAGTTGCAAGATACGTGTGTCGTCCCTTCAAAACCCAAAAGCACAAAGTAACAACCAGCATGACTCCAAAAACAGCAACGGCATAATTCATATCGGCGGGTGCTGGATTAGGGTCCAGGGGGAAGAAGAAGAAGACGCTCGTAATCGTGCAGTAGATGATTGAGATCCAATTGACCGCAGGGCCAAATCGACCCAGAGTGAATTCGCCAGGTGGGAGCTTGTCACGACCGACAATGACCAGCGTAACGATAGGCATCGCATAGGAGATTGTCAGGGCAACCGTGCTGACACTCAGAATTGCCTCGAGCACCGTATTGGCGAAGATGTAGAGCACGCTGATAAGCCCAATAATCCCCCCCTGCAGCCACAAGGCGCGAACTGGCACCTTCCAGGTGTCGTTGACGTTGGAAAAGAAAGAGCTCCAGGGCAGACCGCCGTCCCGGGCGAAACCCCAAGTCAGGCGAGAGGAAGTCGTGACGATGCTCACGGCCTGACCCATCCCATTGAAGATGAACAAGGACAGAAGAACTGCAGCACCTTGCAGCCCGACGGCCCCGCGCACCAGATCCATAAAGGGAAGACCAGTCGGGGGGTCCAGGACAGTGTCGAGATCCTGGATGCAGAACAGGCAAGCCACCATGAAGATAAAGCCTGTGACAGCTCCAAGAACGACCGAGAGCCATATGACGCGCGGGATGTTTTTACGCGGTGCGGGAATCTCCTCCGCGAGATGAACCGCCGAATCAAAGGCAGTAAGCCCATACGCAGCCTGTACCAGACCAGTAAACCAGGCAACGCCATCTCCCCAGCCGGTCTGGTTGATCCATCGCCCGAAAACGAACGACGCGGGTTGGAATTCCAAGTCGTCTCTCACACCGACCGATATGAGTAGCGCCAGGCAGAATATAAAAAACAGCGCGATGAAGCAGACGCCCACAAAGTTGTTGAAGGCTGGCAGGACAAAATCTCGACGACAGGCCACCAGGTTGATGACCGTCACCACGACGGTGATGCCCAGATAGAGCAAGAAGTTGACCCAACCAACACCGGCCGTGGCCCAGTCTTGAACGAAGAGAACCTTCATGCTGAGGATGAAGTTGGTCATGAATGCGAGCTGCGAGGCTGAAAGCGTCCACCAGCCAAAAGTGTTGACCCAGGCGCAAAGGTAAGACGCGAAGCGACCGAACGGGCCAGGGCACAGCCGATACACCCAGTACGCCTGCCCAAGGGCCGTCGGCATGCTGCTGCACAGCTCGCCCAGCGACACAGCGACACAGACATTGCACGCCATCACGAGCACGAGGCCCCAGAGGATCGAGATGGGCCCGCCGCTCGTCAGGCCGCTGGAAAGGCCCTGCGCGAAAGTTGACCATGTGCCCAGTACGGATATGGCCAGAAAGAGCATGCTCGTCATGCCAAACTTTCGCGACAGGGCCTGCTCGTGGCCGAGATATGTGAGTTCTCGCGCATCCTGAAGGGCCTGATCACTGGCCTTGATATGGTCCGGGCGCGTATTCGATTCCGAGTCGTTCGCCATCGATTGCGTTGGTCGTGGATTGTCGAGAGAGATATGGTCTTGGAGTTCTCTTTTCCGTGGTCAGCATTTGACTTAGTCGCCCGCAAACGAGAACGCAGGTCGTCTTGTTCTTTATTTGCAAAGTGGCAGGATCCCGAAGACTTTCTTGAACTGATTAGACTGCAGAATTCATTACAAGGGCACCAAGGTCGTAGTCAAAGAGGTTGGTGCAAGTGTATGCTCGCGAGCGATTTTTCTCTAATCAGGAAGACCCATCGGAGAGATACGTCCTTCGTCAAAGCAACTCTGCCTTGGATTTTTCCACGTTCCGGTCACTATCAACCACGACTCATGGATTGAGATTACAGCATTCATGATGAAGTTGGTAGACCCCGGATCGCAGATAGTCTGGAGATAAATTCCATTACGTACGACTTCAGGAGTGGGTGTGGTTGAAAGATCCGAATCGCGGGGTAAATTCCACAGGTTCCGCAGCCCATCTTAGGATCGTCCAGGTGCCAGGATACAGTGAACACCAACCTGGGTCTGGCCCAATTTCTTTCCCTTTTCGGCTCGTCCAGGGCTGACACTTGTACACTAATAGCGGCGTAGTAGCGACGAACCGGCACAATCCCAGTTTGGCTTTGGTGAGCCAGGGGCGAGGCCGGGAGGGTGGAGCCGCCGAGGTGTCAACCAACGAGTCAGAGGAGCTTTTCATGCAACACAGTAAGCGAGGGAGATAGCAGCTTGGTCGATTTTCTTTCCTGTTTGGTTACGCCGAAGTCTCCTCGTGATGCCCTCGCATTTGCCAACACTTGGTTCCAGGCCAGGGGTCGGACTCCTCCCCGACCTCGGGAGGTTTCGATCCCACCATGTCAGTGACGAGGGCGAATTGGGTAACTGAAGGGTCAGCGACGGCCCCAAGCCCAGTGGCGTAGGCTGCCCAGGAACCAGAGCTAGTCCTTGATAATCAACGGCTACACCAGTTCGCCCATCTTCGCGTGGGGATTGTTTTGATGTAAAGGGGACGCTCGTGTGCTCGCCTTTGTTGCAAAGTGAAAGAACCACCTTCCTCGTCACCTTGCTAGTGCTGTCAGGCGTTCATCCCTATGGCCTCAGTCGAGCTTATCGCGCCCAATGGGCGCAAATATCTCCAGCCAACAGGATTGTTCATCAACAATCAATGGGTGCCGTCATCAGATGCAGGCAAGATTGCCAGTGTCAACCCAACGTGCGACCCCATCACTCTTCCTCGCGCATTGAGTCTGCGGCTAACACATGTGTGGTACAGTAACGCCAATGAAATCGTCTCAGTCGAAGCGGCCACGAGCGAAGATGTCGACAAGGCCGTGCAAGCAGCCCGAGCGGCCCTGAACCACGCCAGCTGGCGCGACTTGCCTGCTACGGACCGTGGAAAGCTCATGAGCCGTCTGGCTGAGCTCATGGAGCAACACCGAGAGACGTTGGCCACGATCGAGACCTGGGATAACGGAAAGCCGTACTCGGTATCGCTCAACGAGGATCTCACGGAGGCGATTGAGACATTGAGATATTATGCTGGCTTTGCGGATAAGGTGTTTGGCCAAGTGATTGAGACAACCCCTGAAAAGTTTGCATACACTATTCGTGAACCGGTCGGAGTGTGTGGCCAGATTATACCGTCAGTCTCCCAAGCTCCTTTTGCCCCCGACAGCGTCATGCCCACTGATCTCCAACTCTGTGCCAAAGGGATGAAGACTCGGGGAGTGATACGAGGAAATGGCTATACTGATAGATATAAAACAGATGGAACTACCCCTTGGCAATGGCGGCATGGAAGCTTGGCCCAGCTTTGGCCTGCGGCAACACGGTAATACTCAAGCCCGCAGAGCAGACCCCACTATCCATTCTCTATTTCGCAAACCTTGTTGCGGAAGCCGGCTTCCCGCCCGGTGTTGTTAACATCGTCAACGGCCTTGGAGCTGTTACGGGTGCAGCACTGGCCTCACATCCAGACGTCGACAAGATCGCCTTCACTGGGTCTACGAGCACGGCAAGACATATAATGAAAATGGCGAGCCACAACCTGAAGAACATCACACTCGAAACAGGCGGGAAGAGCCCGCTGATCGTGTTTGATGATGCCGATCTGGACCTCGCGGCCTATTGGGCTCACGCAGGTATCATGTCAAATCAGGGCCAGATCTGCACCGCGACCTCGAGAATCCTAGTTCAGGATGCCGTGTACGACCAGTTTCTGTCGAAATTCCGAGAAAATGTGATGAAGATCTCCAAGGTTGGCGACCCCTTCGACGAGAGCACATTCCAAGGCCCCCAGGTCTCAAAGGCCCAGCTCGACAGGATCCTCGCCTATGCCAAGATCGGGGAGGAAGAAGGAGCCACACTAGAGCTCGGTGGCCGGCCTTTCCTTTCGGATGGCGATGGCTACTTCGTTGAGCCCACCGTGTTCACCAGTGTCTCACCCAAGATGAGAATCTTCCAGGAGGAAGTGTTCGGCCCGTTTGTTGTCATCTGTCGTTTTAAGACCGAAGAGGAAGCGGTAGCGTTGGCCAACGGCACTCAGTACGGCCTGGGGAGCGCCCTCTTCACTACAGACCTAACACGTGCACATACGGTAGCCAAAAAGATACAGGCTGGTATGGTCTGGATCAACTCCAGCAACGATAGCGACTGGCGAATTCCCTTCGGTGGAGTGAAACAGAGCGGCATTGGCAGAGAATTGGGTGAGGCCGGTCTCGCTGCTTACTCAAACATTAAAGCTGTTCATGTCAACCTTGCTAGGCCATCAAAGCTGTAGTAGAGACATAGCTAATGTGTTAGATTTGTTGTTTTGACTAGACCTCATTCCTTTTTTGGTTGTGTTCCCTCGATTGCCACGGTAGATGCAAAAGTGGCGGAGAAATCATGCTGTGTCAGCGCTATCTCGTGCCAATTTTTGACTCTATCACATGCAGTGTGTCTTCTTGCAAAGGCTCGAATCAAACCGATTCAATTAGTTTCGACAGCAATGATACTATGATGGAGCAAGAGCTACAGTAGGATCCTTGCTTCAGACCGCTGCATGGAATCTTTTAAGGCGTCGAAAAGGTTGTGTAAATTGGAGTCGTGCCGAAGGGATTGAAGATCAGCCAGCCATTGGCTTCACCACCAGGGAGTACTCGCGCCCTCGTATCGACATTCAACAACATAATTTTAAAGAATGTAATTCAGTTGGATTAAGTAAGTACCTAGGTACAGCACAGAAACGTGATTCTGAGCAACACGTCCCCCCTCCCCCGGTCACAACCTTCGCATGAACTGAGCGAGTTGTCATCATTGCTTCGCACTGCAACACGTCCGTGAGCGGACATCTGCTGGGCAATTCCGATCCTATCTCCCAGCCTCTCACTGGCCCCCGTCAATTGTCCTCTCATCGGTCGTCCCGTCTTTCGAGAGACTTCCAGTAAAGTATTGTCCAAAGACTCGATCTTCGATGTCCATCTGCTTCCAGGATTTGCCCAGACGCTTGCTGTCCTGTCGGCGGAAATAGACTCGTTTGCAGAGCTTCCAGGTCTCGACCCCAGCGAAGAACAGAATTGCGGCAACGAAGACGATCGCCCATTCCCAGGTGATCGGTTTGTGCTTTAAGACAACGGTGTTTAAAACGGGGATATAGATCAAAGGGAACAGGGTAACGACACCGAACATGATAGCCCAGAAGAGGAATTGGTTCCTCCAGACATCCAAACACCACTGCGTCAGGTAGCGCTTCGAACCGGGTTGCATACGGAAGAATGACCGCCTGGTGTCAATCATTTCCCATGCAAGGAATAAAGCAAACCATGTCAAACAGGCGAACGTAGTCGCTCTTGCACGGAAGACCACGTCGCAGGATTCAGAGTACCTGTCGTTGCACTGCTCGCCAAGTTCACCGTTGCCAAAGCCGAAAACCACGAGTACAAAACTCGCTAGACATAACAGAGTGATCCAGAGGCCGTAGACCACCATATCCGTAAGGAACTCGGAGGTGAATATGCCAGCTTTTAGCGAGCGAGGGGGCCGCTGGAGAATATCGGGGACAGCACGCTCGAACCCGAGACCCATGTCAGGCAAACCCGATGTCGCCATGATGATCCAGACGACCTGAACAGGGGCGAGAGGGAAAACAGATAGCCCAGTCCTGTCCTTGAAGGCGAGGCCAACAAGAAGAGTACCAGCCTGCGCAACGTTTTCAGCCAGCACATGCAGAACAAACTTTGAGATGTTGTCAAAAATGCGACGTCCTTCCTCGATGGCTGCGAGGATAGACGCAAAGTTGTCATCAGAAAGAACGATATCGGACGCGTCCTGAAACATGTTAGCAGACCCATCAAGAGGCAGAGCCCTTCATGGAGAGGGGGTGGGGTCTGTACCTTTGCAACATCAGAACCAGCAATACCCATCGCGATGCCGACATCAGCACGGCGGAGAGAGGGAGAGTCGTTGACGCCGTCACCAGTCTGTTGGGAACAAGAAGCGTTAGCCACGGGCAGAAATAGCATGGCGTACCAGGGGCAGGCCTACCATTGCACAAAACCGTCCACGGCGGTGAAGAGCTTCAATCATGCGGACCTTGGTGCTAGGAGCACATCTCGCAATAACCAGAGGCAGCACAGGGAGTTCATCCACGTCGTCGTCGCTGAGGGCATCGAATTGCATCGCGGTCATCACCAACGAGTTCGCAACGTCGTTTGCTATGAGATGCATCTTAGAAGGTAGAATCCCAACTTCGACGGCGATGGCTTTGGCCGTCTCGGGGTGGTCACCGGTCAGCATGTGGACCTCGATACCAGCAGCATGGCACTGTCGGACGGCAGGGGCAGATTCGGGGCGGGGTGGGTCGTAGAGTCCGACGAGGCCGCGGAAGACGAGATCACACTCAACGGCAGACCTATCGACACCAGTCTCGTCGTCGACCTTGAGCTCGCCGGGCATCGGCTTGCTGGCCAGAGCGAGGACGCGTAGGCCGAGACTAGCCAATGCTTGCATGTTCTTGAGGATCTCGTCGTGGAAGCCTGCGATATCGACGAGGTTGCCGGAGCTATCAGGGGCGTAGGTGGTACAGCTGTCAAGGACGCGCTCGACAGCGCCTTTGGTCAAGGCCTGGTGAGAGCCGTTCTTGTTCCGCATGACAACCGACATGCGCTTAACGTCCGAATCGAAAGGCAGCTCGGCAACGTCCATCCACTCGGACTTTTCATCACCAGTCAGGGCAAGGCGGTCCCAGCCGAAGCGACGAGCCAGAACCTGGATGGCAATTTCGGTAGGGTCGCCCCGCGCCTCCCAGGTGCCTTCGTTGTTCTTGCTGACGATGGCGAGGTTGGCCAGGCAGGCGACATTGAGGAACTCTGAGAGACAAGAGCCAGCGTCGGTTCCAGAAGCGTACTCTTCGGGTTTAATAATGGAACCACAAGCTTCTCCGCCTTCCTTGAGTTTGATAGCGCGAGGCGCCGACTTGTGGAAGCGAATGTCTCCAGCTGTGGGATCGAACGGCGAGGCAGAGTTTTCGACTGTGAAAGTGCCCTTTGAGGGCACCCAGGCGCCTCTCGCAACCATTTTGCCCTGCGTCAGAGTGCCGGTCTTGTCGGAACAAATGTCTGTGACTGCACCCAGAGCCTCAAGGGACTTCAAGTTGCGGACAACAACATTTCTCTTGACCATTCGCTTGGTGCCCGCAGCCATGGTGATGGTCAGAACAACCACCAAGCTGGCTGGGATCATCGACAGACCCGTGGCTACGGCGTAGATGATCACATCCTGTGTGGTGGCAAACTCATTGGCACCCAGGACAATTATGGCGCAGACGACAGCAATGAAGAAGAGCAGAACAGCGAGCTTGGACAGCTTCCTCTGGAGGGGTGTTCCGACGTTGAGACCTAGGAACCGGCCAACGGCATCGGTAACAGTCAAAACATAAGCCTCGAGATAACGATGGGGCTTCGCACGCGCGTCGGGATCCTTCCTGGTCTTCTTGGGCTCACGGATCTTGGTCTCCTTTTGTCTGAGCTGAGAGGCGATAGCGCCAATCTCGGTGTAGGACCCAGTGGCGAAAACGATGCCTTTGGCCCGGCCCTTTGTGACGTTTGAGGAGCTATAAGCTACGTTCAAGCGGTCGCCGGGCCCAGTTGCCGCCTCGAAAGTAATATCTTCCTTTTTGCGGACAGGCAGAGATTCACCCGTCAGAAGGGCCTCGTCAGTCTCAAAATTGACTGGTTCGAAGACACTGTTGTCCATTTGTCAGCCCACATGGCCACCACATGTAATGATGCACCAAAACTCACCGAACGTCAGCTGGAATAGTGTCGCCCGTCTTGAGCTCAACGAGGTCTCCAGGAACCAGGTCGGATGAAGCCACTGTTTGAGACTGTCCGTTACGTATGACGTTGGCAGTGGGAGAGCTCAGTGATCGCAGTGAGTCCATGGTCTTGGCGGCGGAATACTCCTGGAAGAAACCAACAACGATGTTCAGGGCAATGACGCCGGCGACCACGCCGCCCTCAATCCAAGACCTGATGCCGAAACTGACAGCCATGGCCAGGATCAGGACAAGAGTCATGGCATTGGCAACCTGTGCGATTAGTATGCGCACAGGGGAGACCTGTTGGGCCGCCCCAAGGTCGTTCTTACCGTACTCCGCGAGTCGTCTCTGTGCTTCGTCGTCGGAAAGGCCATTGGACGGATCCGCCTTTAATTGCTCGACCACTTCAGCCACGGTAAGACAATGGGCGGGCTGTGTCATTGGGCGGTTGGACTGCCCGCTGACGTGCCCCTCAGAGTCAACCTGCTTGGGCTTGTCGGAACCCATGATGAGATTGAGAATGGCCCCTTGACTGGCGAACTGGGCCTGGAATCTCAGGGACTCCTGCTAGGACGCGGGAAGTTGTGAGAGGATGGTTGGTAAAAAGCTCTGGGTGTCGGTGTTCTCAATCTATCTCGGGGTAGTGGTGAGCTGTCGCATGTATGCAGAAGCACAGACGACAACGCGGAGCAGGTCCTGAACGGTAGCAAACTCCATAAGATTGACAGGTGCAGTGGCGCGGGTAGAGGTGTGCCTCTTGGGCGGATGCGGCTTGAGGCGGAACGCAAAACGTAGCACGGGAACTCTGGCAATCAGAATGGTCGAAGTCGAATAGGATGGGGTGGTTGACCTGAGGCTGATGACGAGAGTGTGAAGATGAATCAAACGGATTGATTGATCTTCCCAAAAAGGTGTGATGCAGTGGAACGAGCAGAATTGTTTGCGGAAAAAGGAACATGGGGGGCCTGTTGACTTTTGTAGGTACACAGCCCAGACCGCCCCGCCAAGAATTCCCAAGATTTCCCAAGGGTTGGCATGCACTAGAGCTGTTCGGCACTGTGAAGTCGTTGAATTTTCTTACATAACCATGATAAGGGGTTTGTGACGTAAGAGTGTCGGAATCCTGTCCCCACAGGCCTTTGTGCTATGTCAAATTCTTTCCAACCGAAACACATCTTTCGTACGCTTCATGGCCGACGCTGCACGCTGCCAAGAAGCAAGAGACAAGCCACGTGTAACAAGCCCCCAAGCAACATTGGTTTCTAAACATGACTTGGCCTAGGAAAATAAAAGTCCAATTGAACCAATCAATTATTTACCAACCCAATATCTCTCGAGAACACCAGTCTTGTTGAACAATGTGTGTGGCAAAAGCGTGCTGCCGTAAATCATCGATGCTGTTAAAAGGGGGAGCGCTTAGGTAATATCGGTGGCGTCTGTGGCTCTTTTCTGCTTCCGACTTGGCCGTGTCTGAGCGAGCAATTCGGCAATCGGCACGTCAACGTGAGCCCCCCGTGAGCCCCCTACACCCACCTGGGCACTGCCGTTGTTGACTAACCCAAATTTCATCAGTCCCCGTAGGCCCATTGCTCCATCCTCCCCGTCCACGGCCAAGCCACCTCCGGTTGCCCACGGTCGTTGACGGTGACGTTGCCATGATCGATGCCAACAGTCAAGCTCTTCAGATAAGGAAGTGCAGCCAAGGTGATGTTAGCTGCAAGCTCGGCTGTCTCTGCGCCGTCCTGTCTGACCCATCGGTCAACTTCTCTACCGTCCGGGCCGTCGTATGCGTTCCCGCACCAAGGCCCTCCATCGAAACCCAGGTCTAGTTCATGGGAAGCAGGCAGGCTCAATCTTTCCAAGTTCGGAAACTGGCTGATGAGCTGGACATATCTCTGATGGCAGGCTGCAGTTAGCAAACGAAGCATGCGCAGGTCTCTGCGGACAACACCGTAATAGTTATCACCTTCAGTGTTTGTGTTTGTGCATTGGCATTTGCAAAGTATGGATCTATGCCATGTGTTCCACCCGACACATAGTCATAATCTGAAGCAACTCGTTTCAATCTGCCTTCCATGTGCAATCCCGTGATATTTGGTGTCGCGTCAAGGATAGCTAACCAGTACTAGTGTCAGTATTTGGAAGGACAAACGTCTCGCGACTGAGCGCATCACCTCACCCATTACCATATCTGTCGTCCAGTCGTCCCACAACATCGAAAGATGCCACTGCTTAAGATGCTCCAGGCCCGTCGACGCTGTAATCAGTGCGACAAGGTGGACCTTGCGAGATGGAGACGGGTAATGCCAGCTTCTGTGACGATAATAGCCACCCGCCTCGATTACCTCCAAGTTAGGGCATCTTGAGACGAGGTAATCACTTCCGGCACCTGGTAGCAGATGCTTGACACTCGGGAGCATTAACCCCTTCGCTACAAAAGCGGGCTCGAATTCTCGCGTTGCCTCGCTGCTGATGCCCCAGTCGAGCGTCTCCAGATTGGTCATCTGGGCGAGGTCATCGGCGAATAATTCTGTGAGCGCGGGTGATGGTATTGTATACTTGTCGTCATCGACATATAGGTCGACATGTAGGTTCCGTACGGACATTAGAGCAACCTTACAGGCGGCCATTTCCTGCAGCCGGTGATAGGCATGGGACCAGCCTACATATAGGCTTGGCCGATAGATACCACCTATGACATTTCTTTTGATAGAGAGGTTGGTGAAAAGATCCGCGGGGGGTGCATGGGTGGAAAGTGGTGTTGTCCAGAGGATGGAGTCTGGAGAACACAGTTCTTGACTGATGTTTGGGTAGCGAGAGAGCCAGGCTTCGTTTGCTCTGAGCCAGGGGTGATTTGTGTCCAGGATAAATTGAGGGATTTGGGAGGATGATGGATTCTTATGTGACAAGACTCTCTGAAAGAAATGCCGTGTAGCAGGGTACGGATTCCAAGCAGACGCAGCGACTGCAAGTAGGAGACACAATCCGAGGAGGGAGATGCGCTTCATAGTGTTATCGCGTTTCAAGCTGGAATGAAGAATTGTAAAGCGCGTATCCCCTTCACGATTTCATTGCATGCAGTCTATTAAATGGAATTATTACAAGCCATGGTGTTCATATTGTTGCTAAGGACAGGTGGACAGTACCCTATGGCACAGTGAAATGGCTGCCTAGCAGTCATCAATGATGACTGCAGGGTTGGCTATTCCCGTCGGATTACCGGACACAACTCTGCTTGTTTCTCATGACTAATAATATTTTCTCATCACTGATGTTCCAAAAAGTTGTGAACATATGGTTCCAGGACGACTGTACTCGGATGTCCGCTGCGCAGCTACAGTATTTCGCCAACCTTCTAACAGACAATCTCATATGGACCAGCCTCCTAAGGCCTTGCCTGGCACAGGCTGACCTCACATGGATTTCCGTCCTGCAGGCTTGCCAGTTATAAGATGTCCTTAACCTCAAGGTTCTATTTGAAACGAGGTCAGTCAGCTAGCTTTCAAAATCAATATGCGATCTCACAATACTGCCAAGGGTGACCAAGTGACACTCAATCATTGATGAATGGTGTTAGTAGTACGGAAGCAGATGAAGAAGCTTCTAAATGCTAGCTACCAAATGATACCCTCTTCTTCTGTGCCTAAAGGAAAGTAAGTTAATGTCTTTGTCCAAGGAGCAGGTGGCAGCACTCATGGCTATCTGTAGCTCCTAGAACTATTAGCTGAGGAAGCCAGGTTTAGCTAACATATAGTGTTAATGAGCGGGCTCTTCGTGATTGATTATAGAGTCTTACCTGGTTCTTGTTGGGCTGCTACCCTAGGTATATTGTCAGAGGGCGAGCCGACGGCATCAGCGAACGTCGCGCGGGCGGCATCGAGTCCTGCGGATGGGCAAGGTCGACCATCAGCTTGGTCTCTTCTTGTAGCCGTGGGGAGAGGTGTGGATGGGGCATCCTTCGACGTGATTGCGGTGGTGTCGAGGCGCGAGGTGGCGTCGAGGACGTTGCTGAAGACCCTCTCGTTGCCCGTGATAGAGAAGGCGGGGGAAGATGAGCGTGCGAAACGTACTTCGTTTGTTTCGATGCTGGAAAAGGGGAAGCAATTTCCAGAGGTCCGTTGACACATGCTGTAGTCGGGATGTCCCCGCGACAAACGTTTGGAAGCCCGTCGCCCAAGGCATTCGGCAAATGACGATACTAGTAGTTCCATAGCTCGAAAATCTTGTACATCACACGCATTAAATCTCTCAGTGGCGAGGCAATCAGGCTTAAATTCGACATCTGGCTCACAAACACCGTTCGCTGGTTGGCCCGGGTTTTCTCAAGTTGGGTAACTATTATGCACACAGTGAACGCTTCTCAACACGAGGATATAGGCCTTTGTCCGAGTCTCATACACTACTAAGATACTGCAGCGTACAAGATCCCTGAGTGCCAGTCACCATGCTAGCGTTCACCTCTCGATGGTGAGCTCGTCCGCGCGGCCGTGCCTGGCCGCCAGCCAGATCGCGTTGCTGAATCACCAGCAAAAGGTTGCCCTGTGTGCTCTTCACACACTTGAGAGACTGAATTGCGAAAGATTGCGAACTTAAAACTCTGACAAATGCCGATACAATGTGATTAACTGTACGTGACGGAATCGAGTTGACTAATGAGAAGAATCCTCCTAAGCAGGGGAAGCGTACTTAGGAACACTATTTTTACATGGGAATAGGGGGTTTTCATGATAACAGCCTATCAACCTGCCCTGTTCATGTTTTACTTTATATCCACCAAATGACCTCTGCCTGTAGTTTTATAGTACTGATATGCATTTGTTACACATTAATTACAATTCGAACATCACCCAAAGTATTTCAATATCCTCTCGAAGGATTGCCATTTTCTCTCCATGACGTCGTGAGAAAATCATGTACAATAAGTCGTTGGATGTGATTACCTGTGAATAAGTAGGTCTTGCCTCGGCAATTATCGGTCCTGCGGCGTCCTCGGCTTTTCCTTATGCAAGGTTGTACCAAGGCCCCTCCCTCCCCACACCTGGTTGCGGACGGGGACCCTGCCGTGTGGGACGCCAATTTACTCCGTACAGCTGTGGGCCGAGATGGAGAAAACGGTGGGGAACCTTGCAAGTTTATTACAGTAGGTCTGTTGCATTGCATGAGAGTGGAATTTCCGGGGAACCTGGTGTCAGATTTTCGGACGTCCACTTCAGACGAACACTCCATAGGACGTAGGCATTTGCTGAGGTGGAAGATACGCCGTCCTGGATGCGAACCTCAGAATGAAGCTATGGTGGGACACGAACAGAATAATGCTGCCCTGAACTTCCAATATGGCTAATGCCGACAGAAATTCACCCAGAATGAGTATCTTGAGGTTACCTGACCTAAAGTAATACTTGATCTCAGTGTCTTGACTACCCTAATACTGAAATCGTCCATAGAGACACGAAAGAGCTTATGAGTATCAAGACATGCAAGGAAAGGGGGTTGTGGCCCTTATAGGACAAATCCCTGTTATTGTCAGTGATAAGTGTCATAGATCTAATTGTTAATAAAGACACCGGCTTGAAGCCTTTCTTATGCACGAAGTGTCAAAAGAGAGTTTCTTGTGGGGTGTAATCTATCGATACGTGATAGACCACAGAGGTCCTGCAAGGCCGCCGGACCAGAATGTCTTGCAAGCTCTGCAGGCGGACACCACGTCGGCTTATCCGGTAGATGTCGACCCACCAGTTATTTGCTCTTATTGGGCACCACGCAAGCCCACTGAGCAGTGACACTGGCAATGCCCCCCCTCTTTCAGCCGTTCATCTTCAGGTCACATTCCCATACAATCAGCCATTCAGTCGGATGAACACTTTCCCTAGCACCTCTGTCCACATCATCACTATTCTATGAGAGCCTGTTATCGGCTGAAGGGATAAGCTGGGGCCGGGGAGTACCAGGCTGCACTTGTGTTAGTTGACTGACACAAGACCTGGGTACCTTTCAACGCGCTGTGGGTGGGTTCGTTTCTCATCCACATACATATGTGACATATGTGGTGCCTTCATACAGTGGTAAACACTCAAGATCTAGTGTTTAAAAAATACAAGGCCAATAACAGTACGGATATAGCTAATGCAATACATGAGAACGTATCAACGCACTGTATTTCCACTTGTCAGCCAGTCTTCGTATATCCACACTAGCGCCAGGAACAGAGAGTTCTCGACATTTACAATGGTCAGCATCTAGATGTTGAGGGTTAAGCGGTCTTCGATGCCATTTCCATAGACTTAACTCTTGTATTAACCATGCATGCACAAATATTTCTGCTTGAAAGTATAAAGACACCGTTTCAGGGCCAGCATAGACGCATTAGATCGTGACTAAAAGGGGACTCCCCAGGGTCGGTCAAGAGGGAACCCTAAAATTTTCTAGACTCCGCTCGCATTATTGTCGACTCCAGACTGTTCCGTTAGTAGTTATTAAAATCATTAATGGGGCTCAAGGCAATACAGCAGGGAAACAATAACTGGTAGTGAGAGCATAGATGACACAGAAACCGTGATTTGCTTCACAAGCATCATAAGGTTATTTATCTAACAAATTAAACAGACTTATCTTATCTCTGTGATCTAAATCCCAAGTATTTCGTGCCATCATGTTCAACAAACATGCCTCGGGTTTAATGGCCTATCCGCCAAGGCCAACTTTATGTAACTAAGTTCGAGCCGCTTGTGTTTTGCTGAGTACAAGTACGGGGCCGCCACCGAAGCCCCGCACGTAGGAAATAATAGGTTGAATCCTGTGAGCCTATTCGTTCTTCCAGCCCCTAGTTTCATAAGCTTAGTGAATGGCTGGAACAACAGTGACATGACTGAGCAGCTTTGAACAACTTCAGAATGTAAGAGCAGGTTCGAAGCGCCTCCTGAAGTAGCGATGTGGGGGATGGCTTCGGTTATTCATTCATCCTTTCCACGCAATACGGCAACTGCAAAAATGCGTACAATTTAATGAGAGTTAGTGCCTCTTGCCGACTTCAGCTAATATAGCTAATGTAACTATGCATTGCCAATAGCTGCCTCCCGTAGTCGGTTGCTCGCTACGCTCCTTTTACATCATTGCTGTCGCTGTCTAGATGTAGGAATATTTTAGAAACCTTTTCTCCACAGAATCACTGTTTACAAGTATATATCAATCCGAGGTTTACCTTTATACTGAAAGAGTTATGCTCAGTGGATGACTATAAACATAAGGAAATTATTAGTACGTTTATTATCTTCAAGGTATTATTAACGCGTTCGATCAGATGCCTAACTCCCTGATATAGTTACTCAAGTAGCTTCGGCCCAGGATCAACGTCTGCTCGACTGCTTGTGAATTTCCTGTGTTTAAAACGAACTCCCGCCGTTGGGTGCCGGGTTATAATATTTGGGCCTGACCCAGAGGTCAAATTTACCTACCGAAACGGGCTTGGGGCGACGCGTACTCAACTGATCTGCCAAGACAAAGATTTGCCCACGGTTGGGCGGGGAAAGTGGATGTTTCCCAGCGGATGGTATCCTCATCCCTTCGGCCCGTTTCCAATGACACCTGAGAAACTCGTGCATGCAGAGACCCAAAGGGAACAGAGGACGTACAAATTGAGACTCTTGCACGGACATTCAGTCATCCCATGGTCAACCCTACCCCAGGGTGGGCAGGTGTGGGGATACTTGAATTGATTGATGCGACGTAGGGGAACTGACCGGGCTACCCATGCCTGGACCACGCGTCTCTGGAAATAAACATTTAGCCGCTGAATCGTCTGCATACTGAAGTAACAATATATAAGCAGCCGAGGGACTCTGCGCCATGGAGAGAGGACAAAATGGCCAACCGGTGACAACTGTGCACATCATTTTATGAAAGTTTTGATCTATCTGAACTCAACATGATGAGATTTTTTGCCGCTTCCGTACTCGCCGCAACCGTGGTCGCCACAGACCACGGGCCAACGGTTGGTGCTCCTCAAGGGAAGACTGATTCAGTCTGCTAGCTAACGCGAGGCATTCGCAGTATGGAGGCTCTGGTCCCTTCAAGTCGGTAAGTCAGAGCTGACGACTGATTTCTGAGCGTTAGGTGTCTTAAATTTAATACTTGCTAAAACATCTCGTAGTATTCGTTCGAAGTCGAAACACTCCCCAATCACACATTCTACCAGCCATTGGAGTCTGGGGTCGGCTCTGCTCTCAAGTTGCCGGTAATTGTTTGGGGTAATGGTGCCTGCCTGCCATGGTAAGTGTACTGCCAGTGGGCTGCTAGCTGGAGTTTGACCCTGAAGGTTGCTGACCTGAGTAGTATGTATCCGATGGGCGCCAAATCACTTGTTTCCCCTGTTTGTTTGCTAATGTAGGGATATCAGTCGGCATGGCATTCCGAGGCTTGCTCGGTGAAGTCGCCTCTCATGGTGCGCTGGTGATAGCCACTGGATCAGCTTATATTGACCCGCAAACTTATGCGGCGGCCCCGAATGACACCCCCCCTGCAGCTAACTCATCTGGAACTCTTGCCGGAGAGAACCCTGCGGCTATGACAGCTGCCATAGATTGGGTGCAGGCAAACGCCGGGAAGGGAGAATGGACTCATGTTGATGCCACCCGTATCGGCACCTGGGGCCAGAGCTGCGGCGGGCTTGAGGCCTACGCCTCCGGCATGAATGACTCTCGTGTCAACCACCTTGGCATTTTCAACAGCGGCCAGCTAACCGAAGAAGCAAGCCAGGAGGTCGCGGGGAGCATCTCGAAACCTGTTTTCTACCTTCTTGGTGGACCCACCGATGTTGCGTATGAACATGTTCGTCTGATCTTACTCCCCCCTTAAGATACTTGATTGGCTTACCACTACGGCAGGGCGCAAGAGACTACGCGGATCTCCCTGCGACCACTCCCTCTTGGAAGGGAAACCACGCCTTGGGCCACAGCGCCGCGTTTGATCAGCCCAACGGCGGAATTCCGGGCATTGTTGGGAGCCAGATTATGCAATGGGTTCTCCGCGGAAATCAATCGGCAAAGGCATGGCTTACTGACGGCAGTCCAATGACTGTCGGGGTCAACGATGTAACTTTCAAGAATTTGGACTCGATCGTCACTACACCTATCTAGATGGGTAACAACAATGCACAGGATCGCGACGGAGATTCCGAGTCCGAAGCGCCTATAGGGTTGTCATGGGCATCTATAGCCCTCACTTGAATTTGGAAGAGAGATAGGATGTGACAAAGAGAAGCACCATCACCAGAGTCACTCTAGCAGGATCAGTCAAGGGTACATGGGGAATTTGAGCGGCGCAATGGAAGGGTGCCAGGGCATGAACAATCGTCTCTGGATGTGAACCAACCCAAGCGTATATAATAACTCCTGTAGCTGGTTTCGTTTCTATTCCGTACATATGTTTGAATCAGAAGCCATACATGGCGCCTTCATACCAACGGTAAACGCTGAAAGGCCCTGTGATTGAAAACCATACAATGCCGATAGCAGTACTTGAGACAGGACAGATGATAGCTCTTGTACATGGAAAAGCTTTCTTCTGAATGCCAATTCCCGATGATGGACAACATTGATCAATATGTTTCAGCTCCGGCCACGGTTCCTATAATGTGGCGGATTGGAGTTCAAGACCTCATCTTTGAGCCCTAATTGGAAGCCATATCGGCAGTCTTCTGCCATCTTCTCATTCTTGACACCATACTAGTAGAGAGCTATATGACCGGCTTCATCATTACAGCCGACGCACCATTATAGCCGACGTCTTCTACCTCACCTTTACCCTGGAGTAAAACGCAACTTGGAAGATCGGTCGAGCACACCACCCAGCCACTCGCACCCTAGAAGGTTGAACTGAAGATCTGAACATTAATATCTTGACGAAAGCCGCTATTGTACCCGAACACTATGTTTAGTGGTTCAACACATGGCCTGCATTCATTTTATAAGTCACCCATATAGACAGCCATTAGGGGTGGACTCATTTACAGGGCTATAATTCGAGATAACGTCACCGCTCTTATCACCGTTCTTTATAATATACTTAAGAATAACCTTTAAATTAGTAAGATTAAGATTAATAGCTTTTTAGAAAACTTAAGGGAGGTATATTTAATTTTACTTAAATTTAAACTTTTAATTATATAATTAAAGGTTTTTTATTATAAACTTATATTATTATAAGTAATTATTATTTAATAATTATATTTTAATTAATTAAAAATAATAGAATAATATTATTATTATTTAATAACTTAATATTTAAAATATTAAATTATTATTTAATTATTTAAAATCTATTAAATAAATAATCTAACTTTTATTAAAGCTATAAACTAAACACTTATAGGACTAACTAGTAGGTCTATATATTCTACTTATCTTATTAGCCTAAGTGGCCTCTATACCTCTTATAATATAGGATTGTAGCTTCGCTACCTCCCCTATATTATTCCTTAGGCGACTCTAGTTTTAAATTAATAATTCTTTATAGATAATTTAAGCCTTCTTTTACTATAGGTTATAAGGACTATCTTAACTTTTTATTTAAATAATTAAATATTAAAACTTTATTTATATATTAATTTATTCAAAATATATAATTATTATTATATTAAAAATAAGTATATAGTTTATTAAATATATAAATTTAATTATTAAGTTACTTTTAAGTTTTATATAACTTAAATTTTATTTATTTAAAACTAATATATTATTTTTAATAAATTATTAAGGAATAATATTTATTTATTATATATATTTATAATATAAAACTATTATATTTAAATTAAAAGATTAAAAAAAGTAGTTTTTATTTAATTTTATATATATAAAATATATATAACGCTATTATATTATAGTGAATATTTAAAACTTAGTATAATATTTTAAAAAAAAAAGAGTATTAATAATAATATAAAAAGAATATAGTATGTCTATAGGTATGTGGCCTTAGCCTCCTATTATATAGATATAGTTGGAAGGTATTATTTCCGACGGTTACTAGAATCGTCAACATAAATAGCCCAAGGGCTAAGCTGCCACGGTACTAGAGTCAAAGCCGGCAATATGAAAGCAGTCTTGCACAGCCTTACGCCTTTGATCCCGTCGACGAGGAGGCCCACAGATGTCGTGGCGGTCACACTGGAGGAGGGGGTCAGACCCGATGCCAACGAAGCCCCTGCTAGACGTCAACGACCTTAGGAGACACAGGAGAAGCCAAATGGCCTTGTCTGGGCGATTGGATGCAATTTGAGGCTCATTGACCAAAAGACCATGAGCAGCACAATCATGTGTCCGGATTGGCAATGCGAATTTGGGGTCCGTAGTGTGCTTATTCCATGGGCCGACTTATAACTTAGAGTGCAGCATACCCGTAGTGGATGCGAGGAGGTAAGCATCAAACACTGGAATGGACCGGGCTAAGGCGTGCTGAGTTCGAATTTTGCTGCCGTCCGCGTTGGATTCGGGGCCCACCTGCTTTCAATCAATTATTTTCGTACGGACATGAAGATTCACAGCCCGTTTCAGTGCTGGCAATATGTCGATATTAACCAGCATGATTGGTGCATATTTTGTGGCTACAAATCTATACCTCCCGCGCCCATAGCTTACAAGGATGCTGTCTCAAGGCTTTTTTCGCATGCCTGGGCACGCGCTTCTGTGAGATTCCACTTCTGGCGGGCTAGGCATACTCCAGAGTAAAACCCAAAGACTGCATGCATTGTGAAGTCCCACTTGGGCGGGATAGATAGCGGTGCGGTATTAATTGCACCGAGAGTGGGGCTAGAAAGTACATTACGGAACATTACCTGCCAAGGTATGGAAGACTTTCACTGACATTTGTTAGCGTTGAAATCACCGACAATAGGTCTACTAGTAGGCCGGCTTCAAGATAACGGAAACAGACGGCAAAAACTTCGCCTCTTGATAAGTATTGCATTCTGTAGAATGTTGGCTGGCAAGTGGATGGAGTAATTGGCTTGGCATCGTGTTAAGTGCACAGGACGGACAAGGATTGCACATAAGCCAAGGGGAGTTTTTCCGGTGGAACTTTACCCGAGGGCTTCTCCCAACAGGCGCCTTCCCGTGCACTCGGGGCAGCTAGTACACGATAGTTAGAGGTATTTCATCCGCCGCTTTTCCCCGCCTAGGCCTGTTTCTGCTTGCGTTTTTCAACCACCTTTGCTTGTATTTCATTTCCTCGACCAGACTTGAACATCTCCGCTGCTGAATGAGCTGAGTGACGTTGTACACACGCCTTGACTGATAACAGACACGATGGCCAACATCCCGGAGAAGTTCACTGGCTTCCAGGTCAACAGCGCGGAGACCTGGCAGGACTTCAAGAAGCAGCAGTTTGACCCCAAGCCCTTTGGAGATTATGATGTCGATATCAAGATCGAGTGCTGTGGTGTTTGCGCCAGTGACGTTCACACTATCAAGGGTGACTGGGGTGCTCAGCCGTATCCTCTAGCCGTCGGCCATGGTAAGTCCACCGTCCATGGCATCTGAGAATACAAGCCTCCAAATGTTAATACAGTTAGAAATCGTTGGCAAGGCCCTCAGAGTTGGACCAAAGGTCACCAAGATCAAGGCCGGCGAGCGAGTGGGGGTCGGTGCTCAGTCTTACGCCTGCCTCGACTGCCGCCAGTGCAAGAACGACAACGAGACATACTGCAAGCAGCAGCTTGACACCTATGGATCGACCTTCCCGGACTCTGGCGCAATCTCTCAGGGCGGATACTCTTCGCATGTCCGCACCCACGAACACTGGTGAGATAGTGTTTTATAAACACTGGAAGGCTTCTCCCCATACTGACAACGTGTGTCAGGGTGTTCCCTATCCCGGAAGCGCTTCCAAGTACCGTGGCCGCGCCGATGCTTTGCGCCGGCTTGACTGCGTATAGTCCTCTGGTACGCAACGGCTGTGGTCCGGGCAAGAAGGTTGGAATCGTCGGTATCGGTGGCATTGGCCACTTCGGCATTATGTTTGCCAAGGCCCTCGGTGCCGAAGTTTGGGCAATCTCCCGGTCTCGCTCCAAGGAGGCTGATTGCCTCAAGATGGGCGCTGACGGCTACCTTGCCTCGGGCGAGAAGGACTGGAATGAGAATCACACCATGACCTTCGACCTCATTTTGAACACTGCCAACTCATCTGATGGTTTCGACCTCTCCACCTACCTCACCCTGCTTGACGTCCACGGCAAGTGGGTCTCCGTCGGTCTTCCTGGAGGTGGCGGTTTCAACGTCCGTAACCAGGATTTCCTACCCAACGGCTGCTTCATTGGTAGTTCGCACTTGGGCAGCAGACGCGAGACGCTAGAGATGTTGCAGTTGGCTGCGGACAAAGGCATCAAGACTTGGGTGGAGGAGGTTCCTATCAGCGCTGATGGTCTGAGGCAAGCCATGAACGGTATTGAGGACTCCAGTGTTCGGTACAGGTATTGCCTAACCAACTATGACGAGGCGTTCAATGCGTAGAAAGGATCCCAATGTTTGAGATAATATCTAAAAGAGATATCAATTCTTGGTCAGTTAATATATGTGACATTGGGTCTGCTGCGTAGGTCGGTCGACAGTAGGGTCGCCTAAACATCAAGCAGCCCAGCAAGCATTATAGGCAATATCGACATTAATCTTCCATTAGATACAGTATAAAACAAACTTAGTGCACCAGCTCTTAATCCAATGTATAAGATGTAATTAAAGGGCTGAAAAGTAAACTAGAGCGAAGAGACCCTATAGGGGTTAAGGTGTTTCTCCTAGTAGTAATATTAAAGATTTCTACAGTCTTAAATATTTACTATTATATAAAGGTATAATGTATATTTTATATATATAGAGATTAAAAATAAAACTATTAAAGACTTTTATATTTATACTTTTAAACTTAAATATTTAAAAATAATATTAAATTAACTTAATTTTTTTAAATAAATATAATTATTTATAACTTTAATATTTTTATAATATAAATATTTTAAATATTATTTAAAATTTTATATAATTTAATATAATAAATAAATTTAACTTTTAATTATTTTAAATTTTTAAAATTTATTAAAATCTTTATTTAAAAATATTTTTATATAAATATATTAAAATATTAGTTTAATTTAATTTTATAAAAGATTTATTAAGCTTTAAATAGATAATATAAATTATTTATATAAACTATTTATATTTTTTAATTCTATTATTAAGCTAAAAGTAAATAATTAAGGTCTTAAAAATAAAATATAATATATCTTTTAAAATTAACTTAATTAAATTTATTATATAAGACTTTTATAATAACTTTATAATTATTTATAATACTATTTATTATTAGAAAATACCTTTTATATTAATATACTAGGCTATATTAGTTTAGATTAGTATTATTAACCTTAATATAAATTAATCTATTAAAAGTTAAAGTTATTATAGATTATAAGCTAATTTAATACTAGCGAGTACTATATATAAATACTAAATTTACTATATAACTTAAATATAAATATAAGTTAGCTAAAATAAATAAAAATAAAACTATTATTCCTTTAAGGGTTCTAACTTTACTTAAATAAATACCCATTAAGTAAAACTACTTAAAAGTAGTTACTTAACCTACTATACTATTAAATTAAAAGATAACCTTTAAATAAAGTAACTATACTCTATTACTATATATAATATTTAAGTTTATAGTTCTAATAGCTTATAAATAATAAAGAAAATAGTTATTAATAACTAAATTTATAATTATATAAAATAAATTTTTACTTTAAAAAAGTTATTAATATTTAAAATAATTAATATATTTTTAAAAAGTTAAAGAATTATAAACTTAATTTAAAGGAAATTAAAATTTATAAAAATCTTAAACTTAAACTTTAAAATTCTAATTTAATATTTATATCGATAAAAATAAAAGTATTTATAAAGCTTAAAAAAGCTTAAACTAAACTAAATTAAATTATAATATAATAAAATAATTAAATTATAATTAATTAAAAATTATAATTATAAATCTTTTAACTTTATATTTAAAAGAATAAATTATTTATATTTTATTTAATTTTATTTTAAATTAAAAATATATAAATTATTTATATATTTTAATTTTATTATTAACTTAAAAGTAAATAATTAAAGTTTTAAAAAATAAAATATAATATATTTTTAAAAATTAATTTAATTAAATTTATTATATAAAACTTTTATAATAATTTTATAATTATTTATAATATTATTTATTATTAAAAATACTTTTATATTAATATATTAAATTAAATTAATTTAAATTAATATTATTAACTTTAATATAAATTAATTTATTAAAAGTTAAAATTATTATAAATTATAAATTAATTTTAATATTATTAAATATTATATATAAAGTTATTATATATTTTAAACTTTTAAATTAGGTAATATAAATAAAAATAAAGCTATTATTTTTTAATTAAAGTTTTAACTTTACTTTATAAATAAATATCTTTTATTAACTTTATTATATTATAAGTAAAATTACTTAAAAGTAATTACTAAATTAAATTAAAAATAATTAAATAAAGTAATTATATTTTATTATTTAAATTTATAATTCTTATAACTTTATAAAAAATAAATATTAATAATTAAGTTTATAATTATATAAAAATAAACTTTTATTTTAAAAAAGTTATTAATATTTAAAATAATTAATATATTTTTAAATAAATTAAAGAATTATAAATTTAATTAGAAGTATATTAAAATTTATAAAATTTTAAACTTAAACTTAAAGGTTTTAATTTAAAGTTTATATTTATAAAAATAAAAACTTTAATAAAGTTTAAAAAAGTTTAAATTAAATTAAATTAAATTATAATAAAATAAAATAATTAAATAGAAATTAATTAAAAATTATAATTATAAGTTTTTAATTTTATATTAAAAGAGAAATTAAAAATATATAAATAAAGTTTAAAAATAAAAGAAATATATTTTAAAAATAATTTAATTAAAATTATATTAAATCTTTTAAAATAATATTATAATTTATATTTAAAATAATATATATTATTAAGAAATATTATTTTATATTAATATATTAAATTATATTAATTTAAATTAATATTATTAATTTTAATATAAATTAATTTATTAAAAATTAAAATTATTATAAATTACAAATTAATTTAATCCTTTTAAATATAAGGTTAAAAACTTATAATTATAATTTTTAATTGATTTTTATTTAATTATTTTATTATATTATAATTTAATTTAACTTTATTTAAAGTTTTTTAAACTTTATAAAAGCTTTAATTTTTATAAATATAAACTTTAATTTAAAACTTTTAAATTTAAATTTAAAATTCTTATAGATTTTAATATACTTTAAATTAAATTTATAATGTTTTAACTTTTTAAAAATATATTAACTATTTTAAATAATAATAACTTTTTTAAAGTAAAGATCTACCTTTATATAATTATAAATTTAATTATTAATAATTATTTTCTTTTATTTATAAATTATTAAAACTATAAATTTAAATATTATATATAGTAATAAAGTATAGTTACTTTATTTAAAGGTTATTTTTAATTTAATAAGTTATATAATAAGTTAAGTAACTATTTTAAATAATTTTACTTAATAAATATTTATTTAAATAAAGTTAAAACCTTTAAAGAAATAATAGCTTTTATCTTTACTTATTTTAATTAACTTATATTTAAATTATATAATAATATTATATATAATATTTAATAATTATAAAATTAAATAACTTATAATTTATAATAACTTTAATTTTTAATTAATTAATTTATATTAAAATTAATAATATTAACTTAAATAAATTAAATATAACTTAATATATTAATATAAAAGTATTTTTAATAATAAATAATATTATAAATATAATAAATTATAAAGTTATTATAAAAATTTTATATAATAAACTTAATTAAATTAATTTTTAAAAGATATATTATATTTTATTCTTTTAAAACTTTAACTATTTATTTTAATTTAATAATAGAATTAAAAATATAAATAATTTGTAAATTAATTTAATATTAATAAATATTATATTTAAAAATATTTAAATTATTATATAATTTAAATATAAATTAATCAAAATAAAAATAAAGTTTATATTTTTTAAAAATATATAAATATTAAGTTTATTGAAATAAATATTTTTTATTAATTTATTATATTATAAATAAAATTATTTAAAAATAACTATTTAATTTATTATATTTTATTAAATTAAAATATAACTTTTAAATAAAATAATTATATTTTATAATTTAAATTTATAATTTTAATTATTTATAAATAAAAGAAATAATTATTAATAATTAAATTTATAATTATATAAAAATAAATTTTAATTTTAAAAGAAAATTATTAATATTTAAAATTATTAATATATTTTTTAAAAATAAAATAATTATAAATTTATTTTTAAATTTATATTTATAAAAATAAATTAATTTATAAAGTTTAAAAAGTTTTATTTAAATTAAATTAAATTATAATAAAATAAAATAATTAATTAAAAATTAATTAAAAATTAAATTATAAATCTTTTAAAATTATATTAAATAAAAGTTAAAAATATAATATTATTAAAAATAATACTTTAAAATTTTAATAATATAATATAAAATTTTTTAAGTATAAAATTAAAATTTATAATTATAATTTTATAATTAGTTTTCTATTTAACTATATTATATTATTATAATTTTATTTAGTTTTTAATTTTATTTAAGCTTTTTAAGTTTTTTAACTTTAATATTTTTAAAGGAGTTAAAGCTTTATATTTTTAATTTTAAGTTTAAAATTTTTATAAATTTTAATATACTTTAAATTAAACTTATAATTTTTCAACTTTTTAAAATTATATTAATTATTTTAAATATTAATAACTTTTTTAAAGTAAAGGTTTATTTTATATAATTATAAATTTAATTATTAATAATTACTTTTTTATTTATAATAAAGTTATTAAAACTATAAACGTAAATAATAAAATATAATTACTTTATTTAAAAGTTATCTTTTAATTTAATAAATTAATTAAATAACTACTTTTAAATAGTTTTATTTATAATATAATAAAACTAATAGTTTTTTAAGTTTATTAAATAGATATTTACTTATAAAGTAGAGTTAAAATTTATATATATCCCTAATTAAAGGAATAGTACCTTTTATCTTCACTTATTTTAACTAACTTACCTAAATTATATAATAATATCGTATATAGTACTTAATAACGTTAAGACTAACCCGCGGTCTATAATAACTTTAACTTTTAATAGGCTAATAGTATTAGTTCGAACAAACTAGGTACGGCTTAATATATTAGTATAAAAAGGTATTTCTTAATAATAAATAATATTATAAATAGTAATAATAGATTATAAAGTTATTATAAAAAGTTTTATATAATAAATTTAATTAAGTTAATCTTTAAAAAATATATTATATTTTATCCCTTTAAAACTTTAACTATTTATTTTTAACTTAATAGTAAAATTAAAAAATATAAATAGTTTATATAATATAAAATAAAATTATATATTTATAAATATATTATATTTCTTTATTAATATTATATTTTATTTAAATATTAAATTTTGTATAATTATTATTAAATAAAATTATTATAATATATATAATAAATAAATTAAACTAGTTATAGATTACTACTACCTCTCTCTTAGCGCGGTGGATATTAAGCCGGAATTTACATTTGCTTTTTGCGAGCGGCTAGGCAGCTAAGCGAAAACGCCTCCTCCGGGGTGCACGCTTCGGCACGCACACGCTCAACACGCCCACACGACTCCCCTCCTTCCCCGTGCTTAGGTCTTCATACGCTCTCAAGATGAAGCTAGAGTATTTCGGTTGTTGCCAGCGGCGTTTTGGGCCACAGAATTGCCCCTTCATTGCCCACCACAACCCACCATGTCGGCTGCAGAAGTGTACCCTCCTTGGGGGGTGTTCCCGGCGGAACAATACCTCATTGTGAGCCAAGCTGTTCTTGAAATCAGCCTTGAGTAATATTGCTGACATTACGCCCGTGCGTAAACAGCGGCACTGGGACCACTCATCGGACCTGCCACCGCAGGACCAGCGGCGCAAGCTGATGCGTGACTACCTCGCGCTGGAGGAGATCCCTGCGGAGTGGGACAGGACAGGGCGCGATCAAGGCGGCCGTGAGGATCAAGCGTTGAGCCGCCAGCCCACCGAAGAGGATATCACGACTATCCTGGAGCCTTGGAGGCCGTCCCGGTGGCGTGGGGCGGCCCTGCGCATCTGGAAGGACCGCTTCGACGAGGACATCTGGCTGCGTACGTACTACGGCGAGGACAGCGACGCCGCTTTCGAGGACTGGCGCGAGACCCACGAAGACTCCGATCCGGCGTTTGACGAGGGTACGACCCCGTGGTGCGTGCTCGACGACGCCGCGGTGTTCGGCCTTGGCGACGGGTGGAACGGGGTCTTGGACGTCCTCCCCGAGCTCGCCGGCCCGACCCAGGGGTACAAGCGGGATCCGGGGTTCCACAGCGCCGAGGAGGTGCAGCAGCTCAGGGCGACCATCCAGGCGGCCGAGGACAAGGAGGCGGAGGCCGAGACCGGCGCCGGGATGGAGCTGCAACTAAATACTGTCGCCACGTTCCTCATGGTCGCCGACCAGGAGACGTGGGACACAGGAAAGCTGCGTCTGTTGTATCTCGACGCACAGGGGAATATAGTGCGCCATTCCAGGATCAGCCCGGGGGATGTGTTTAATACTCGTCATGAGTGGATAGGCAAGAAATTCCGGGATGGGTACTGGTGGCGCGAGGAGTACGAGCAGTCCGGTCTGGACCCGACAAAGTGGCTGCGATTCGAGCCTGGCGGAACCCTTGGTGATCAATACAGAGCACATGGAGCTCTTGGTCACGCATTGTATGGCATGCAGTGGTGATGGAGTTCTATTATGGCCCTGCAGCATACAGCGCATGCATGAATTCTGAAAGTGTAATATTGATTGTTTCGAGAACAGGCGTGGAATTAATATCAGTCGCACAGCTAGCTTTGATTTGATGCCTGCGAAGCGGGCGACCTCCCACAGCTGTCACTTACACATGCGATTACATCTTCACCCCAAAATTGCTAAGAGAAAATGAACTGCTCGTGGAGAATTTAAAGTTTAGAGCTAGTAAGACACAGATGAGTGTGTTGTACAAACCCATCCAGACCAGTCCGTGGACTAAGACGATATACAGACATATTAATCGAGTAACAAGGAGTGACAGTCTTCCCCGACATCCGAGTGCCATGCATAGAACTATAACCACCTGTTATATCTATTCTCACGTGTAGACATAATTCTCGGCACGTGTTACAGAGTTCAACGTACCTGTTCCAGAGTAGTAGACGCTGTATTGGCGATCTTCTGACACGTATCACCAGTCGAGACCTTGTAAAACCTCTGGCAGCCGGTGACCATGCCGGACTGGTATGGTGTGGGCTTGGCGCCGGCAGGGTTGATCGTCGTGGGGTCCGCCGGGTGATATAAGGTGCGAACCGCCGGAATACGGCTGGGCGACGTCGGCACGGGCGCGTCCGGCGTTGGGAAGCAGTACGTCTCCATCAGCTTCAGGCACCCGTCCGGGCACCCGTCCTCGCCGATACTCTGCTGCCAGTCCTCGTCCGTGAACCAGAAGTACTGTGTGCGCTCGGCTTTTAGGCATGAGAGCGACTCGTTCCAGGTCGCGTTGCTAGTGATGGTCGGGGTGGGGTTCATGGTAAGGGTGTACTAGCTTGTGGTGATGTTGGGAGGGTTGTCAACCGCTGTTGTTGGGATGATGGACGAGAACAGGGATGATGATGGGGTTGGGCGGAGCGGGTGGGGGAATTATGTTGTTCACGTTAAAGGTCCCACCGCCTGGAGAGGGAACATAGATGCTTCGCCCAATTATACTATCTAGATTGTGGCAGCTAGAATGGATAGACCTGTTGACAAGAGTTTAGTATCAACGCATCTGCTTCGAAAGTGCCCTTGCTGGAGATCGAGATAGCTTTCGGGTTCTAAGAGACCAGCTGGAGGGTCAAGAAGGACTGCCCGCTTGTGATCTCGCTGCAGGTGTAGTTGTGATCTGGTCTCTTCAGTGTGCAGGTCTCTTGAAGGCATAGTGACATTCCGGCGGAGATGGCTGTATAGTTATAGTCCAGGTTATTGCGATAGATCATCATGTCCGTCGCAACACCGTTGGCTTCCGAGATAGACTCGCATATGTCTGAACTGGTGGTAGTGTATGTCTTGCTCCTGCAGCTGGGCGAAACCGCCGCCGCCGCCGTTGTTGTCGCTGTCGTTGGCGGCGTCGTGGATGTATAGCTGTAGGTATACTTGGCCGGATCGGCGCCGTAGGACGAGATCAGAGACGAGAAAGCCCCCGGGCTGACTCTAACCCTACCATAATCCGATCTCAGCATGGCCGCGCCATACCTCAAGGCACAGTCTGAGCATGCCGTCTGGGTGCCACCGTACACGCTGGTAAGACAAAACCCGGATCTGTACACCCTGTCAATATCCAGGACATTGTTATGGTTTCTGCCCTTCTTGTACTTACGCGTCTTGAATCAGCTGACATTGTATGCCCACACGAGTCCGTCTGCAAGCGACATTCCGGACTGCTCCAGGGTGCTGTGTTGATATATGTTGTACTTGATGGTATCGCCACATTTGCCCGAACATTTGTTTGAAATTACTGGAGCGACTTGTAGCAATCTGTTGTGCAATACTAGTATTGGGTTCCTCCATCTCCCATCAGTGACATGTCATTAGGTGGTTTCCCTTCTATTCCGTATACATCCGAGGACATACATGGCGCCTTCATGCGGTGACATGCCATTAGATCCCTCTGAAGCCGTCACCAGGTTGTTGGCGTAGGTGATGTTCTGCACGAGCACTGCTCGACATGATACCGGTACAGTTGCTGGGATGACGCCAGGGAGATTCCAAAGTTTTATGGCCGCTGCTTGGTGAGGGCTAAAAAGAAGTAATATGCCAACGACGGCGACGACTGCAGCACTTGAAGATATTTCCTAAGCTTCTAAGTTAATAGCGTTTAAATGCAAGTAAAATGAATGGACGCCGAGAGAGTTAAGGCCGTTTACGAGTGAGAGAAATGTGTTTCAAGATGACTAGGTGTTCCAATTCTATAGAAGGTAGCTTTTAGTTCCTAGTTCTTACCCTTTTCTTTTTCCTCACAAGACATACCAGCACAGATTGGCTCGGGATATTCTCTCACACCCACCCGTCTGGTATGCTAGGATGCAAAGTTGTTATTCACATAAATGTATATTGCTATAGCTACGGATGGGCCCAAACACTTATTGGCCTGGGAGCGGCTAGGGAGGATCCTACTTGGCTTTTAAACTCACATGCCAGTACTAGCGGCGAAGGGAGTTCTAAATAGTGTCATCACTAGGGGCTTCTTTGTGCAATCTTGTGAGAAAATTGGATGCTTGCCATTCAGTTTATATTTTTATTCTCAATTGTTTCACTTGTGGCCATGACATGAGCTTGTTAGGTAAAATGAAATACCTGGAGGTCTGCGTAAGAACGTGTACCTGAATCTGCATGGCGCATAGCACGAAGCTGAAATAGTATTTCCACAGCTTCTGTGCAGGATCCAAAACGTGTTATAAATAGCTAGATGCATGGATGATGAAAATAATTGAGATGATTATTTTGCCTTTTAGAGGGTAGGGGGCAGTGCTTTTTTTAACTATGCATTCTTCAATCTATGCACATGCTTAAAATCAACTCATGAGTTAAGAGGAGAGTCCAACATCTTTGTCCAAGATGCGGTATATTGAATGCAGATATCTGATAAGAAATAATCACTTTCTTTCTGTAATGACAATTCGGCTGCTACAAATATCCAAGAAGCTGACCAACTTATATGTCATCACTAGAGACACTTAGTACTAGGGCCTATCTGGACACAACGATTATGAATGGTGAAAAGAACACTGCATCAATGAACATATAGACACAATTTGATATACATTGCACTAATGGATTATGGCAGTCAAGAGGTTCTAGGTGGACCTAGCTTTCTTATTTCGTAGATAGGATATTATACACCACCCGGTTTGGAGCTACCTAACAAGCCTATCAAATGGCTCACAGCGACCAAAAGTATTACTAGGACAGTCATCCAATTATTCCTGAATTCAACCTCTACAATTATTTCGTTCCATTCAATTTCGAAACCACTTTCTCGGCCAGCTCGACCAAAGAACCTGCTCTGGTGATGTCCAGCGTGCTCAGCTCAGCGCCGAGACGGCTTCGAATGAAACCCCTGAGTTCTACCGCCGAGAGCGAGTCTAGTCCATATGAAGCCAGTGGCTTGCCGACTTCGACCTCGGTTTCTACACGCAGTACCTTTACCGTTTGTGCAGCAAGCGCTGTTAAAGCTGCCTTCTCCAAGGCCTTCGTGCCCGCCGCCAAAATTCCTGAAGCCTTGAGAAGTGAGAAAGCTTGCACGGCGGCACTTGGAGCATCCAGAGTGCCTCCCTTTCCAAAATTCTGGGCATTGCCGTCCATTCTGGTGCCCGCCCCGCCGTACAAATAGCTGAATCGAGCGTCTTCTAGCAGTTCGTCGCCAGTGAGAGGATGCGCGATGCCGGTCACGAGCTGTGGGCTGTCACTGAGTGGTCGAGCTTGTTGTTGCAGAATCGATATGGTTAAGGTTGAACGCAGCGTCTGCTCATTTAACGGCGTCCACTGGTTGTCCCGACGGAAGCGGTCAGCAAGTAAGGGCGCAGAACTGCCATTGGGGCCGGTCCCGTTGGCAAGCGCAATGGCTTCCTGCTCGGCAATGTACCCGACGTCGTCAATTGCGCCAAGGTCAAGACTATGCGCAGGAAGGCCGAGAGACCGACGATAGGCAGAGAATGCGTCCAAAAAGGCGTTTGCTGCAGCGTATGTAGCTTGACCCTTGTTTCCCACAACACCCGAGATGCTCGAAAGAAGGGTGAAGAATTCTAAAGGCTGTGACGACAAGCTTGAATCTTCGAGAGAGGCTTGATGTAGGTTCCACGTGCCTGTAACTTTGGCGGCAATGGCAAGCTGATAGTCTTCAATCTTTATGTCCTCGAAGGGCTTGTCCTGTTTGCTTTGTCAAGATGGCTCGACTTTGGGGGGAGAATGGGAATCGTTTCTGCCTACCTTCAGAACCATGGCGCCCTGAATAATTCCCATAATCGGCCTCGGGTGCGCAGACTCGAACACGCGACGGACGAAAGCCACCTCGCAAACGTCACCCTTTTGTCCGCTGACTTCGCACATATATGATCGACAGTCACGAACAATTCTCTGTGACATCTCGTCATCAATACCGCTCCTACTGCATACGATAATGTGGCGCGCTCCATGTCTGGCCATATGGACGGCAAGACTACCGCAGAGCCCCTTGAGGCCTCCAACAATAAGATATGAGACATCTTGTCGAAGATTCAGGTTCCTCGGTAGAGTCTTGATGGGCACTTGCACATCCTCTGCTCCCTTGGCAACCACAATTTTGCCAACGTGTTGGCCACTGCGCATGAAGGACAACGCCGCCGGAACGTCCTCAAAGCCGTACGTTGTGACAGGCCGGATTGGACCAACATGGCCTGCTTCAATGAGCTCAAAGACCTCCTTCAAGAGCTCACCAGTCATTTCAGCCATCTTCAAGGTTTTGCCGAAGGAGAGATCCAGCGCCCGGAAAGAGCAGTTTCGACTGAATGGCTCCATAGACAGCGCGTTTCGCTCATAGATGTCTCTTTTACCGATTTCGATCATAGTGCCACCATCGGCCACAATTCGCCAGGAAGCATCCAGCAGGTCGCCCGTCAGGGAATTCAGGACAACATCTATACCTCGGCCTTGAGTCATTGCCATGATACCCCGTGCGAAAGAAGAGTCTCGAGACGAGAACATATGGTTGAAGGGAATCCCAAATCGGGTGTGCAGCAAATGGCGCTTTTCATCTGTACCGACAGTTACGAAGATATCGGCCTTCTTGTACTGTGCAAGTTGGATGGCAGCGAGTCCCACGCCGCCGGCAGCAGAATGGATCAATACTGTCTGCATACAGGATCAGTGATTCGTTGCTAATCAAAGACTTTGGGGAAGATGAATCCGGAAAGTTGAGTTCGTTAATGCCTCCAATGACTTACCTGGTGCTCCTGGAGATTGCCCAGGTGAAACAGAGACTTGAGGGCTGTTGTATACACGAGGGGGATTGTGGCGGCATCTTCAAAGCTCATCCATGACGGTATGACTTGCACACAGTGGGCAATTGACTGAACACGGTTGGCGTAGTTGCCCTGGCCTTGAACGACAACGCGGTCACCCGTGCGAAATTTCGATACGCCAGGACCGAGCCGCCGAACCACACCTGCACATTCGCACCCGATCATATGCTCGTCTTCGGGTATTATTCCCATCAAGCACGCCACATCCTTTAGCGAAGCCTATAGTCAGCATTCTTGTGCGGGAACCCCATTTCTTTCCCAGTGAAAAAGAGTCGTCAAGCTTACTTTAAAATTGACACCTACGGCCTCGACTTGCACCTCGACATAATTCTCTAGAAGCGGCTCTTCCTCACACTCGCACCAAGTGAGGTTCAGTGTTCCAACCCTGTCGCCGCGCAGACGCACCGTCCCCTTCGTACCCCAAAGCCCGGCCATAGCCGCTGTCGGTGAGCCACCCATGCTGCGGAATTCTTTGACTGGCGTATCAGGGACCAGACGCGGAATTGACAAAATCCCATTCTTTTCAAGACGGTACTCCGGCTCGACGAGGTGGCGCCCCCCTTGCATGAGCCACAGCACCTTTGATATGGCACGAGCGAGCGCCAGGGATGGCTCATTGCATGACGAGATATGCTTCGGGTCGACATCAAGGATGACACGACTCGCCTGGTCTTGGATAGAGAACTCGCGTCGTACGACCCGTAGCAGGCCGTGCGCCATGGCGCGCTCCGGATGTTCACTAGCGGCACCGGCCGTAAGCCAAAGGACGCTGCAGCCGCTTGCAAGAAGAGCCTGCAACGCAGACCACTGGGTTGGAGACGGCGCAGCTAGAACGGAAGTGAAAAGCTCGTCAAGGACCATGACAATCGTGTTCGGCGCCGGACGTGAGGTGGTGGCATTGGCATCCGAAACCGGAATCAAGGTGCATGTCAACTTCTTCTGGGAAGCCCCGAGAGACTGCGCGATGTCTTCGAAAGTGCTGGAAACTTGGCTCAGTAACTGTTCCTGGGCTTCTGGGCACTGGGAGGGCGAAGGAAGTTGAGGAATGATAACATTCAAGTGCTGGGACTTGTCACTCATGTGCGCTGTGCTCTTCATTGAAGCAGTCCCGCCATTCCGACGTCCATGCATCTTAATAAGGTAGTGGATGCCCAATTCATCCTCGATTGTCAACAGGTGGTGGAAATTTTTGATGTCGCTGGGGACGATGCATGGCTTCGACACGTCACTCCTGTTACCTGGCGGAATGATGTTGGGGTTCGCAGGCTGTCTGCTGTGAGATAGTGATGTCTTGGTGGTTTCTGAGTTGAGTTCCGAGCTTTTATTTGAAGACACATTGGGATCTTTTGCTAACTCGGAAGAACTTGAAGTGACAGAAGACGTGGACGGCCAAGTACCAATCTCGACGGCCGTTCCGGCTGGAACGACAAGAGCGAGTCCGTCTTCAGACGACAATAGCTCCAGCCTTTCCAACACGATCTGTAACTTAAAGCCTTCGTGGTCTTTGGGAACTCGCAATATGATCAGATCATATCCTGGTGGAGTGGTAGTAGCAAGACCCAGCTGTTGGTCGTTGAGGTTTGCCAGGTAGTAATTCGCACTCCGCCCCGCGTCTTGGTGCTTCCTCTTCAATGTGACTAGTTTGTCCGCGTTCGAGCAGGCAAGGTTGTATTGGATACACCCATCCCGCGCTGCCGTCACACTCTCCACAAGCCAGACACTCGATACATTATCATCGCTGGTGTCGTCGACGATGAGCTCGAGCACCTTTAGTTGTGGCTTCTTGTGCGCGATCAAGTCGATAACAGCTTGGAGCCCGCCCGGCTTGAGATCTGTCTCGGTCCTCTTAAATGGAGCAACTGGCCAAACACCCCCGCTCTTGCCTTGTGCCAAGAGTGTGATGTCTGGCCGCCATTTTACTGCGTCGAACACGTGCAGATCAGGCTTGGGAGGTGCGTCCAAAGTTGCGTAGTGGAGATTCTTGAGGCCCATCAGCGCTTTACCGCTTTCGGCGTCATACACAGAAACGTTTCCAAGCAGGCCCTTGGCCTGATCTAGCCGACCCCGTCCTGAGTAGTCAGATCGCGAAAGAACAAGGCCTTGGGACAGCCCGCGAGGAATAGGATTGATAAAGCACTCGTCGGCTATTCCTGGCACCTGGCTCTCCCTGACCAAACTGCGCTCGTTGCATGCATTCGGTGCCATCAAGGTATGTAGGCAGGCATCCCAAGTTGCCGGGTGGAGGGTGTATTTTGATTGGGGATTCCATTTTGAGGGCGATGGAGTCAGATCGACAAGGGCTCGACAAGAGCGTTCCCCGGATACGGCTTCAAGCTGCTTGACCTTCTGAAAAGATGTGCCAAAGTCCATACCTACCTCCCGTTGTGTCTTGTACCATTTCGAGAAGGTCTGAGGGAATCGCAGGGGTTGCCGCCTCTCGTCGTCCTCTGCCAGTCGCTCTTCGATCGTATCTTGAACACGAATCAACCCGTTGCAATGGTCCACGTTGACGTTGCCTCTCGACGTTGAGATTCGGAACTCATGCCAGCCAGAGTCCTCGCTACTACGCGGAAGTCTCGTAAGCGTGACATATATGTCGGTGGGTCCAGACTCTTCAAGCACCAAGGCTCGGGTGAATCGTACATTCCGGAGGCCATAGCCAAAGTCATTGACACCTAGATTAAGTTGCTGCTTCTGAGTCAAAGACTCATCCAACTCGAGCGTAGAATGCTTTTGGTACATAGCCTCGAGAGCCATAGCACAGAAAGCCGTTGCTGGCATCAGCACGTCGCCGTCCATCTTGTGATGACGCAACCATGGGACATCATTTAATTCAAGACGCTTATGCCAGCAAGGGCTCGTCCACGGCGTGCCCAGAATCTTGCTACCGAGTAGATCGTGCGTCACGAACCGTCGAAACCGCCAGTCCTTGCTTGCTGCGCTCTCGTACCAGTACTTTGCAGAGTGGTTCCAGCGGTAGCCCGGCAAGTCGACAATACACCGCGGTGCTCGCGTGTCTTCCTCGACTTCGGAATCACTCGCGTTGACCGCGCTGAGGTCAACAGGCACACCAGTGATGAAGAGCCACCCAGCTACGTCAAAAAGGGTCTTGATGGGCTCGGCACCGCGCGACCATGCGGGGTGATAGGAGACATCGCTGGAAAGTAATTTGCAAATCTGAGATATCGGGCCAGCCAGGGCGCCAGACGGACCGATCTCGACGAGAATATCGGGCGACTTGTTGTCAGGCTGCGAGAGCATTTCTTGAACGGCCTCATCGAATCGGACAGGCGACAATAGATTGAGTTTCCAATATTGGATGTCTGGCGGCGTCTTTGAGCCAATCATTGAAGCCGTGACCGAAGAAAACATTGAAACATCAGGGCAGCGACTGTTGTTGCGATTCCGCGCGTGGAAGCCATCCCGAGTTAAGAGATCCTCGTACTGTGAACTAATGAGGTCCATATACGGTGAATGATATGCCATATCCACCTTTAATATCCTGGCGAAATGACCGGCACCTTTGATGTCTTTTTCCAAGACTTCTAAATCGTCCACTGGCCCCGAGATTGTCACACTGTCTGGACTATTGAAGCAGGCGATGGAAGTGTGACCACCTTGGGCTTCTAAAAACGGGGTGACGGCATTCCGGCCCAGGCCAACAGCCAACATGCCGAGTTTCGGCATATCTCCTTTCTCAGAGGCCGCGACAATCGCCCGCCCACGAAAGAAAGCAGCCTTGATTGCATCTGCACGACTCAGAAGTCCCGCAGCGTGAGCCGCAGCAATCTCTCCAGACGAGTGTCCTACAACACTGCAGGGTGCAATACCCCATTTCTCGAGAACCGCCAGGAGACACAGCTGTAGCGCCGTCACAAGAGGCTGTGAGAACTCAGGCTGGCGGATACTGTCAGCGTCAAAAGGCTCCGTCAATTTCTCTAGAAGCGACCAGCGCGGGGGCTTGCATGCTGTCATTCCTTGTAGGACGTCGTCGAGCTCTTGAAGAACGGCCCTCGTAGTTGCCGGGAATACACGCAACAGGTCGCGTCCCATCTGTGGCCACTGGGCGCCTTGCCCGGTAAAGACGAAGCCTACACGGGGAGGTCGGGGAGGTTTTTTGGCTGTAGAGAAGTCCGCGACTCGACATTCGAACTCCTCGCTGCTCCCGCTGCCATCTCCGTCGTTGCTTCTCACGCTGACGAAGGCACGGTGCCAGAGGTGAGACCGGCGTTGCGCCAGGGTGTACGCCAAATCGCGGAGGGATAGCCTGACGCGAGGGTTGGCCAAGTGGGTGCACAGGGCAGCGATATTGTCTTTGAGAGAGACCGCGTCGTTTGCCGAGACGACAAGTGTATATGGTCTCTTGACAGAAGTGCTAGCACTTCTGGCATGACAGTTTGCCTCGGCAGGAACCCATTGGGTGACTTCGTCTACGGGACGGATCGATGCAACATGAGGCGGCTCCCCTTGTTTCGTAGCATCTGCCTCTTCCAGAATGCAGTGTGCATTTGCACCGCCGTAGCCAAAGGAATTCACGCTGGCGCGTTTTGGCTTGCCGTTGGTGTCAGGCCACGGCAGCATGTGGCGAAAGGGTCTCACTTTTGACCCAGAGAAGTCGACTAGCGGTTTAAACACAGCATGGTCAGAAACACCGCTAATATGAATAGAAGAACTCGTGTTGTGAACTTACTCCTGGGGTTGGGGTTGACAAATAATGGCGACCCCGGAATCATTCCATGCTCGAGAGACAGGATGGTCTTGATCAGACCCGACAATCCAGCCGCTGGCTCGGCGTGGCCTACATTTGCTTTAATCTAGGAATAAATGTTGTCAGCCCCCAGGAGACTCCGCAATAGAACATTTATAGCAAGTGAACGTGCCAGGGGATGACTGACCGATCCGATGAGGAGGGGCTTGACGGTGTCCCTCGTAGGGGCAAAAGTGTCTCCAATGCCGGCGACTTCCTCGGCATCGCCTCGCTGTGTCCCCGTCCCGTGACATTCTAAATACTGCGTGTCGTTGAGATCTGAAATCCCGGCGTTTGCGTATGCTTTGCGAATCGCTGCAGCCTGAGCGTCTGAGCTCGGACTCCCGATCCCATTCGTTCGGCCATTGCTATGTAGAAGGATTAGCATAGAAAAGAGGGGAAGGGAAAATATCAGCACTGACCTGTTGACGGCTACGCCTCGTATGACTGCCCTGATTGGATCACGGTCTCGTAGTGCTGTCTCCAATCTTTTTACAATCAAGCAGCTCACCGCCTCGGCTTTAACGTAACCATCGGCAGCTGCGTCGAAGGTGTGGCATAGGCCTGTAGGGGAATGTGCCTCTCCAACAAATCCGCTGTCGATAACGTGCTCGGGACTGAGATACAAGTTACTTGTAGCAACGATGGCGGTGTCGACTTCTCCTGATCGTAGGGTCCGGCACGCCATATCGAGGGCAACCAGGCTTCCCGAGCAGGCTGTATCTATTGTAACGCTGGGACCCTTGAGATTGAAAAACCAACTTATACGATTGGCCAAAATCGCCCGTCCCACACCAAGATCCGTCATATTTGGGCGCTCCTCGGGGTTCCGCTGTTGAATATCTAGGTAGTCGACGGCGAAGGAAGAAACAAAACACGCAGTAGAAGTGCCATTGACTTTCTCCATGGGTAGACCCGCGCTTTCCAATCCTTCATACACAATCTCAAGCATCTGACGCTGGTTGGGATCTGTCGCAATAGCTTCGGTGCCCGCGACCTCAAAGAAGGAGGCATCAAAGGCCGCCAGGTCTACATCTTGCTCCGAGAGAAACATGCCGCCCTTGGGCCGCATTGTGCCTGGTTTGTGAGAGCCATCCCAGTGGCCTGCGAAGTTGAAACGTGAGGGCGGTACCTCATTGGAAGCAACCTTGCCCTCTTCCAGAAAGTCCCACAGTTTCGCAGGCGAGGAATTGCCGCCGGGCAGACGGCATGCCAGGCCGACCACTGCAAGGGGCTTCTGGCCGTCTGCCATGGAGGTCAAGGGAGTCTTCTGTTGCAAGTGAAAAACAATGAAATAGGGGCGTATAATTCTGGATGATGTTGTTCCAAGAATGGCGCACCCAACAACTTCATACATGTATATATGATTGTGGGGTGGGTAATTTTGCCGCGTGTACATTCTGTGCAATCAGGCACAGGGGATTGCCCTGAGATAATAGTAACCTTGATAATCATCGGGCTGCCGAGCGAGTATTCCTGCTGACAGCATGTCAGCAACCCATCAACAGCATAAGTTGCATAAGAAGACCTATGACGCGGCGCATGCTTGATTTGCACCGCAATTAAGACAGAAGTAGCCTAATCGCCCGGGTCAATCAGAGACTCACCCCGCCTTGACTGTAGAGCGTGCCTTGTCTATCGTCCCCCTTTTCTAACTATCATGGAGTCTCTGCACACAGATCGGGACTACGACGAGGTAGAATGCAAGACCATCGACGGCACTGTCATCCGGGGATGGCTCTTCCCCGTTCCCGGCCCAGCTCCGGCCATTGTCATGTCACACGGAGTAAGAGCATCTCCATCTTGTCCACTGATATCTCACAACCCCACTCACCAAATCTGGCTGGATGTCTAGTTCAACTGTGTCAAAGAAATGTCGTTACCTGACATAGCGAGGTGGTTTCAACGCCACGGCTACAATGTACTTCTCTACGACGCTCGGAGTATTGGAGCTAGTGATGGGACACCGCGGAATATGCCCGATGTCTTGCAAATGGCCGAGGATGTTTCGGGTGCGTTACCCGAGGCCCACATCCGTCACTCATGGGACTAACGAGCAACCGGAATTCAATGGTTGATAGATATTCTAACCTTTATTTCGACACTCCCAACCGTCGATCCCTATCGGCTGCTCCTGTTTGGGATGTCTTTCGGTGCTACCGTGAGCGGTTGCGCGGCGGCTGTCGACCGCCGAGCCCGCGCTCTTCTCATGGTATGCCCTCTCTTCAGCTTCATCCGCCCGGATCGGCGGCGTGCGACATTTGATCAGGTTGTCAAAGATCGCGTCTCCCAACTGCGTGGTAATGATCCCTTATCTCTCCCCCCTTTTAATAGCAGAGGTGAAAACATCGCTGGTTTTGGCGGCGCGGGGGGACCTGGGGGTCTAGAAGCTTACAACCTCATGCGTGCGGCGGCTGAGCTGGGCCATCCGGGCTTCCGGGATCGCATCACAATGCAGGCATTCTATAAACTGGCCATGGCGCGTCCGATGGAGCTTCTCGAGATGATTGACCCCAGCATGTCCGTCATGATGGTGGTGCCAGAGATGGACGACATATCCAACCCGGAAGAACAGTGCTTGGCTTTTACGAAGGTGAAACCGTCCAAAAAGCGACTGCATATTGCGTCAGGGAAAAGACATCTGTCCATCTTGACTGGTGAAGGTTCAGAGGAATTACTGGATGCCATGCACGGCTTCTTTCAGGAAGCGCTATCCGCGGACGAGCCGGCGAACTAGATAGTGAACATTTCATAGACAACTGCCATCTTGAGAGCGTGGACTGTTACAGTCTAATCCTATGCGACATCGTTAGATATAATTTCCAGGTTTCCAGATCACATCCCAGATCATTGCGGAATGTGTCATTCAGATCTCAATCTGGCACAGAGGTACCGAGGTTGTCGGGCAGCTTGACTCTTCAGCAATCTGGTCATTGACGCTTAATCAGGACATCGATCGACTGAGCTTCCATATTCTATGACAGCTGGACCGAGAATGCCTTCCTTGCATGGAGGACAATGCCTTATCGAGAGTCTGTGGTCATGTAAAAGCCCCGTCAGCATGCATAACGCTTATCCGTCAGCGTATCCATCAGTGTGCATGTATGACGGTAAAAAGGCGCTAGCTGGTATTAGAGGCATGCGTTTTAATTCGCACGGTTAACGTTATCAGCGCCGCGCTGACATGTCATATTTTTCCAGACCATTGCATATTGGCTTACCCTAAACGATGATACATGTTGACATTTCATGCTGTCAGCTTACTCTCCTCCAATCGGCCCTCAAACTGTGGGCAGTTGGTAGCCTTGCGAGTTACATTGCACGCCAGATTGCCCAGTTTTTGGCCCCACAGCAGTACAGCCCCAGCTGAACGGCCCCGGGGAGGCCAGCCGCCCTCCTTTGCCCCCCACAATGCCCTTGATTCGGGTCGATCTCCGACGTCAGGCTAGAGACAAGGATGACCGCAGTGGGGCACGTGCCCCATGATCCCAGAATACGACCAATGGGGCATGGCAGGGTGACCGTCGGTTGATATTTCCTTTTTCCACTCAACATTACCAAGACACCACGCCTTGCGAGACCGATCCTGCCACGCGAAACAGTAAGCAGGATGCAGGGAGGCAGAGATTACATTTGAGCCAGTGGTACTTTCCAGATCCCTTCAGCAGATCGGACATCAATGACCACATCTTGCCCACCCACCTTCACTGCCCCGTCAGAAGCAAACACTTCTTATGTTCGCTCTGTGTATTACGTCTCATTCTCCCATCCGAGCCTGACACGATCCAAGCAGAAGCACTATCATTGCAATTGCACTCATGCTCCGTGACGCACTCCCGCGTAAGGGCCGTGATGTTGTTTTCCGGCATCATGAACACACCTGAGTCCACCGTGGAGCACTGTGCCTCTCAAAGAGGTCGCAGCAAATGTTGTAGCTAGGTTGTGCCGTTTGGATGCAGAATGCTGCAACGTGACACTCCTGCATTGTTGGTTTGTCCAATGCGTTGTGAAGTTTAGCCGCCAAACAACTTGGACAGGCTTGCTTACATGCAACCTTACAGGTTTTCTAATCTTAGATATTCCTACCTGATCCCAAAGAGACCTCAAAGCCAATAGGACCCCAGTGTGGCAAATGCTGAGTGGTTTTTAGGTGGGGAGAGGCTGCAAGTGCTGGCTGCGCCGTGTGCCATTACTACCTTCTGCAGCCACCGGACCGACAATCTGCTTTGAAAGCTCGGAGGCTCGACATCCACTACTTGAAAGCCTGTCTGATTGCATGCCCAGGTGATATAACATTCGTTCTTCTTTTTTACATTATCCAAGCGATTTCCCAGCTCCATTAATCCTGCACTACTTCCAATCAATCTCATGGTCCCTAGTCTGGTGCACAAACACAAGACCATCCTTTATTGATTGCTGAACGACGCTGCCACTACAATGGCCGATCCAAGTGAAGACCTTTTGTCTGCCCATGCATTTCTTGTGAGTTTGCGTGAGCATCTGGTCTAAGAAGGATGACCTATTACTGACGGCACTGTTTTGTCAGGTTTTCATTTGGGTTTCAGTTGGTATCTTAACTGTTGCCTTCACCATTCGTGCATATGTTCGCTATGTCTGTTTTGGGCGACTGCTACTTGAAGACTGGCTTGTGGCTGCCTCGCTCGCCCTGTACATCCCGTGTGCGGTTCTGACACAGCTATACTTGCACAGAATGTACAACATGGCCCATGCTATGACAGGGAAGTATGTGCCCGGCCCAACTTTTGTGACCGATATGATCACTCCACTTCGCCTGGCCGGAGTGAACTCAATCCTCATCACTCTTGGGCTATGGCTGATCAAAGCGTCCTTCTTGATTTTATTCTACCGATTAGGGTACAGAATACCCAGGTATCTGTACGCTTGGTGGGCATGCACTATTATCATCTCAGCATGTGGCATCGTGAGCATCGCCTTGAATCAATACAGCTGCATGTTTGAGGACATAGACACCATCTTCGCCACATGCACACAGGCGTCAACGTTGAACCAGGTCTTCATCAAAGAGATCACGGCTAGCGTCATGGACATTGTCTCAGATTTGCTGCTCATTGTCTTTCCGATTTGGATTTTGGCGGGAACCACACTGTCACTCCGGCAAAAGATTGTCTTCTCGGCCGTCTTCTGCCTGGTCGGTCTCACCATTGCAGTCACCATCGTCAGAGGATACTTCTCCAAGGTTATTCATGAGACCCCCACCTATGGATTGCAACAAACAAACATCAACTGGCCATTTTGGTTCGCCGTTGAGTACACCACATGTAAGTGTCTCACGCATTCAGCTTCAGTCCGATTCCTTGTGCCCACCCCCCCCCCCCCATCAAGTCTGTAGCTAGAAAGCTGATGAGATTGTCGTTATTAGCTTTCCTTGTTGCCTGCGCCATCTCATTCCGCTCCCTTTTTGTGCAGCAACGCAATAAAAGGAGCGCGGCAGCGGAGAGGGACCACCATCGCCAATCACCTCCTACTTCTGCCCAGAAGGGTCACTCAAAGAATGCCTTACGTCGGCTGCACATGAAGTTTCTCTCCACAGCACACCTTCTCGAGGGGACTGCATATGATCACGAGACTTGGCATCTTCCAGAGCCTGTTTCAGGAACCATGACAGTGGATTTCTCAAAGGACGAAGGCTGGCGGCCTGGTGGGGAGGACGGGGAATCAATGAAGGCACTGAGACCACCTGTACATAGGTACACAACGGAAGTCAGTGTGGTATAAGGGTGATCAGAGGTTACTTTAGAACTGACTACTCTCATGGCTGTGTCGTACATATTTTTGAAGTCCCACATTGAAGGTGGGACCCTACTCAGGTCAAACACCTGCCAATATACACGATACAATTCAGCAAAGTCACGGTTAGACTGGACTTTCAATTGAGCTAGCCTGTGGGTGCGTTCACGTACCAACTAGGCGTTCAGATACCAACTGACCGCCAGAGGGCCAGAAGGCAAGAAGGCCATAAGGCCAGAAGTAGCACCAGAAGGCCAGAAGTAGCACCAGAAGGCCAGAAGGAGCATGGACTTCACCATCACCTTCTAGTCTTCTGGCCTTTCAGCGTTCAGTTAGCATCTCAATGCTCAGTTGCTACCTGGATGCATGCAGGCCAGAAGGCCAAGAAGGGGTGCCAGAAGGCGAAGGCGAAGGGGCGCCAGAAGGGGCTTGTACCTGAAGTATTGAAAATTTGGAGAATCCTGGTCAGGTACATAGTTTTATATGGGCCCTATACGTAAAAATTGGTACTGGGTGGGGGCACAAAAATGCTAGGTGCGTAGAGGTCAAAGCTGGGTGCGTGGACGCTGGCTCGATTACATGTAGTGCACTATGAACCAACAGTTGCTTTCACGGGGGGTGACGTTTCTTCAGAGCCTCAAGTGCTGCTACCATGCAACCTGACATCGTACCAAAAGGTGAGCAGCACACCCCTCAACTTTTGTGTTACTCCTTGGTTTAGCACATGTTCCCCCGCCTTGGCCGTGAATGTACTCCTGTGTCGTAGTTGGGACCGGTGTGCAAAAACTTGGCCGGTGTTCCCATTTTACCCCTGCCGTCATGCAATACCACAGTACCTAGGTAGCCCGGTCCACGACGCCAAGACACCACAGACAGAGGCCCAAGTCTGAAAGGATCGACTGGCTGCACATCGAAATAAATAGAGGGTCTCACCTGCAGTAGTCCGTAGGCATGCAGCTACTGATCAAATCTAGTGAAGTGCCCGGATCTAACCGTGTCGGCAAGCCGGCAAGCCGGCAGGCCGGCTCCGTCACAGCCTGGAACGGAGTCGCCACCAACGGGCACAAAAACACGAAGCAGTCCGGTCCGCGGCTGTTGGTACTACGCGGCTGTTGGCGCTACAGAACCACAGGGTGCTACGGCTCACGGCTTGACACCTACTTTCAGTAAGACTGAGTTGGGACGACCCGGGCAGCGCCGCAGGGCTGCAGGGTCCACTGATGGCATGATGCACGCCCCCCCTCCTCAAGATCCGGTGCTACAAGCACTTGGTCCATCATTGTGTTTCTCTGTATACGTCCCGGAATTCTTCGCGCCAGCAGTAACTGACACAGCAAGATCTTATTCTCTGTTGACGATGGAGAGTTTGTCCGAGACGTCTGACCAGCCCACGGTTAACTCGGCAGCAGATGGGCATCAAGATAATCAGACGGCCGATCCCGTCACCCGACGTCGAGAGCAGAACCGATTGGCACAGCGCCGGTTCCGTTGTACGTTGCTTCAGAGAAACTTAGAATCGGTCATTTACATATGATTCTGCCCCGTGACGAGAACCACCTTTTAGACTCAGCTAACCAAATTCCACGATCCAGGGAAGCAATCCCAGCAAAAGTCAGCTCAACGGCTGAAGGTGGGACAAAGGAGGATCTACCGTGACTCGCAGACAAGCGGTGTCCACACAGGGGCCGGGCAGGATCAGCAGCAAGCAGCGCCGTCTCCGTCCAGCCCTCATGATATGCTGATGGCACCCGCTGCTTTCTCGCCATCCTTCAGCGGTCATTCTGGTCAGGGCAGCATGACGCCTCCCCCCTGCACATTGTGGGAGGGCCTGCTGGCGGACCAAACAGCCTTGGTTCTGTCGTCCTCGGAAGGCTTCTGCCCACTGTCACCTTTAGCATCCGAGTCTCAAGGCCGTTCCGGGTTAGAAAAAGTATCGCTCGGAAGCGAAGAGCGTGCTGAGAACAACGCATTCGTTGTCACGAGCCCACAACTAGATGTTCTTGCAGGGATTGATCTGGTGCAGCAATGGCCCAGCCCAAGCGGCTTGGAAAGGCTAGACTTTCAGCACCCGACACTTTCTACGACGCCTGCGAGCAGCCCCAAGAACGGGGTAGATACATCCTCGACACAAACACGGCCCCGGCTATCACCACACCCAGTCCCTGCGAGAACAAACGAACGGCACCCGACACTTTCTACGACGCCTGCGAGCAGCCCCAAGACCGGGGCAGATACATCCTCGACGCAAACACGGCCCCGGCTATCACCACACCAAGTCCCTGCGAGAACAAACGAGCGTGGCAGCGGAGTCTCGGATCCGAGTCGTGGATGGCTTGGCCCGCTCCACCTGGCGGCCGCCAAGGGTCACGACCGCATCATACGCGTTCTCTTGAGGCGGCAGTCCCCGGACTGCCAAATTAATGGTCCGGACAGCGACGGTATGACGGCACTCATGCACGCTGTCAAAGGCGGCTTCGACGATGCGGCACTGTCGTTGCTCGACGCGGGGGCCGTCGTAGACCAGATGGACAACCAAGGCCGCACGGCGCTTCATTGGGCCGTCTTGAAGCGCCGCGAGACGCTTCTCAGACAGCTGCTCCAGCATGGAACTATCGCAGGGGCAGACCTGAATGTGTATAATAATGAGGGACAGACTCCGCTGCACAGTGCCATAGACGGGGGCTTTGAGCTAGGCGTGCAAATGCTATTAGAATTTGGCGGAGATTTGAAATGTAAGACACAGAAAATTTGAATGCTCAATTTAATATCCCGACTCGATTTATTGTATGAATTGCAGAACAGTAAGACTGATAGCACATCTGTGCAGTCCGAAACCGAGTCTCTCGCGCGCCAGCGATGAGTCGTCAATTTACATTGAAATGAGCTTGACATAGTCAACATACCTTTGCAAAGTATTGAGCGCTGCTTCACGAACTGGATCAAATCTATTAATGATCAACAAATTTTCTTATAACCTTTCTTTTCATCTATTTATTTCAGGGGTGGCGGTGTTGTTTCAGTAGCGTGCGTGATAATCGCAGCGTTCAGGCGCGGATTACTTTCCCGCCCGCTTATAGGCTGCTCATCACCCTCTTGTGCAATGCTTACATGAGCTTGGGTTAGGAAACCAACCAACCTCCACTCGGGTCCTCAAGAGCAGGTTCAACGCTAGCCGCCGAGGTTGGTTTCTACCTTATTTTGTACTGGTGCACAGCTTGCTTGTCGGCTCTCCGCCCTAACCACATCAGACTCCTCTCCTCATTGCTTGCACTCATCTGCAAAATCCATCAACAGAAACCATGGCGCCCCCAGCCATTCAGAAGAAGACTGTCCTGATCACAGGCTGCAGCACCGGCAGTATTGGCTGGGCGCTGACGAAGACCTTCCTCGAACATGATTTTCACGTCTTCGCGGGGGTGCGCAGTCGCTCCAAAGCCAAGGACCTTGCGGAACTTAGCAACGTGGATCTCGTTGAGCTTGATGTGACTGTGTCTCAGACTATCTCGCAGTGCAAGGAGTTCATTGCAGAGCGCACTGACGGGAAGCTTGATGTCCTTGTGAGTAGTTTTGTTCCACATCTATACCTCGCACCTCAAACGAGACTCTCTCCCACCATTATAATTCTCAGTTCGCTTCTAATGATCTCCAGATCAACTGCGCCGGGGTCGAGGGCGTCCGTCCGCTCCTAGACGTGGATATGGAATGGGCAAAGCAGGTCTACGACGTAAACGTCTGGGGCCCTCTCGCCGTTACTCAGACTTTCGCACCCCTCGTAATCAAGTCCAAAGGCATTATTGCCAACCTGAGCTCTATCGGCTCCAAGATCCCGATGTGCTGGGCCGGTAATTTCCTTCCAACCCAGCTCCCAAACTCTCGGAAGAAAGTATGACCTGACCCAATGACCAGGTATCTATTCGAGCTCTAAGGCAGCAATTGCCCAAATGTCGGATACATTGCGGATCGAGATGGAACCGTTGGGTGTGCGTGTCGTCACCGTGATGGTCGGGTCCGCCAGCACAACCATTTTCGATAAGCCTGGCGGCCAGCTCCACCTGCCTGAGACTTCGTACTACCGACGCGACGGCATTGAGGAGATGGCGAATAAGCAGCGAGCCGAGCACAAGAACTCATGCATGTCCGTCGATGAGCTCGCTCCACAGCTGGTCAAGGGCATTCTCACGGGGACCCAGAATCCTGTCTGGGCTGGGACATTTGCTTCTGCGGTGCGTTGGGGAACTTGGTTATACCCTAGATGGTTCATGGATTGGTCTTGTAACGTGGGTAGGGGCCTAGAGAAGGTAAAGGCTGGCGCCTGAGGTAATTGAAGACCGCGGGCGTGAATCTTGAAGGACTCTGTTACGGTGGGATAGGCCGGAGTGCAGGGGAGAGCTCCGAGTGTTGTCAATCATGCGATGTACATAGACCTAGAGAATCAGATAGCTTCTCATGATATGAGGTAGTGTCAACTTCGCCGCTTCCCTGCAATCTTGTCTGCCGAGCTGACTTGATGTAGGCAGTTAAGAGAAGATAACGGTTTAATCAAATGTCAATCCACTTCGATTGTACGTAAGCGAGGTTAAGGGGAAGAAAAACATACATCTTGTCGACATCCTGTGAGCCAGCCACACCTCAAATACCTGAGCCAAACCTGCACAACTTCCTGCTATATCACGGGTGGGGATTTGTAAAATCTGCCACTGTTTGGACTATGTCTGGACCCAGCAACATGAATGAGTGTATAAATATTTATCACCGAGTTGCTGTATTATCAGCCTCAATGTATGACAGACTGCTGTTTCCACCTGCCTCACAGGAATCAGAAATGTATGGCCTTAAGGCTTGCAAAGTCTCCCGTCAGCTGCAACGACCCAAGTGATATCGCTCCCAACAGCAGCCTCGGCCCATAACAGGCCTTGTGGATCATACTTGTTTTTGATGGCCTGCAAGCGCGCATAATTACTTCCAAAGTAGTCCTCCTTCCAGTTGGCATTGTCGAACGTGGCCTCGTTCATGTAGGTACCTCCACCAGGCGTCAAGGCGCGCAGCTGGTCCTGCTTCTCATTCAGCCAGGCCTGGCCAGTGCTAAGGACATCCCAATCGGCGTCAGCAGCATGTGTATAACCAAAGTTAAGCTGAAAAAGGGCATCCCGCCACGCCGGAAGCACAGCATTTGCACCAGGAGCCGCCGCGGGTCCAACTCGCGCCTGAGTCACATTCACTGCGAGACCATTTATTCCAATCCCACTGAGTCCAGGGCTATTTTCGATCATGTCTCGAAACACGGCAACGACAGCTGTGGCATTGTCCTGTACCGCAGCTCTGGAAATCAGGCGACCACCGACGCCATTGTGGGTGCTATATTGGAGGGGCGCAGCCCATGTGTCAAACCAATCAGCATAATTATCGGAGAGAGCAGCCGAGTCGTTGATGAGTGTGACGTTAAGAGCGTTCAGCTCCGCCTTCAAGGGCATAAGCGGCGCCGTGGCGTCGTCGGCTGACTTTGCGTCAGGCCGCAATGTGAAGGCGAGGTAGAAGGCAGCAGCTGTGATGGTGAAGCCTGACATGTAGCCTTCGATGGTGTCGAGAACAAGAAGGTGGCGGATAAATGCCGATATAGCTTCCCAATAGATGTCGTCGTTCTCGTTAACAAGCACGAAGCCTGCCCCGGCGACAGGTCCATCTGAGTATGCTTTCACAGTCACGGACAGCACCACTGCATAGTTGCCAGGTCCGCCACCCCGCATAGCCCAAAACAAGTCAGAATTTTGATCAGGAGAAGCAATCGTATGCTGACCATCCGCCATGACTACTTCCCACTCTAGGACTTGGTCAGCGCCAAGTCCATATTTGGCAGCAAGAGGGCCGTGACCACCACCTTGGGTGAAGCCCCCGACGATTCCCACAGTGGGGCACGAGCCGCCCAAGACTTGGAGCCCGTTCTCGCTAGCAACACGTTGAACATCAGAATATTCAACTCCTGCTCCGAGTCTCGCTGCCGGGCCTGTGTAGCTGGAGCTCGTGTAGTCGAGGAAGGAGATATCTTTGAGGTTATGAGTCCACAGCGCCAAAGACCCTCTACCGCCAGATCTTCCGAGGTAATCGTGGCCCGTATTTTTAATGGTAAGTCGAATATTGTTGTCCTGGGCGAACCTGACTCCCGCAGCAGCATCCTGTGCATTTTCAACTTGGATAGCATAGTATGCCAGATTGCCGAGCGTGCATGTGCCATTTGGGCCGAAGAATGGGTTGCATGAGTTGTTCAGCCAATACGGAGCCATGATATTTACGGGGTCCACGATGCTGATTTAACATTTAGTTTGAGCCTTTTTTTGCGAAAAGAAGATGGCATCAAGACTTACTAGGGGTCTACATCAGTCCATTCACTCTTGATGGTGGCACAAACGTCGGAATTCAGGCTCGCCTGAAAGCAAGGCCGTCCTAGGGGCGTGCCGGGGAGTAGCCGGCCTCCAACCGTGGTGTTGAGCTGTGCCCATGTAGTCTCACTTGGCCACTGATCGTCGCCTGGCAGGTGTCGACATTGTGACGCCGTGTTTGAACGAGCCTCGTGGGTCGCCGTCGCAATTGCTGTGTCACCAAAAAGTGCCATCAAGATGGCAGCGCTTCGTTTGAGAACCATGGCCAAAAGTGAACTTCCGCAATGATTCGACTGAAAAGACACTAATTGGAAGAGTTGACAGATTTGTGTCTGTCGATCCTGAGGTTTGTGTGGACAGAGTCGACGCAGTCCCGTTGTCAGGACACCCCATCGTGCATGCTCGGAATACCTATATTCATCTTGTGTCCTATTGTTTACTGTCAATCAGGATCAAATTAGCCCTCCACCAGAATCCGTCGAAAACCCCGTAACTGTAATTTTGGAGGATTCCTTGCCCCACTTCCAAATCATTGCGGATGTCCTAGCGCCATGAAAATGACTGAGGTCAGCATCCATCCAACTGCTGATGCAAGTTCGTAAGCCCCGCTAGCGTCATGATTACTGTCAGCAAATATATCCACAGGGCTCTTCAATATTCGCATTCAACAATTTGCCTTTTTCGCAGTAGGGAGTTAGACACTTTGCTAAGTGTCATTCAATTACCTGGATACCTTACACGCCCTTCCTCCCTGCAGTCCGAGTCTGAGTCCCTAGTCCAAGCATTTACGGCAGTCAATCGAGCAATCTCGAGTTTCTATCTATTAGGCACACATCGCCGTGGATGTAGACATGTCGTTTGTGCAACGCATGCCCTTGCGCGAACTCTTGTTCCCTCTTGTCAAGAGCTTAGCCGAAAGGCCAGTCCTGGTTGTTGCTTCTGCGATACTGGGCTATGTCGTCTCTATCATCATATATCGACGTAATGATACATCTGCCCCTAAGTTGTCTCATAGCGATGGATGTAAAGATATTGACAGTTGCGGTGTTTTCCGCGGGTAGTATGGTTTGATGCATTGTCCGGCGTTCCGGGACCGCGATTATGTGGTGAGCTTGGAGTTCTCAGTGGCTTCTGTTTCTAAAAAGAAGTCAAAGAAGTCCGTGAGGGAGCACGATGATGACCCGTTTACGTAGCAATATCCACGTTTCCCGAATTTTACTACGACGTAATGCTCGGCGGTCAATATTTCCGGGCGATTAAAGAAATGCATGAGCAATATGGTATGTGAACTCTGTAGTCCATGAAGTCGGAGCTCTAGGGCTTGCGTGGTAGTACATAAAAGACTAAAATTTTGACAAATGGAATAATAACTAACGACAAAAACTTTTCCTTGTTATAGGGCCCATTGTGAGGATCAACCCAAATGAGGTGCACTGTAATGACCCTGACTTCCTGGAGGTTCTGAACCCCCTGGGAGGAAGGAGGACAAACAAACCGATATCTACCGGAAAACGAACAGGAAGTGAGTGAAACACATTCAAGCCAATGTAAAGGTCTGAAATTGGCCTTTAAATGTCTTACCTCTGATGACCAGCGCCTGACTCCATGGTGACCACCGTGGATCACGATATTCACCGCCGTCGCCGCAACGCCGTCAGTGCCTTCTTCTCGAACAAAAGCATCCGTAGTATGGAGCCCGTCTTGCAAAAGTACCTTGCGCAGTTTTGCAGGCGCTTGAGTGAGCAGAGACCTGACAAACCGGTCGAGTTGCACAACATGTTTCGAGCCCTTACCAACGATTTCATAACAACATACGCTTTCGGACAGTCGGTTGGCCTATTGAACGAGGTTGATTTTGGACGTTCTTACTACGAGTCAAGCGATGTCTTTTTCCGTATGTCACATCTATTTGGGCACTTTTTCTGGCTAGCCGATTTCGTGTACAGCCTGCCACTTTGGGTGGCTCCGAAGATATTCCCCTCACTCGCGGAACTGGCCAAAAAGCAACAACAGTGGATGGATATGGTATTTGAGATAAGAGATTCTCCTAATATGTCCAAGGCCAAAGGAACCATATTTGAAGGTATCCTTAATTGCGGGCTGCCTGACGAAGACCTGGCCGGTAAACGTCTACTGGCCGAAGCCCAACTCATTGTTTTCGCAGGGGAGGGCACAACAGGTAGGAGTTCTTTTCGATATTTTAACAGAACGTGCCATCAATTCGTTAATTCTTTATTCCAGCATATACACTCAACGCAGCGACTTACGAACTTCTCGCCCACCCCGAAGTGCTCCAGGAGCTTCAAAAAGAATTGTCTGAAGCTATCCCTGATGCAAATAAGGTTCCATCATTTTCGCAGGTTGAGACGCTCCCATTTCTCAGCGCTGTGATCCAAGAGACAGTGCGGCTGCACCCAGGTGTCATGGCTCGCCAGGCGCGTATTTCACCTGACGTGCCCGTCACGTATAAAACCAAGAGCGGCTGGGATTATATAATTCCTCCTGGAACAGTCATGAGCATGTCCCCGTACACGACACATTTGAAAGAGGACCTGTTCCCGGATCCATACGAATTCCGACCAAGGAGGTGGATAGATGAGCCCAGGCTCGACAAAGGCTTTCACGGATTCGCTCGGGGTTCAAGAAATTGTGTAGGGTAAGTGACAACCTCCAAAATAAAGCGACTCTGCTTTTTGTTTTCCCTATTCTTTTGCTGACGATTTCATGTGCCGTGCGTTGCAGCATGAATCTCGCGCGCAGGGAAATGGCGCTTGTCTTGGCCACATTGTTCCGCAAATACGACTTGTTTAGCGGAGAGGAAGGACTCCGGCGGTCTTTGGAACTGTACGACACGCAACGCGCTAGGGATATTGATCCCAACTCGGACTACATAATTCCCGCACCAGCCAAGGGAAGCAAAGGACTACGGGTAGTTGTTAGGAATTGACGGGTCAGACTGTGACCAAACATTTCAGATTATCTGGCCATCGAAATCGAATATTGATACAATTAGCCGAAAGTCGGTATCATGCACTGGGACTATTTTGAGCCCCAGCTTCCCCTTCACGTCGAACTCGGGCCGAGTTTAAATCCGCCCCGGCATAGCTTTTGAAAGACCTCCCCTGGGTCATACCTTTGGGCAATTTCCCTCAACTTCTTCACATTCTCAGCACCATAGGTTCCAAGAGGATCCTGAGTCTCGTCGGCATAGTTGAGGTACTCCCAGCTTAGGTTCAGGTCGTCATCGGTAGATCGAGCAAATTCCCTCAAGTTGATGAAGAAGTCCTTGCATTTTGGGTGTGCTGCTGCTTTTTGCTGAGCGGTACGTACCATAACCGTCGTCATTACGAGGAGACCGTCCTCATTTTGATTTGAGAGCCCCATTGGGTGATCACCGTGCCTGGTAACTGTCTTTGGAAGTGGCTGCAATAGACAGAGTGAGACGAAGTCACCATCCGGCACGATAGATGTCTTGAGCGTATTCACCAGGTCCTGGTGCAGAGAGGCCGCTTTCGAGACGATACGAGCGTCGTTTTTGAACGTAGCGGTAAACCAGACATTGCTATTTCTTGAGAATTAATCCACTGGCCAATGATGGTAAAGAGGTCCAGACTTACTGGTACCCATCCGGCATAGATCTGTTCCCCGAAGCTTGAGCAAAGGAGTATCTCGCAAAGAACTGGTGGGTCGATGGTAGTTGTAGCCATTTGGAGTATGCAGGCGCGTTCTCCACTCCAGCGGTTTGAACCAAGTATGCTCGGAGGGCGACCTGTCTCGACTCTGGTCGGTACTCAACCATGCACATCAAGCTGCTGTCCGGGTCCTCGTGCACACGGCTCGTGAAATCGACTAGCGCCTCAGCAGCCTGGGGAATAGTCTCTGGCGACATCATGGTGAGGCCGCCCCAGACGGGTCGGCTCTTCACTGCTTGCATGCGAATATTGGTCACGACGCCGAAGTTGTTTCCGCCACCTTTCAAGGCCCAGAACAGATCGGCATTGGTGTTCTTTGATGCTTGGACGATGCGACCGTCGGCGAGCACTACCTCGAAGGCGGACACGTTGTCGCATGCAAATCCGCGAGTGCCCGAAAGGAACGAAATGCCTCCCCCGAGCAATAATCCCCCGACACCAACCGAGCCCTCCCGCCCCCCGGCAACCATCAGCCCGTGCTTATCCAGTGCGGAATACACGTCCCGCCAGCGGGCACCGGGCCCGATGTCGACCAACGCAGCAATTTCTTCTCCGTCAGTGCTCTGGCTACTTTCCACAACTCTCGTCCAGTCCAACAGCCCCATGTCGAGAGTGACTCCCCCTTCAATGTTATTGGCGCCAAGGCTGGTGCCATGTCCTCCACTGCGGAGGGCGAAGACATGGCGGCCTGAGACGAGGATATGAATCAATTTGGAGACCTCGGAAGCGGAATGCGGCCGGAGAATGTAAGACGGATGGAGCTCGGCAGCCGTGGTGGAGAAATAGCTTTTTTGGCGAAGAGTGTACCCCGGGTCACAGGGGCGGAGGACGTCCACGCCGCTCTGGCGGAGGAGATCTTCAAAGGCTGATGCCATCTCTATCTCCGAGCCCATTCTATCACTGGTGTAGCGGACAACCTTTCTTGCTTAGAGGTCTCTGCTGCTTCTAGGATTTGCTGGGAAAAACCAGCAGGAAAGTGGCAGCAGCCAATGTCCAATGTAGTATAGACCGTTGGGCTGCTAGCTAGGTAGTCTGTGACCAATTAGAGACGTGGATAGTAATCATGACACTAGGCTGATAAAATACCAGGTGGGGAGCCCCTGCCGGGGCCTTAGGAGCTATTCGTCTAAGTCGAAGAGGGTAGGTTTATAGCTACTTAAGTACTAATAGTTTAATTTCTTATTTAAATTCTTTATTTAAATTCGTATTTAATTTCTTATTTAATTTTTAATTTAATTTTTTAATTAAATTCTTTATTTAAAATTTTATTTAATTATTTATTTAATTTTAAATTTAATTTTTTATTTTTTATTTTATTTAATTTTAAATTTAATTTTTTATTAAATATTTTAATTTTAAATTTAATATTTTATTTAATTTTATATATATTTATATTAAAATATTTATATTAAATATTTTAAAAATTTAATTTAAATAATTTTAAATATTAATATTAAATTAAATTAATTTAATAAATTAATAATTATAAATAAATTATATTTATTTATATAAATAAATATATTAAATAAATCGTTTTATTAAATATAAGTTTATTATATTTTAAAATAATATATATATTAAAATTAATATAACTATTTTATAAATAACGTTTATTTTTATATATATATATATAAAACTAATTAATAAATTAATAATTATTTAATAATTATAAAATAATAAAATAAAAGTAAATTATTATTATTATTATAAAAATTTTTAAAATAAATAAAACTCTTTATATAAATAATAATACTTATATATAATTAATTATAATAAAGTTTTAAAATATTTAAAACTTTATTAAAAGATTAAA